AATTCCAATATTAATCTATTTTGATAATGTGGAGATTGCCACATAATCGTGCGGAGGCATTAGGAAAATATGGCCATACGGCTCTAAGGCTCTGCATTCAAATCTTCACACACACACACTGAGGATAGCTACATGTGTGCACATCGTTAGTGCGCACAACGGCAAAACATTCTGCATTTCGTGCAACCGAACAAGTGGTCTGGCACATTAGCTACATGTACCTTTCAGTATGTAGGTCTAGTCCTTAATGAGATTTGAATCTATGATGACAATTCGGCAGATGTATTGTTCTCGCACCTATCATATTTTTTGACGAACATGGGAAATTTTTCATTAGTCGAACTTTTAAAAGGAGATGTTTGTCTCCATGTGACCCAAGATGTTTTCGGCCTGTATTACCAAAAGACTGTGACAAATTCATCTTAAGGAATGTAAAGAACTTGGCACAATGAGCAAATTACTACATACGAGGTTCGGATATGTTGCAGATCGCTATTGTGTCCAGACAACGGCCTATCAAAATTCTAGATTTTCTCCAAAAGTAAAAGCATAACAAAGTTCCAGATTATAGATGTAAAGAAAGCAATTACTCATTTTCGATGCTTCAAGAAGATTATGTTGGTATACCGATGGGAATGTAAGTCCACCAACTATCTTGAAGATTCCTAGTGCGCGCATGATAACTTAGGGGAAATTGTGTAAAGCGAACGAATATTACAAATACGGAAAACGTAAGCGATATCGTCGAAACAGGACTCCGGCTGTAAAGCTCATTGACACTTTGTCGGGTTATGAGCGTACGCTCAACGGATCTCTCTGGGGACAAGAACAAGATATAGACATTGAGGGTTCTATGACCCTCAAATACTTGGCGATTTCAAAGCCACAATGCCACGACAGATAAACTTCTGTCCCAGCCCAAAAGTTTTATCTAAACACTAAAGTTTACACCTCTCAGGCTTGAGGAACATGGTTCGCTTCCTCGGTAACTGAAAATTGTTCGATGCTATGAATAGAAAGCAATGACTATTCGATACTGTGTAAATGCCACACGGGATGGACATAATGCATCAGCGCCTAAATTAACTCAGCGGACTCTTACGATCGGCTGGTATGCAGTATCCGCACCACACAATTAAGGTTTCAATCTCTCGGCAATCTTCCGGATATTATGCACAGAACACAATAAGCTCAAATAAGCTTCGAGACCCTATTGTAAGGTGAAATGTCCAGCAAACATCTAGCAAGTGACCTTACGCAAGGAATGTTCTGGATACCAAAAGAGCAAGTTGCTTCAACTTTCGGTAAGACGTAGGAATTCAACGGTGTGTGTATGACACCTTTCGTACTTCGCATTACGGCAATAGGTGCATGTGGCAAGCGCCGATGTCGCAGATTTTTGCAGAAGGACAGGATCGTAAAATAAATAAAAACATTTAGACAACGAGGGAACAGATTTCCTAATGCGTTAGCTTGACTCAAATGGTACATGTGGGACACACACATCCTTTATTATAGACTTTGACCTACTGGATGATCTTATGAGACGCACAAGATCGAATCTTGCATTTTGGAACTACCAGTCAATGCACTTCAATAGCAAGCTGGCAGACAAGGGCATGTGACTGTTCCACGGGAAAAGAGAATGGAAAACGCTATTGTTTTTTTTCTTTTTCCTGAATCTCTTGACGCACTACAACAGCGAGCGTCATCTTTTCTCAAAAAATATGTAGGATGCAACCAATCAAATGCTTCATACATGCAGAGAAAAAAATAGGGTGGAAAATGCACCGACTCTTGGCTACACGCATACCAGAAGGCATTCAGTCCTCTTATCCACACGGCATTGGCAAATTGACCTTACCCAACTCTCTCGATTGTTAGAATCCAACACAGAAGCAATTGTCACCATGTGATTACAGCTAGGTACGCGAAAAAAAAAGAAACAAGCACTTTTCACTAAGACACACTGGATGCATATGCAAGAATAACCCCTTTGCATATTCGAAGACATCGTGTGCCGGATGCTAGATGGCCTTATTTCTCCGCAGGATAACGGTTGCAAAAGCTTTTTAAAATCCAAGCTTCGCTCCCTGTTTTCCCTTGTTCTAAAATCTGTAAGAAAATAACCAATGATTGCTGCGTTGCTCTTACAGCTCTTCACTTTGGTCAGCTTGGCCGCCGCTGGATGCACGCCTTCTAAGATAACGGGCTCCGGTTTTAAAGCCGTTGGTTATAGATATCCATTGGCGTCTAAAGCAGGATGGGACACCAACTTTTTGCAAACCGGTTACAAGGCCGGAGGAGAGTTTTTCACCATCAATGACCTTACAGACATTGATTTCCTGTTCACCATCAAAAACAACAGACTTATCCGCGATACCCTTTATGGCCAGTATATGACCATTTCCAACTTCACCATCGAGTACTCTGGTTTTTTCATTCCAGACACTGACGGTTTGTACACCTGGAACATCGATAACGCCGATGATGGTGCAGCCTTATCCTTTGTCTCCGTTGGTGGTTGTTGTGAAGACCCTACTGCAATTACAAATCAATATGATATTAGTACTTTGCGTGGTTTTGCTGGTGCAGGAGATGCCTCCGCCAAATCCACTTCAGCAAACTTGGTCGCTGGAAACGCTTATGCCATCAAGATCGTCACTTTCAACTGGAACGGGCCCCTGGCCTTGGCTGTGTCCTACACAGACCCATCGGGCCAAAAGGTGACACATTTCGACCATATTCATCAGGTGGAATTTGACAACAACAACAAATGTGTTCCTCCTCCAATTCTTACCACCACCACCACCTACGGCACGAACAGCGAACACCCAAAGACCGGAACTTACACACCAGCCGACTGTGAACTGCTCCAAACATGCACTTCTTACGGTTGTTCCGCCACAAGAAACCACCACTGTGACTAGTCCTGAAAACAGTGCTCACCCAACACCTGGCAACATAACACTGAATGTGGCAACATTCCAACTTGGTACCTTGGGTTGTTTGGTTCCTCCAGAGACTACTACTAAAACCCATGTCACAAACTCTGCTCACCCAACTCCCGGTACTTACACCCCAAGCGATTGTGGCAAAGTCCCTACCTGTACTGTTGAAGTTGTCACCCCACATACTACCACTACTGTGACCCACAAAACCGACAGTGCTCACCCAACTCCAGGTACTTTTACACCAACAAACTGTGATGACGTCGAAACCTGTACTGTTGTGGTTGTTCCACCTCACACCACTACTACTGTGACTCACAAGACCGACAGCCAACATTCTGTTCCTGGTACCTTCACACCATCAAACTGTGATGATGTCGAGACATGTACCGTGACAATTGTGCCTCCTCACACTACTACAACTGTGACCCACAAGACTGACAGCCAACACTCTGTTCCAGGTACTTTTACTCCCTCGAACTGTGATGACGTCGAGACTTGTACAGTTACTGTCGTTCCACCTCACACCACCACTACTGTGACTCACAAGACCGACAGTGATCACCCAACTCCAGGTACTTTTACACCTTCAAACTGTGAAGATGTAGAGACTTGTACCGTTACTGTCGTTCCACCTCACACCACCACTACTGTGACCCACAAGACCGACAGCCAACACTCTGTTCCAGGTACATTCACACCTTCAAACTGTGAAGACGTTGAGACTTGTACCGTTACTGTCGTTCCACCTCACACCACTACTACTGTGACCCACGAGACCGACAGCGCTCATCCAACTCCAGGCACTTTCACACCATCAAACTGTGATGACGTCGAGACTTGTACCGTTACTGTCGTTCCACCTCACACCACTACTACTGTGACTCACCAGACTGACAGCCAACATTCTGTTCCAGGTACTTTTACTCCTTCGAACTGTGACGATGTTGAGACTTGTACCGTTACTGTCGTTCCACCACACACTACTACAACTGTGACCCACAAGACTGACAGCCAACACTCTGTTCCAGGCACTTTCACACCTTCAAACTGTGAAGATGTTGAAACCTGTACTGTTGTGGTTGTTCCACCTCACACCACTACTACTGTGACTCACCAGACTGATAGCGCTCATCCAACTCCAGGTACTTTCACACCATCAAACTGTGATGACGTCGAGACTTGTACTGTGACAATTGTGCCTCCTCACACCACTACTACTGTGACCCACAAGACCGACAGTGCTCACCCAACTCCAGGTACTTTTACACCAACAAACTGTGATGATGTTGAGACTTGTACTGTGACAATTGTCCCACCACACACTACTACTACTGTGACCCACAAGACCGACAGCCAACATTCTGTTCCGGGCACTTTCACACCTTCAAACTGTGAAGATGTTGAAACCTTGTACTGTTGTGGTTGGTTCCACCTCACACCCACTACTACTGTGACTCACCAGACTGATAGCGCTCATCCAACTCCCAGGCACTTTCACACCCATCAAACTGTGATGACGTCGAGACTTGTACTGTGACAATTGTTCCACCTCACACCACTACTACTGTGACCCACCAGACCGACAGTGCTCACCCAACTCCAGGTACTTTTACTCCCTCGAACTGTGATGACGTCGAGACTTGTACAGTTACTGTCGTTCCACCTCACACCACCACTACTGTGACCCACAAGACTGACAGCCAACACTCTGTTCCAGGCACTTTCACACCTTCAAACTGTGAAGATGTTGAAACCTGTACTGTTGTGGTTGTTCCACCTCACACCACTACTACTGTGACTCACCAGACTGATAGCGCTCATCCAACTCCAGGCACTTTCACACCATCAAACTGTGATGACGTCGAGACTTGTACTGTGACAATTGTTCCACCTCACACCACTACTACTGTGACCCACCAGACCGACAGTGCTCACCCAACTCCAGGTACTTTTACTCCCTTCGAACTGTGATGACGATCGAGACTTGTACAGTTACTGTCGTTCCACCTCACACCACCACTACTGTGACCCACCAGAACCGACAGCCAACACTCTGTTCCAGGTACTTTTACTCCCTCGAACTGTGACGATGTTGAGACTTGTACTGTGACAATTGTTCCACCTCACACCACCACTACTGTGACCCACAAGACTGGCAGTGCCCACCCAACTCCAGGTACTTTTACTCCGTTCGAACTGTGATGATGTTGAGACTTGTACCGTTGTTGTCGTGCCACCTCCTGTCACAACTACCGTCACACGCTTTACTAGCCTCCATCCTATCCCAGGAACGTACACTGACTGTGATGATGATTTTGAAACTTGTACTGTTGTGGTTGTTCCACCCCACATCACTACTACTGTGACCCATGAGACTGACAGCGCACACCCAACTCCAGGCACTTTCACACCTTCTGACTGTGAAAACGTTGAAACATGTACTGTTGTGGTTGTTCCACCTCACATCACTACTACTGTTACACAGCCAACTGACAGCGCACACCCAACGCCAGGCACTTTCACACCTTCTGACTGTGAAAATGTTGAAACATGTACTGTTGTGGTTGTTCCACCTCACATCACTACTACTGTTACACAGCCAACCGACAGCGCTCACCCAACTCCAGGTACTTTCACACCTTCTGACTGTGAAAATGTTGAAACCTGTACTGTTGTGGTTGTTCCACCTCACATCACTACTACTGTGACCCAGGAGACTGACAGCGCTCACCCAACTCCAGGTACTTTCACACCTTCTGACTGTGAAAATGTTGAAACCTGTACTGTTGTGGTTGTTCCACCTCACATCACTACTACTGTTACACAGCCAACTGACAGCGCTCACCCAACTCCAGGCACTTTCACACCTTCCGACTGTGAAAATGTTGAAACATGTACTGTTGTGGTTGTTCCACCTCACATCACTACAACTGTGACTCAGCCAACAGACAGTGCTCACCCCACTCCAGGCACTTTCACACCATCCGACTGCGAAAACGTTGAAACATGTACTGTCGTGGTTGTTCCACCTCACATCACTACTACTGTCACCCAGGAGACTGACAGCGCTCACCCAACTCCAGGTACTTTTACACCATCTGACTGCGAAAACGTTGAAACCTGTACTGTTGTGGTTGTTCCGCCTCACATCACTACTACTGTCACCCAGGAGACTGACAGCGCTCACCCAACTCCAGGTACTTTCACACCATCCGACTGTGAAAATGTTGAAACCTGTACTGTTGTCGTTGTACCCTCAGCTTCAACTTACTCCAGTCTTGTTCCACGTTACTCTAATGTGACATCATCTACACCTCAAACACCAAGCGGACCTGTATATCCTGACACTTTGTTGCCTACTACAAGTCTTATAACAGTGACAACACAAACAACTGTCTCCTCCACTATCATCCCATCAGTACCAGAAGTGACTTCTGTTATTACAATTCCAACCCAACCGGGTCCTAACCCATCTGGTCCAAACCAACCGGGTCCAAACCCATCTCCTAACCCATCTGGTCCAAACCAATCTGGTCCAAACCCATCTGGTCCAAACCCATCCGGTTCAAACCCATCTGGTCCAAACCCATCTTCTAACCCATCTGGTCCAAATCCATCCGGTCCAAACCCATCCGGTTCAAACCCATCTGGTCCAAACCCATCTTCTAACCCATCTGGTCCAAATCCATCTTCTAACCCATCTGGTCCAAATCCATCTTCTAACCCATCTGGTCCAAATCCATCTGGTCCTAACCCATCCGGTCCAAACACATCTGTTCCAAACCCATCTGGTCCAAGTGAGTCTTCCTCGAATGTTGGTGGTTCGTATACTGTCAACACTTCCTTCCAAGGCTTAGGTAGCAAGAAGTCGTTCAGCTTGTCTGCATTGGCTGTTGTCTTTGCCTACTTGCTCTAGTTAACCTACTCTGCATGGCGGCTCCTCATCTCATACCTTTACAAGTTTTCAATCTCAGTTTGGAGTTTGCCCTCATTCTATTTCCATGTATAATTAAGTTTTGTTCTATATTTCATCGGTTGTTTCGAACTAATACATACTATATGTTATAATATCCATCAAATTATTTCTTTGTACTCATGTAAGTAGTTTTTTGCTAATATGATGGACAACATGTATGATACTTGCTTCCTATGATTAAACGTTAAACAAAGCTTTCAATATTCCATCAAGCTATGCGTCTACCCTTTGAATGAATTCCTCATGGTGAAATAAAAAGTACGTGAAAATATTACTATTGCTCTCAGGATTATTTGTTCCATAAACTATTACGTGACGTTTTTCATCAAGTATGTTGATTTCGCGATAAAGCATAAATGGTGAAAGACAAACTTCGAAACTAAAAATCGAACTTCAGTCTAAATGGAAACGGGTGTAAAAGAATAAAATTTCAAAGCATACAAGTCATTTCGAGCTCAGTACAATAATAGAAAATGGAGTGTACTCTTCATAAGAAGCATTTAATGATTATCACCATGAAATCCAATAGCGCGAGATAATTGATAATTACCAATCTTGCATTTAAGAAGAGTCCAATTCCACACAAGACATAAATTATTCCAAGAAAGTTTAAATCGACAGAAATAATATAGATCCCCTTAGGTGTAGTGTTTCAATTATTCCCAGACAGCAAACAGATACATCCAACAACTGAGTGCCTTCGCCCTTCAATCTGAGAAACAAGACACAGCAGATAAGGGTGGAGGGTGGTGAAAATTGGTGCTATAAAGCCTGACAAGAAAAGGTGTTCCAGAAGTTCTTCTGTCTTGTTACCTAGTCCTCAAGTTATAGGACCAGAATGATGCGATACACTTGTTCTGCACTTTTTTACGTAGAGCTTTCGCGGGGAAACAATGGGATAGTTCGCTTGTCAAGCTCCTATGCCAGCTCAATGCTTTTCTGTTGATGTTTGATCACTGCTGTTTGACATGGATATCAATTCCACTAAATGGACACTTTCTAGACTGTATATGCGCTAAAGGAGCACTCAATACCATTGATTTGTTCTAGTACCATTAGGCTCCACTCCGTTATAGAGCATTAAAGTAGATGGTATCACACCCTCTTCTCACACCAGTTAGATCATTGTCGTCCTGATTCTTCATGCCCTACAAAATTGACCGTTTTATCCTCTTTGGAGACTCGATCACCGAGTACTCGAGCAAGCAGGATGGTTTTGCCATGGCGCCTGCTTTGCAAGATCTTTACTCCACCAAGTTGGATATAGTGACCCGTGGCTTTTCCGGCTATAACACCAATCAAGGGGTGGTGATGTTAGAACAAGTGTTGGAGGCGGAAAAACTCGCCGGCAACACCGTCAGGCTCATGTATGTGTTTATGGGAACAAACGACGCAGCCACCACATTTCAGCATGTCAGCTTGGACCAGTATAAACAAAACTTAGATAAGATGGTGAAGATGATTCTCAAAGAGGACATTAAAGTGATGGTGGTGGGTCCCACGTTGCACGAGGAAAACGCCAGTCCGGAATTCAAGGATGAACCGCCGTTTTCCAGCTCCAAGAGAAACAAGCAGTATGCCGACGTGGCCAAAGAGGTGGCCACGAAAAATAATGTTCCATTTGTCGACTTGTGGAGTGCCTTCCAAAAGGAGAGTGGCTACACGGCGGAAGAGTTGTTGGAGAAAAGTAGAGACTTGAAGAAGTTCTTGCGGGATGGTGTACACTTTACTCCTGCTGGATACAAGATCCTCTACAATGAGCTAGTCAAGACCATCAACACAAGTTTCCCCGAGCTTGCGCCAGAAAATTTGAGACTGGCTTTTCCCTACTACAGGGATGTGGACTTTGACAACTCCAGACAGAGCCTTTTGGATTATCTCAAAAAGTCGTCCTGACCTAAGTACGCTCATTATGTAGCTGACCTCTAAGCTCAGATTTCACATCGATAAAACGCTAGCTGCATTATTAGCTCTGTGTCTATGTTAACTTTGATGGCTCTGTTGGCATCCTCTTTGTAACTACGATTGATGGCTTTTGAGTATTGTCTCGGCTAGCTCCAGTAGCTTCATCATCGAGCCGTTTTGGCATGTGTCACAATGCGGGACGCACTGTATACGTACAGACGAGAAAAATTTTCCGACATTTTTGTGTAACCTCCATCCGGAAAATTCTGGCAAGACCAATGTACCGTTCCGTCCTTGGCGAAGTTCTTAACATAGTACAGTATTGACGCGCATCCGGATGCAGATGCACCCTGCTCCGAAGAATGTTTCCGTTACAGATCCTATTATTCCGCGATCGGGTGCAGGTAATTACATCACAACATGTACTGGCCAGAAAAAAACCAGCACGTACAGGAGCCTGGGCTTCGAGTAAAAATGTACCCAGCCATCCCCGCTTGAGAATAGATCGACGCTCATAACACCGTCTTGGTTGTTTTCGCGGGGAATCTGGAAATGGACTAATTGAGTCTTCATTAGGGTCGGCCCTCGTGAAAGTGACTCCAATCAAAAGGTAGGGTACGAAAAAGTACAGAATCCAGATTACTCAAGGACGTCAAATTAGGTACAAACTCAAGCGAATTAAGCCACTTCATTTAGAAGTTATAGTCGTAACGCATTAAAGGCATGCCATATTAAACCTGGCCGTCGGAAGAAGAGTGGGATTGAACAGCCTTGTCCTCGCCAGCATTCTCTGCATGGTTGACATTGAGCTTCTCCTCCAACTGGGCGTCGGATAACAAAGGCACGTGAGGTTGCCAGTTTCTGGTCTTCCATGCTGGCACCTTCTCGTCCCAAATTTGGGCGATCTCTTCCAAACGCTTGCCTCTAGTCTCTGGGAAGCAGAAGAAAACATGAACAAACATACAGCAACAGAACACAGCGTAGATGATGTACGTCTTCCAGGTGATGTTCTTGAAGGAAGAAGGCGTAAACATGGCAATAGCAAAGTTGAAAATCCAGTTAGCCGACGTGGAGAGAGAAGCACCTCTTTGTCTACTTCTGTTGTCACCCCAGACTTCAGAACAGTAGACCCAAATACCCACACCCCAGGTGGAGGCAAAACACACAACGAAAAGATAACAGCAGGCAATGACACCTCTAGCAGCAGGCTTGTTCTTCTTTGGAATGGTAATACGCACAGTGTCGTTACCTTTGTACTCGTGAGGAATAGAGTAGGTGGCCAAAAGACCAGCGACAGCAAATTGGAACGCCATCATACCAGCAGCACCGAAAAGCAAAAGCGTTCTTCTACCGACCTTATCCAACAAGTACAAACTTGGCACAGTGACAGCACTGTTAATAATGTACTGGATCAAAGAAGGAATCAAGTTGGTGTTACCTTCGTAACCGGCCATTTCGAAAATGTAGACAATGTAGTACATCATAACGTTCATACCAGTCAACTGTTGCCAGATTTGGGCGAAAACAGCAGTCACAGTTCTCACTCTGTACTTTGGACTGAACAAATCAGCATAGGTGAAATTCTTTGCGTGCTCTTCAAGAAGAAGTTGCTCCTTGATTTCAGACAATTCAATTTGCACTTCTGGGTCTTCACGGTTACCCTTGGCTTGAATCTTGGCGACAATAAACTCAGCTTCATCCCAGTAGCCCTGCTTAGCCAACCATCTAGGTGACTCAGGAATGAAGAAAAGACCAATAAGCAAAACAAGACCTGGCACAATTTGAACACCCCAAGATACTCTAAACGAGGCTTTTCCGTGAACATGCGACATACCGTAGGCGATAAGGAACATAATCAAGATACCGAAGGTGACAGAGAACTGGAACATACCACCAACAAAACCTCTGATTTTTCTAGGAGAAAGCTCGGAACCGTAAACAGGACTGACAGAAGAACCGAAACCGACACCCCAACCAGAGATAATACGGCCGATAATTAATTGGGCTCTATTTTGCGCAGAACATTGGATAGCAGCACCAACGCACCAAAGGAAACCACAAATGAGCAAAGAAGCACGTCTTCCGAAAGGCTCAGAAACAAAACTGGAAGACAAAGAACCGAAAAAGGAACCCAAACTCATGGCTGCGGTGATGAAACCCTGCATAACCGAAGATGGGTGGTCAAAGTAGTTCAAGTAAGGCTTGTCACTGACAAACACAGACATGGAGGAGATATCAAAACCAAACATCATACCTGAAATACAGGAGATGGAGGCAATGAAGTAGACATTGTAGGTGTTGGGGGTTCTATCGAGGAACCGTCTAAGCTTTAGTGCGGGCGCGACAAGTTTTTCTTCGTAGCCCATAGTTGTAAGTAATGAATAAAACTGAAGTAGGAAAACAGTTGTCTACGGTGGGTGGTACTGCTTTTATATTATTTGGCTTTGCCGCTGATCATGAAATCTACTTTTTTTTCTCTAGACCATTACTGTATGGTGCGTCGTACTTCCCCATTTCCCCAGTCGCAACTCTGCAGGTTGCATGGCTCCACACGTCATGCACAAAATAGCAGGACAGCCGGACGGCAGGACAGCAGGACATATGTACATACATGCACGCTTGCAGGTTAACACATTTAGCGCCAGCACCGAAAGTGCTCAAAATGAGAGGTAGTAACGTGTTGCTTTGAGCACGAAAGCCCTTTGAGTGATCCATATGTCGATTACACACCGTTCAATGCCTCTAACTCCTCTCTTAAAAATCCATGCGGCACCGAAAGCACTGGTTCAGAAAATATGGAAAATCCCTCAAGCGCCGTAACCTGCAATACCCCACGCGGATTATTACCTACCCCACCCAAAAGGGAAAGAGCATGCATACACACGCGTCTGAAATCCGGATAGCAAAGGTGACACCTAGGCATGACATGAATAGTGATCACCGCCGTTACACACTTCGGAGTCGCCAGAAGAAACTGTCGTAAACATGCCAAGACAGGTGATTTGACTCGTAATCGAAAGAAAAACACGCCACCTACTTGGTGCCTTAAAGCCGTTAGTGCCCAAAAGTCATCCGATAATAACTCGTAGACAAACTTGAGGTAAAGTTTTGAGCGCATGCCTGAAACCTTGTCTGAACTCCGCAGGATGTGAGCCAGCAAATGAAGCCAGTCACTCGAAACGGACCTTCATGCACAGCGCAAACATCTAAACATAAAATCTTACTAACAAAAAGCTAAAACACTAAAAAAAGAACTGCGTATTATCGACAAGGAATAAACAGCAAATATTCCGCTCAAACAATCTTTACTATTAAAAGCCCAGAGCCATTGTGCGGGGGCTGGGCATTCTCTTTTAGCCTAATTTCGCTTGTTTATGTCCTGTAAACGGACCCAATTCATCTCCTGGTGATCAATTTAGCCGTAATTGTGCCGCGTTTCATGAACAGGTTATATTTTTATCGCTCAAAACGATCTAGTGTTACCTCTAATCACTTGAGTGTATTCGCTAAGATGAACCTCTCATCCATTGTAGACCCACAGGTGATCACGACAGTCACGCCATCAGTTCTCAAAACACATTCACAAGAGGTTCATGCTTGCCGTTAGAATTCCAGATAGACTATTCAGTCCGAGGGTTTGGAAAAAGATGGGCCAAGATTCTTTTCCAATAGACTATTCAAAGCTTATCTATAAGAGATTAATTAGTAGCCTACAACTCGTATTCCCTATGTACTATGTCTATTTATAAGGAAGTACACAATCTTCGAGGACGTTATATTCATGATTCATTTAAAGACTTTTGACTATACATGCGCCTTGGGCAGGCTTGGAAACAACAATGGCAGAGCTCAACTCTTCCTCACTAATTCCTGGGAATTGCTTTTTGTAGTACTTCTCCTTGATGGCCTCAATTACTTTAGGCAAACGGTCTACTGTAGTCAAGTGAACAACAGAGCCTCCGAAACCAGCACCAGTGACTCTGGAGCCGTAAGTTCCGTTAGCACGACCCAACTCACAAAGGGCATCGCAGCCTGGAGCAGACGCATTGTTGTACTCTCTGGTAGAGACCTGCGACTCGTCCATCAATTTACCAAATTCTTCGAGGTACTTTTCCGAATTACCATCAAAGTGGCGAGCAAGGGAAATGGTTTGAAGCACTCTCAACGAATCAGAGTAAACGTGTCTGCTTCTTTTGTAGAGACTAAGCTTTTCGTAGCTCACTGGGAAGCGGCTCAAGTACTTGGCCTGGAACTCTTCCAACGAGAGTCCTACAGCCTCAGCTGCCTCCTCTGTGGTGAACTCCTTCTTTTCTGAGTAGATAGACTCCACGAGATCAAGCATGCGTGTAAGACGGTCAATGCCCATCTCAATATCCTGCCCGTCCCAAGCAGACTCGCCCAATTTCTGCGTGAAGTACGCATCGAAAGGAGCCTCTCAACGTGGCAGTGTCCAAGTTAGAGTCTGGGCTCACCTTCAAGCCAAACTTGCGTGCAATCAACTCAGCGGCCACAGCAACCTCCACGACACGTAAATTGTAGTTTTTAGGGGCAGTTTCAGTCTTGTTAGCGGTGATCAACGAGTTCGTGATCAAGAAAATTGTCTCTGGCTTTGTTTCGGGAAGCTCAAAGGGTGTTGATTTGAGCGCAGGCTTGAACAGAATCAAAAGGACCTTGTTTGGCTCGCCGTTGACAGAAGCACACTGGTCCATTCCACCGTTGTTCAACCCAACGTAATGTTCACACACCACGGTGATTCTGGTGAGATCTTCTTTGGTGATTTGCTCTACGCCATTGACATGCAAAATTGCCAAGGTAGCGCAGATACAGAAAGCAGCAGAAGAAGATAATCCTCCGCCGGTAGGAACGGTTCCATCGAACAAAGCTTTCAAGCCTTTCAATGGCTTCTTTCCGCCGTCCAAAAGATGCGCATACTTCTCAAGAATGAACTTATGCGCCACAATGGCGCTGCACTTGAAGTAGCTTCCCCACGAGAGATTGTTCTTGTCAATCTCGACAACAGAGCCGTCTGCTGGGAAAGAAAACGATTCACTGGAGAACTTTGGGTCGGTGTTGTTGATGGTGACCGAAGAGTCGCCAGATGCCACGAACGGCGCAATCACATCGACCTCGATGGCCATAGGCAAGACCGAAAAGTGGCAATAGTCTATGTGTTCACCAATCAAGTTCACTCTTCCTGGAGCTCTGGCTATGAGCAGAGGCTTTTCGCCATAAAGGTTGGCGAACTTGGCTTCGACCGCTTTGTAGCGAGCAAGTTGCACCTTCTCGTTAGGAGTAGAAGGCGACATTATCGACAGTGGGTACCAAAGACATTGTTTTCAAGAATTTTGAAGATTTCAGAGGCGGTGGGGGGACAGTTGGTCGAAATTATACCGTGAAAACGTCATGAGACCTTGTTTCGTGGTCCGAAGAGCCAAGCACGTCGCATCCCAGGTGCTGCATGAAACCTTATGCATGCATGCTAAAAGAGTACGGGTGGCGCTCCATGCAGACGCATCTCCCGTCCGGGGCCCCACGTCAATGTGCATACCCCACATAGCAAAGGTGAAAAAAAATGATGCCATATGCACGAATTTGTAGCACGCGGCTGCATTCCTTCTCCTTTGGGGGCGCCCATCCATATTAGGAAGGTTCCATTGGAGAGGCGCCATGACCAAAGTACGAGGTGCTGGATCACCTTACGCTAACTGAAGTAGCGGCAAGTTCCGGTATATTTTTACTTGGGCTTCCTTCCTTTGGCTTTGTCGCTTTGCTACTTTCCTCATACAACTTGAAACATGCAAAAATACATTTTGGTCACTGGCGGTGCTGGCTACATTGGATCACATACGGTTGTGGAGCTTATCCAACACGGCTATAAAGTTGTCATCGTTGACAATCTCGTCAACTCCAGTTACGACGCGGTTTCTCGAATCGAGTACATCGTCAAACAACCCGTTCCGTTCTTCAATGTCGACATTGGAGACTATGAGGGCCTTCTCAAGGTTTTCCAGTCTTATGACATTGGCGGAGTGATTCACTTTGCGGCATTGAAAGCTGTGGGCGAGTCGACAAAAATCCCATTGGAATACTACGAGAACAACGTGGGCGGAACCATTACCTTGCTCAAGGTTATGAAAAAAGCTAACGTGAAAACCATTGTCTTCAGTTCTTCAGCCACCGTGTACGGAGATGCCACCAGATTCGAGAACATGATTCCCATCCCAGAGCATTGCCCTAACGACCCAACGAACCCATACGGAAAGACAAAGTACATCATCGAAAACATCTTGAAGGATGTGAGCACAGCAGACCCTACTTGGAGAGCGGCAATTTTGCGCTACTTCAATCCGATCGGCGCTCATCCATCTGGTCTCATTGGAGAAGACCCATTGGGCATTCCCAATAACCTTTTGCCCTACTTAGCACAGGTTGCTATCGGCAGAAGAGAAAAACTCTCCATCTTTGGCAATGACTACAATAGCCATGACGGAACTCCAATCAGAGACTACATTCATGTGGTGGACTTGGCCAAGGGTCACATTGCTGCTTTGAGCTACTTGAACAAAATCGAAGAAGACAAGGGACTCTACCGCGCCTGGAACTTGGGAACAGGAAAGGGCTCCACTGTTTTCGACGTTTACCATGCCTTCTGCAAGGCTGTTGGACGCGAATTGCCATATGAAGTTGTTGGCAGAAGAGCCGGCGATGTCTTGGACTTGACGGCAAACCCAACACGTGCCAACACAGAACTTCAGTGGTCCACAACCCTCAGCATCGAAGATTCGTGCCGTGACTTGTGGAACTGGACCACCAAAAACCCTTTTGGATACCACACGGAAGGCTATAGCTGGAAGCTTTTCGGAGACGAAAGCTCGCACCAGAGCAGATTGCACACGGTTTCGTTTCCAGAAGCAAAGGTTGAGTTCTCTATTGCAAACTACGGAGCTACTATCCAAAGCATTAAAAAAGACGGACACCAATACGTGGCTGGGTATGACGATCTTTCCGGTTACAAGCAGGCACTGAATCCATTTTTTGGCGCCACTATCGGAAGAGTGGCCAACAGAATCAGCAATGCTGAGTTTTCTATTGACGGATCCAAGTATAGTGTCTCCAAGAACGAAAATGGCACCAACTGCTTGCATGGTGGTGAGAACGGATTTGACAAGAACTACTTCTTGGGCCCTATTGTCCGCAAAAACGAGAACAACGACATTACATTAAGCTTCGTCTATGCCGAAAAAGATGGCTCCAACGGCTTCCCGGCTGATTTGGTCACTTATGTCAACTACACCGTGAACTCGTCTTCTTTCCAAATCGAGTACGAAGGCCGAGATTCCACAAACATCTTCAAGTAGTGCCACTCCAGTGCATTTGACTAACCATTCATACTATAGAGTGAGTGACAACAACACAATTGATGGAACTAAAGTGAAGTTGGCCACTAGCAAGACTTTATCCTTCAAGAACCAATTGCCAGACGGCAACTACTCTAATGCTACCGAGAAAGTTACTTCCGGTCTTGTACTTTCTGCGAGTGATGTATTTGACAATTGCTTTGTATTGAAGGAGAAAAACTGGAGATTGGATACCAGAGACGAAGAGCTCCTCCAATTTGCTGAGGTTTCAGACGAAAAAAGCGGAAGAAGCCTCAAGTTTTCCACCACTGAGCCCGCTTTCCAGTTTTACACTGGAGACGGTGTGAACACAGAAGGTTACGATGCTAGGTGTGGTCTCTGCTTAGAAGCGGGAAGATTCACTGACGCTATCAACCATTCTGAATGGACGTCGCAAGTTCTTTTGAAGAAGGGCGAGAAGTACGGTTCTCTCTTCAAGTGTGATTTTCGTTAGACAAACGAACAGTTATAAAAAAGCTTATCCAAAACTATGACGGCTGCTTTAGCCCTAATGCAATTTTCTACACAAAAATACATGCTCGATTAATGAATTTGATGATGTAAGTCGATCTACTATTATAACTTCGTTGCACGATGCGAAGTTGCTTCTTGCACAAGCTGCGTTATGCCTTCTTCCAACGAAACTTGTTGGCGCCAGCCCAAGGCTTTTACTTTTGATGAGTCGATCGCATATCGCTTATCGTTGTAATTGCGATCCTTCACAAACCTAATGTATTTGGAGTAGTCAGTGTTTTCTTGTCCAAACCTGATCCGCATATACGCATCGATGATCATTTGCACAAATCGAATGTTCAGAATCTCATCAGCAGTGCCAATGTTGAATACAGGCAACTCTCCTTCCAACAGGTGAGTTTTCTTCAAAATCACGTTGACTGCACGGACAAAATCGAATACATGCAAGTACATTCTCGTGTACTCACCCAGGCCATGCAAAGGTATGCGCGATTCAAGGGCAAGTGCATCCAGGGACAGACGCACCTTCTGCAATTGCGTCAAGCATACAGACACTAGCTTTTCGGGAAACTGGCGTGGCCCATACACGTTATTAGGTCGGACAATGGTGGCCGCCACTTGGAAAGACTTGACGTACGCGCCTATTATTAGATCACAAGCTGCTTTGGTGGCCGCGTATGGGCTTGTCGGTTTTAATGCACTTTCCTCGGCCGAACTTTCCCACGGCTCTTGTTCACCGTATACTTCGTCCGTGGATACATGTACAAAGCGTAATTTCAGGCGCAATTCAGGCCGCCGCTCAAAAAGGTGTCGTAAACACTCGAGCAAGTTTTGGAGGCCAACAATGTTGTTGGTGGTGAAGTAAAGTGGGGCATCGAATGAGCGGTCCACGCATGTCTCAGCCGCAAAGTTGAGGACGGTGGTGATGCGGGAGGATTCCCAGTCCTCAACCAATAATTTGTGAAGAAGCTCGTAATCCTGCGCAAGGTCCCACTGTAGAAAACGAAAGTTCGGGTTCCGAAGTGCTCTTTCGATATTTTTAGTCAGATGATAGCACGCATAGGAAAGCTTGTCGATACACACAACTTTGTGGTTTGGGTACTCTTGCAATAGCAAGTCCACCATGTGCGAGCCCATAAAGCCCGCACCTCCAGTGACAAGAAACGTTGCGGACATGGCTTTTCTTCGATTGTTCGCAGTGCGCGGTGGCTGAATTTTTAGGGTCAGAGGGCGCCACGAGGGGAAAATGCAGAGTGCGGGGCGGTTGCAGGAGCTCGAATAAAAGATCTTTCGATGTACACGCTTGACGGCATTTAAGCCTGGGCGCCCTGGGCGCCGCACTAACGGGGTCAGTGATGACGTGGTTCTTGCTTATTTTTTTCTTGGCCCGTTAAGGGTAAAACGCACCGGTGCGTGGCGCACTCGAGGTTGCATTGCCGGTACATGTAGAACCACCCCAGCTCCCTTGCGCATATTTAGACGCCGCACACACGCACGTTCGCCACACCCTTCCTAACGGGACCGAGCCATCTGCCTCACGTAACTCATCCCAACGCCAATTTAAAACGGTGCTAAGAACGTTTCCTCCAGCGCCAGAAATGTCCTTCAGTTTCACCGACCACTCTCATCGCAGATACAATCCGCTTTCTGACACCTATGTCCTCTGCTCGCCCCACAGAGCGAAAAGACCCTGGCAAGGTGCCCAAGAAGAGGTGAAGAAGAACACCCAGCCTGAATACGATCCCAAGTGCTACTTGTGCCCAGGTAACACCCGTGCCGCCAACGGGACTAACCCAGCTTACACCTCCACCTATGTGTTCCCCAACGACTTCCCCGCAGTGCAGTTGGATCTGCCAGACTACAATGCGCAAGAGGAGGAGAATGAAGACGCAGCCCAAAAAGAGATTGTTCCAGGTGCTGAGCGTGAAAGGCAACTGCTTTGTGATCTGCTTCAGTCCCAACCATGCTCTTACAATCCCGCTTATGGAGGAGAAGGCCATCAAGCAGGTTGTGGACACCTGGCAAAACTTGTACTTGGACACGCAGAAACAGCTGTTGCTGGGCCAGGCGCCATACAAGTACATCCAGATTTTCGAGAACAAGGGGCTGGCCATGGGCTGTTCCAACCCACATCCGCACGGCCAGGCATGGTGCTTGGATGTGGTTCCCACCGAAGTCAGCCACGAACTCAAGAACATGAGCAAGTATCTCTCGTCGAACAAGTCGCACTTGCTTGGCGACTATGTGCGCTTGGAGTTGGAAGAAAAGACCCGTATAGTGTGCGAGAACGACTCTTTTGTTGTGGTTGTTCCGTTCTGGGCTTTGTGGCCCTTCGAGACTCTTTTGCTTGCCAAAACCCATTTGCGCTCGCTTGCAGACTTCCTGGACAAGAACAAGGAGGATCTTGCGTCCATCATCAAGACACTTACTACGAAATACGACAATCTTTTCAAAACGTCCTTCCCCTACTCCATGGGCTTGCATCAGGCACCTTTGGTGGCCTCGGAGGAGGAGAAAAACAGCTCGTGGTTCCACATGCACTTTTATCCTCCACTTTTGCGGTCTGCGACAGTGAAGAAGTTTTGCGTGGGATTCGAGATGTTGGGCGAGGCCCAAAGAGATCTCACAAGCGAGCAAGCTGCCGCTCGTCTCCAGGATTTGGACGGTACCACCCACTATACTGCTACGCTTGAATGATTTTTATACCTTGATAGAACTAAGCGTCAACCAAGAAGTTTAGAAAAGTAATTATACGTGAAGAAAGACCAAACACTGTAGAATCACAATGTTTCGGAGAAGGTGCATCAAAGTCCTGCCTAAGCTTCGGAGTCTTCATTTCTCCGCCGAGCACCGATACTAGGCAAATGAGCCCACATCTGCGGGAAAATCCAACTTAGCCAATTCGCTTCCTTAGCCCCACATGGCCACAACGGCAACTCTCAATTGAATCTGCTTGCACATATGGAAAAAAAATAGCGGCATCATCATTGCACCGAGATAACAAATAAGTTGATCTCATCACCACTTGAAAGTACGAGCTTCACATCCGGTTCTGAACACTTATCATGCGGAAGGCACACTGGCGTAGGGACAAAAAGAAACGAAGCGGAGTACGAGAGGCACAAACGACAAAGTGTAACAGGCAAAACCCCCCGTCTAGCACAAACTGCACGAACTGGCTTACTACAACCATTTACGAAGACAATATCCCCAAAAGTCTGCTACGATATCTGCATACTTACTGATGACATGAAATGACATATATTATATACCTGATGGTCTCCACTTGAGTTCAACCTGGGGCATAATACAACCCCACTTAACGAACTGTAGGGAAGACTATTCCACTTAGCCGCACAGCATTAGATGTTTTGGAGATACGCCACTGCGAACAGCGTCTGCGTATGTATCTCCGCAGGTGCCGACCGTGCATTTGCATACTGACGCATAACGCCTCCACCAGCTCTAGTTTGTAAGCTGTGCAGTGTTCCGAATCAGAACCTGTCCAGTCCCCGCAAAATGCTGGTGCTTCTTTTTCTCCGTGGGCAAAGACTCCGAGACTGGTCCGAATCCGCCGCCGCCCGGAGTGTTAATGACAAATCTGTCTCCAGCCAACGCTTGCACCGTCGCTTTGCCGCCCACATTGACGCTTCTCGTAACGACATTGCCATCGGCATCTTTAACCTTACGTACCCAGACGTTAAAACCGCGCTCGCCGTCGGAACCACCTTCCAAACCGTGTGGCGGAACAACTCGTCTCTCGGATAAAATAGACGCCGTGACAGGAACCCGAAATTCAATGTCCCGCACCACACCATTTCCGCCCCGGTGGGCACCGGCACCGCCAGAGTTTTCTCTGATGGAGAACTCCCGGATAAGGACAGGATATCTTCTTTCAAAAACTTCGGCATCGGTGATCCGGGTGTTTGTCATGTTTGTGTGGACACCGCTCACAACCGTCCCATGTAGGTCCTGCTCCGTGGCCCCCGGCTATAGTTTCGTAGTATCCAAAGCCTTGAACGTAGTTTCCGTTTTCGTCGTTTCCGCCCACGCCGAATGTGAAGTTGTTGCAGCACGACTGCGAGTTGGCCGACGCCTTGAAGGCGCTAAGAATCACTCCGGTAATGACCTGCGAAGTGCAAACGTTGCCCGCCACGACAGCACAGCCTTTGTCTGGATTCAAAAGCGACGAGTCGGGAATCACCACTTCGATGGGCCTCAAGCATCCTTGGTTCAACGGGATTGTTTCGTCCACCAAGCACCGCAAGCAGTAGATGATGGCAGAGTACGTGATTGCCATTGGCGCATTGACATTGCTGTAGGATTGCATGCTTGTGCCGGTGAAGTCAAACACGATTTTGCCGTTCTGGCCCGGAAATATGCGTAATTGGATTCGGGACCCGTCGTCCATGTAATCAACGCTCTCGAGTTCGTTGCCGTGCTGTTCCATGACTCTTGCCAACATGCGAGAAACAGTCTCGGCCGCATTGTCTTGGATCGCAACCATGTACTTCATGATCGTGGCCAAGCCGAATTCGTCCACCAAACGGTCAATGAGAGAGATACCTTTCTGGTTGGCGGCGATCTGGGCCTTCAAGTCACTGATGTTGTCGCTCAACCGGCGACTTCCAGAACAGCCAGCATGCTTGGCAGGCTCTTCCAACAACAACTGTGTCATTCTTTCCTCTTGGAACTCGCCGTTTTTCACCAACAACTCGGAGAAAATGGCCGCACCTTCGTGGATCAAAAACTTCGAGTTGGGAGGCATGGAGCCGGGCAAAAGTCCTCCAATGTCCGAGTGGTGTGCTCTGGAGGCAACATAGAAGATGATCTCGTCCCCTAAGAATGCAGGCGATATCACCGTAATGTCAGGCAAATGTGTTCCGCCTGCCGATGGGGTGGTTGGAAACAATCACATCTCCGGGCTTGAGTTTGCCCTTCCAGAGATTCGCTTGGAAACCAATGCATGTAGACATGGATCCGAGATGCACAGGAACATGGGGGGCGTTTGCCACAAGATTTCCCTCGGCATCGAACAAAGCGCACGAAAAGTCCAATCTTTCCTTGACATTGACCGACACAGACGTTTTTTGCAAGGAAGCACCCATCTGCTCGGCAATGTCCATGAACCTGTGGCCGAAGATGGAAAGCAACACGGGATCAACCGACTCTGTTGGGATATTCTTCTGGTCCGCAAGGCTCTTCTTCTTGGACGAATCTATGGTGACCACCATGTGACTCTTCAAGATAAGAGCGTTTGCGGCAGGCGGAATCAAGTTTGTCTGAGTTCCGTCAGCAACAATAGCAGGTCCATGCACTAAAGTGCCCACGGACAAGTCCTCCAATCTGAAGACGGGAGTCTCAAAGTACTTACCGTCAAAGTAGACGTCCTTCTTGAATTTGGCCGAGTCTTCGGAAACACTGACAATGGAGCTGGAGCTCTCAAGTTCCGTGATTTGGTCATCGATGTAGGAATCTCTCGCAGTAGCCGATTTGCCAATTCCTCTCACACGCACGTCGTCCACAATGATGTCCTTGTCAAACACGAAACCAAACTCTCTCTTGTGCATTTGCTTGAAGGTCTCGGCAAAGTCCCAAGAGTCTCCTTTTGGAACCATGATGGCCGACTCTGTGCCTTTGAAACGGAGGTTCAAGTACTCCTCAAACACAATGTCGCTGTCCTTGAAGTCTTGTGCGGCAAGCGTAGCTCTGGCTTTCTGCTTGAGCAGTCCCAACTTATCTTCCAAGTGCTTGACCGAAGCATCGTTCAAAGTGACAGAAGAAGGCTCTTGGATGTCTTCCACAACATCCGCAAGTGCCATACCGTAGGCAGACAAAACAGAGGAGTATCTGTGAATCAAAACGGTCTTGACACCCAAAGAGTCTGCGATAGCAACAGCATGCTGTCCTCCAGCTCCACCGAAAGACACCAATCTGTGGTTGGCAGTGACATGGCCCTTGGCTTCCACCAATTGTCTGATGGGTCTGGCCATGGTTTCGTTGGCCACATTAATGAAGCCGTAAGCGACTTCTTGGGGGCTCATTTCTGGCATGTTGGGGTTCGACCGGTTGATTTCCGCCGTCAACTCAATGAATTTGCGTGTTGTGGCCTCGAGATCCAAGCTCTGGTCCTCGTTGGGTCCGAAAATCTTGGGGAAGTACTCAGGGATCAATCTCCCCAAAAAGAGATTGGCGTCGGTCACAGTCAAAGGACCACCTTTTCTGTAACATGCTGGACCAGGCTCAGATGTGGCCGATTCGGGGCCCACGTGGAATAAGCCGTTCTTGTAAGTCAAAATGGACCCTCCTCCCGCTGCAACCGTGTTGATATCCAATTGTGGAGATTGAATGGTCACGCCAGCAGTGACGGTCTCAAAAACATGGTGGAACTTTCCGTCACCGTACCGGGAAACATCAGTGGAGGTGCCTCCCATGTCAAAGCCGATCAACGGAATGTTGTTCTTTGGATTGTAGCAGGTTTCAGAGTATCCAACAACACCACCCGCAGGGCCGGAAAGAATAGCTCTCAAGCCAGAGAAGGAAGAAGCATCAACCAATCCACCGTCCGATTGCATAAAGTGGCACCGGACTCCGTTGGCTTTCTCTTCGCTAAGATAGCCGTGCATCAAGCCAGCTTCGAAACTGGACAAGTATTTTCTGATTTCTGGAGTCAAGTACGCATCCACAATCGACGAGTTGGCTCTGGCAACGTACTTGATCATGGGGCTCAACTCGGAAGAAAGAGAAATGTGGGTAAAGCCAATCTCACGAGCAATTTCACCCACAAGCTTCTCGTGGTCTGGGAATGTGTAGGAATGCATCAAACAAACGCCAATGGAGCGGATGCCAGACTTGTAGATTAGGCTCAATGTTGCTCTGATGCTTTCGACGTCCGGTTTCTTGAGCACTCTGACAACTTCCGAAGACAAGCCCATCACAAGATCGTCACCATTTGGCGACGAGATTTTCTGGTCAGGGTCTTCCACAAAGTCTTCAAGCGTGACGCGCTCATCAATTTCGACAACCAGCTCGTACAAAACCTCTGGTTTCGAGATGGACAAGTCGAAAATGTGGGGTCTGGTCTGGTTTCCAATGTTCAACACATCCTTGAAGCCCTTGGTAGTGACCAAAGCACACCGTTCTCCCTTTCTTTCCAACAACGCATTGGTGGCCACTGTGGTTCCCATGCGAAGATAGTCGATGTTGGAAGTGTCCAAAGGCTGGCCTCTTGGAATGGTTTTGCCTGTGAGCTTTTCGAGCAAGCGGCGGATCCCTTCCAATGGCGCATCCGGATAGTTTTCTGGGTCCACCGAAAGCAACTTTAAGACAACATCGTCTTCTTGTTTCCCTGTTCCTGGGTTACCGACACAATCGGTGAAGGTTCCACCTCTCTAAAAGTTAGTATGGCGATTGGAACGAGAAATCCTACCGAGAAACATACATCTATAGCAATGCGAAAGCCCATCTGCGGTCAGTTGTTGAAAATGAAAAAGAAACGGAAACCACGTCTTTTTATAAGCTTGGCTTTTCCACGGCGGAGGGCTGAAGTTTCGGAAAACTATACCCTGGCCACTAACTGCGCTCTCGGAAATAGGTTTCCGAGCCACTCCCCACATACGCACTCGCGGAATTCTATCCCGAGCCACTTCTGGATTGTATGGCGTCCCACAGATTTTATTAGACATGATGACTCAGGCGAATTATTTGCCATAATGAAAGGGCCGTCTTCGGATGTTGTGGCATTTCGGTACATTTGTTTCTATTATGATGTCGTTGAAGTTGCCTCTTTTTGCTTCCCCATATCAATGCCTCTTTTTGCTTCCCCATATCAATGCCTCTTTTAGCATCCCCATATCAATACTCATCTAATGAACTTATTTTATCTCTATAACTAATCTGACTTGTCCTTTCTTAAACATAGCTATCAATATCTCTACACCATCGAAACAAAACATAGCTATCTATATCATCGAAACAATATCCTCATCTTGGATATCAAGAACTAGCATGCAGCCGGGAGCATGGCCAATGATGTTTCCTTCAATCTTACTGGCTACAGACATCGCCGCCACTTGAGCTGTGACACCACAGCCCCAAAAGACAGGAATTTCGTCTTCCGCCAACTCCGTAGCATCACCGTAGTCGGGTTTCCGCAAGTCCTCTATTCCAAGGCGGGCGAGCGCCTCGAAGCCCCAGTCAATTGGTTCGCCGTGTGTTTTGCGGTACTTTCGTGTCACTGCTCTGACCGTTTCCACGTCTTTCACCTTATAGGGCCGCATGCTGACCACATACGGCACGTTCACAAAAATCCCGGCACTGTCCAACATCTTTGACGTTTTGTACATGGAGACGTTCTTCTTGAGCACAGAGTTTTTGGCAGGCAAACCAGCCTGGGCTAGCGCATGCTCGAACGAAAAGGAACAGCCAATAAGAAACGCAACACTCTGCTTGTTCCACAAATCCGAGATGTCGGACGGACTGGCCACCAAAGTTCCCTTTTCATAAACGTTGTAGCTGGGGAAGTCTTTTCTGATGTCAAAAGTGTTGTCGGCCAAAACACGAGAATCGTCGATTTTTGAAAAGTCCCCGGGGCTTGCGGACATCCCTAGTAGCGGCAAAGGGACTGGGTTTCTTATACAGAGATCTCTAAAGTCGCCAGCGACAGCAGAAGGAAGAATGACTAGGTTTGCCTGGGCATAACCGGGACACTGGCCGCTTGTTTGGTTCTGGAACTTCCCGGACCGACAAAGTTCCCTGAATTCCACAGGGTCGACGGACATATTGCGATTAGCGACCTCAGGTTGGTAGGGGTTCTTTTCCCTATATATGGGAGTCTAGCTCATTGATAACGGTGCTCGGAAATATTCATGCGAAAGTTGGTACATAACGCCGCACAGGAAAAATGCATGGCCCGAGATCGTCCCGATTAGGATAAGACGCCCGTCTTCATGCAAGGGTCTAATACGAAAGCAAAGCAACTTTATATTTGGGAAACAGCGTGGATTGAAAACGATACAGCTACTAGGGATACTTAGAGTATAAAGCGGAATTCAGGCGAGTCGTCGCCTGTTTTTCTGGCCTGTTTGCGATCATCCACACCTGAATCCAAGATTTTCTGGTGGATCTCGTTCTTTCTCTTCAAATACAAAGTGCAGATGATGGAAACAGCCGAGGAAACACACAAACAGCCCAACGTAAATTTATGGCCGAGCTCGTAGTCCGGTGGATGGACGTAAACTTGTGGACTGATAGCACCAGAGATATTTCCGAGCGACTGGTTGATGGCAATAGAGGTTCCTCTTTTGAACGAAGGCGCTGTGTTGCTGGCAATCCACGACTCGTTGACTCCAGTTCCAATGTAGAGGGAAAAGCAAATAAGATAGCACGCAAAGTACTTGACTCCGGCCTTATCCACACACAAGAGAATGATGTACCCTGCAATGCCAAAGATGTTGGAGAAAACGATGATGGGTCCTCTAATCTTGGTGCGGTCCGAAATCTCAGCAAAAAACAAGTAGATCAAGCCGGCGAAAATATAAACGGGCACAGTCAAGTACTGGGCTTTCAAAGAATCAAACCCAAGCCCGCTCTTCAATATGATGGGCAAAAAGGTCAGAAATCCGTACAAGCACACATCCTGGCAGAACTGGATCACAACCGAGCACGCTATTTTGAAGTCAAATGCAGAAATAAACTCCTTCTTGTCAAAGTGGCTCGACCCGTCGTAGGTTTTTCTTCTCTCGCTTCTGCTCTTGTAAACGATCATTTCCTCTTGCGAATGAATCATCTCGACGGGACTATCGGGCAAGAAGACTAAGACGCAGATCCCACATACCAAAGACAAGAGTCCTTCGATCAAATAAAGATAGTGCCATGGTTTGAGAGCACCCTTTGGAATTTTGGTGATACCCGTGGCGATGAGTCCACCAAAGGAACTCGATAAGGCAGAGGCAACAAAGTAGTAGGAAGTTCTGCGGCCGATCTCGTCAGGAAGATAGTAGTCCGTGGCGATGAGAGTCATACAGCTGAAGAAGGAGCCTTCGAAAAACCCAAGAAGCAACCGCATGGCAACTAGAGACCCATAGCTTCTTACAAACAAGGTGAATATCGAGATAATTGACCAGCAGATTATCATTCCACCCATGTAGTATCTGGGTTTGTTGAACTTCCTCATCAACCAGACACCTGGCAACATCACAGGAAGGTATGTCGCATACACAAGACTCACGGCGTTCGAGTACTGGTGGCTGGTAAGATTGAGATCTTTGGCCATACCAGCAACATTGGCATTCCCAATGTTGGACCTGTCCAACGCGGAAAAGAAGTAGGCGGCGCAGAAAAGCGGCATGATTTTCCAATCAAACTTTTGCAAGAGCCTGCGTTCAGCCTTGACGTCGAATGGTTCTTCGACAGACTCAATCTGTCCCTCACTCACTTCCACCTCAAGGGTGTTGTTTAATGTCTTCGTGTCCTTTTCTTGCATCTGAAAGTACTTTTTTTTCTTGTTCGAAATCAGAACTATCAGGGTCTATAGATATACTTGCAATCACGCCCGATTAGATAACGCAGATAACACCGTTATGAGCCCGATAACGTCAACATTGCGCGCATCCATCAACGTATCACTCGGAAATAGGTTTCCTGCCCCTCAGAGGTGGAAAGATAGCAACTGGAGCCGTCGGAGATTACCAAATTAGTCCTGATAAAGCGATTCGTAGGAAGAAAACAAGGAGGACCAATCGTTGTTCTCTGTGGTGGTGAAAACGGGGGGCCCGCCCAACCCCGCCAATTCTTCTAGATTTGCGTAGCTCGCTTCCCAGCCTGAAGATGGTAGATCCGTGGGGGGATCCAGATCTTCGGTGTTAATCATTGATATGATTGAATTTCCCTGGACAAGAAACCCGTCGTCGAGGGTCTGTTTTTTCTCTAGAAAGCGGGAAAATAGATCGTGGTAACTGACCTTGTACTCGTTCTTCAATGTGAGCCTCACCTTATTGTACGATCTTTCCGAAAGCTTCCAAGTCTTAGATGAGAGCTTGAGAACCGTCATGAACTCGAAAAAATAGTCCTCGAGGCTGACGTCTTGGATCAAGCCCCCACCACTACTGGACAAGAGAATGATGGAAACACACATGATGCAAGAATACAGAATGAGAAACGAACATCGTTGAAAACCATGGGAGCCGACGAAAGAGCGGATTGCCGTGTGCAAATCTTTGATCACTACTTCACACACTTTCATGGCGTTCTGGCTGTCCTTGAAGCCTCTAGTTTCCTCAATGAACGGACGGTTCAAGCAAAGCAACACAATATAATAAAAAAATCTCATGAACATCTTGGTGTGGTCATGCCCGTGTTTCGCCAAATCTTCGGTGTCCCATTGCATGATGGGAGGCAAGTTTTGCCTCCAATTGGCGATTTTCTTGTTATACTCTTCCAAGAGAAGAATTCTTTGGCGCATGCCCCTTTGCTCCTTGGCTCTCTTACTTGGAAATACTCGCAGGAGCATTTCATCGGAGATGGCCACCAAATCAATCATGTTCTTAAGTGGATTGGATACATCAATGTACAAGGGTGCTTTGCATGATGCTGTGCCCGGGTATGTGTAATCGTCTATCCAATCAATGGCAGGCATATTGATGGAGCCTGAGATGGTAGAGTCGTCTGTTTTCAACGTCCAGGGCCGGCCAAGAATGAGACTGAGAAACCTGTCGACCATAAACGATCCCCAGAAGATTCTGCTCCGGACACTGATGGTTATGTCGCTCACTTCCTCGTCTTGCTTCACCAACCAATTTTCTGGGCTCAAGTGAAACCCAATACCAAAACCCACACGGAAACCGTCTCCAGATAGGATCCAGCCACTGTTGATTTTCCCGTTGTAGACATCATACAAGCCCAAAAGCAAGTATGCCTGAAGCGAACTGATGGTGGGATAATCTGTCAACTTCATCAAGGACTCTCTAGCAGTGGTGTAAAATTCGCCTGCCCTTTTATTTATGTGGGGATCCTCCGACACCAGGGCGCCCATAGCACAAATGGCATAAACTAGCTCGGCAGAACTATACACTCCGTTTGATTTGGGGCTGAAGAAGTCGAGCAAAAACGCCTCACGGAAAACGAACAGATGCATGTCTGGATACTGCCATTTGAAGAAAAGCTTGATGCAATCTACAAGAACCGGATCGGAGTTCAAAGACGCCACTTTCGATGCCTCGGCCTGGATTTTCTCCGTGTCAAACACACTGGTGGGCCCGTAAACGGCGACAGAAAGATTCTCGTCGTTGGCAAAGTTGTTCGCCTGAAGATACTTGCCTTGTATAGTCGGGAGAATCGGCTGGGCGCTGGAAGACGCTTCTCTACTTGTTGGATCCTCAAGAACACCTGTCGTGTCTGGATCTAGCAATCTGGTCGTGGCATCGAGGTTTCCTCGGACTTGCTTGATCAACTTCTCGTACTGGGCTACTTTGGACTCGAGCTCCTCCAAGTACTTGATGCGGTATCGGTCCTTCCGCTTATCTGTGGGCAAAACGACACACTCTTGTCCGTCCTTGTAGCAATTGTAGCACGGCAGCGTCTCATGGACATTGCACTTGACTTTCCGGCTCCGACAGTATGTGCATGCGAGAGTGACTCTCTTTCTCTGTTTCTGCGCAGACATGTCAGAAAGCAGTTAAAAAAACAGTAGCGAGGAAGAAAAATAGGAACAATAGTAGTGAGAGCAGGATAATGCCTGCTGCATGCAATGCATTTAGTGGGGTATACCTATTATGGCTGTGATAAGGTGTGGCACGACCAACATGATCTGCCGGATATAGGTTTCCGGAGGTGCGCAGCCAGAATACGAGGCCAATCAATTACGAAGTCTGTGTGGCTTCTTCTCGTGCATCAATGAGTCATGTAGTTGAATGCAAGTGACGAATGATAATTGCTCTAAATGGACTGAATAGTCTAGATTCGAACGGAAAGGAAAGAAAACTTCTTGAAGTATTCAAAGCTCTAGGACAATGACAGATTACACTTGACCAAGACGTGTTCTTCTTGTATTTGTGTCTAGGTTATACGGATTATTTTGTTCCTAATATGAATCAATTTATCTTAGAGCCGGTTTTGCTGGATGAATAAATTTAGGTTGCATGTAGACGTTTCTGGAAGTTTCAGGCGGATGTTTCTGCTAGTGACTTCAACTGGGCCAGAACCGTGTTTTCGTCCTCCAACATAGCCCAATGGCTGACGTTTTCAACCAACACAACTTTCTTTCTGGCCTGAATGGCATCGAAGGCTAACGCTGTGTCCTTGTACGGAGTCACAGGATCTTCCTTTCCTAGAAGAAGCAAAACCGGAACGTCGATCTTATCATAATAGGCTTGAAACTCTTTTTCGTGAGAGCATGAACTTATGAGAGCCACACAATTGGCAGAAAATCCAGAAACAGACAGCGACATCACCATCAGGTGGAGCAACGAGCGTTTCATGTTGGAGCACTTGGCGCCAACTGCGTGGAATGCCATGAAGTCAGCTGTCAGCTCCAAATTCTTAGCATCGGTAACTCTGCTAAGAAACTCTTCAAATCCAGGCTTGGCGGCAGCAGAAGGGTGAATAGGCGATATCAACGCACATGCCTGGATATCTATTCCTTCGGGTTTTTCTGCCGCCAAGTAATTCACCACCATTCCAGACATCGAATGGCCCACAAGTACCAAACGCTTTTGCAAAGCGCCTGTTTCCTCCAAGACTTGCAAAACATGCGAGCCAATCTCCTTGATGGAAAGCGACTCTGTTTTTAGCTCCGTTTGGCCTGCTCCTGGATTATCAATCAACAAGCAACCATAGTCTTTCGATAAGGTGAGACCAACAGGATAAAAGGCATGAAGCGTGAGCCCGAGACCATGTATAAAGACGAAAACTGTCAGCGACTCAGGGTTCAAGTATTTGTAGAAATTTTTCTCTTTCGTGAAAGGCATTAAAGAATATGAGTAGTGACTGAGATGGTGGGGTGAGTCGCAAGGTCCGGGGTAATAGAGCAAGTCACGAGATTCTGGAGTAGAGGAAAAAAACGGTGGGAAAAAGGAATCAGAGCTGAGAAACAAGAAAGATATTAGTGGTACGAATCGTGATGGAGAGCAAGCTTGCCCTAGATGGTTTATTCTACTGCATCTTTTCCCTAGCCAGTTTTTCCGGGCCCCACCTATGGTGAAGCAAGATAATGCACGTCATGCATACGGCGATACCTTTCCATACATGAGATTCTCGTTACACATATACACCTATACATCTACACTTTCAATTCTTCTTCTTCTTCTTCGTCTGATGAAACAGTGTCCCGGAGCTTCTTGTCGGCAGCCAAAGTTTGGGCAAACTTACTTCTCTCTCTAATTTGGGGGCCCTTCCAGTAGAAAATGTAGATTGGAATCGAAACCAAAAAGGCAATGCATCCCAAAAGAGTGCTTGCCCACTGCAAATGTCTTTTCTTGCCAATGTTAGTGTACATTGGCTCAGAATACATGGCAGCGATACCGGCCAAAAAATCACGGGCAAAGCCGTTTCCTCCTGTGGCTGAAGCGGAATATGGTCCGTATGCGGCAACCATATAGTCGATGGTGGACATGTAGATGCTATAGTTTGCAATTGCAATTAGAACTGTGAAAATCATAGGGGCAATCCACGGGTTATAGTGAGGGCCCATACTGGTCCAAGCAAAACCAAATAAGCCAATGGCTTCTAGCGGTGCAATGAACAAAAGTAAAAGAAGTCTTCTTTCGGCAAAACGGCTTCCGTCTCCGTACGTCTTGATAATCTGTCTCTGTCTCCATACATCGGGGAGATGAATACCGTATGCAAGGAGATAGCCAATGACAATGGGCACAAAAGCAAGGCCGCAGGCAGTGGTGGAGAAGTTCCATTGTTTGTAAACTAGCGTGAACGACTCCATGCAAACGAAAATCAAAGCGTCGGAGAAACCAGAAAGAAGAGAGAGACACAAGACAATTGGCTCTTTCAAGAACATCTCGAATGGACGACGCCAGATCCGAAGCACCTCTCCAAACGACATCTTGTGGCCGTAGATCTCGCCTGGTCCGTAGATATTATCATCTTCGCCGGACTCTCTTCTTCTCTTGGCCTCTCTGTCTATAAGAGCCGTGGCTCTGGTCTCGGAAACGAGGAAAAAGTGGGCAATCTGAACAACACCGCCAAATATTAGCTGGATCCAAAAGTTCCATCTGAAAGAAAGGTGTTCTTGTGCTAGACCACCAAAAATGGGCCCTAGCGCAGACCCTCCGACACTAGAAAGAACAACAAATGCCACAGCAAACCCTTGGTCGTTTGCCTCCCACATGTCGGCAGTCATACCCAAAGTGACAGAACCACCAGCGGAAGAGAGACCGCCAAGAGACCTTGCAACAACAATAGCACCGAAGTTAGGAGCCAAACCTCCCAAAATCTGCCATATGTTGACGAAAAATAAACTCAACTGCATGATCGGCCAACGGCCGTATTCCTCGGACCACGGGGCCCAAAGCTCACACCCGAAAGCGTAACAAATAAGGAACATCATCTGACTGACTCTAACTTTTTGGACTTCGATGTTCCATTTTTCAGCAATTAAGGGAATGGCGTTGGGGTATATGCTTGTGTTGAAGTTCATAGATACTTGCACGGCGAAAATCACCGACAAAATCATCCATTTCTTGTAGGTTGGGAAGCAAAACCCCAACTTGTCATAACAGTCCTTCTCACGAAGCTCTCTTCTACCATCTTCATGTAGAATGCCAGGAAATCTCTTGGAGGTGCGGCGGCGAAATACCGGCGGTCTGGATTTATTACTGTTGTCGGGCGCTGTCACTTTTGTTTGTTTCTTGGCAGGTGTAAAATAATCTTCTTGATGTGAGACATCGACAGGCTTATCAGCCATAGGGCTTTCGGGAAGGGTTTTCTCCGGTTCGGAATGAGAAGCGCTTTCCATTGTTTTTTCTTCTCTTCTCCACATTATCAACGATAAGATGCATTATATATACTCATCGGGGGGATCGGGTCATATATTACACATGGCCATTATCTGCAAGTTTTGCTATTTATGAAAATTGCTACGCACAAAAGAGTAACGAGATTCGGAAAAGTGTCAAAATGGCCGCTTAAGCATTCACATTTAAGCGAGGCCTTCTCTCTTCTTCGGATCTTGGCATAGACGATTCGGATTGCCATGATTGCTTTCTTTTTCCTTCTTTTTGCTCGCTTGCGACATCAACTCCACTCGAGCGAATTTTTATCAAACTTCGATTGCTCCAAAAGTAGAGCCAAATTGTGTGCGCATTACGCAACAATGCATCAGAAAGCAACATTGATAGGGTCCTATGCACTCCGTGCGTCACTTTCTTCCGGTGGCACTATACGGAAAATCTATATTTCTCCTACGAATGACCACATGTACTAGTGCGTACTGGGAGTTAAGCTTATGCTCTAGCATTTCCGTACTCTATATCTTCACAACTGTAACTCATCAGCTGAAAAACTTCGACATGGCCTTCTTCTGCTTCTCTTTGCGGATCTTAGCCAAGTTTTTCACATCCTGAAGACCTTTCAACACTGCAGCGTCGTTAGGAGAGAACTGGAGGGCACTTTCAAACGCCTTCTCCGCATTGTCCTCGTCCTTCACAAGAAGATAACCCGAACCCTTTCTGTACCATGCCTTGGCCTTTCCTTTTTCGTCTATTTCTGGGAATGCAAGAGCTTCGTCGGCAGCCTTGATTGCCTTCTTTCCGTCCTTCATCTTCAAGGCAGCCAATGCCGCGTTCAAAGAACACGAAATGCTCAAATTGGCCTTTTCCTTAGTGTGCTCCTCCGATAATTCTTCCGGATAGAAGTCATTTAAGTAACCCGCAGCCTTCGAGTACTTTTCATACGCCTTGTCCACGCGGCCCTCTTTCAAGAGCTTGGTACCCAAGTCTTTCAAAAAGTTCACAGCAGCAAACACAGACTCGGGCTTGCTTGCATCGACTTTATCGTCGTCGGCCATGATCTCTTCATAAATGTCTCCTGTTCCGTCGTCGGCCACAGTATTGGTCTCTGGCTCGTAGTCGGCAGGAAGCTCACCACAGTCTGCAATCACCCAGTCTTCCACCGGCTTGTCGTTAGCGCCCTTTTCGCATCTTTCCATTTGGCGCACAATGGATTTTCCTTGGATCACCTCACCAAACACCACATGCTTGCCGTTCAAGTGCGGCGTAGGCACCGTGGTGATGAAAAATTGTGACCCGTTTGTGTTGGGACCGGCATTGGCCATGGACAACAAGAATGGCTTGTCATGGGTCAACTTGAAGTTTTCATCTTCAAACTTTTCGCCGTAAATGGACTCGCCACCAACACCTGTGCCGTGTGTGAAATCACCACCTTGGCACATGAAGTCTTTGATCACACGATGGAAGATGCTTCCTTTGTAGTGAAGAGGTTTTCCAGAAACGGAAGAATTGCCTTTTTCACCAGTGGCTAAGGCACGGAAGTTTTCTGCTGTTTTGGGCACCACATCGTTGTACAACTTGAAAACAATTCTGCCTTTTGGCTTGCCGCCAGCGGTTATATCGAAAAAAACTTTGGACATGCTATTGTTGGGGAAAATTAGCTTCACTAAATTGTCTTAGTAGGCGTATATATATGTGCATGGAGATTGTGCGGCGGAGTGTACATAGAAGGCGATGGAAACGCTGCGACATTTTGTCTCACAGTGGCCATAGGTATGTTATTTAAACAATATGATATAAGTTTACATGATGAGCCAGTTAGTGTTTTCGTCCGAAGAGATTAAACATGAAAAGCATCTCTTCGACATTTCTTTACCGTTGTTTTTTTTTTATTTTTTTTTTTGAAAAGTGCTTTTGTAGTATTACCCACATACACCAAAGAGCGAGTATTATGAGACATTTAAACAATGGAAAGAACTCAAGCATCCAGTAAGGCAGCAAATGTTTATTTATGGACTATATTTACTATTTTGAAATCATTCTTACTTCTGCTTCCACTAAGAGTCTATTACCTTCTTACTTTCAAGCATGACTTGAACTAACCGGTGTCGATTTGATCAATCTCTCTACTACATCAAATAAGCCATAGCGATTCATCATAATATTTTGCCTAGAAATGATTACCTTCTCCACTTAGTACAGTATGCATAGCCCGCTACGTGCCGGGTATTTCCAAGACTTTAAAAAAAATTGAAGTGACAACTTTGCTGTGTTCAAGCGACGTTACAATCTTAGGTGGTTGGGATTCTCCAATAGCATGAGAAAGCAGACGTGAATTGAGGTAAGCGAACGAAAATACCAAGCCCACATAAACAAATCCAAATAATACACAAATGCACCGTGAAAGTCGGCGAACGCAACAGACACCAGGTCAACTTAATCCACAAAAGATAGCCGATTAACTGAATATAAACCAATTTAGCTTACACAATGCAGACCAGATTAAGCCAAGATTAGGTGAAAAGGCTATCTACCCAATGCCAAACCTCTTATTGTGGTCTGATTGGATCAAAATAAGGATGCGCCATCGCCTCTTTAGCGGTAAGTCTCTCCTGATGATCGTAGCGCAAAAGCTTATCGATGAAATCAAGAAACTCGTCGCTCACGAGGTGCTTGTTGTTGTCATTGATAAAACGCTTCCAAGGACGTCTGTTGTAGTAGCCCAAATCCTCGTATTCCTCGCTAAGCGTAAGTTCGTACTTTTGCAAATAACGGTGGAGCTCGTCGGAGCCCAAAACACGCACAATTTGCACCAATTGGTCAGTGTTGGATTTGCCATGGAAGAATGGCTCCTTCTTAAACACAATCGACGCAAGCACACAGCCAAAAGACCACAAGTCAAGCGAATAGTCATACAAGCGGAAATCCACGAGCAACTCTGGGCCCTTGAAGTACCTCGACGCCACGCGCACATTATACTCTGTTCCTGGATGATAGTACTCAGCCAACCCCCAATCAATGAGCTTCAAAACTTTGCGGTTGTGGTCGATCATCACATTGTGAGGTTTCACATCTCTGTGCATGATGCCCATCGAGTGGGAGTAGTCAAGCGCTTTCAAAAGCTCGTACATGTAGAAGCGGATGTCGTGATCCGTGAAAGTCGGGTACAACGTGCGGAAATCGATGTTGTCGACATGTTCAAAGATAAGAGCCGGCGTTTTCAGCTGAGGCTCGCGGACCGTGTCCAACAATGCAACAATGTTGGGGCCACCCACCAAGTTCTTCAAGATCAGGATTTCCCGCTTGATCTTCTTCCTCTTGACCGGCTTCAAAACCTTGATCACACACTTGTTTCCCGTGGTCAAGTCCACGCCCAAAAACACCTCCGAGTACTTCCCTCGGCCGAGTTTTTTGATCACCTCGTACTTTTCCTGCGAGTTCCACTTGATGTTGATATTCTCATAGTCCCAGTACATCTGCGGCTTTGACGCTAGCACATCAGTGTAGACTTTGGATACTGACGACACGGACATTTTGCTTTTTGGTGGTTTGCGACAGCAAGCAAATATTAGTAGCAGAAAAGTTAGTAGAAGGAGGAGATGCTTGACTCTGCTCGCACGCAACAATGTAATGGAGCTGATTCCGTAGTCAGCACTAGATTCTTTTTATGGAAAGTGCAGCTCCACTTCACCAGATGTTTTGGGGCGGCGCACGACCCCGGAGGTTGAGATGTAGCAAGAGCATAGACATACCGTCTGAAAAATACAAGCTCTATGTTGATATGTTGAAGTAGAAGGAAAAGGTGACTTTCGTCTTCTGTTTTGGAAGCGGGAATGATAGGGCGTTCTGATGTTTTTCTATTTTCTCCTGTTCCCTCATTCTCGATTCTCATATTTCTTCTCACTTCTCTTTTCTTCTCTTGTTCTATTATCTATTTCTGTATTGTTTTCTTTCCGCTTATCATCTGTTCTTTAGATATACTTAGTGGATGGGGTATTTAATATTTACGCAATTTGCTGTATCGGTTTGTCATTCGCACCAAAGGTATATTACCATTGCCTATAGTGAGATTCGGCCATGACCAATCAAATTTTGTCCCACGGACTTGTAATTCAAGTGTTTAGCAACTAAGAAAGTGATTGATGAAAATTGTGGTCGATCAATTTCAAGAACGGTTCTATAATACGGACAGAAGCGTTCAATAGAATAGCAGAGGAAGCAAACCTTAGAACAACTCATACTATGTGATGACATGACCTGCTGATAAAACGATTGCCGTTTGATTTTTGATCACATACGGCCATATTGGCTCATGATTCGTTTTCGTCTTTACTCTGTGTCTGTAGCCATGCATTAGATTCAAAGAGAACATTTCTTTTCAGCTTGTCGTCCGCTCTTGCAAGAGAAGAACGACACTAATTCAAATTTCCTTACAATCATGATCAATTCGGCATCTATTTTTTAGCCAATGAGAAAGAAGATCCAGAAAACAATCAACCTAAAGCTCTCTGACGACAGCCACAGTTGAAGGACTTCCAAGCTTACCTATTGAAACTTTATATCGTAGAAAAACCAATCTTCCAATATTCGCCAGCGAGACTTAGACATTTAAGCTACATACCAATTGTTCCAGTTTTAGATATTTGTATGTTGAAATTCAGGGCAACTTATTAAGTTTCTGTGGAGGCAAAACTTGGCCACTGTGGTACGACACATGGTGTGGGCAACTTTACGCGAAACATCATGCATAATGGCCAACTTTTAGCCGGACAGGGAAGTGGCTTTTCCATAATTATCAGCTGTGCTGAGAACAATACAACAAAGAGAAAGATTCTAATCACTTTTACAAGGCTTAATTTATAGTACTTCACTGCTATTATGACATTTTTGATCGTAATAGTCTCCAAATATGTACCAATTAAGAAAGACGGAATCATAAAAACGCAGAAAAACAAAGCTTGTATTGGAGAAGTTCAATCCCCTCATGTAACTGATGCAGTTGTGTTTCTTCGTATTGGACAGAGATACAGGAAGTGCATATATACCAATAATTTCGACGTCAGACGATGGTAGTATAAAACGCGATTATGTTCCACTGCACTTAACGATCATGACTCTCAGACTTTTACATACAGCGAATTGCCTTCACTATGATCTCACCTTCACTGTGGATCCTAAAAGTGAAGAATTCCAGTGTGATGAGGTGATTTCGCTTGAAATCGTGAAAGCGAGCGATAGTCTCGAATTGAACGTTCAAAATTTGAAAATCACCTCGGCAAAATGGAATGGTACCGCAGTGGATTTCTCAATTGACGAGCTGAAACACCTCTTGGTTATTCACAAGGAATTGGTTGTTGGCGATAAGGCAGACTTATCGGTTCTGTGTGCAGGAACCTTCAGCCATGACATGTACGGAGTCTACAAGTCGTCCTACGAGGATGAGGACGATGATGGAGAAGAAGAAAACGATGAAGAGGGTCTGGTTAAAGACGATACTAGCGATTCTGGTGGTGTGGAGAAGTTGGATGCAGCTGAAAACTCCAATGCGAATCTCACTCTGGCCTTATCGGCTATGGCATTGTCTAACGAGAAGGCTCCAACAGAAAATGCAGAAGAAGATTCTGCCGAGGATAACTACCTAGTTTCAACACAATTTGAGCCAATTGGCGCCAGGCGTGCTTTTCCATGTATTGACGATCCGGCTAGAAAATCTCATTTCACCATCACTTTGGTTCATCCAACGGCTTTGGTGGCGTTGCTGAATAGCCCTGTGGCAGAAACCCAGAGCATAGACAGCTTCTGGATGCGTACCAAGTTCGAAAAGTCGCCCCTCATGTCAACGTACTTAGTTGCCTTTGTTGTTGGAGACCTTGAAAGCTTGAAAAGTGACAAATATCCAATGACCGTCTGGACGCTTCCTGGCGGAGCGGAAGATGCTTATTTTGCTCTCGAGGCGGCTGAACAGTGCTTGCCTTTCTATGAAGAGATCTTCGACTACAAGCTTCCGTTGAAGAAATTGGACTTGGTGGCCATACCCGATTTCGCCAAAAGTGCAATGGAAAACTTTGGCTTGATTACCTTCAAAGAATCAGACTTGCTTATTGGTGCCAATGCCGCTCAGTATCGGAAAGAGGTGGCGTTTGAGACAGTTGCTCACGAAATATCGCACCAGTGGTTTGGAAACTTGGTGACCATGGATTTCTGGGACGACCTTTGGCTCAACGAGGGTTTTGCTACTTGGATGCTGTGGTACGCAATGGACCATTTCCACCCAGACTGGAACGTCTGGGAAAATTACATTATTTACACGCTTCTGACTGCATTCCTAGTGGATGGCCGTGCTTCTGCTCATCCAATTATCATGCAGATTAAAAGCTTCAACGATATCGAACAAGCAGGAGATGACATCACTTACAAGAAAGGCTGTGCTATAGTTGTCATGCTTTTCAACTTTTTGGGGAAAGACGTCCTTTTTGCTGGGCTTAGAAAGTACATTCAGAAGTTTGCTTGGGGAAATGCCAAGTCAGCCGACCTCTGGAGTTGTTTGGAGGAAGTAAGTGGAGAGAAAATTGATAGTTTGATGGAGTGTTGGGTATCAAGACCGGGCTATCCTATTATTTCTGTGGAGGAGTTGGAGAATGGTAAATTGAGGTTGACGCAGAAAAGATATCTTTCTTCTGGTGAAACCGATAACCAATGCAAGCCATACATTATTCCTTTGACTATTGAGTCGTCTGAGGGGCCTCTCAAATTGGTATTTGACGACGAAACGATGGAATTGCAAGTTCCTGAGGGCTCGTATTATTTGAACCCTGACCACTTTGGATATTATGTGACATCATATCCTTCGACACGGTGGGTAGAACTTGCCAAATTGGAAACATCAACCAAGGACCGCATTGGAACACTTTTAGACTGCGAAATGGCATCTTCTGCGGGAGAAATCCTGGTCATTCCTTTCCTTCAGCTTGCAGAGCAATTTGCAACTATCGAAAATGCAACCTTATTCGATGCCATCATTGAGAGCTACTTTGATCTCATGGATGCGTTCCTAGCTGATGAAAAATTGTGGACTGGACTCTGCAATTTCGGACAGTCTATGATCGAGAAGCATGTTTCGTCGTGTTACGTGAAATCAGAAGATGACTCCGATAATGACTCTCAGTTCAAGGGTTCTGTTCTCCGTTTTGCTGCGTTTGTAAGAGCACCAGAGATCAACCAGTACTGTGATGATCAATACAGCGATTTTATCGACAATGATGAGCTTTTGGATCCAGAAGAGGCTAGGATTATCTTCAGAAATATAGTTCGGAGAAGAGATGGTGAATCCTGGAACAGTTTGTGGGAGGTGTTCCAGAAGGAAAAGGATGAGTACACTAAAGAGGATATTCTTGCCAGTCTTGGAAACACTGGGGACAAGGAAGTCTTACTGACGTATCTTGACTACATTTTACATTCAGAATTGATAAAGCCGCAGGATATGCTGATGTGTTTAGTATCTATTTCGAACACATTGACAGGGGTTGATCTATTGTGGAAATGGTTACGTGAAAATTGGGATGAGCTCTCTACCAAATTGGAGAAAGGATCGGTGATCCACTTAGCAGTGATTGGATCATGTATTGGTAGTCTTTGTACTGAAGAACATTTGAAGCAGCTCAACTCGTTCTTTGCTGACAAAGATGAAGTCTTCGAAAGCATGGTTACCAACTTGAAAGAAAAGGTTAAATCCAAAATTGCCAAGTTCGAGAGAAACAAGATTCCTGTGACAGAATGGCTTGCAGGAAGAAATCTTCTTGTGGACTAAATCTAGTGCTTTGGATTAATAGAACATTCGCTTGAAGCGGAAGTCAACCCAATCATCTTACAAGTAGTATTCGTAGCGAGTCAATCGTAGCAAGACAATCATTTGTCTTACCTTGAGAGTTAATTGTACAAAACACTGATAGCTGGGCCTTTATTGGCATTTTTGCCTTGTGCTTTAGTTTGGCCAAAGCAAACAGGTTTGATAGTTACAGTAATCCTAGCTTCTACTGGCAATTCTTCGAAACCTTAAGCTATTTGTAGTATTACAGTGACTTTGAATATACGAAAATTCGACGTCGACCTATACATACCATTCATTAAATTATGTGGCACAGCTCCCTAAATATTGAGATTCCCAAAGCTTCCGCCGAGCTTGTCCATTGAGCTTTTCTCCTTCTTTCTACGAGCAGCGGTCTTACTTTTGGAAACACTGTCTGCCGCTTCTTGAATGGCCTTGAGGCGATCGTTTTTCTTGACCAACCTACGGCCGCCCTTCTCCAACTCATAGTTGTCCAAGAAGTCATCAAGCATGCCTTCGAAATCCAGACGTTCCTTTTTAATGTCGAATTCTTCAGGGGTTTTTTCGTCTTCATCCTCTTCAAACTTCTTGGCGAGTTGTTCGTACCGATCATCCAACAACGTGAGGCCTTCGCTTCTGAACAAAGCAGAAGATGTCATGGAAAAAGACGTGGTATCTGTCATGGCACCCATCTTCTTTCTGATCTTGTTTTTTGGTTTCTTCTTTCCTCCAATGGCCGGAAGCTCACCTAAAGTGTCTGCATTTTCGTTCTCGTCCTCGAAATCGTCGTCCGAATCCCAGTCATTAGCTGTGTTTTTCGTGGCATTCTTGTATTTTTGAAAATCTTTCTCCCATAAATTGCTCTGTAACTGGACACCCTCAAAGTCCTCGGGGGCTTCTCCCTCATTATATGGATTTTCCAACTCGACAGGCTCGGGCTCGTTCTCCAGGTTATATTGCTCATACTCATCTTCGTAGTTATCAAGATCCCACTCATCGTAATCGCCATCTGAACCATAGTAAAACTCCTCTTCGTCCTCGACTTCACCACTTTGCAATAAATCGGCGAAAATGTCGTCATCATCTTGTGCCTCTCCTTCGATATAAGCCTCGTCTTCAAGTGCTTCCAAAACCTCTCGTAATCTAGGATCCATTTCTGGATTGAAACCTTGGAGCTCACGAGGAATGTTCTCAAGCACATCATGTGTCACTTTCCGGGTCTTTTCAGAAGGTAGCGAGTCCTTAAGAAGGTCCTCGATGTTTTTCTTCTGCGGCTTTGTCTCTGCTCCAGCTTCGATGAAAACTGCATCTGCCGCTTTTCCAATGGGCTTCAAATGTTGCATGTAGTCGTACTTGGAGTCATCAAAAAAGATACCGTACTGTGCTGCAAGCCCCTCATTTTCCCTGATGCTTTTGATTTCACTTGGGGTCAAGTTTTTTTCCAATTCCGCCGTGGTGAAGATTTTCTTGCTTTTGGCCTGCGGCTCCTTTTTGTTTTTCACAGGCACCAAAACATGTCTCGAGGCGTCATTGTCAAAATATAGAGAGTCCTCGTGCGATCTGTGAACGACGCTAAATGTCTGGGCCGATTTTTTGTCGAATTTCCGTCTACCCATGTTTAAGAAGAAGTAGTCATCTCACAAATTTGTGCTACATCTCATCTCAGGCCTGCAGGACAGATAAGCATAGTAGTGGGGAGGTTGGATTCGACATCTAAATATTACAAAAGCTTGCGATTGATGAACCGGTAGTTTAAAAGAAAAAAAAATTTAAAGTACGGTAAGTCTTATTCGTGCTCATTCAGGCCGCTTGCACCTTTGTGCTGATTTTGTTAAGTGCGAGTGTACTTAAGTTACTCTACTAATACTCGCAATGGAGAGAATATTTTTTATGTTGTCGAAAGTTTAAGTAAAATTTTAAGACCCGTGCGTATTTCCGTCTTCAAGCTTGAACGGGGGGAGTTGACTAAAAGTTTTCAATATAGAATGAGGCCTTATGCAAGTAAGTAATGGGTCTGTTATTGGAGATTATTAGATGGGCTAGATGGGCCTTACTTCTTCTAGCTCAAGACGAATGTTGATGGTCTTGTGTATCATTATGCATTTTCTTGAGGTGGTACATTCATTTTAGAAGGTAATTATCTCAGTTAATCCTTAATGCACCATCTCCAAACTTTATGCAATCTTCGAATCTTAATTTATACTTTGCAATCCTCGAATGTTAATGTTCGGTTTATTTTGTGCATTGGACGTTACCCAGTATGTGGTAACACCCATAATGCTCTATATAGCTTGAATGAAGCCATCTAAATACTTCTCTCTTCATAATTCTTTCTCACCTAGTGATCGTGTCTGCCCTCTGAATCTTCAACTATAGTCTTCCAGTTGCTCCACCAAATGCAAGCGCATTCACAGAAAGCCAAAAAGGCCACTCCAGAAATAAGACCGAGCCATAAGCCCCGCAACTCCAAACCAGCCCAAAAAGCAAGCAAATATCCCAATGGCAAGGCGATGGCATAGTATGCCACTAAATTGAAGCATGAACCAAGCTTCTGGCGGCCCTGACCACGCAACACACCTGCTCCAAGCACATTAATGCCGTCGCAGAGTTGGTTGACCGCCACAAGCGTGAGAATCTTCTTTCCCTCGAGCAAAACAGTTTCATCAGTCGTGAACACCGAAGCAAAAAAGCCTCTGTTGAAGAAAACAACACTAAAGTTGAAAAGCGATATGGCTGCACCATACAAGAACGACACACGGGTGACTGTTCGGGCAGCAGCAATGTCTTTCATTCCAACAAAGTGACCGATTCGGGTGCTTACACCAACAGCCACAGCAAAAGGAAGCTGGAACGCCAAACTTCCCACATTGGACGCTATAGACTGGGCTGCAAGGGCCTTTGTTCCGAAAGCGGCTGCAAAAATCGTCAACACCTCAAACGCCAAGTATTCTGCTTCCACCATCACCACACCAGGTAATGCCAAGGCCAACATGGGCCGCCAGTTTACAAAGGCCTTTTTCAAATTGAGCCCAGCCCAGCACTTTTTACCATCCACAAAAACAACATACGCCCACAAAAGCAACGCGATGGACCAATATCCGAGAACCAGCGCAATAGGAGCGCCAATGAACCCAAGTCCATATTTTGGGTGCCACACTAAGAGCCAATTGGCAAGGAAGTTCAACGGCACTGCCACCGCCAAAACATACGTTCCCGCATTAAAAATGTGCTGTGCCTGCAAGAAGCGCTTGCCTGTCTCGAAGAATAGCAAACCAGGGGCTCCAAAAAGAAGAATCCGCAAGTATGTCTGGCACATTTCCGCCAAAAGCGGGTCTGGGACCAAATGTTTCAAAATGGCGCCGGACCACCACCACAACGGTGCTAGCGGGAAAATCGTGAGCGCTAAAATCATCAGCGAGCACCGCTGGAAATAGACGCCAACCAAATCAAGCTTTCCGGCACCATATGCTTGAGAACAGAAGGAATCTAGGCACGTGGCCATTCCCTGGTACACAGAAAGACCGGTAATGTTGAAAGAGCAGAGTGCCAAAGAAGCGGCAGCCAATTCTGTTGGTCCGAGCTTTCCCGTCGCATAAATCGACACGATGGACATGAAATACTGGAGGAAAAAAGTCACCACCAAGGGCCCAGACGACTTGGCGATAAAACGAGATTCCTTAGTAGAATCCGTCAGTCGCGTGGTACCATAGGTGCTGTGGTCATAAGCTCCGACTAGCAAAGCTTCTTCGGACATGGAAAGAACGATTTGGAAAGAAGAAAGTACTGATAAGTGTTGAAGTAGTATGTGCAGAAAGACAGATACGAAAACGGTTGTGCGATGCGATAGCCTGCATTTTTATCGGAATTGTTCCTAATGCGGTACGGAATTTCAATCGCCGCTAAGACAAAAGTTACCGAATGCCATGTACTGTCATGGTTATTGTATTTACTTCTTTAGGATAAATAATCTGATGTGTCAAGTTGCTAGTTCGGCTTCTTCCCACAACCAAAACTTCAGTCTGAGTCGAGACTTGATCCAATCCTGTGATCTTCAGATTATAAGGACAAATTCTAACCTTTGTCTGATTAGTTCATCCTCCCACTCAGAAGTACAGATGTCTACTAACAGGCTGGAAACAAAATTGGCCTAGACTAGGAACCCCGACTTCAATGAGCACAATTTCGCCTCTGACAGTATCTTCTGAACTGGTAGTTAACAGGGCCACATCCACACATTAAGTATCATTGCTAAAATACTCACTTATCTGGAAAGTTTCAAATGCAGTAGATTGTATGCTTTCTGTAGACCGATCGGACGGTAAATTTTCTCACTATCACTGGAGCAAACAGAACACATAAAGTGACTTTTCTTTGTCCACTATGAAGCACTTATAAGGTGTGGCGTTTTTGGGAATGCCAAATTGCAATGTGTTTGTAGTTCCTAGTTTCCGTTCCGGATTAGAATTTGTAATGTTGATTGTGTTCTCTCCAGCAGTGACTTGAAGCATGGGTGCAAGCTCAGGCGATGTGAATTTGAGATAAAAGTGGTCGCCGCTCGTTTTGGACGAGACAGTAAATGTGTACGAGATGGGTTTTGTCTCCGAGATCCCATTGTGTATGGCCATACTCTTCTGTGTCTGTTTCTTTTCCGTGCCCTTAGCCTCCTTGTGTTCTCTCTCGCTCGACCCACTAATAGACATGTCACTGATCTCCTGTATTAGGGGCCGGCTTTTGGTTCCCTGGATATCCGTAAGGCTGGGCAAAGTTTCCGAATCGCTCTCCGGTTCAAGCTCCTGCACCAATGCAAGCTGTTCATTCTGCTTCAACTCTTGTAGCCGGGTCTGAAGGCCGTTTTTCAACTCTTCGGGCGAGATTTCGGTGCGTGAAAGTTCGCCTTTGCTCAACATCTTGGGCAAGGAATACTCGCGCTCCAAAACCAAGGCATACATCATCTCGATCGCTTCAATGCACCATTCCACCACTATTAACCGCAAATCCTTATTCAATTGCACCCATTGGAAACACTCACTATTGATGCAACAGTCATACACGAAAGAGGGCACGCCTTTCTTGTCCTTGGCGGTTTTTTCGGGCGAAACAATGATTGGCACCTCCCATTCGTTATTGACGATCTTTGGGAATATTTTCTCCGGCTCAAACTCGTCACTTGGCTTGGGCACTTGCACATCATGGCATATATTTATGAAGACTTTGGTAGAATAGAGATGATCGCCCAGTCCATCCACAATTTTGGTCTTCACCACAAAACCAGGCACGGGATCTAGTTTTATGGGCTCCTTGTGTTCGTATATAGCCGCCATTGTATAATTTCGGCTGTTGTAGAGAAATGATTGATGATGCCTATGGGTCTTGGGAGGCACGGGTGCAGAGACTTGAGTCGTTTCTTGAGTCGCGAGTCGATTGATTTTGAGTCACTGGAGACTCAAGGCCTGAGCATTTCCTTTCCAATCATTAATTTTTTCCGGATTAATTTTTTCCGGCGCCATCTCTTTCTGTCTTCTTCTCCAATGAACGTGCTTGTTTATTCGGGCCAAGGCACCACAAAAGAATCTGTCAAGCATACCATCGACAGTCTAAGACTCCATCTTTCTCCATACTATGCTGTGGTGCTGGTGTCGGAGTCTGCGCTTTTGAACGACCCGTGGCAGACGAAAACTGCCATGCTTGTCATTCCTGGAGGCGCCGATTTGCCGTACTGTGATGTTTTGAACGGCGAAGGCAACGCCCGTATTTCTCAGTTTGTAAGACGGGGCGGCAAGTTCATTGGTTTTTGTGCTGGCGGGTATTTTGCCGCCAAACGATGTGAATTTGAAGTGGGCGATCCGCAAATGGAGGTCAGCGGCCCCCGCGAACTTGGCTTCTTCCCTGGAACTTGCCGTGGCTGTGTGTACAAGGGCTTTTCTTATGGGTCTCACGAAGGATCGCGAGCAGTGGCCATGAAGACCACCTCGGCTTTGGTGGATGTTCCTGACACAGTCGTCACATACTACAATGGAGGCGGAATGTTTATGGACGCTTCAAAGTATCCTGGCGTCGAGGTTCTTGCGAGATATGTAGGGGAAACAGATGTATCCGATTCGGGTGATATGGCTGCAGTCATTTACACCAAGGTGGGAAAAGGGGACGTTTTGCTATCTGGGACGCATCCAGAGTTCTTACCCTCTTTGATGAAACCAGAAAAGGACGATTTGCACTTCCAGCACGTTGTTTCTGAGCTTGAAAATGAGGATGCTGGCAGACGGCAGTTTCTCAGAGCATGTTTGATCAAATTGGGCCTTAAGGTGAACACTGACGCTGACGCAGGTGTCCCCCGTCTTACGCCCATTTACTTGTCGTCCCATTCCGACCCAAAGAGGGCTCAGGCCATTTTGTCCGATTTGAAAGAGAATATGGACTTTGTCGGCCAAAACACATTCGAAGATGTCCATGACACCTTTGTCATCCATGAGGAAAACGAAGCAGACCACGAGCTTCTGATTCAGGAGGGTGAAGTTCCGGATTCCATAGACGAACTCTGCGAAGCACCTAAACACGTCAAGATTTTCACCTCGGATCTTTTACCAAAAAACGAAGAAACACCGTATTTCAATATGCGTGCTTATTTCGAACACTTGCAAAGGCTTTATAATGCGAACAATGTCCCAGAGAACGAAAGAAGTTTCGGCTCGGTTCTAGCATACGGTGAAGTTGTCACTTCTACCAATACTCTCCTTGATGCCAATCCTCGTTGGTTGCGTTATTTGCCTCCGGGAACAACATTCACAGCAACAACACAAATTGCCGGAAGAGGAAGGGGCGGAAATGTGTGGATCAATCCGAAAGGAGTGATGGCCACTTCGATTCTTTTCAAAGTGCCTAGTGGGCCACAACAAAGCTCCTCTATAGTGACTTTGCAGTACCTCTGCTCTTTGGCGTTTATTGAGCTGGTCTTAGGGTATGGATCTGACATACAGGGCAAGGGATGTGGCTACGAAGATATGCCACTTAAACTCAAATGGCCAAACGACATGTATGCGTTGAAAACTGAGTTTTTTAACTCCTTGGCCGATAAAGATGAGACCAGCTCCACAGTGGAGGGTGATGATCAGAAGTGGGCCAAGATCTCCGGCGCTTTAATCAACTCGCAGTTTTTGAATGGCCAATTCTACCTTGTATGGGGCGGTGGAATCAATGTTTCTAATTCTGCGCCCACTACATCGCTCAATTTGGTTTTGGCAAAGCTCAACGAAATCAGAGCGAAAATGGGACGGCCACCGCTTCCTGCTTTTGAGCATGAGGCTCTTTTGGCCAAACTTGTATTTACTATGGGTCAATTCTACAGTGTTTTCGAACGTCTGGGCTTGAAACCATTTTTGCCGCTTTATTACAAGCGTTGGTTCCACCTGTCGCAGCGGGTTAAGGTTGAGGCAGGAGATGGCCGAAGCAGGGACTGTATTATAAGGGGCATCACTAGTGATTACGGTCTCTTGCTTGCCGAGGACATAAACACTCATGAAACCTTGGAGTTGCAGCCAGACGGAAACTCCTTTGATATCTTCAAAGGTTTGGTGTATAAGAAGCGGTGAAGGTGAAGGTATGCTCCATGTATAATTGTGATACGATACATTCACGATCGCTCGTCTCAAAGGATAAGTTAAATTAATGATGTGCAGCCACTCTAGAATCTTTGTCCACATTCAGTGAATGACCTACAGGTTTATCTAACGCTTTTAAGTCTATATTATTGATAAAGGAGTTTAATATGGGTCTTGTTTAGCAGTGGTATTTTTCACCACTCAGCTCTAGATTAGATTAGAGAAATTCTTTTATTTCTGTGCATGAGCAATGGCAGAAAAGTAGAAAAACAGGGTAATTGCGAAGGAGGTTGGATAATTGCAAGCTAGATAATTGACTTTGGTTGTCATGAACTGGGATTTTAAATGGAATTTGATACATAGAATGTTCAAATATATAATTGTCAAAGCGGCACCTGATCAAATATGCTTCTAACTAATGGGATCTGTTTCTTTGACCCAGATTGTTTAACGTAGAAGAATTCTTAAAAGCACACATCTCTACTGGCTACTTTTCTCATTACGCCGCTTTCGTGATATCCTAATCTAATCTTGGGTGCGACGATGTGAAAACTCCACCTCCAACCACAAAACACGCACCCGTACCTCCTCCGCCTTCTGCCATCTCCACAAGTATGAAAGTCGAGATAAAAGAGTGGCACGGCGTGGCCACGTGGCACTGGGCCGCTTCTCTATCATCGGGCGACGAGCTTTGTGGAATCTGCCGTGTTCCCTTCGAAGGTACTTGTCCCAACTGCAAATACCCAGGCGACGGATGTCCTTTGGTGTTGGGCGAAACTTGTACTCACAACTTCCATCTCCATTGCATTCTCAAGTGGCTCGAGCAGGAATCGTCCAAGGGCCTTTGTCCGATGTGCCGACAGCGGTTCACGGCGAAGGTGATCGAGGGTGTGGGATCAAGAGAGGAATTGGCTGAGCTAGAGAGGATTGTGGCCCAGCGGCGAGCTGAGAGCGAACAGGCGGTGGTGGACGAGTTTGAGCCGTTCGAGGAGTGAATGAATTTTGTTGCTCCAAAGAGATGATCTTCCTGTGGGCTGTGTTCCTACTAGTGAATCATCCAAGTGTCTAAACATGTATACGGCATTGCCGAAACAGAATATGTTTTGTTGTTCTCAAAGTGCTTACAGGCTCTCCAAAAGGCTGGTTTGCAGGACTAAGTTGTCCTAAGAAGAAAGTCAAGATTGCTCTGAGAACTGCTCTGAGAACTGTTCTGAGAACTTTTTTGAGAAGAATGAAAACATTCCAAATAAACGGGAATGCTGGAACGCAATTGATGGGTACCGAACCACTACTTCTAGAAAACTACTGAGAATTCTATCGACGACCAGATCGATGATGCCGGCTGTTCTGGCCGATACCTAAACATGTGGACCCATCGCAATTTTTGCCAGCTATATCCACACAGTATGTCCAGTCAAAAGCCAAATTTCAAATTCTCTGCCCTACGGTTTTTCCTTTAGGATTTTCTTTCCTCACTCATTGCTGGTAACTTCCCTGCTCCAATTGTGAAAGTCTGATGGAAAGGGCCCATTCTTATACACACTCCACCATTAGCCGTACGTGAATCACATTTCCGCGAACTCACTTGGCCAATTAATGTTGCATCTTCTGCTTGGTCCAGCACGGTTTTTGGCGTCTCGGAGTGCTTTCTTGAGCCCTGCAAGAAATTCCCTTCGGCTTGCGCTTTCGGGGGCTTTTTCTTCTGGCTCCAGAGCATTTCTCCACGACCAGCTGGGCTCTTCCCCACAGAAAAGCCCAAAAACCGTTTCTGCCACCGTTCCGCCCGTTTCTTCGCCTGTTTCTACTCCTACTAAGCCTGTTTTCTCTGCTGAAGAGCTTGAGGCCGCCCGTCTTGCGCGTTTGGCTGGGCTTGGCTGGCTTTCCAAGCTCCCAGAAAAATGGATTCCATACTTTGAGCTCATGCGCTTGGAAAAGCCTGTGGGCACATTGTTATTGCTTATTCCGTCGTTCTGGGGAATAACCATGGCGTCATATGGCATCACTGCTTCTTTCCCTGTTTTCGCCTCTGCCATTGGCTTGTTCTCTATCGGAGCTCTAGTCATGAGAGGTGCAGGGTGCACCATCAACGACATTTGGGACAGAAACTTGGACAACCAGGTTGCACGGACGATGGAAAGGCCCATCACAAGTGGGAGAGTTAGTGTGCCTCAGGCTGTCACGTGGATGGTGGCCCAGTGTCTTGTTGGATTGGCTATCTTATTGTCCTTGCCGTTTGAGTGTTTCTACTTGGGTGCCTTGTCCTTGCCGTTTGTCGCCGCATATCCTTTGTTCAAGCGGTTCACCCACTACCCACAGGTTGTTCTTCTGATTTGTTTCAGTTGGGGCTGTTTGCTAGGTTTTCCTGCGGTGGGCGCTGCCCTCAACTTGTGGGTGGCTGGTCCCTTGTTTCTCTCCAACTTCTTGTGGTGCATGATTTACGATACGATTTACGCCCACCAGGACAAAAATTATGACATCAAAGCGGGTATCAAGTCCACTGCTTTGGCCTGGGGTGATAAGACTAAGCCTATTATGTATGCGATGGGATCCTTACAAGTGGCTTCGTTCTTGACTGCTGGAGTTATGAACTCCATGGGCCCTTTCTTCTACTTGACAGCATGCTGGGGCTTTTCCCGTCTCTTCCAGCAAATTAAAAAGGTCAACTTAGACGACCCTAAAAGCTGCTGGGCCGCTTTCACCGGAAACATCCGGACTGGTGAGATCTTATGGCTTGGAATGCTCATTGACTACTTATTGAAGCTCTTTGGTTTCTTGTAAAGAGCTTCAAAATATATGCATCTTCTACAAACTTTCTTTTGATACGTCTTGACGCTCGTTTTCATTGCGCTACTGTCATTGTAACCCTTTTATTTAATATGCATACATCTTAATTACTATGCCCATTACCGTCAACGAACGCATTGTATGTTTTCTCAAAGTCTTGACACACTTCGTGCGTGAACTTTGCTTCCAGCTTCGTCAATATTTTTACCATTGAGAAATGGTTTTTCTGCTTTTCTGTGGCCACAACATGCCGTGCCAAATACTGCCTCACATACGAAAGTGGAAGGTCTTCTGGGAGAATCTGCAAAACTTCTTCCATGGTAAAATACTCATACCCGAAGCGATTCACCATATGTGCTAATAATGAGGACCGAGCTGCAAAATCCTCGACATGCAAATAATATTGAAAGATGGTATTCAAATTTTCCCGTACTTGTTGCGTATCCAACTTGTGATATTGCCTTATTAAATCTTCCCTGATCTGCTCAGTATAAATTAATTTTCTCGGTAGCGGCATAATGTTGTAGATGCAAAACCACTCTGCTGTGGAGCAGTCATGGTGCTCTTCTAATAGATAAGAAATTAAATCTTCACTGCTTTCTGATCCAAAGCTTCTCTTTAAATACGAGAATACTTCGTCATCCAACATGTCCAAACTTGGAAGAGGACTTTTGTGCAATCTCTTCACCACCAACAACTCGTATACTTTCAAATATACCTTCGATAACTCATTGGAGTCGCCCTTCCCGCTGTGTATATGGAAATACTCCATCAATGAGAGCTTTGGCCATTCACTATCACTCAAATTAACATCTCGTTTGAATTGACTAATAGTCATCTTGAGATCCTCCAACTCCTGTTGAAAAGAATCTACTCTTGTCGCAATGTAATTTAATAGTTCATGTAGGAGCTCATCCAAAATTTCATAGTCAATTTCCAGCTTTTCGGTGATGCATTCCAAAAAGCTCTGTTCAATATACTCAATCTTGAGGTATGAAAACTTATGGTCTAAAGTATGAGTTTTGGAGAGTTCCTTTAAGATAAAATGATGCGTGGATTCATGCGATCCTCCTTTGTTTTCTTTCAATAGTTCAAGTCCCTCATCAGGGCGGAGCTTCAAAAGTTCCAATAGCTTCTTTGTGTACTCGTCGCTGTCTGTAATATTGTTCCTAAGCTGGAAGAAGGCAAGCCGAATCAATTCACTTTCAGATTGATTATTTTCATCAAGCTTAGTGGCGAGGTCTTCTTCCGCAAGTAGGTGTAGAATCACGTCTATTATTTCCCTCGCTCTTTCGTTCGCTTTGATACCTGCTTCTTGTTCTGCCCTGTAGAGATGCAAAAGTGACAAGAGCCTGTTCTCCTTTTTATAATATGTGATCAACTTCTCATTTTCGTTATTATCTCCTGCCCACTCGCTTTTTTCCAGGTCAATGAGCGACGCAACCTCAGAATCTTTAGCGCATCCTTTGTACTTGAGAAATCTGAAGTACTGCCAATTTTGACTCATTTCCTTATTGGAATAAGCTGTGTCGATCAACCAAGTTTTGAAGTCATCCTCGAGGGAAAATTTTCCTAATTTGTTAGTTATTTCCAAAATTGCCTTTTCAATCTTGAAGCTTTCCCATGACTCGTCATCATCCGGAAATTCGGGGTACACCAAAAGTAATATTCTGATATCAAAATCGGTTTCGTTGTTTTTCATGCCCAGAATATACTCTTTGAGCTCTTCTATCTTTCCTGTTGTAAGAAGCAAAAGCGTATACGTTTTTTGTGATACGTCTTTATAATGGGAGAAAGACTCCACCTCATTGAGCAAGTCATTCATATCTTCGGCTGATTCGGCCTCTTCTACGGTTCTCATGACTTTTTCATACAAGGGTAGGAAGCTGTCGAGCTGATGCAAGTAGAAAACTGATTTTTCGCTGAAGAAAATCGATCTGGAGCTGGAGTAGTATTTTTTATCTTGGATAACATGGTTATCTGAGGGCAGGTTAAGACTTAAGAGGCCCAGAACTTCCCTATTCACAACATCTAGCACGTATTCAAGTTCTGCAAGATGCAAAGTCTCATTGTGTGCCAAACCAAAGAAGGATTCCAAATCTAGAAACTCACTGAAGACTACTTCCAAAGTTTTTAAGGAGCTGAAATTCAATTTTAGCTTGTCTCCATCCGCACCACTGAAAAGACCAATGACGTAGGGCCACTCAATAGCTAACCCATTTGTCGGGTTTCCTTCGCCGACCCACGTAAGAGTGCCTCTTGTGACATCTCCGAAAGCATTGATGAACATCGCCATAGATGTGGAAGCATCGGAGGCAATTGCAAGGAGATACTCTTCTTCGATTTTGGGTTTATCCTTGGCTTCAAACGGCACAATATGCGGCTTGATGTTTTGTATGTTTTCGGGGTTGTAGTCGAAAAGCGATATTCGACGTGTTTGCTGGAGATCCACCACATCGTAATTTTTCTCGTTCGCTGCCAAGCAGATGTTACTGTAGTTTGCCAGAGTCCCCGCAGCAGAAGAAAATCCCATCACTGCTCCGGAGTAGTTGATATCTCTGAGAAGCTTGACTTTGTCTGGAAGAAATTGCACCACTCTGATTTTCGACGGCGTGTAGGCTATGATCTTGTCGTACTTATTTTTCACCTTTGGGTTGTCTACTTGGGTCAATCGGGACATTTCGTTGACATCTTTAACCTTCCCAATGTGGCATGGTGAAAGCTCAGGTAAACTGAAAGCATGGATTACTCTGTTGGCCAAAGCCAAGCAGAGCTGAATATCTGGGAGGAGCAATAGTTTTTCCACAGGTTTCTGCTCCTCTGCATTCACCGGGAGCTTCAGAAGAAGCATATGCTGGTCGGCATCTTCAAAAAGAAAGTAGTGAAGTAGGTTTCCGTGTGATGTGCCCACATATAAGTTCGACTCAAAAGCAGAGACGCAACAAACAGATTCCAGCGGGTCCAATTCCAAGTCGGGGCTTAGACGAGATATTAGATAGCCATTAGGTAGATTTATCTGTGGAGCGTCCGGATTCTCGGACATGAAGTGATCTGTTCTCTGATAAGAAGTTCGCGCACAAGAATGGACTGGAGCCAAATTGAGGACTGAGAGAGCGAAAGATGAAAACTGTGCACACATGAATATACTTCAAGACCAGAGACCAGAACGAAAAATGTATAATCTCTTAAAGCTAACTTGGTTTTGAATGGGGCCATCTAATAACTATGGACATTGGCTCAGTTGAAAGGAAATTGCCCATATTCGATTTTCGTTAATATTGATTGTAGATACAGCAAGAATACATTAGATAGTTAACTATACAATGTACTCGTGAGTACAAGACGCAATAGATAATAAAGAAGCCTGGCTACAACAAAAAGGGCCTAGATTCAATACTTTGCGCATAGTTTATTGGTGTGTTGGCCGTTAGCTACGACGTTTCAAAACTTCATTGGCGACGGTGCATGATGAAGTGAATTTTGTAGTTGTAAATCCCAAGACTCACTTGCTTCGGTCGTACTATGATTTTACAGTTCAGTCTTTGATGTGGACGAGAGGCTTTGAGCTAGTCACCCTTGCAACAATTCTTTTCATGTGGCCGATATGTATATACAGACAAGTGATCGATTACGAGTCTGTCGTTTCGGCCTTCATATTTCACAAAAGAAAGTCTCCTTCATCTCACATTCTTAGCAACCTTATCTGCTCTCTGGTGGGAATGCGAGATTGTCTCTATGGGCCACATACTCAGAGTCGGCGTATCCTAAAACCTTTTCAATCTCGCTGCTCCGAAGGCCCTTGATCAAATCAATTTCCGTGGAGCTGTAGTTGACACGACAATGGCCCACCTCGACTGCACTTTGCAACACAGTCTCTAACGACTCCAGCCCTGTGCCCAACCGCTTAGGGATCACCTTGATCGACACACATTCGCTCTCATGGAACTGGCCCGTCACTGCCACAACTCCAGCAGGTAAAAGCCCCGCTCTGTCTTTGCGGGTCAAAGCTTCGTAGCAGCCCAGGTCAATGTACAACGAACCTTTAGTACGGAGGCCGTGCAAAAGCCAAAACCGGCGGTCGGACTTGATCTGTTCGTTTTTAGGAAGTGCCACGAATCGCGTGTGGAGCGGAAGACGACCAGCAGAAATCTCCTTGGCCACATGTTGCTCTTGTTCTTGCAGAGTTCCATCTGGCGCATTCTGGATGCTGGCCACGATGTCCAAAATGTACTGTGGTTGAGACGAGAGCGTAACAATGGTGGTAGCACCGACATTCGTAGCCAACTCCGCAGCAATCAATTTCGTGGTCATTCCGCCCGTTCCAACTTTGCTGCCGGCTTCTGTGTCTGTTTTCACTGCAAGCTCATCGATCTTGTCGACGAAAAGTACAGGCTTGGCGTCTGGGTTCGTGCGTGGGTTGTCCGTGTACAAACATGGCACGTCGGTCATTAGAAAGAGATAGTCTGCATGGATCATACCTGCTGTGATGGCCGAAAGCGTGTCATTGTCACCGAATTTGATCTCGGCCACGGACAAGGTGTCGTTTTCGTTGACAATGGGGATCACATCCATGGCCAACAATTGTTGGATGGTGTTGACGGCGTTCTTGTACTGGGTGAAATCGATAATGTCGTTTCTGGTGATGAGAATCTGCGCCACCGCCTGGTTCATTTGCCGGAACATGTCGTCAAAGAGCCCTATCAACCGGCCTTGACCGATAGACGCCAATGCCTGTACTGCGGCCAATTGCTTGGGCTTTTCTGTGACACCTACTCTTCTCATACCAAACGCAATGGCTCCAGAGGAGACAACCACAATGCGATGGCCCGCGCGGCGGAGTTTCACCACCGTTTCAACGATGTTGGCCATGTTGGCGATCCGAGGCTCGCGTGTCACTTCGTCGACCAACGACGATGTTCCAAGCTTGATCACAATGGTGTAGGACTTGTGACTCATTTAGGTGGTTGAGATGAGATGAGATGACTAGCTGATGAGTCGATGAGCTGAAAAAGGCCTTTTATAGTAGAAAGCGATGAAATGGAGCCGCAAGTTGTCTCGCTTGGGCTAGAATGTGAGTGCAGTGGGCCTGGGTATGTGGCTTAAGTATCCTCTTCTAAATGACAAGTCGCGCTGCGAAGAGAATGCACTTGATTTCATGACTCAGAGACAAACCGAACTTGACTCAAATCATGATAGCACAGGTTTTCCAACGAAGTCTGGTATTTTATGGCCGAGTCGAGTGGATACGTTTTTCTATGATTCCATGGCTGCAAGCTTCTGAAAATTGTTTTTCAATTTTTGTACATCCTTATTGGTTTTTTACTTTTCGCAGTCAATAGGAAAAGCACATAATTATTGCAAATCATTTGTTATTCGTGAACATAAAAGGAAAGTCACCGCACAAGCAACTTTGAAAATGATGACCTTTCGATCAGAAAAAGCATTTGAAATTTATCTATACCCCACATTCAAGCGACTTAAACATTACAGCTTTTCCGGATCCAGTATATAGAATTACATGCAGTGAGGATTCTAGATGACCATGTTTTATAACAATTCTCTTCAGTATGAATCTCTTCAAGTACTCCAACCCTCTCACAATTCATGAAACTTTAGACCCTTCAGTGTCTCATTAATATTTGGTTTACACACTTTCCTTCAAACTTTATATGTAAATCGGATGTTTATGGAATTGATGATTTAAAAGCTTCTTAACTTAGAATACTACCTATATACACAGCAAAAATAGTCGTTCAAGAAAGGTCCCTTGGCCCAGTTGGTTAAGGCGTGGTGCTAATAACGCCAAGATCAGCAGTTCGATCCTGCTAGGGACCACTTCTTTCCCGGGCGTGTGGCGTAGTTGGTAGCGCGTTCCCTTAGCATGGGAAAGGTCTCCGGTTCGACTCCGGACTCGTCCATTATTTTTATTTTCTTTTGCTTATACTTGCATTAACAAGCATATTTTTTTCTTGATAGAAGGAAGCCATATCGTTAAGAAGTTGAGTGACTCCAAAGCTTTTCCGTTTGTCAATTGACCCCAACATGACGGTCGAAATAGATTGCAATTGTGATGAGACTCATCACAATACTACAAAGGCGATACTATCAGAATTTCAATTATCAAGCAGCAACTTTCCAAACTTCAAGAAATTTAAATACTTAAGGTATCGAAATAATCTTTGATCACTACTGGAACATTGGCATAAAACAGTGTTTCTTAATGCTACTTAAAACTACTGACTTGTGTTTGCCAGAAATATTGTCTTGGTTTTTCGTCATATTTAAAACAGTTCGATTTTAGCATAGGTGACAACATTCAGAAACTGCAAGTGAAAGATGCCAACACCAAAAGAATATAAATGTATAGTTTATTAAGACCCGCAAACCTAAAATACAAAGACGAATAAAGTGGGGTTAATGCACCACCTCCAACTTAAATAACAACAGCTTCGGCCAACTTCTTCTTGTAGTCCAAAATAGAGCCCTCCCATCTAGTGGCAGTCTTGTTCTCAATGACGAAAATGTCCTTGGCAACCTTGTCCAACAATCTAAAGTCGTGCGACACAACCACAACACCACCGTTGAAAGCGTTGATGGCGTCGGCCAAAGAGTCAATGGTAGCCAAATCCAAACCGTTAGTAGGCTCATCCAACAAGATCAAGTTTGGTGCCTCGATGGCCAACAAGGCAAACACAACTCTGGATCTTTGACCTTCAGACAAGGTGGCCATTTGCGAAGTCTGACCTTCACCAGTCAATCCGTAACGACCCAATTGTTGTCTCCAGTACTGGAAGTCCTGGGAAATGTTAGGGAACTTGTCTCTGATGAACTCCAAAGGAGTCTTGGTCAAGTCCAATTGATCAGCCGAATGCTGCGAGTAGACACCCAACTTGATGTGCGTGTGTTGAATGACTCTACCCTTCTGTGGGACCAAAATACCTTGGAACAACTTCAACAAGGTGGACTTACCGATACCGTTTGGTCCGACAAGAGCGACTCTCGAGTCCATGTCGATACCAATGTCCAAGTGCTCGTACAAGTTGTCTTCCTCCTTGCCCGAGTAAGAGAAGGACATGTCGTCGAAAGCCAACACTGGAGGAGGCAATTTCTCCACCTCAGGGAATCTGAAGGTGAAGGTCTTGTCTGGAACAACAGGTTGGATCAAACCGTCGGCCTCCATCTTATCCAAGATCTTTTGTCTGGACTTCGCTTGCTTGACCAAGTTAGCATAAGTACCAGCAGATGCAATAAACTTCTTGATGTGGGCAATTTCTTCCTGTTGCTTGTTGTATTGTTTCATCTGGTTGGTTTCCTGCTCGGCTCTGGTCTTGACATACGAGTCGTAGTTACCACCGTATTGCAAAAGCAACTTCATTCTCATGTCGATCATGTTGGTACACACACCGTTCAAGAAATCCTGAGAGTGCGAAACCAAGATCAAGGTTCTGTCCCATCTCTTCAAGTACTCTTCCAACCACACACAGGCGGCCAAATCCAAGTGCGCAGTAGGGTCGTCCAAAAGCAACAAAGTTGGCTTCACGAACAAAGCCTTGGCCAACGCAACACGCATCTTCCATCCACCAGACATGTCCTTTGTCTTTTTGTTGATGGTGACACCGTTGAAACCCAAACCGTGCAAGATAACGGCAGCTCTGGACTCGAATGTGGATGGGTCCATGCTGTCAATTCTTTCGTACAAACCTTCCAAAGATGGGTCTTCTGGGCCGTTTCTCACAATGATGTCCTCGACAAGGTCTTCCACTCTCTTCAATTCGGCTTCGGCTTCCTTGACAACGTACTCCAAAGCAGACCATTCAGAAGGCTCTGCAGGCTCGTTCAACAAGTAAATGTCAAGCGCTTCTGGAACAGGAAATTCTCTGGCGGCAAGAGACTTCAACAAGGTCGACTTACCACATCCGTTTTCACCCAACAAACCGTATCTTCTACCGTAGTTCAATTCCAAAGTGGAGTCTTGAATCAAAACCTTACCGTGGAACAACAAGGAAAGCGACGAGATCTTGATATCTCTCGAGGTCTCCAAAGACTCCAAAACACCAGTGGTGACTCTGTCAGACAATCCGTGCTCGTCTGTCTGCGTCTTCAATTTGGCAATTTGCGCAGCAGCATCATCAACATCTTTTTCTTCAGCGTCCTTGGCAGCTTGCTTCTTTGTCTTTCTCAAAGACTTTCCAGAAGCGGCTTTAGCGGCTTCTCTTTCGGCACGCTTTTGCTCTCTCTTAGCTTTCGATGCGGAAACAGACATTTTGTTCTGGTGAGAAAAAAAGAGTCGAGTAAAAGCTAATAAGAAGTACGAAGAAGCATCGAGAAAATTTCAACCACATGCAGGAATGACGTTACCCACAGAAATGTGCACCCAAGAATCACAGCACCAGTGTTATGTGTCGAACGAAGCAACTGGGACCTTCTGCTGCTTTCGATGAACTGGAAACATGCACAATGCTGTCTGGGAGCCTGTGATGGCACCTGGCACGGGCAGGAGAAACTAAATACACGTGATTTGATCACGTGCGCAACTCATCCAGTCGACAATACAGCAAAGATTAACAATCCATAGAACACGTCTAGTCTAAGAGAAAAACTATAAAATGAAAAAAAGAATGGGGCGAGCTGGGAATTGAACCCAGGGCCTCTCGCATGCTTGTTCTGATCCGGTATGCGAATCCTAACCCAAAGCGAGAATCATACCACTAGACCACACGCCCATTTGTTGAGAGAAAAATTCGCTGTGCTCTCACACTATTTGAATGTATCGTGATGACCATTAACAGTTACATATTGATCCGGCTACCTGAATGTGACTATTTTGTGTGATTAGACATGAAAGATTTGCAACATTTTAAAATATTTTTGTCTGTCTGCACTGTATGTCTCGTTTGTATTGTGCACTGTTTGAACAAGGAACTTCTGATTGTGGTTGGGTCAGGCACTAGAAACTCGGTGACGTGAGATAGTTGAGCAAATATATTTACAATCATCAATAAGGCAGCTTCTTTTCTACAAGGTATACCAGATTTCAGTGCATGTCTTCTTTTCTCAGATTTTTCTTAGAATACTACATTTTAATGCCTATTGCACCTCTTTAAAACTATTATTTTGATCAATAGATGGAGACCAGTCATAGAAATATCGCCATGCCTGGATCAAAGTAACAATGAGGTTATGGGGAAGATTACATTCAGACTCGCCATAAATTGAATGAATGATTTTTTTCATTGAAGGCATGACAGAAGCCTTTATTATATCAATTAGTCAAGCTTTGCAAACTGTACAAATATGCCCAAGATGATAATAGACCATATGTCAAAGTTAACGAATTGAACCACTCGGAAATCGTGCATTTATTTCACTTCAAATAGCCTCCCACAATCGCATAATCCTGCTTGTTTGTTTGGTGATTATGGGTGACTCGTTCTACTTCGAAAAGAGTGGATTCATAAAAAAAAAGGGGCGAGCTGGGAATTGAACCCAGGGCCTCTCGCATGCTTGTTTCATTCCAGTGTACTGGAACGTCGCCCAAAGCGAGAATCATACCACTAGACCACACGCCCTTCTTATTTTCGGAAAAGGCTATGTTTTTATATCACAGAGATATAGGAAGCTGAGAAGGAAAATTCAGTCAATGCAATCAAGAACTGCCAAGCAAGATCGAGTTGTCCATTTATTTCTGCATGTGCCTATTTTCTAGCATTTCGCACCGTGCGACTAGCCCAACCAGCAAAGAGAGTGTTGTTCTCAATGTAGAAGAGAACAACAAATAGAACGAACAAGTAGATCAAGCGAAACCCAAGAACTGGCCCATATTTCTGCCTTTTCTGTAGTCAACATTGTCTCTTGTTTGTGTTGTCTCCCATCTCAGAGTGCACACAAGTCCAACCCACTCATCGCGAGAATAATTTTTCAGCTCTATTACTATATCATTTCCCTATGTCCGGAGCCTACAGCCAGGTTGATGCCAGCGGCAGCTACCTCGCCAACGTAATCCTGAAAAACGGCAGAAATGAGGTCCAGACCTATCCCATTTCCCACCGTGAAGGTGCCCTAGTGGACGAATCAATGATCAAAAGACATGAACTTGAGCCAGAACAGATTGTATCTTGTGTGGCGTGGTTTAATGACGTTGCAGCCCTTGTCACTCCTAAGAAGAGCAAAAAGAGAACGGCCGACGACTCGGCTCCTCGCAACGGCGAAGGAAACGGCGCTTTGGCGACCCATAGTCTTTTAGCTGTGGCTTTGGAGACGGGCGAAACCTTGGTGTTTTCGCCGCTCACAGATGCGCCAGTGGCCCAGATTGCCACGGGAAAACTTGTGTCTTTGACACGGGCCCGCGGCGAAAACCGCTTCTGGGGTCTCTCCGAAGACGCTTCCTTGTTACAAATTCACACACTGGAAGGTGTTGAAAAGACAGTCAAATTTGCAAAAACAGATGCCGACGTGGCGCTTGTGAACCAGATACTGTACCGGCCAAAAAAGAGCTCCTCGTCTGCCGAGCTCATGCTTCTAGCATCAACCAACTTATATATGGTGGATGGATCTAAGAGCCGCAAGAATGTCTTGGCCGAGTTTGAAGCCAAGAAGGATGCGGGATCCGTTGCATTCATTCTCCCCTTGGACTCTTTTGTCGCGGTGGCCCGCGATTTGTCCAGCACGCTTTCCATCTACGATCTTTCCGAGCCTTCTGCTCTGCCGCGGATCTTACATTGCAAGGGCTCTAACATTACTCGGTTGGCCTCTTTGTCCCCCGATCTTCTTATGGCGTTCACCGAGCACGGAGCTGAAGTCTTTTCGTTGGCCGGTCTGCAACGTACTGAGCCCTCTGCATTTATCAAGACAGACCACGACGAAACGCAATTTGAAAACGTCATTTCAACATCTGCAAACGGCGTTGTGGGTGTCTGGTACGACGGAAACCAGCCACAGTTTGCTAAAGTCAGCGAAACCACCAGCTTGGAAGGCGAGTGCACCGTTCCTATTTCTCACCCAAGTGAAAATGCCACACAAGAAAATGACAACTCAGAGGTCCCATTTGCAGTTGAAGAAACGGAAATCGCCAACGTGGGATCGGAAGAGTTGTTCTCCCAATTATCACGCTTGTTGACTAGCGAGAAAGTACCCAAAAAGGAAGTACTTCGATTATGTTCCAGCAACGACAATGAAGACAGTATCAAAGACACCATCCGCCTCTTCTCACAATCGGAAAAGTGCTGCGACTTGGTGGAGAATCTTTTCGAAATTGTCAGCAAGAAAGTTGCCAGTGACCCCAGCAGAAAATCGTCCTTGTCCATTTGGCTCAAGTGGGTTTTATTGGCCCATGGAGGCTACATCTCCAAACAGGAGAAACTCGAAACAAGTTTGGCTCTGTTGCAGACCAGTCTAGATGACGGAATGAAATTGATGCCCAAGCTCTTGGCTCTTCAAGGAAGATTGCAATTGTTGAAGTCGCAAGCAGAACTTCGAAACAAAATCAGCACACAGACGCAAGAAGAAGAGAGCGAACCCGAAGACGAGTACGAAACTTTCAACGAGACATTCAACAACACCACCAACATCGAAGAGTCTGTTGTATACGCCAATGGTGAAAACGACGACGATTTTGACAGCATAGAACAGAAGGACGAAAACGGCCCTGTGCCAGAGGAGGCTTAGCATAGACTAGTTCTAATTAAAGAAACTTGCACTGAATTGTAGAATGATAAGTATCCGTCTGTGTGATTAGATCAGAACCAGAGGATGATGACTCCAGTCTTTTGATATAATGATCTAGAGGAGGCAGAAGATTGGTTCAGGCTGAAACCGGCTTTACTACTTTGGTCTAATGTATACAACTGCGATTCATCGATAATCAGTAACAGCCGATGTTCATCACTATTTAGTAAAAGCTGAGATTTAATATGTTAGAGATGCCCAAATACGAACGGCATGAAGTATTTAAGGCAATGATGAGTTTCGGTCTAGTCCTAAACCATCACTGCCATAACGGGCACAAACAGTGTTTATTATATCTGAGTTTTTCACACACCCATGTTGAAGGTTTCCTGATCCATTTTCTGTCTAGTATATGCACCTTCAAGAGTCCACAGCGAACAATTTTGCGCACTGATAAGATTATCTACTACTCATCCAATGCCCGAAAAACTTTACATTTCGTACAATATCGTCCACAAGCTATGCAAGAAAGCGGCCGAAGACATTAAGCAAAAGGGCACTCGTGTGGATCTTATTATTGCCATCGGCGGAGGTGGTTTTATTCCCGCTAGAATTCTTCGCTCGTTCCTCAAGGATGGGAAAGGCAATATCCCCATCCAGGCCATTGGATTATCGCTCTACGAAGATATGGGCAACACTGGAGAAGACAAGATCGGCAAAGAGGTGATCAGGACGCAATGGCTCGATTTGGGTAACTTGAGCAACCATTTGGACACACTCATTGGCAAAAACGTCATTATTGTAGATGAAGTGGACGACACTAGAACCACTCTCCACTATGCGGTGACGGAGCTTCAAAATGACGTTGCTAAGCTTGAAAAAGAGTTGGGACTGGAAACGCCCACCAAGTTCCTGGTGTTTGTGCTCCACAACAAGAATAAGCCGAAAAAGGCTGATCTTCCCTCCAACATCATGGACACTGGCAGATACATTGTGGGCCAAGAAGTGGAAGATGCGTGGATCGCGTATCCTTGGGATGCAGCTGACATTGACGAGCACACCGAGTTGGCCAAAAAGCAAGGAAACTACTAGGCGAGGAATCAGAAGAGAGCTGTGATAACGCTCACCCAAAACTCAATATATCGCTATCGCTGGGAGAAGTGTAGTCTCTGCATCGCCGCAGGACCAAGTATAGAGAACAAAGTAGCTAGAAGGTTCCGAGACTTTGGGAGTTGGGTATTGTGAAATGCTGTGGTGGAAGATTCCCCTCTGAAGGCAAATGACAGTTCTACGTAGTATATCTCTGTAAAGACATTTCAACACGCCTACATTTTAATCCAACCGGGCTCTGAGAAACCAGACAAGTGACTGTAGTTAAGATTATGCACCAAATGATATCAACGCCTCAAGAACTCAGACATTATTAATGTGAAAACCACCCAAAAATTCCAGCGACATCAAATGCGCCGCCTCGAAAGTAGTAGTCCTTTTTTTTTTTGAATCAAACCGCTTTTCCCCTCCGAGTCTCTTATCCTAAAGCTCTTGCAGACTTGTATGAGCATAGGCCCGAAAAATTTACTCTTCGCGAAAACACATAGTTTTGCCAGAAGTAAAATCATCCTTCTGGAAACCCGCAACAACCCGGCCCCATTTTTCGGCCTGAAACTCTTTTCTTCTGGCTTTCTCCCCGACCACTCCGATGGACGCCAACACACTTCTCCAGTGCTTCTCAGCCACGCTACAAGTGTCTCAAGCGACACGTGAACAAGCGGAAGCCCAGCTTCGCCAGCTTTCGCTCACGCCCGGTTTCTTGGGCGCCTGTCTTGATATCATCGCCTCTCCCAGCGCGCCCGTGGGCGTCAGAAAAGCGGCAGCCGTCTACTTCAAGAACAGAGTCGTTCGCTCGTGGAACAGCCCGGCGCAGCCCATCGATGAAGGCGAAAAACCCGTGGTGAAAGACCGCATCGTGGCCGTTTTGTCGGCAGTGGACCACACCACCAAGCAGCAGTTGATTCCTGTTTTGCGGGTCTTGGTGAGTTTCGAGTACCCGGCGCAGTGGCCCGGATTGCTCCAACAGACAGGCGAGTTGCTCCAGCAGCAGGACGGGCCTTCTTCCATGTACACGGGGGTCTTGTGCTTTGCCGAGATCTGCCGCAGCTACCGTTGGGTGATGAATCTGGAGCGGGAAAGCGAGATGGATCCCATTATCGCCCAGGTTTTCCCCCATTTGCTCAGTGTGGGTAATGCCATTTTGGCGGCTGAAATCACCGAGGTCACAGCGGAAATCTTGAAACTCATCTTGAAAACTTACAAGTTTGTCACCTACTACGACTTGCCGAAGGTTCTCCAGACCAAAGAATCGCTTGTGGCCTGGGGCCAGTTCCACTGTCTGGTGATCCAGTTGGATCCTCCGGCATACGTGCTTTCGCCCTCTTTGAGCGAGCTGGAAAGATGTCAGACCCAGATCTCCAAATGCTACAAGTGGGCCGTGGCCAACATGGAACGACTCTTCCGCCGCTATGCCTCCAAGGACTTGTCTTCGAAAATGAAGTACGACGCTTTCCGCGGCGTCTTTATTGACGAATTTGTACCTCATTTGATGTCTGTCTACTTGTCTCTTGTTGAAAGTTGGTGCGGTGGCCGCAGATGGCTCAGTACCACGGCTTTATATCACCTCTTGGAGTTTATGAGCCACAGCGTGACCCAAAAGGAATCATGGGCTCTCATCCAGCCATACTTTGAGAACCTTGTGGCTCACTTCATCTATCCCCTCTTGTGTCCTTCAAGTGAAACATTGGAGCTTTTCGAAACGGATCCGAACGATTACATCAACCTGAAGCTCGATAATTTCGACGATTCCGAGGCTGACGTGGCGGCATTGGGTCTTTTGGTTACTTTTGTCACCAAGAGGAAGAAAACAACTTTGGAGCCCATCGTCACTTTTGCATACAACCAGCTTTCCAGCTTGAAAAAAGTTCCCGAAGATTTGGACGTCGCCAAGAAGAAAGACGGCGCTTTGCGTTTGATTGGTGGCGTCTCTCATCTCCTAACATCTCCAAAATCCCCATACGCGTCACAAATGGAAAGCTTCCTTGCCGAGTTGGTTTTGCCCAATCTCAACTCGCAGTTTGAGTTTTTGCAAGCAAGAACCTTAGATGTGTGCTCGAAATTTGCCGACTTGCCTTTCGAAAACTCGCAGACATTATCTACTCTCTTCCACGGAATCCTCAAATCATTCACATCTGAAGGTTCCGATGCCAGCCTACCTGTTATGCTTCAAAGCGCATTGGGAATCCAAGCATTTATTCACAATTCACAGTTCAAACAGATTCTTTCGTCTATAATCTTACCTACAATGTCCAAGCTTTTGGAACTCTCCAATGAGATTGATAATGATGCAGTCTCGATGGTCATGCAAGAGTGTGTCGAAAACTTTTCCGAACAGTTACAACCATTTGGAGTCGAGTTGATGAACAATTTAGTTCAGCAGTTTATGCGCGTGGCTGTTGAGGTAAATGATGCAGCAAATGTTGGAGTGGAGGAAATTGAAAGTGACTATGTGGATCTGTCAGACAAGATCATGGCTGCAGTGGGATTGTTGAACACAATGATCACCGTCCTTTTGTCGTTTGAAAACTCAAAAGAGATTTGCATGAAATTGGAGGAAACGTTTTCTCCTGTCATCGACTATGTATTCACCAATGAGTTGGACGATTTTTTAGCAGAAGTGGCCGAGTTAATCGAAAACTCCATCTTTTTATTGCGTGCGGTCAGCCCTTTGATGTGGAGACACTTTGCTCAGTTGTCTAACTCTTTCTTCGAGGGTATTGCCGTCATGTACATTGAGGAACTCTCTCAGTGCTTGAAAAACTACATGGTTTTCGGTGCTGAAGATTTGGCCCATAACCAAGAAAACGTTTCTAAGATGATGCAAATGATCGGTTTCATTCTTGAAGCTGACGATGGAAATGCAGACTACAACGATATGGTAACTGCATGTGACCTTGCACAGACTTTGGTTCTCTCATTGCAAAACAATGCTTCGCTAGTGATCCAGCCGCTCTCGAAAAATATCTTGCCAGTGTTTGCCTCCAACCGAAAGGATTCGCTGCACGTTTCCACGAATGCCTTGACTGTGGCTCTGACAAACTTTGTTGTCTCCTGTTTGGTATATGATCCCGCTCTTACCTTAGGGCTACTTCTGCTGTACACCAAAGAATTTTTTGAACAATGGTTTGCGTTGATTCCTCTTTTGAAACGTGTCTACGACATTAAATTGTCAATTCTTGGCCTCATCAGCTTGGTAAACAATCCTGAAGTTTTGCAAGCTGTGCAATCCATTGCAGGATCTATTGCATCCAAACTTGCTGTTTTGTTCAAAGAATTACCTTCAGCCATCAAAAACTTTGAGAAACAGCGCGTAGAATTCAACGAGTCTGATTACACTGACGTGGGCAATTTCAACGACTATGATGATGAGACGGAAAGTGTTGGATCAGGAGCTGAAAATGAAGACGACAGCACTAGCGAATACTTGGAGTTTTTGAAACAAGAAAACCATAAGCTTACAGGAGCAGCATTTACTGCTGAAGAAGAACCTGTTTTCGAAGATCCTTTGGCTACTACACCTTTGGATAGCATCAACACCTTTCAAGTGTTTAAGGATTTTTCCAACTCTTTACAAGTGAACAATGCTGCTGTCTACCATGCTATCTTTGACAATGTTAGCGAGGAAGAGAGAAAGGTTTTTATGGGAGTTTTGGAGATGGTCCCTAAGACTCATTAACCACATACGTCATTGCATTGTATAATGATTTAATATAATTTTATACTCGTCGTAATTTTGTACATTGATCAATCAAGGAAGTTACGAAGGTCGCATTAATGATTTTCCTCAGACCTAATTGACTTCGAAAATCAAATAAAGTAACTCTTCCACAACACACCTTCTAGATCTTGCATCTGCGATTCATTAAAGACTTCTCTGTCCACATGCCAGGAATCTTGTCTCGTTTTCTTGAATTTCCCTAGGGTTTCCTTGGCAGTTCTTCCAACAATGCCTGGAATACCCGAGGCTTTATTTGATAAGATGGCCAAAATCTCCGGGATCCATATTGGAGGTGGTGACATGAACGAAAAAGCGTGGACTAGTGCCCCCAAACCGAGTGTGGCTCCATGGAGGGTGATTGTATCGGCGGTAGATATGTTCTTGAAGCCAATTTTTGCATATTTCTTTCTGATTTTGTCTAGGTCATTGGAATATTGTTTCTTATAAGCATCAACGATGGCTTCAATCTTCGTAGGAGGAGACATGTGGACAAGCCCAGAAAACGTCACAGCTTCAGCCTCCCGGATCTCCAAATTTTTGTGATACATCAATGAGTTGGTTAGTTTCAATATACGCAATCTCTGATCATGGCTCAACTTGAATAAGTTTTTAAAGTAGACTGTCTCCGTAAATTCCCCAAGGATAAACGACTGCACAACATTCAAATTTTCTTTACTGTACTTCTCAAGCATTATTACGATTCGATCAAGATTCGTTGTGTCGAAAGGGATCTGAGATACTTTTTTGAATGCACTCAATGGTTCTATGTTTCCAAGTTGACAGACATCCTTCAAGCTCGTTAAATTGAGGAGGAATGGCACAATATATGTATCCACAAGATCCTGATACTGGACAGACACACTTGTATTCAATGTCTGCTTCAACCAAAACAACACTGTGGTTGCTGCATGAATGTATCTAGAATCTAAAATTTCCTGAGCAGTTTTGTCCTGAACCTCCTTCCTCCATGTTTCAATAGTTTCAAAAAGGAGAGGAATTCGACTAAAAAACGCTTCGGACTTGTTTTGCTTGTACATGAGAAAACCTTCTCTATTGCAAGCTTCCAAAAAGTCCTCACATGAAGCAAATGATTCCTCATAGAGAGAGAAACATGCAATAGCTATCAAAGATCCAATCTGCTCTCGTATAGCTTGATGACGATCGTCTATGTTTTCGAAACATAACTGCAAAACTTCATCTGTGAATGGGAATGCCCATGTGACGGATGCAATGAAGGACTTGATATAGTTTAATCTGGTTGACTCATTGATAGCCAAGTCCGAAGATTTTGAGATTTGAAATTTGAGCAACGTCTCTGTAATGGCAGGAAATCTTCTGCAATCGATATGAGCAGGAACCCACCAGAAAAAGATATTCCACACGTTCTTCGTTTCAGATGTCAAATCTTTCTCAAGAATACCCCTCAAGAAGGGAATCAAAAAAGAATCTCTGGAAGCAATCAACGAAGGATTAAAGTACTTAGATCCAAGAAGAATGCCTGATATTAATTCACAAACCACAATATGCGAGCTTTTCTCGTTTTTCTCATAAACATTGGAGATTATATCAAGCAAATCTTGAAACTTGAAGTCCACGATGTACCCAGCAGAAATCAACATCACAAGGCCTGTGGTTATGAACACATCAGTGCCTTGAAAAGCGGAGTTGGAATCATTATCCGCAACCCATAAGTTGACTATATTAGTGAACCATTCTTTCGTTACACACGAAGAAAAGCCTCTGATGATTGCTACGTCTGAGTCCCTCAAATTCAAATCGTAACAAGGCTTGTTGGTTGTTGCGATCATGTTATTGCCCCAAAATAGCCAGCCAGAGTTAGCTTTGTTATCAATGAAGTAACTTGGATGATCAAGGTTGGCCATTTCCTTTTTCCACGTTTCATAGTAGGAAACTCCGTTTCTAGGACTCGTGTCAACGACAACAAAATCCTTCATCACAAACTCAAGATCATAAGCATTGGAAAGATCATAGCCCACAGCACTTAGCATATATAATTTTCCAAGGAGCCTCGTGATACCTTTGAGTGCTAATCTCGAAATGACAGGGTGGTCAGTCGACGCAGCTTTAGTGAGTAGCTGGAAAACATCGTTGTTATTCATCATCTCATACTCACTTTGCAAATCCGTGAGAAACAAAAGATTCAACGCACTTGTCTTCCAATGGGAGTTATGTTTCTCATGAACAACCACGGCATCTTCAATTTTCGACAATTTTTCAAGGTACAACTTTCTCTTCTTTTCCTTGGCGAGGATAACAGCCTTAATTTCTAAATCAATAAATTCATCGGGTGGTCTTATGGAATCAACCAAATCCTGATCAATTAAGCAAACGCTGCTTGGCGGCGCAATAGCACCCCCAGTCAAATTTTTGAAAAGCCTCTGAGCAAGATCGTTCACATCATTGTTATCTACATCGAAACACTGGTGAAGAGTTTCAATGAACTTTTGTAAGTTGAGATAATCGCTTTGTATCCTGGTTCTGATTCTTTTCAACTCGAATATGCTTAATCCACTCTCTATAGCTTTGTGGTTATTTTCTTCAATTGCCCTAGAGATGAGGCGCAACGAAGATCGAATAATCACATTGTAGGAGCCATTGACCCGTTTCATTGCATCCATAAGCGTGGATTGAGCAGGGTTTGCTATAGCAATGTACGTGGAGCAAGACAACTTCACAATATCCTCAAGAAGAACCTTGTCAAGATCCGTGATGCTTCTAGAAGTTGCATGTAAAGCGACCCTCAACAGGTGATACGATTCAATTCTTGCGCCCAACGACAATCTAGTGAAGGGTTTTCGAACACGATTAATCTTTTGGAGTTCGCTGACATATGCCAAGGAAATCTTTGCATGGCTGTGGTCTAGTACCCTCTCGCGACCAACATCAGCAAACCAAATATTGAGAACATATAGAAGATGTCTGAACAACTTCGTGTTGTCCTTAAGGTGAGTTTGCATAAACTGGCAAATGTAGTGTAAACTCTTTCCAACGAGGTGTCTCGTTCTATGAAGTTGAATGTAGAGTTCGTTTGATCTTCTCGTTTCAATATCATCACCAAAGTAGTATCTGCTGGTGTAAAGTTTTCTTTCTCTGAAAGTGATGGCTGGATTCATAGACGACATATCCACGCCAGCAAGCTGTGGGCTCGCTCTCGCAGAAGTGTCAATAGGAGAGTCACATTTGGTCAAGGAGCGCAAGTCTGGTCTTTTAAAAGCTGGTTCCTCAAGGCTGTCTTCCGAGGCATTTTTCTTTGGATTAGAGTAGCCAAAGAGGTCTGCACCGACTAGTTCATCCGAATCTGTATTAAAATCGATCGAGTCTTTGGACTCGATGTTTTCTGCGATTTGCTGAAGGTTTTCATGAATATTTTCAAGCCGGGGTTCATCTTTTTCTGAGAACTTGGAAGACTTCATGTCTCGAATCTGGGCCAAAAGTTTGAGTCTGTTTTGAATCGACTCTGGTCCCTGGCCGCTCAACTTTGGGATATCCTCGTCAAAAGACGGATCAAGCAAATACGAAATGCCACTAATTCCGTAAGCTAAGTATAATAGGTAGCCACGAAGCTCATCAGATTGTTCGAGAGAAATATTGTCCTTGTCTTTGCGGCTCACAATGTTTTTCATGACACCCAGAATATTTGAAAGTGCCTGGGAAACATGGCGGTTGAAGGTGGAAACGGCAAATTGCACCTCAGCCTCGCCTGGGATAAACCACTCAAAGGTAAGATTCTCATCCGAAAACCTATAGGGATCAGACAGAAAGCCTCCCCAGCAGGATGCGTCCATAGGCTTTTCTTTCAAATACTGCGGACTGATCAAACGGGTTTCCTTCAAGCGAATTTTCGTTGTGCCCTGAAGCATTTGATTAAGAAGATACGTGCTAGAAAAAATAGTGGAGCCCCGGATGTTCTGCATCAAGAAAAAGGACAATTCCACCAATTGCTTTTGCATCTTCACAATGTACTCTCCAGCATTACCCACACATTCATTGATCACCATAAGGTTCCAGAAAAGATTTTGGTCAAGCGGTGCAATGTCGACTCCCGTCCGGGCCCGACCAGCACCGTTCTCCTTAATGTCTTCGTATACGCGATCAATCAAGATCGGGCCCAATTCCATGAAGAATTTGGGATCACGCTTGATGATTCCACCACAGATCTCACCAATAACGTCAGCTACCAGATGGATGGCGTTGTCAAGAACAAAACGAACCACCTGGTCACGAAAGCTTTTGAAAATATCATCGGACATTGCCTCGATGAGAATGAACAAAAATTTTGGAAGACAGTCACAGAGATCCTTTTCAATGCCATTGCTTTTGGATGGATCAGGGATGTTTTCTAGGAGAGAAAAAATACGTTCGCCGAAGGATTTGATCAAAAGTTTGAAGGCACTTGAGGAAGATCCAAGAGCTTGGACTTCGAGAGCAGGATCGACGGAGAAAATTGGTGACTCTTTGTCTGAGGATGCACCATTGGAGGATCCATACCCCCCTCCATTCATATTTTGATCACTTTCATTCCTCCTGTTCAGGTACTCTTGTGCATGAAGAAAGTCCAAGTGCTGTGTTGTAAGTTCCATGGCCAAACTTGGATCACCATTGCCGTCGGTCAAGTCGCAAATGGGCACGAAGTTAGCCATAGCAGAAAATGCATTGAGGGTGTGGATGGTTTTGCTGAGGTCATTGGAGTCGATACCAGGCAATGCCAACGTGAAAATACGAACCAAATGCACACGAAAGACGGGCGTCACGGCAAAGTGCCGAGTGAGTTCTTCCATACACCGCAAGGCGGCCACCACACGATGGGTCGAGATGACGCCTTCCAAGGATTCGTAAATGTCCCGCAAGATGCCACCGAGTGCAACCTCTGCATTAAGATGACACAAGAGATTTAATGTGGCTAAATAGTCTTCTGCGGCACTGGTACGTTTTGACTGGAGACCAGTGCGGACTAAAGGCAACAAGGCAGAGACAAAGCGGGCCACGAGGCGGTCCAGAAGCTTGTGCTGCGCAGGAAGAGAGTGCAAGGTGCCGTCTGGCTGGCGCTCCATATTGAAACGCTTGTGCATCTGATAAGCAAGGCTGCGCACAAGCCGGGAGATGGGCCGGGCCCATTCGCCGGAGTTGGAGGGATGGACGTAACTTTTGATGGCGTTGAGCAACGTGGCGAGCTGGTCCATGATTCCGTCTGGGTCGCAGGCCGCGGCGCCGCAGGAAAAGACAATGCAGCTGGAGTAGCCGTGGAAGAATTTCGTCTTGACCGAGGCGTACTTGTCGCTGCTGATGCTGAGCGAGCTGACAAGCGAGTTCATGAGGAAACGGAACTGGTCGAGCGAAAAGACACCAAACGGCGGGAGCGGCGCCGCGGCCACATCCACATCTCCTTTCTGGGTGTTTCCTTTCTCTGCAAGGTGGTCCAAGTACGCCATGGCTATCGTGCCAAGGCGGGCCGTGACATGGGGCGCCACGTCGTCGCTGCGGCTGAGCTTGTTCCAGATGACGAAATATGGCGCAATGAAGCGGCGCACATCAGGGTCGCCAAACGTCATGGGCATCATGGCCAAGGCGGACAAAACCACGGGCGCCGTTGGGATGGAGAGGCGCAGGGCAAAGAGGTCGAAAAGCTCGGGCGCCGCGTGTGGGTCGAAGTAGAAGTGGGCGCGCTCAGCCATGCGGAGCAAGAGCGCCAATTCCTTGCGCTCGAGCGGCTCGTGCGCCGGGTCGGGCGCGGGCAAGTGGCACAAGAGCTCGCGCGCAAGCGGGCGCCACGGAAGCTGCAAGCGGCCGCGCAAAAGCTCTGTTTTGCCTGCGAGCGCCTCGAACGCCCGCACATAGAGGCGGAGCGCAAGCCGCTGGCCGCGGCAGCAGCAGAGCGCCCAGTAGACGCGGGCCAACGCGGCCCGCAAGAAAACCGGCATGTCGTACTTCATCTTGAGCCACACCAAAAGCTCGTGGGTCCAGATGCGCACGCCCACAACGGCCGCGCTGCGGGGCGGGCGGCGGTGCTGCACCAGGTCGATCGGGTTGTCTTCGTCGTCGTCGTCGGCGTCCTCGTCCGAGTCGGACTCCGAGGCGATGTTCTCGTCGGCCATCTCAAACAAGGTGGTGTCGAGGGCCAAGTCCACGTCGGAAAACTCCTTGAGGGCGGCCAAGTCGCGCGCCGACACCAGAAGCAGGCCCTGGGCGTCGCCGCTGCGCACGGCGATGTACAAGTGGGCGACAATGTGGGCGAGAAAGTTGGCGCGGGCGCGCGGCGGCTCGGCTGCGTAGGGAAGGCGCGCGGGCAAGTCGAGCGAGCGCGGGCGCGCGCGCGCGTAAAACCGCCCGGGCGCGCATGGGTCGGGGCCTGCGGGCGGCCAGTCCAAGTGGTAGTGGTGTTCGCGCGAGGAGGCAATTGTGCCGTACGACGGTCTGCGCTCCATGGCAAAAAGGGAAACGGGGAGGGCGACAGGCGGAAAAGAAACAGGAACCGGTTGCGCAGGGGAAGGGAATTGTAACGTGGAAGACGTGCGACAGGATGTTCGGCACGAGATACCGTGGGGGCAGAAGAGAGAAGTAGAGTGGAGATGGAGTGGAGATGGAAAACGAGTGCGCGCACTGCATGCCTGACGGCTATATGAAGGGCGCAGACACGAGGCAAGATGCAGAAGCGACAGACCCAGGATGGCTCTGTAAAGAGGTTCTCATGGGAATGAGGTTCTGATGGAATATGTTCGAGGAACAGTTCATGACATTATTGGAAATGTGTTGGAGTTAAACAGAAGTTCAGTGAGACCCAGGGGGCCTGATGTACAGAGCGAATCTCGGCTGTGTCTGTTTGACGGACTTGCCTCGTAGTTCATGTGCCAGTTACTTGGGCTTTGCCACCGCTGGATTCTACAGATTGTACAGAACATGGAGCTTTAAACAGTCACTAACACCGTAAATCGCTCCATCAATTGGGTTGCCCCGCCTACGGAGTTGCCTACACTTTGAAATTGCTACAGAACCGGCGAAAACGGTTCTTTTTTTAGCGAATCGGTTTCCCGAAAGACTAGGAGACCGAGATCCCGTAGAAATCGACTGAATTTCCATCACGATTGCGAAAAAACCACTTAAAGACTCGATGCTGCATCATGATTTAAAGAAGAATCGGAGAAATGATCCATAAAGTCTGGGATCGAAGCGTCAAGCAATGGCATCGATACGGTGTCAATCTAGGCCACCGATTGAGACTTCTGTAGTCACCTTTGGACTGGGGTTCAGTATGAAAACATTGTTGAACTCAGTCCATCGTTTCGACTGTATTTGTGACTTTGTTTGGGCCCTGGGGATACCAAGTTATCTGCCGAAATTGAAACTCCAGCTCCAAAATATCGTAGAACTGTATTTTTAAGTTGCAGAAGAGAAGTTTAGTATTCGAGATTTAACTTGTTAGTTGTTCACGGGTTATATTCAACTTCAGGTGCTTAGTGTGAATGTATTAAAACAAGAATAATTAGTGAAGTCGAAAGTATTTAATGGGAAACACTAGCCTCTGGTGTGAAACACAATATTGCTTTCGCCATTTTGGGAGCCGAGTGATCTCTCTTTCATGCTCTCGCTAGTCCAAAGAGACCAAAGCAGTTAGTTTATCAGCAATGAAGAGGATCTGTGACAGGGAATTGGCCACATTTAGAAGATAGAATGAAGAATCTACCTCAATTAGGGATGACGGTAAAGAGAAGATGCTTTACAAAACCAAAATGGGAACCTAGAAGTCAATGCACCGATGTTTAAACTTTATAAAATGGCTCCATTAAAAGGAAAATAGACCAATCTCTTCCCTTTCCACGAAAAGTGCCAATTCATTTCATTCGCAAGTAGTTTTAGAGTATATCGGAGAGCCGGAATAGTCACATATGCCTTCATCAAAACTTTTAAGCTACAGAGCAAAAATTGATCATCGCTTGACTGGTTAAGAACGATAGATCATATAGAACTAAGAGGAAGAAAATTTTAAAAAAAGGCTTTGGTCCAGCTTCCGTATTCTCATTTTCTTGCTTCATTAGAACCTTACTTGATGCTTTCGAACAATTTGCAATCTTCTTTTGAACTTAGCATGACTTGATTACAATTTCAAAATACAAGTATGAGCCGACTTAGATTCTGTCGGAAAATCGAAACTCAATGAGAAATTTGGCTTTGACCTGTTTAGCTTCAGAGGTACTTTTGATTATAGTGGCGAAAAGATAATACGCTATATAGCAATTAAGAAGAAAGTTTAAACAATCTGTCACATAGTGTGACATGTGAAGTTTATTTAGCTGAACAAAACAACTCGATGCATCTACCGTCTACGTGCATTTTAGGATTAATACACCAGGCATTGAAAAGCAATGCCTGCAACTCATAATGTAAATTTCAAGTTCATGGTTTTCTTCTAGCCCAGAATTCAAAGTATTTTTTTTTTTTTTTTTTTTTTCCAATCGTAAGATTTGTAGGGGAGCAATTTTTCTCACTTGTGAGATCCAGACATTGTGCTCTATAATTAGCATACTCTGCATCTTGAGGAGAATTTGTTTCTTTGCGTCATTGAGATAGAGATACATTGGCATTCTCACACATACTTGGCCTCTCGACCTTAATGAGCTAAATTGGATCCTGAGCACGGAACAGCTAGATATTGAGTTGTATAACTTTTGCACTAATGTTGCTGCTATCACATTTCCTTCAACAGGCATAGTTCGAATACGTGAAACTGGAAAGATTCTACTCTCCATTGTTGTTTTTAATTTTCTAGATTTGATTTCAGTATTGTTCCTATTCGGGATTGATTAAGCTGAGAAGTTTCAGTTAAATGTATACTATACTATATCATTAACACTGGACTTATGGTAAGTCACTTCTAGACTTCCCAATAATGTACTGTGTAAGACTTTGTGGTACCAGACTTCATCATACCAGACTTCATCATACCGTTTAGACTTACTATATTTCGCTTTTCTTTTTGCTCCGGTCAGCATCTCCAGGAAACATAAAAAACCTTGTGTGGTAATAGAATGCAAATAACCTTCATGACATGCCGTAACATTGCAAGTCAAAACCTTTGCATCACTTAAGACTAGACAGAGGTTTTAGGACAGTCGATGTTCATGTGCAGCATGAATTATTCTTTATACAACGTTCACTTTTTGTTTTCCGCCATATCGATCATCTGCTGTACTTGTTGGCGACAGAGATCCTTCAAGTCCTCCACATCGGCCTGAAGCTCAGCCACACGTTCGGATTTCTCTCCAATAACCTCCAATAGAGTTTCTTCTTTCTTTGACTTTTGTTCCAACTCTTGTGAAAGTTTCGTCATAGAAGATTCAAGTTCCTGGACTCTGGCTTCCACTTCATACTTTCCTAAGATTTCTTGCTGCGCTTCATTCTTTTCTTTGGTAAGAGCCTCATTTTCCTCTCGTATGCTCATTAGTTCGATTTCAAGCCGGCGAATAGTCGAGCTCATTTTATTGATGAGCTGAATATTATTGGCTCCGCTAGAAAAGGCAGGCAAGGATGGCGTTTCTGGCTTCATGTGTTCGCCATCTTCTGGAGCTAATGCATCAGAATCGTCAAATCCGTTATAGGCGTCTGTAAGTGAAGCAGCAGAGAAATTAGGCTCGATGGGCCTTAGATCTTGCGAATTTGAAAGTTCTCCTCTTTCGTTCCACGGCTGCGATGGAGTGTTCATCAGCGAAAAAGAATTGTAGGAGGGGTGTCTATCAATTGGTCCCTGCATCATGTTTATATGAAGCCCGCTGTCACGGAGTCTTCTGGACTGAATGTTTGTAAGGTTCTCACTGGATATAGACTGGAACACGGGAGTGGTTTGACCCTCGTACTTTTGGATTGTTTCTGTGAGACTCTGGATCTTGAGGTCATAGTTCTGACGGTCGCTATTGAACACGTTTCTGAGCTCCTCAAGTTTGTCTTCCAATTCGGAAAACTCTCCCATCTTGATTTGTAACTGAAGATTGAGCTCAGTATTCTCCGATTTGAGCAGTTCAATCTGACTCTCAAGATCTCTAATGGTTTCCGACTGATCTCCTAAAAGATTATTAAGTTTTCGTATCTCCTGAGTGTTCTTTGCCTTTCCTTTCTTTAGCGATTCTAATGATGAGGTAAGCATCAGAATCTTACCCTGTAAATTGGACTCGATGATTTTCCAATTCTCTTGTGAAGACACATACTGCGCCTGTAAATCTCGATGAGATGCCGATAGTTTAGCGTACTCCGTGTAATCAATCTGCTTATTTGAAGATGCATCTGTCTCTGAAGAAGAAGGTTTTCCATCGTGGGACATTTTGAGAAAATCTTCATTTTCCAGGCGCAAGTTTTCGATTTTAGACTCCAATCGCGAGATCTCGACACTGCTCTCGTCTTTGATGGAAATGATCTGCTGATTGAGTTGGGTAATTAGCTCATCTTTGGATTTGAGCGCAAGTTCAGACTGGTTTTCTAGCATTTGCAAATGAATGGAACTTTCGTTGAGCTGTTTGAGAACAGATTTCTTTTCATTCAATTCATTCTCATAAAGACGCTGCAGCTCTTTGTACTTGGCTTCCCAATTGGCACTTTTCTCCTTTTCGAGCCTTGTTTGTGTTTCTATTAGTTTGTGTTTTGTTTCTTCCAAATGCTCGAGAAGCTGATCAACAGACTTGAGTTTGTGCACCTTCATGACATCTTCGATTTCGCCAAGCTTGAGCAAGACAGCTTCATTCTTAGCGGAATAGCTTTTCAAAGAAGCCTCTAGCTGGGTGTTTTCTTGAACCAAAGATTTCACTCTCTCGTTGAGCTTCAATTCCTTTTTCGAAAGCGCTTGGCCCTCCTCCATAAGCTGCTGGATTGTAGAATCCTTCTCTGCCAACTTCCGTTTCCAATCATCTGTCATTGGCTGCAGGGTTCGTGCTTGGGATTGCTTGAGGATACTGTTTTCTTTAGTCAAGCTTGCCACAAGTTTCTTCAACAGTTGTACTTCTTCTTCTAGTTTGGGTGTCTCGGGCCCATGATCCAATTTGGAAGCTGCATCTTTGGCCTGTAGAGGTTTCTCCTCCTGATCCAACTTCTCCAGTTTCTCCACTCTGGGTACTTCAACTTCCGATTCTTTTGTCACAGAAGCTGTGTCTGGAGTCGCTAAGAGGTTTTCACTCTTTGTGGCATTTTCCTTCTTGGGCGTATTCTCAGGCTCTGGGGTATTTTCAGACGTTGCTGTACTTTCTATACTTGCCTTGTGTTTCCTTTTCGCTTTGGCCGCGAGCGCCAACCGTTCTTGTAAGGTCAATCTTTTCTTTCTAGGTTTCGCTTCCTCTTCACTTTCTAGACCGGAAGAATTGACAGGTGATATTTCCGGCACGCCCGTTGACGAAACGGGAGCCTGAGCCCCTGTTTCTGCCGATTCAACATGTACCTCTGGTGCCGATTGTGATTCGATATGGCTCGTGTTCGTAGAATGATCTGTCTCTTCATTGGTAGTCGGCAGATCCACAACAGGGAGAGAATCTATCTCTGGCAGATTGGAATTGGGGGTTTCCTCTTCAAATTCATCACTCCTGCTGTCCTTGTCAAGCGTAGACATGGAATATGGGGAATATTGCCTATTTGGTGTAGGATCGACAATCGTGCGTTAAACACAGGACATTGGTGTTTTGGGAGGAAGCTGCGAGAGGCACGTGACACACATATGTTTAGTGGTTTGGATACTGGGCCTATTACGATCTGATTATGCGCGGACAGGACGTGTTTTTTTTAGTCTCCCTCAGCGAAATTCCAAATGCACGTCGATGCGAGTTCCGGAGAATGCACCATGAGCTATGTTCTAGGAATGCCTTCTTGCTGCAGGCGCACTTTGCCCCGGCCACCGGGGTGTGTACAAAGATGCCAAATAAGAAAATAAGCCCAAGCCACCTCGCATAAGCTGAAGTTTTAGCCGATTATTGATGCTTAATATGCGCCATGCACTTGGCAACAATGGAGAAAACCGACAGGAGATGAGCCTGTTGACTACCTCGTGACATGGAAAAATATGTAAAGATTGATGGTGTATACCGGCAAAAGAGCACAAGTCCGATTGTCATAGACCTCAGGGCCGCTACTGCCTACTCCGATGGCCAGACATTTATTTGTGCGTTTGATGTGGGGTCTCGGACTTTTTTCGTAACAATCAGACGCCGGCGTAGTGAAAATCGTACGGTGGCTCATCTTTATAGCCAACGCAAGAGGCAAAAAATATTCTGGCCGTAGAGAGAGACAATGGCCCCTTGTTGTTTTTGAATCTTTGCTTTCCTCTGGCATCCGGCCTTGGATCTTTGTCTACGGATGGTCTCATGTGGGGATATGGCGTGTTTTCATAACAAGATGTTGCTCCACTTTTTTCTTTCTCCTAGAACTGTTCAAGGACAAGTACAACAAACGCCATTATTTTTGGACCTAACTTGACGCACAGAAACACACTAGCGGTGAGGAAATCTGAACTTTGGCATGCATGCGTAGGGAAGCGTTTTGGTGTCGAAGGCGATGCGGGAAGTACGAGCGAGATAAGAGGACGCCCAAGACAATGGGCTCGGAAATTCTTGTAGGGGCCCGATGCAAACGATGCGATTGTTGGAGACAATAAAAATAGCCACGGAAATAGATACATGAAAAAAATCAGGTAAAAAATAGAACACCGTTCAAACGTCCGCAGTTCCTAGGAACAATAGTCTGTCAATGGACAATATGATCGGAACTTACCGAAGATACGCCTACTTCCTAACAATGCACACAAGCCTTACTGCTGCAACTGCAATGGCGGCACATCTCCATCACAGCGTCGGACGTCGCATCTACAATGCATCTTCCGCAGGCGGACTAAGCCCGCCCGCAGAGCCGTTGGTGTTTCCTACAGCGAAGTGCTGGCATCTAGAGCTATCGTACATTTGCGTTAATTGTTGTTTTATGCTTGTTTGGTGCGCCTATTTTGGGCTTCCATGCTTGGGTGCTTGTTTTGGACGTGCGTCCCAGATTTGCGCATCTGTGCTAGATTGAAGCGCTTGTACGTGGGCTCGGGCGTGCCTGTTTGCTTCTGCTCGCAGTAGATTGCATGTGCTTGTTGTCACGCTTACGCTGTCGGGTTGCATCGTTCCATGATGGATGGGAGCAGGGGCAACCGAATCGCCTCGCGTGTGGCGGAGGCCAATCCTATGGCAGGCGGAAGCGTCCGCGCCAAGCCCAAGTCCGACTGTGGCAGCGTGTAAGACCAAGCCCGCTCAGTTTTTTTTTCCCACGGTGCCGGTGCCGCCTCTTGTACTGGCAGCACAATGTCTTGCGGCGCTGTTTTCCGCTCATCATCTTCATGTTCGGCCTGTTCGTGTTCGGGCTGTTCATGTTCGGACTGCTCGTGTTCGCGATGTTCGTGCTCGTAGACATGCTCGGCAGACTCTGCGTCGCCGTCGCCGCGGGAACGCGGAGACAGCACGTCGGGCTCTTTAGGCGAAGCGGGCGCAGACCCTGCGCCCAGTGATGATGCACCTTCATGTCGGATGCTGTAAGTTCGCTGCGCCCGCGGATCACCTTTTTCGTCCACATGCTTGAAGTCTTGCTTGGACTTGCGGAGCCCGTGCTTTTTCGTGACAATGTGTGTGTTCAAGTGGTTGAGCGAGCCGTAGCTCTTGGTGCATCCGGGGAAAGTGCAGTTGTACTTGCGGAAAATCTGGTAGTAGCGCCTGCGGAAACGGCGATGCTTGTTGGCCGCTGGCGCTGGTCCTGGCGGCGCTGCAACGTTGTAGCCGCCGTATGCATATGCCATTTGGCGATGCTCAACGGGGATCATGGCATAAGGTGACGCAACAGGTGCGCCCATTGGCATGCCCATGTATGCATACGAAACTGGCATCATGGGCAGTGAATACTGAGGTGCTGTTTGCTGAAGAAACTGCGGTGGATATGCAGAGGGATAATGGGGAGGAGAAAAGTGCTGGAGCACAGCGCCTTGAACGGGCAGGCCATGCATAGGCGAAGGCTGCAGAAGCGGATGCGGAAGTTGCTGCGTAAGATGTTGTGAAGTTGGCTGCGGGAGATGCTGTGACTGCTGCAGAAGATGTTGTGATGGTTGCAGAAGATGCTGCGGCGCTGGATGCGGGAGGTGCTGCGATGGCTGCAGAAGGTGCTGCGATGGCTGCAGAAGGTGCTGCGACGCTGGATGCGGGAGGTGCTGCGATGGCTGCAGAAGCTGTTGAGTAGTGGGTTGCAGAAGGTGCTGCGAAGGTTGCTGAAGCTGCGGCACAGGCAACATGGGCGGGAGTGGCGCATGTGTATTCAGAAGCGGCGGCACTGGCGCTTTGGCACTGGGTGTATTAGGCGAATGAGAATCTGGCCGGTCCATAACAAAATTTGGTCAATTGAAAACAGCACCAGAAAATGGAGACTAAACCGTAAAACAAAGCCGTGACACGATAACGAGGTCTAAAGAAGCGAAAGTTGTGATCGCGTTGAGATCGGCACACGAAAACCTTGAATCAGCTTGTAAATAAAAAGACCAGTGAGATCGAGCCAACCAATTCAGTACTGGCAGAGATGCAACTTTCAGATAATGGAGATTTGGTGACTTAGTAGGTACGTTCTTCGCCAATGAGTCACACACCTAACAGACGGTAGGTGAATGTGAGGGGAAAAAGAGGAGCTGGCGAGAGTGATAAAAAATGGCGTGGCCTGGACTATTAAAGTATCTGCGTGCCTGGTATTTTTAGAGTTCCGGAAACAAAACCAAAAAAGTAGACGGGGATATATGGAGGCACGATACGTTGAAGGATAAGTAGCAAATTCGAAACACCTGATGAAGATCTAAACACTAAACTCTGGGAATTCAGTAAATATTGTTGGATGCTGGGCGCCAGGATCACTATGACGGAAAGCCGATGGAATACGAGCGGGAGATTCAACCGGAAGCGCCAATGGAGAAGGAAATTAGTCGATAGCACTAAGAAATTAGTGACGAAAGTTAGATACACAGGGGACCGAAAGGGATTGCCGCAGAAATCAAGAAGGAAAGGAGGCGAAAAACAAGGCCAGGGGAGGAATGAATGGAGAAAAATCGGAACAGATCAAGATCAAGACCGGAAATGTAACAAACAACAGCACTTTATAGAAGAAGCGGGAGGATGCAAGGAAGGTACAAGCGAAATTCGATCAACAAGGATAGGGGAAATGCCGACACTGAAATAGATACGGCTGGGACAAGAATTACCATCAGAGTCCGGTTACGCACGACATGAGAGATCACGTCAAAGACTGATGCTTGTTGAGTAAAAATAACCCAGATTCATCACATCTACGTCCTGCATGTGTATTAGCACAATGCAGAGAAACGCCAAGAGAAAAACAAGGTAAAGCAAAACAGTTAATTTTTTCTGCCGCATCAAGCTTTACTCTCCTGTGCATTGATTCATATTAAGCACCATGCACATGTGTGCATCTTGTACACCACATTACAGCTCGCGCTAGAAGACAAACTTCTCTCAAAAAGTGTCCTGGATCCCACACATCTTACTTATGCTCGGTCCCGCCCATGCTGCATCTTGGAAATCAAATCTCACACCATGCGGTATCTGGTGCACACCATACAGCAATAATGCCTCGTCTGTGCTGCGTAAAACGCATGTGTGCATCGACCTTCCCAGCCGTATGGTTAGTATTCGCAAATGCGTGAAGCGCTGCAACTAACGGAAATTTCGGCTGCGACTTCATAGATGCCGCTGCATTAGCTTGCTGCAGCCCCTCCTGAGGTTGTCAAGCTGGCCTCTAACGCCTTTATCGCGTTTGACGTAACAACGTTGGAGTGAGGTGGGTTAAGTTTTGCGTCTTTCCTATTGGCGCCAACAGAGAGGGAGAAACCTGCGCTGCCATTGTTCAGGTAATGATCAATCTGGAAATTGCCAGGAATGTCGCACATACCTTCAACCATATACAGGCATAGTACCTACTTAATGCATAAATTAGTGTTTTACTTGCACTGCATGACGGGTTGGGCTGTACTACAGCAAACTCTATGCACGGCCTACTGCGCTTGCTTTTAGGGAGAGGATTTATGCCTTCACTGACTTTTCTTTTACGCCGGCTTGCAAGCGGCACTTTGATTTGCCGGTTGGCGGTTCCAAGAAAATCCGTCCGGTGGCATCTGGCGCATGTATCAATCTTCTCAGATTCCTGTCAACTGCACGCATCATTGTCCAGAAGAGGATCAATCGTCACCACAAAGAGCTCTGTTTCATGTTATCCATTGTGAACGGATTTGCTTGTGGTGTGTTTTGGAGAATTAGGTTCCACATCTCGAATTACGAAGGTTGAACTAAGAAAAAATACTCACTTACTTTGGCGATCATGCATGTCGTTCTTACCGCGTGGAATTCTTAGTCAACCGAGGGGCATTTAGTAAACTCTCGAATAATTGCTCACTATAAATAGTTCATGTTGGTCTTTAAAAAAGAAAGCGAGGTGGAAGGAAAACTCATCATATTCTCTGTACGATATACGCAGACACACACACGCACACACACACACACATGCATAAAACGGGACACGAAGTTGGTCAAGGGCCATGCGGGATTTTTTATCTCCTTTTTTTCGTCCTTTCGCGACTTCGCTTACATCATAAAAATTTGACATACGGCATAGAAGCAGCATGGTTCATGTCGGCAATCGAGGCCTAAAATAAGCTTCTCCGTAGAGCTTGCGGATCCCAGTTCCAGAAACTCGCAGAACAAGGAAACCTATCACAATGAAGAAGCATTTCCTGCAGCTTTTCTATTCCCAATGGTTGCACGTTAACGTTGGAACTTCAAAGCCGACGAAACGCACAGCTACTTATCTGCTGACGTAAGATATCTTCTGCATCTGACGGTGAACATTCTTGTTAGGTCGGACCAAACCTGCAGACAAGTGACGTACCCCTCTTGCTTGTGGTGTTTGCTGTCTAGTCACAACATTAACCACTGCAAGTAGGCGCAGTATGTACACCTAGAATACGCATATGGTAAGCTTGAGCATTTAGATCATCTTGCTCACGCTTTGCAGAAACCGCTCGCCAAACCTCCCTTTTGCCTGTTCTGCTCCTTTAAGAAACACTGGATTGGAGATTGGGGATTGCACTGATGAGGGATAATGGGCAACAAAGGCAGATTCATTTGGCGCCCTCGTACCTTCATGCTGTCACCATCATTGTCAAATGAGACACGCGGACGCACTTCCAGACACAGAATCAGACTAGTCTACATGGTTAGAGATGATCCATTAGGCATTGAAACGGCCTTGTGCATCGCGAGCGAGTGAAGTTTTAGAACCGCTGTACGCATCGGCATTTTGTGCTGTGCAGTGGGGAATCCACGCTAGTGATGCAGCGTTGATGCTCAGAGAAGCAGTCATGCCAGACACATCACCGCTGTGCCTGATGCACGAAACCTACATCGTAAAAGACGCATAAGCTCCAACTTGTCCGCCGGAGTTCCACCTCTGTTGTTTACCGACTATGCAACCGTTTTCATGTGCTTCTCGCTCGCTTTATCTTCCAGAATGTATACAAAGTGATTTGGAGCTTCGTAGCCCTCAGAGTCGCTCTGTGAGCGAGCAAAATGTGTTGCCATCTGTAATGCAACGCACTGTTAGCGTATGCACGCTCGGTAGTTTTCACCTCGCATCGCCGATGTATTTTTTTTTTTTTTACATGCAGATGCAGCACCAATGGAGTTACTCTTCCGCTTACCAAGAATCTCTTCCACCACCGGTGTTCTTGCCAATACGGGCGGTGCAAAGGCGAAAACGCAAAGACTCCAAGGACTCACTGGATTCTTGCTTTGTTCCATATGTCCGAGGCCGACCCCCGAACTTATGTCACATGACTTCGGGCCGGCACTTCCATTCACCCGGCATCCTGCAACGGCCCATATCGCTAAGTATCAGAGCAAACGCCATAACCCCAGCAATCACGGACTTTGCAACCACTATGGAGGGGTTCTTGTAGATTAAGGCCTTCGGCGATTACTAGAAGCCAGCCATGTTGGGGGCTTCGGCGTTTGAGCTGAGGGGTACTAGCCCCCCCTCTCGGAGTTAGATTGCGATAGTGTCCCAGTTGGTAGAAGAACAGAAATTCATACACACGACTAGTGCGCAAAAACGGATCCGTTGAGCCGAAAAGAGCCTTTATCGCCAGAGATTAGTCACGGAGGGCAAAAAGTATAAAAATGCCAGCGTTTGCACGTCTTGTGGCCAGTACCGACTAACAAACATGGCCAGCACGAAACTCACAGCACAAGAAAAGGAAGCCCGCATCATGGCGGAAATCAGAGAGAACTCGATCCAGTTCCAGCCCAAGTTCGAAACAACCCTTCTTGGGAACTTTTTCGGCCTCAGTTTCCGCTCCAACTGATCTTCTGGCAGTCTACGAAACATGCGAGCGACATGTGCCACCTAATTGCGTTACTATTTTAATACACACGATACGACAAGCACCTGTAGAAGCTTCGGATAAACCCGTTATCCTACGCGCACACGCAAGTCAAACCAACGGTCGATGCCATCGCGAGGATTGACATCTGCGCCACTAAAGTCAAAGACACATTGGTTGATACGCACGTACAATAAAGACGGTCTTGCCTCTGCGTAGAGCTGCGCCGCATGCTGCACTTTGAACCATTCGTCAAACACATTGGGATGCACCATTCCAAGCCCCAAGTTGGGGGCGCCGCCGGCACGAACGCCGAAAACGTCCAAGTACTGAAGACGCTCAAGCGGCGCCAACCATGCTGCAAGCGTGCGCAGTGTGGGCACGCTGAGACGCAAGCTGCGAAGCAGGCGCATGCCGCTCGTGGTGCGCCCAAGTACCTCAGGCGTCGGCACCGTTAGGTCGCAAAAGGCGCTTTCCTGGCGCACCTCGATACTGAGTTTTGTGAGCAGCGAGAAAGCGGCCATTGCACGCGCATGCGTCGAATAGATTGTATCTGCATCTGCAAACGAGAGTTTGATTTCATTGAGCCGCACCACGAGATCGAGCTCGGTTAACGGAGCAGTGGCAATGGCTGCTAAGAAGGCTGCAACTGTATCCTGCGCGCCCTCGCGGAAATCAAGGTGCAAAGCCCGAAGGTTTGTCAATTGCGGCGCAATTAGCGGCAAGAAACCGTCGCGCGCGCGCGCACCGCACTCGGCAACTCCATGCAATGCAAGGTACTTAAGTTGGGGCAAGCACACTGCTTGGGCCAAACGCAGGGCATCATCTTCACAAACAAGAACATTGCTCAAGGTCAAAGCCAGCAAGTTTGGCCGCGGAGTGGCGAAAACTTTGCGGATGGTGTCCACGTCGACAGCGGCAAAATCAGGCGCTGCAAGATCACGCGAGGGAGGCAAAAGCGCAGTAGGTTCGCGCGTGCTGCGGTCAACGCAAAGCGCACGCAAATGCTCGCAGCCGCCTTCGAGCCGCGCCCATTGCGCCAGCGTCAGGGGCACATGTAAACGAAGGTGGTCTAAGTTGCAAAATTGCGCATGCAAGGAAGCCTCGCTACGCGGGAGGTGCAGCAGAGCCATGCAGATGTCGAGACGTAGCAAGTTCTCTGGCTGCGGGAGTCTAGCCAACCATTCCCAGTTGAATGTGGGCGGGCGCCAAATGAGTGCCACCAAAGACTCTTGCAAGCGGAAAAAATCCATGAGCGCATGCGCCGTGTCGCCATCAATACATGCCAGATCAGGCAAGGCCTCCACCCAGAGCGTCTGCACAAGCGGGCCCGCCCGCACAAAACGCCGGAAACTGTACAGCAGGTTGATGTAGGTACAATGTGGCGCATACTCGGGGCTGAACTCGGTGTAAGAAGGATCCACAACCACCTTGTGCAAAAGCCGCGGCATGCATGTCACATGCATAGTGCGGCTTGTGGCCGCCAAGCTCAAACAGTCGTACTGGCTCAAGTGGTCAGCCACGGAAGAAGCGATTTCGGGCGGGAGACTATCGAGCGCGCGCGCCTTGGACCCATCTGACTGGGGCGAAGAGGCCGGCGCAGCACTGCCGCGCGCCAGGGTTTGGGGCGGGCGCCCTGTACTTTGGGGCGAGCGGCTCTTTCGTGGAGCCACCGGGTTCTTGGCGTAGCCAAAGGGCGCATTTGCCCGCCGCACCCACTCATCTTCTGGAGCCATGAGAAAAAGCAAAAGCACAAAGACAATGGGCAAACGCTAGCAGAAACAGGGAGATCCAGACGGAGAGCAGTAGCGTGGTCTGGATCGTTTTGAAGATATGGGAGATGGACGAGGACGATGGGGCTATCGATGCAGACGCAGGCGCGGGAGAAATACGAGCGTCTCGGGACGAGAATAGCCGGATAAGAACAAACGTGGGCAAAGAAATGGGCCGATCTGGACTTTTGCAAGAGAATGGAGTGGGTCGTCTCGACCCCGCGAGAACGCGAACCGCACCTGCCGATCCGCAGCAAGAACAATGAGGGACTAGACTGGAGACGATAGGACTGGCCAAAGAAGGGCTGGCACACCAAAAAAACAAAAGAAAACAAAACAAAAAAACAAAAAAAAACAAAACAAAAAGGTTTGACCAGTCAGACAACCAGACCGGGAGCCACAACGCAATCCCAAAGCCATACTGTAGCATTCTCGACACGAGCAACACCCGTCCATTCGAAGCGCGCACTTGTATGCCGCGCCAACCAAACATTTCACCACACCAACATCTACTCATGGACGAAAACGACCGCCTTGCAGCAGAAGTGACGGCGCTTTCCACGCGGCTCATGACCGAGGTGGCCAAGCTGCTGCTGTTGGAGGAGACCGTGCACCACTTGCGCAAGGAAAACCGCGAGTTGGCGCTGCGGCTAGGCGACAGCAAAGACGGCGCGGGCCAGAGCGAGCTTGAGAAGGCGCGGGCCGAGCTCGACAGAAACAGAGAGGAGCTTGCAAAGACCAAGGGCGAGCTTGAAAAGGCCAGGAGCGAACTTGCCAGCGCCAACGAGCTGCGGGCGGCGGCAGAAGCCAAGAACGCGCAGCTTGAGGGAGAGGTGGAGGACTTGACGGCGTCGCTCTTCAACGAGGCCAACCAGATGGTGTCGGACGCCAGCCGCGAGACACACCAGTACAAGATCAAGAACCGCAAGTTGCAGGAGGAGTTGGGCGACAAGGACGCCATCATCGACAGTCTCCAGGGCCAGTTGACCGAGTTGAAGGCGCTCATCATGCGCATGGAGGACGACCAGGCGGCGGCGGCGTCGGTGTCTGCGCCGGCGGCTAATCCGGCCGGCGTGCTAGCGCAAACTATTTATTCGCCGCGAGTCCGGGCGCTTCGCTACGACTTGCCGCAGTACCAGGTGGCGTTCAAGGCGTTTGTGTACCAGTTGATCAAGCCGGACTTTGTGTTTGACTTGGCGCTGCTCAAAAACCTCCGCTACTTCCGCGCCATCTGGACCGAGGAGCTCGAGCCGGCGTTGGAGCGTGTGCCTCTGGGCACCACCTTCATGTCGCGGTTTCTGAAGGGCCGCACGTTGTGGGCGCTTTTGGCCGAGGGCCGTGCCATCATCGAGCCCGTGAGCGGCGTCAACGAAACGTTCAAGCTCACGTACAAGGGCGAGAAGACGGGCAAAGAAGTGCCGGTGGCCGTGGAGGAGCCGTGTCTGTTTTGCGGCGAGGACAAGAGCGACCGCATGGAGCACGCACGGCTCTACTACCTCAAGCTCTACGAGCCGGTGGAAGGCGCAGCGCATGGCGCAGCGCATGGCGCCGCCCGTGACATTGCAGGCGAGGCCCACGAGGTGGTGGCGACGCATGCGCTCTGCAACTTTTGCTTGGTCAAGTTGCGGGCCATTTGCGATTTTTTTGCCAAGTTGCGCCTCGTGCATGGCAACATCTACCGGTTGCTGCAGTGCAGTGCGTTTGACGACGTGGCGTACGTGCAAAGCTTCCAGTTCAAGCGTGCCGAGACACAGACGCCGGGCCATGCCCCAAGCGCCGACGAGGCGGTGGTGCTCAAACTCTACATGACGTTGCTTGCGCTTCGGGCCAAGATTTTCTGGAGCAGACGCGGCATCTGGGACACCGAGGATGACGTGGACAGCGTGCGGCTAGACGAGATCCCCATGGACGTTTTTCGGCAGATTGTGCGGGACGACGTGACGTTCGGACACGATGGGGGGAGAGAGTGCTACGGAGGGGAATGAGAAGGAAGAAAGAGATGAGAAGGAGAAGGTTGAGAATAAAGAGGATGACACAAAGGGTACAGAGCGAGAAGAGAACGACAAAGTTGACGAAAGCGATAAAATCGACAAAGTCGACAAAGTCGATGAAAGCAACAAAATGGACGCAATCGACGCAAACAAAATCGAGAAAGTCGACAAAGTCGATCAGGCCGTCGATCAGGCCGTCTCTCAGGCCGCCTCTCAGGCCGCCTCTCAGACCGTCTCAGACCCAAACACCAAGTCACGCGAGATAACAGAAAACGCGCCCAGCGAGACGGAAGCTGGCGACGCGCCCAATGGGGAACGTGCAGGACGGCGCAAAAAGAACAAGAAGAAAAAGGCGGCGGTGTCGTCGTCGTCGGAAGAGGACTTTGTGGACTCGGCGTCGTCGCTCCCATCTCGGCGGCCCAGCCGGTCCAAGCAGTTCAAGCAGAAAATGGACACGGACTTGGAAAACACCATTGAGATGTTGAAGGAAAGCATAGCGGAGTAGTGTGCAGGCGCGAAACCCACTGGCAAAACCCACAACCCACCCACCACTTTCCCTCCATGACACCCGTACCGCCAGGGACTCAGTGGCGGCCCCATTAATAGAGTAGTGACAATAGAAGGACAGGATAAGCGACGGGATGAACATGTAGCGCTCGAGTAAAATCCAGCAGACCAAAACCATCCGCCCAACTGGTAGAAAAACGTCAAAGGCCAGCCGGAGTGGGCTTACACCCGTACACCACCAAACGGTGCTGGCGCATTTGATAGTCTAAGAGGAAAAGCACATACTCCATCGGCGTTTTCCCTCAGCCGGCCCCGTTTTCTGTTCCTGTTTTCTTTCCCGGCACCTTCCTGTCTGCCAGCCATGTCCAGCCGCCAGCGAATAGACCCGTACCTGGCACACCACCTGGAGGCTCGAAACGCATACTACCCGCCGATCTACGGGCCCAAGGACGGCAAAAACAGGCGCAACGCCAGCGCCGGGTCGACCACGAGCGTGAACTCGGGCAACAGCGTGAGCAGCGCCAGCGCCAGCATCACCACCGCCGAGAGCGACAGCCACAGCATCCACAATCCATACTCCATGAGCACGAACACCAATACAAACACATACTCAAACACGAACTCGAACTCAAACACAAACACATACGCAAACACCACCACGAATAGCAGCATCAACAACACAAACGCAAACAATTCAGGCCCGGGCCACACGCACACGGCGTCCGTGGCCAGTTTGGGCAGCAACCCCTACGGCACGCCGCAGCGGCACCGCACGTCGGCCAGCCTGATCTTCTCGTTGCGCAAGACGCGGGACGACGACGCCGCGTCCATTGCCAGCAGCGGCAGCCCGCGCCACCTGCGGGCCGCGTCGACGTTTCTGTTCCAGCAGCCCGACGACAAGAAAAAGGACCGCAAGACCAAGAAACGGCCCGACGCCAAGCAGGAGCGCGACAGGAAACAAGACGACCGCGACCGCCTCGACACGAGCGACGACCGCCCGGCCCGCACGGCGCTGCTCCCGCTCCTCTCGCGCAAACCGCGCGACCCGCTCGTTCGCCCTGTAAACCCGGTCGACATCGAGCGCATGTTCCGCGAGTTGATGGACCGCCGCGACTTCCGCTCGCTCCCGCCCGCAGCACGCCAGGAAATGCTTGCTTACGGCGTCGACAAGAAGTGGATGTTGGTGTATCAGGATGCGCTCAGCGAACAGCACAAGCAGGGCCCTCGTGCGCCGGCCACGCCCGAGTTCTACACGCGGCGGCTCATTGCCAAGACCATCACCACTGACGAGCTTGGCAACTTGTGGGTGCTGTTGCGCACGGAGCCGATCGACTGGGTGCGGGCGTTCATCTTTGATTTCCAGGGCGACGTGGCCTTGTCCAACTACCTTATCAAGACGCATGAGCAGATGGCCGCGGGCGATATCGACGACGTGCTGGACGACATCTTCAACCGCGAGTTTGCCATCCTCAAGTGTCTCCGGTGCATGATGAACCAGAAACTCGGCGCCGAACGCATCCGCACCGACGACGCCATCTACATTCTGGCAGTGACGGGCCTGCTTCTCTCGCCTCGAATCGCCACGCGGAAAACCGCAGGCGACACCTTGACTTTCATGCTTGCCTACTACAATGACGACTTTCAGCTGAAACACCACAAGATTCTTCGCGCCCTCGATGCGCTCTCGGCACGCCCATATTTCGAGTTCGTGGCGCCTACGCCTCAGAACAAGAAAAACTTACAGCGACGTCCGCCGGCGCCTGACCAGTACCGTCGCTTTGAGCTCTGGCTCCAACTTGTGGCAAAGACTCTTGACGGGAAAGGGAAGTACAAAAACTCGCTTGTGGGAGCTAGCGATGACCTCAAAACGGCAATGTACGGCCTGAGCTCCATGAACTCATCCCACGTCGAAAATCAGCTTCTCGAGTACTGCTTGAGCACCATGCTTCTTCTCAACAAAATCGTGGAGTCGGGCCTAGACTTCCGGGTCCGTATTCATCTCCGCGCTCAACTTCGTGCAGCAGGGCTTGACATTCTTATGGCCAAGTTCCGCGAGCTAGGCTACGAAAGTTTGGGTCGCCAGTGTGATGTGTATCAAGAGTTGGCCGAGGCAGATGAGTTTGAGTTGCAAACCAAAGAGCAAATCGATGACAAGGTCGACTTCAACGATCCCGTTGACTTGGTGCGCTCCTTGTGGCTGTCAGTACAAAACTCTGAGGCCGAGGGACATTTCATCAGCGCGATACAGCACATTTATCTCAACCAGGTAGAGAAGAAAGATAATGCGGAGGACTTAGCCAGGAGCTTGCGTCTTCTCGATGGCATTGTGCAAAATGTTTCCAATGTTCATACAACAAACGACGATTCGGCAGTCGGAATTGCTATTAACAGGCTCTTTGCCGGTCTCAGCACAGACGACATGTATCGAAAGGCTTTGAGCGAAGCAAAAACATACAAGAAACTCGCAGAGGAAGCAACAGCAGAAAGAGACGAAATGTCCCGCCAACTTTCTTTGGGTGCAGAAGGGCTCATTGCAAACCTTACCAAGGATCTACGAGAGGCTGAAACTGTCCTTGCGCGGACGAGACGTTCGAAGGAAGAGCTCCAAGAAGAAATTGAGGAGTTGAAGCGCAAGGTTCTTGTTCAGAAGCAGGAGCGTGAAGTGGAGATGCGTGAGCTATTAATTATGCTCAATAATTCTGAAATCAAAGCCCGCAAAGCTGGTAGAAAAACGACCGTGCTGGTGGAGACAGATAACGAGAAGCTTATTAAAGAGCTTCAGAAGAAGGTCCATCGCCAGAGAGCAGAGTACAAATTGGACAACAAACAGCTCGGAACCCATATAGAACCGAGCGCACGTTTAAGGGCATTGCGTGAACAAATGAATGATATTGAAAACTTGGCCAGAGAACTTGAAATGACCGACTTTGATACCTATACAACCCCACGACCTGAAGTGACGGAGGAAACCACAGAAGAAGTTTCGGAGAGCGTTTCGCCTACATCTAGCTCCTTTGACAGAATTGAAGAGCAAGAGTCAGAGGAAGAGTCCGATACAGAAGTAGTAGTTATACCCGAGGGACCGAAGAGAGGTTGCCGATCCGATGATTTAGAGAAACTTTCAAGCTTGAGGAAAAAGCTCGCATCCTTGCAGAACGAGTCGAATGATATTATGAAGTTCAACAACAGTGCCATGTTCTCCAAACAAAAGTACTTAGCCATGGAGAGATTACGTGAACTTGAACTTAATTTCAAGGACTTTAACATTGATTTCAATTCTAATGATGATGACATCATGTCTCAAGATGTTGAAGAGGACATGAAACTAAAGATACAAGAAGAGCTCGAAAATGCTAAGAAGGTGAATCAGGAATTAAACGCGCAACTTCGGGCCTTAAAGGATAAGAAATCTAAGCGTTACTCAGTTAACCCTTCGTCTGATGTATTGAAGAAACTTGAAAAAGAGTACGGCCAAGGAAAGGTGAAATCCGATAGTACAGACGTTACGAGAAGTACAAACGCCCCAGTAAGGGACTACAGAAATAATAGACTTTCATCTATCAATGGCAAGAGTCCTCATTTCCTCAAGGAATTGAGCTCCAAGGTTCTGAAAACCGAAGCGATCACTCCTTCTGACGATGAAAGTGACCAGTTCGAAGATTCTTTGGAAGTTGTGCAGAAGCCATCGTCCATCCCACCTCAAGCTAAATCCACCCCTGCACCGCCTCCGCCTCCGCCACCTCCACCTCCACCTCTTCCAGGGTTATTAAGTGAAGCCAATTCCCAGTCAGCTCCACCACCACCGCCACCTCCTCCACTTCCTCCCTCACTTGCCGGTCAAGGAGGTACACCGCCACCGCCACCACCACCACCGCCTCCTAACTTTGGAAGCCCTGGAGCTCCTCCTCCACCGCCGCCTCCACCGTTCCCTACTTCGAGGACACCTTCAGTCTCTGTCGAGGCATCTCCTGAGCCTCGGGAGATATTGAGTCTGTTCCCTAGACCGAAGAAAAAGATGAAGCAATTGCATTGGGAGAAATTTGATTTGTCTGAGAACAGTTCGAACACTTTCTGGCAGAACTCCAAGCCTGAAAGTATGGTTAGTGATTTAATGGATAAAGGTATTTTGGACGAAATTGAAGCTATCTTTGCCGCCAAAGAAATCAAGAAGCTTGCCACAAAGAAGAAGGAGAATATTGATAGGGTAACCTTTTTACCAAGAGATATGGCTCAACAGTTCGGCATCAATTTGCATTCTTTCAACTCTTATCTGGATGAAGAGGTGATACAAAAAATCTTACGTTGTGACAAGGATGTCTTGGAAAGTCAAACAGTGCTCGAATTTCTTGCTAAGGAGGAAATTGTGGAAGTTTCTAATGGTTTAGCCAGAAACTTAGAACCATACTCCACAGACTACAAAGCTGATGTGATATCCAAACCGGAGAAAGATCCTAACGAATTACAAAGACCTGATAGAATTTACTTGGAGTTGATCTACAACTTGCAACATTATTGGAAATCCAGGATTCGTGCCTTGAAAACCATTGCCACATTTGAAAAGGACTACGAAGAGCTTGTTCAAAAACTTCGCAATATTGACGATACTGTAGAAAGTATCAGACACTCCAAGCACTTGAGAAGTGTATTTGACATCATCTTAGCAGTTGGTAACTATATGAACGATACTTCGAAACAAGCAAAGGGTTTCAAATTGAACTCGTTGCAACGTTTAAGTTTCGTGAAGGATGACAAGAATAGCATGTCTTTCTTACACTACGTCGAAAAGACTGTGAGAACTATGTATCCTGAACTCTTGGGATTCATTGATGATCTCTCAAAGTGTATGGAAGTGTCGAAATACTCCATCGAAAACATTTCGAGCGAGTGTAGAGAGTACGCGCAAGCTATAAAGAATGTTCAGAGTTCAATTGACATTGGCAATTTGAGTGATGTTTCTGTTTTCCATCCAAAGGATCGGGTACTCAAGGTTGTCACACCAGCTTTGCCAAAGGCCAAGAGGAAAGCAGATTTGCTTCTTGATCAAGCAGAGTGTACTTTCAAAGAGTTTGACAATTTGATGAAATACTTCGGCGAGGATCCAGATGACAGTTTTGTCCGTAACTCGTTCATCAGCAAGTTCACAAACTTTGTGACTGAATTCAAGAGAGTACAAAAGGAGAACCTCAAGAGAGAGGAAGAATTGAAGGTATACGAGCAAAGAAAACGGCTTCTTGAAAGCAACAACAAGCAAACGAAAGCTGCTAAGGAGAAGAATGGAAGTGAAGATGATGGAGATGCTGATGTTATGGATTCTCTTTTAGAAAAGTTGAAAGCATCTGGTCCAAAACGTGGGGAAGCATCTTCTGCCAGAAAGCGGGCTTTGTTCAAGAAACACATTATGGAAAGCATGAAACGGCATGATGACGGTTCTGCTACAGGAAGTCCAAATGACTCGTTCTCTGATCTACTGGAATCTCAGAACGAAGACCCCAATGATGCAGATATAGGTTCACGTGCTCGGAATTTACTTCAAGAATTACGAAAAGAAGAGAGTTCTGACGGAGACCGTCCTATGACTGCAGCAAGTCAGTTTCGGCAGCAAAGACAGCGGAGGAAGCAAATAAATGCTAATTCATCCGATGCCATCAGTGAAGAAAAGGACATGCAGACGCATGAATCCGTCAATGAGAAGGAAGAATCAGAGAAAGAAGCTGGTTTGAAAGATACAGGAAAGGAGATAGAGACAAGCAAAGTAGGTGAATCAGTTACGGTTCAAGAATCCAGCGACCTTTGATCAACAGCATGATATGTTTTTATAATAGGCTCTATAATTATGGTACATAGCACTAAGAACATACTTAGAAAGAAAAAAAAAAAAAAAAATTAGAAAAAACGTTATATCATGATATCGCCAGGACTAACATGAGCCAATTCTTCTAAGTCGCAATCAATCACCTTCCCTTGGTTTTCCTGGTAGTCAAAAAACAGTCTATAAATGGCATAAAAACCTTTTCCTGTCACTTTATCAAGAAATGGGCGACTGAGATGTTCACGTAAAAATTGAAACTGTTCCCCATCAGAAGCCGCCAGTACCTGTAAATGAGGCACTACTCCTCCTTCGATCAATCTTTTTCTCATGTCAAGAATCCTTTCTTCTTTGTCATTGGTAGGATCAAAAGCAGTCACTTCCCCATTTACACCAACTGTCAAGATATACTTACGGTCATCTTGAGACCAAAAATCGCGAGAGTGTGTAATGAGAACTCGTGGGATAACTGACATTTTGAACATGAATTGATTTTTCAAAGAAGCTCGCTTCGGGTCAATTATAATCAACGAAGAATGTAATTTATCTCCAGCAACTAGAGTCTCACATATATGTGAGTGGTTAACAATACTGCGGGACACTGGGTCTTTGAAAACAACTGAAAGTGTTTCTGAGGATTCATTGTCTTGCTCCATAGCGTCTGGATCTGGGGTCTGATATTCAGCGCCAGGGGTGTACAGAAAAAACAAGTAGGGAATCCATTCTCGTGCTAACCAAAATAGAATTCTCCTCGTTCACCAGAATGGACACAATCGGGCTCGAAAGGGTAGCTAGTTTCGTCACGGGCCCGAAGTTTCCTATCTTCGAGACTGTAAGAAGTCGAGTATATTTTGCACCCACAGGAGAACAATATTGTCGATTCAACTTGTTCAATGCAAGTGACAGGCTCATCCCGTGGAATGCTAATGAGTTCCACCAATTTGATCACAGTGGTGTCAGCAGAGACTTTCGCCACATCCAAAACCTTCAATGATCCAGCTTGGTCATTTATCAGAGACCCAACAATAAGTTTTTTCGACACTCGGTCTTGTCTTTGAATCTGCCATACGAAAGCGCACATGGGAATTTCGTTCTGCTGAAAAATAGGCTCTTTCCTTTGCTGCCCCAGACGGGACTCGATCTCAATAACTGGAAGAATTCGGTTTGTTTTACGATCTGCAAATTTAACCCGGGACGTCGCATCTTTGGAGTGGCACAATAATGCAAAGAGGGCAAGGTTATCGAGGAAGACTAACTTTTTAGCACTATCGCCGATACTGATTTGTTTGGTAACTGGTTCTTGGTGGGTGAACACAGATGCGATGGTTAACCCATCTTCTCTCACAAATGCAAACCGAAGAAACTGGTCTTCTTTCGTTGCAAGCGCAGTCATTTTGAAAACAGCTCGTTCGGTCCTCTCTTCAAACAACACTTGAACAGGATTGTCAGACACGTAGAAGTTGAACATCCAAATGTTTCTCAGATGAACAAATAGAAAGTTGGGATCCAGTCCACATAACTCAAGCCGCACGGGTGTTGTTCCTAAGTCATAGCATTTGGAAGGTTTGAGTGCAAGTGTATCAGAGCCTTCATCAAGTTGAAGTTGAATGAATTCCCCCAGAAAGCATCCCACGAATACAAGGCCATGGAATTCTGAATAGACGATATCATGGCCCACCACAGGAGTGGATTTTCTTTCATCTTTAGTATGCTTAACTTCGCTGAGGTCGTAGCGTGATTTTAATGAGAGAGGAGAGTCCCAATTTTGCGGACTCATCTCGGCCACAATTAGATGGCTGCTGAAGGTCGTTATAAACACTTTAAATTTTCCCGAAGAAGTTGCAAATACTTTCATTGCACTCACTTGTTCATTCAAAGGATGAGAAACAGACATGTATGACTGCGAATCAAGCAAACAAGCATCGCTTTCGAAATCTTCATACTGAGATAGTTTAACCACTTGAAACTCAAGACAATTATTGGGTTTCTCTATAATAAGGAAAGCAAGGCATTCCACCACACATGCAAACAAGATTTCGTACAGTAAATGAGCTGTCTTCATCTGCTGCAAGTTGGAAAATGTCACCGTAGAAGGTGTAAATTGAACAGCCGTATCAGTATTCGGAATTGTAGATATACATAGGGTGATGTCATTCAAATAAAGCATTGGATCTTCAATATCAACCAAAACATCATCATCAGAGCCTTTTGAAGCATTTTCTTCGGGCTCGGTGTCAAGACAAGTTTCCTGGTACTGAAGCACTTTTGTTTGAAATGGCATCGAGCAAACAAAGAACTGGCTTTCAGAAATTGTCAAAAGAAACAAGTCAGCGCACTTACGTAAAAACTCGTAAGTGCTAGTTTCTTTCTTCGCCCTATACCCTGAACGGAGCTGAGTCAACTTCGTTCTTTTTCCGACTCCAGTAAGCGCCCATAGTTCCTGCGAGCAATAGGGTTCGATATTCCTAGACTTGTAGCTATCGATAACTCGCACGTCGACGATAGGGGCCCAATTTCTATAGTCATGCTTTAGTTCAGCATCGCTGTAACCGATTTTTTGACCCGGCCCCAACGATGATAAATAATCTTTCGTAAAAAGACTGGATATAAGTAGTTCTTTTGCCCCGGCTGTGTCGCTAGCGAAATTTAAAAGAAAGCCTTTCCCCGTAATCCTTCGAAACGTAAAGACAGATATGGGATCACCGATACGAGCGATGGGCTGGATTATTAGCGAGGTCCCATTTTCCACAATTATCGAGTATATGACCCCCGAATCCGAAGCTAAGAGAACTTCGTCCGTCGAAGCATCCTCGAAAGATAAAATGGGTGAGTCAGGAATGTAAAACGCAGTGGGAAAAGAACCGTCGTATGCGAATTTTAAAAAAGAGTAGTCGGCCGACGTGATGTTATGAGCAGTAATGATCGTCAACTGGTCTGTGCCAACAAACAAGAAACTGCCGTTCTTGGCCAAAGGGGCTATCATTACCGGAACAGGGAACGTACTGTTCAAAGGCAACGTGCATTTCGCCAAATTGTTATTGATTGAATCTGACACATACCAGTTGTACAAGCTGAGCTCTAGCCGGCGCTGCTCGGAAAATGTAAGCGTAAGAAACATGAGGTGGTTATCTCCCGCAGACTTATCCAAGGGCTGGGCAAAGCAAGAATGAAGAATCACCCCGTCAACAGGAACATTGAAGTGCGGGGATAGTTGTATTCCAGTTTCTGTGGGCTGGCACATGTGGATTCGGAAAACAGACGATGCAGATGTAGATACCACTGCCATTCCCGAAGCATGAGAATGCAACTCTTTGCCCGAAGCTTCGAGGCCGTTGCTTTCAGAGGCATCCCACCACTGGACACAGAAGGGGCGGAAAACATGCGAAGTGGTGCTTTGGCTTTCCAGAAGCTTCTTGCGGTCGTTGAGGCGCCGGGGAACTCTCCAAATTCGAATGAGAAGCAAAAAGCCAGATTTCAACGAGAGAAGGAGCGAGTCCTCTGCGCCCGGGCCTCCGGAGATCCGCGTGGATGCTCTCACGGTAGAATTAAGCGCATAGTCAATGCCATTGATGGAAACCGAGGCGGATTTGACCAATACCGTCACCGTAACCTCGCGACTCGGCGTATTGTCATATGATTCCTCTTTCTGCTGTTGGCCCTCTAGATTCCACAAGATGTCATCATCCTCCATCAAGTCGTCGCCAAAGTACGAATCCTGGGTGGGAGCATGCAAAGTCTGATCGTTTTCATCGTTGATGGATGTACTAACCAACCCCGCAAGTGGCTTCTTGGTGAAAACTTTGAAGTCAGGCCAAATGTTCTGGATAATGGGAGACGGCACCAAAGTCTTCTTGAGATATGTGTTTGGCGGAGGCGGGTTTTCTTTGGCAAAGAAGAGCGCCGCCAAGGGGTTCGGATCCATTGGGAAGTACCAAGATGTGTAGATGAGAATATATGTAGGAGTTGGTCAAGTGGGCGAGATGGTGTGAGTAGTAAAATGCAAGTAAGGGCAGAAGAGACAAAGTGGAAAAATAACAAGTAAAACAAACTAGACTGAAAATGGCATATAAAGGTAATTCCGCCTACATCCACAAGGGCCATGGTTGAAAACATTTTATGGTGCTCGTGTAATCATAGTCGCGTTTTTGCACCCATGTCCAAACTCTTCTTTACCGAAAGCCTTCTTTTGGTCTTTGGCGGGCTAATTTTGGGTCTGAATGACTCGGTATTCCTTCCGTACGCTAACGAAGTTCTTTTGCGGATCGAGGATCCCACCCGTCAGAGAATGGTTTTGTTAGCATGTGCCACAAGCTTGGGCGCTCTAAGTATGTCCACCCATTTGTTTTCTCCCGTTTCTCTTCTCTTCTTCATCTTTTCTAACCTTAGTTACTGCTCTTGGCTATGGGGTGATTGCTCACTTCGTCTCTCCGCTCCAGATTTTCCAGTCTGCCTTATTGTTCTTTTCTCTTGGATGCGTGGTTTCTGCCATCCTGGGTCTTTTTTACCTTCTCGCTATTGCACAAATGATAAAGGCTCTAGCATTGGGCCTCCTCTCTCTTTCTGTTCCTCTTTTCGTTCTCGACCAGCTGAATTGGCCCCAGCGTTTAGCGTTTGTACATCTCTTTTCTAACCTAGGCATACTTTTTCCCACTATTGCCTTCTTTGTTGGAGAAGCAGGTAACCCGTCCCTATGGACGTTGATTATATGGCTGACACAAATATTTTTTGCCTTAGTCTTGCTAGCCAACTCTGCTTTCGCCCAGAAACCTAGTGTCAGAAGACCCTTTCTTCCAGCACTTTTCCGTATGGACCACGCTTGGGCAACTTCTTGTGCGGTTTCCATCCAGATACTTACTCAAACAGTTTGCTCTCCTCAAGTTACGGTCTTTTTGTGTGAAACGTTTTCAACTTTGGGTCTCCGCAATCCGTGGGCTTATCAAAGTGTACAAGTGTTTCTTGTATTTGCATCTTCTCTCGTGGCTGTGTTTACTGTGAGGATTGTAGCTCATAAAGATGTTCTCATCTTCTGTATGGCTGCGGCTACAGTTGCTTACTTTGCTCTTGGAATAACTTTCTCGTTTCTGAGTACTGTTCAAAATAGTATGGCAGTCTCATTCTCTATTGCAGTTCATGCTCTCCTCAGCTGTCTATTTCCAATAATCCTGCTGACGTCGTGGATATACTCTACTTCATTATTATCTCCTGATATCATGGTCGGAGGGATGTCTATCACCATGGCTTCAAGATGGTTAGTGGATGCATCTATGGCTTTTGCATTTCCTTTCTTTCTCCGCAATCCAAAGTCCGTTTCTTTTTTTGTTCTTGGAACTATATGTTTTTTGTCCACTATAGTGTTTAGTCGTTTCCCCAATGTAGAAAAAGATGGTGAGATCATGGAAGAATACGACCAAAATCAGTTTATGGCCAAAGAGTTCCAATTGGGTCTGAAGTCAAGACTTTTTGGGCAGAATACAGAAGCAGGTAATTTTGGGGAAACTAAAAGGTGATATGATTTTTTTTTTTTTTTTTTGGAATGTTATGAGCTTGAATCCTCGGTATGACGTCTTGCCCGTAACATGAGTAAACATGTGCTGCATTTTCAACTTATTGATACATTTCCCTCAGATTCTACGAAGGGAATGGCTCTCAATAATTCAACGAGTTTTATCTGACGTCAAGCCTCAATCTCTCTGGCATTCTCAATTATGGAATGTTCTGAAATTTGGCCTGGGTGCAAAGTGATAGGCATAACCTGCACAACAAAATCCTTACCTATCATTTCTTCTACATGTCCCGATACACTAAAATAGAGAATGATGAAGACGTGTTCCTGGGTCAGCATATTGAAAGCGATCAAGGGTTACAATCGCCTCCAGATTTGATCCAGCATGGTATGTTTTCCTCAATTCGGCAGCTTTCGAGCTGAATATGTCTGGCCATTGATTTCCGTATCAACAGCCACCTGATTCCACCGATACTAACGACAGATTTGGCTGATTTCAATACACCCCAAGCTCAACCAGCCTCCCATTCAGGTGACCAGAAACATGGACATATGTTCCAGATGGGGTTCTATCGTCGTTTTTTCGATATAAATACCGACGAGTTCTTTGAGAAAGTTCGTCTTGCCCTCAATCCATTCAATAATGCATCAGCCGTGGCAGGGGTAGACGAGGACTCTGAATTATATGGCTTCATCTGGATTACTGCAACTCTTATCTTTCTCATGTTTGTTTCGTCCACTAGCTCTAACCTCGTGTCACATTGGCTCTACTCCGATAAAGATGACGGGAAATACGAATACGATTTCCTGCTTCTCACCATGTCGATCATAATGTTCTACGGTTACACAGCTTTGGTTCCATTTCTTTTCTTTGCGGCTACCACCTGGTTTATGAAGTTCGAAGAACGCTTTTCCTTAACTCGCGTGATCTCCATCTACAGCTACGCAAATGTTCTCTGGTTTCCGGTAACAGTGGCTAATTTTATATTGGTGGTTTTCGTAAGCAGCTCGAAACACCATAAACTATTGAGTGCCCTCCAGTGGATTCTAGTGGCCGCCAGTGGCGCTATTTCTGGTCTTTCCATAGTCGTGAAGTTGAGGCCACTTATTCTCAAAAATACCAGGGGACTTTCAGGCGATGGAACTGCGGAGGATCAAAAAAGGCTTCGCTTATTGATAAGTGTGCTTATTGCGGCGCACGTTGCATTTACTGTACTCGTTAAGGTGTTGTTCTTCTAGTTTATTTCAGTTCACAGAGTCCGTTATCTACATGTGCCTCAATTATGGTGGTCGCTATCTCTCAAGGGTGATCTTCAAGTTTCATCTGCGATATTCGTACAAGAGCATAAGTATCAGATACAATTTGATCATCGGAAGTATCCTTGTGCCTAGATATACGGCTTGCAACACATATTTTGACGTAATATAAGCTATGCGGAATTTTGTTTTTTATAGGTCCCGTTTGAAATAGCCCATTTTCAATGAAACTGGCTCATTATTATTGCAAGTATTCTATTTTGTGATTCACACTAAATTTCGTCAATCTAGCTTTCTCAAATTGACTAGTATACTATCGCACTAAAGCCCTGATTAAAATGTCGTGTGTCAACCATTCCACTGTGTATATATAAAGCGAGACGCACGAAAATTTTGTTCTTGAGAAAAAAAATATATCGAAATGCTGCCAGTCCATGCATGCTAGTATGGGCTTCAATGAATGGTATGTTCGAACCTACAAAGGGCGAAGATTATTTGCATTTACCAATTGTTCCAACTGAATCACCGGGTTGACAATCGCATTATCGTTAAGTTTCAGCCTTGTATGAGCCCTTTACTTTGTTTCATGAGAAACTCACTAACATTATAAGGTATGTTTTACACTTAAACACGCGGCGTTTCATATGAGGATACTTGTGACCGGGCGGACATATTCAACCTCTTTCTCCCCTTTCGAGGAGTCGCATCTCTGTGTACAAATTTTGAGGTGTTGGAGAAAGAGAGGTGATGATAGGTCTTTGCTGATTTCAAACGCTTTCTGTGGATTAAAAACAGAAAACAGATCAAAACTAACAATAGTAGAAACAGGACAACCATTTATTGCTTCTCATACAAGCACACAGCGGACGCACGGCATTTCTTTGCATGATGATTCTTCATATTCACACTGTACTAGAAGTTTCTGCTTCGGTGACTACAAAAACACAAAAACTGATTTAATGACTCTGATAAGAGAAATGCCGTGTTGACATTGTGTAGCTTCCACTAGCCAAGCTGTGACATTACTGCTTTGTCTATTGTATTTTCATCTTCTCATCCTGATCATCGCATGGTCTTTTCTTCTACTTGTTTCTCTCTTGGCTCGTCTTCCTGGTTGCTCTCTTTCAAGACTCATTGTAATAGGTCTTCCATGGGCAACATATTATCCGTAACTGTCAACCTCTGTTTCCTATCGTGTGCCAACTTCCAATGTTCTAACTTTCCACTTTTTGACTTTCAACTTAAATTTTCATCTTCAACTTCGATTTTCGACCTTTTGGTTTATTAATGTGGACTTTTCATCTCAGGCCATCTATTCAAGACCTGCATACCACTAGATGCGAAAATCGCCTATACTCACATCACCTGGAGTAGTCTGATTTTCCAAATTTGCATTCTATCTCTATTTATTGAAAAAACATGGCCCATTGAAAGATGCTCCGTTTTGTAAGTGGAAAACATCGATGTACAACCATAAGCAAGCTTCTAGCGTGCCGGTCCTATCCATCCATTCTCTCCAAAACTTTCCACCTTCGACAGATCCAAACCTCAACTTTGGCGTCCCAACATGCCATTTCCATGGCTCATCCCATAGAGAAAATCCTTCTAGATCCTGCCCAAGAAGACTCTTTTATTGAAGCTCTACGAACACCATCTGGTCGCAAAAATTCTCCATCATTGTATATTCTATTTTCCAATGCCATCGACATGGCGTCGAGTGAGTTATCGCATGAAGCATACAAGTTGGTTTTGAAAACGTGGGAAACTGTCTTCTCCAAGAACTTCGATGACGTGAAGCTTCAAAAGCGGTTCTTGAAACTCAAACCCAAAGTAATCCATTTAATGATGAACAGAGGCGATTACGCATCTTACACTCGTTTGGTTCGCCCCATCTATAACATGAAGCATCTTGGCGCAAAGTCAGAATGGGCAGATGTACTCATGTCCACACTCCAGCTTTCCACAGACGCTTTGGGAATTGTCAAAGCAAATCATTCGGTCATCGAAGCATTTTTGAGAAGCGAAAAACATCACATTGACGACAAGAGACTCTTAATCGCAACATATGTCCGAAAATGCATGTTGCACTCGGCGCAGTCACTCAACTTCGACATTGTCTTGCTGAACTTCATATCCTTCCTCGGCCTCGTGGGCGACGGAAATTTGCATTTAACTCTGTCAGAACATTTAGTCTACGAACTGTCCCTTCGGTTGCTAGCACTTCCGTACGAAGGCGTATCAATCCGAACACACATCGAAAACATTGAGCGCATTGTGGAAAAGAAGACCGGGAATGACAAACACCTGCTTTCGCTCTTTATGTCTTCTTTACTAGCATCCATCGCAAAAACTTATCCAAGCATGGCCCACCATTACTGGAACTTCAAGAAAGACCACTTATCCACGGGCCTCTTGCTGTATATTACACCTGAAGACCTTCTCAATGTGATGTGGGCGTATTTTTCCGAGAAAAAGTACGAAACAGTGCTAAGAGTGTATGCTGATCATCCATCGTTGCAAAGAGACGACCAGATCATCGTGCTATTAAAAATCAGTGACAAGACAAAGGACTGGCGGCTTCTTCAACTGCAGTTCGAAGACATGTATGGTCGTGGAGAATTACCGTATGTGGCGCATTATATGGTTGTCATGAACGCTTTGGCTTCTATTGGGGCTACTTCGGAGGTCGATAAGTTGTACGAGCAATTGCGTAAAAGAAACTTGGCGCCGACTCCTCTGATTTTTTTGGCGCTCATCAAAAGCAGGCTTAATGTTAACGACGATGCTGGGGCTCGTTTGTGGTTTGACACCTTCTTGCAAAAAGTGACGAGTGGCGAATTCCCAGGTGATAGCATCCCGAAACTACAGGCGGAGATGTTCTCCATGAATTATTTCAAAGGCGACGTGGGTTCGGCGATGCAAGCGTTTCAAGAAATCATTAGGCAGCTGGAATCGTCTCAGGTTCAGCTTATTGATGCCAAAATCGCTGGAAAAATGATCGATTTTGCATCTTCAGTCTACGCTACAAAAGAACTCGACGCTATTCTCACTTTGGCTAGCCGTCTCAATATAGTGGATGATACGGTGTATCAGAAGGCTGTTGACGCTCTAATGAAATTCGGTCAATTTGAGAAAGCGGAAGACTTACTTTTCATGGCCCATGTGGACTCTGCGGTTCCTTTTTCCAATTCTTTAATCACAAAGGCTCAAATCAAAATGTACCGAACATGGTTCAAGTCCACCCCAGATACACAGCTTCGTCAGCTCTTGGCTCAGAAAGTCACAGGCATAATTAAAAGAATTGATCGTGGTGACGTGAGTCCTCGAAACAAAAACCAGTTATTGGTGGAAGTAATCAAGCATTTTGTATCGTTACGAAAACTTCGAGCCGCCCGCTCGTATTTGGAGGAAGCTCAACGCACAAACGGATTAAGCGAACTCCATTTCCTTCCATTTTTCAAGCATTTCTCGGAATTGCACACATACGAGGGCCACGCACAAGTCTTGGAACTTTATCGAGAAATGGTCAAACTGAAAGTTCCCATTAGTGCAAGCTCTTACTATTATCTCATCAAGTCATTGCTTCATATGGACAAAGTCAACAATACCAGCTATGAAAACTCGTACAATTTGTTGGAGTCTGTTTTCGAGTTGTACGGCTTCTCGTCTGTGGATAACATTGCCGGTAAAAAGTTGCCTGTCAGCGAAATTGCCCAGAATTCGGTTCTCTTGCTCAAAATCGTTTCAGCATATGCGGTCGCCACCGCCCTCAAAAAGGACACAATGGACATAGTGGTGAAGTTTCTCACGCAAATCAAGCACAAGCTCGGCTCTCACATTTCGTTCGAGTTTCGTGTGTCCATATTGTCAGAGATGAGCCACATCTACTATGCTCAAGGCGACTTGGTGTCGGCAGAAAAAATGGTAGATAATGCGCTTTCTGAGCTTCATGATATCATCGATACACTTCATCTTAGGGCCGTGCCCAAGCTCTTGCAACTTCAGTATCGGAAACTAGTGACACACAAAATCCGTCTTTTGCGGGCAACACAGGCGGGAGAAGAAAAATACGAACAAATGTTGGAGGCGGTTTGCAAGCGAAATATCCGTCTTTCCGGGCCCCAGTTCTCCCAGCTAACGATTGGATCTATGCAGAAAACTGTTACGTTGAAGAAACTTCGCCATGCTCTAGCAGTATGTGAAAAGTTCTTGGTCTCGGGCAACTGGATTGAGATCAAGATAAACCGCAAGATCCAGTACATCTATAAGCTTCTTGTTGTATACTTGCGTCGCTCCTTGAGTGCAGACAGCATCCATCAAAAGTACAAGTTGCTCAACGACTTTTACAACGTTCGAGATTTCACCCAACTCGAGCGAGAGTTTGCGCATATTCTGGATCCCCAGCAGACCCTTTCATCTGAGCTTGCTGAGTTCAGCCGACTTAGCCCACCCGAAACCTGGACACTTCTGGCTCTCTTGCAGAAGACACCGGAATTTTTCATTCCAGGACGGCGGATTTCCACCAAAAACATCATCGAGCCATCTTTGGCTTCGGTCCTCATTCGGGCAGTGGAGATTTACTGCGATGGTGATATGAAAAAGGCTTTTGGCCTATATGACGACTTTCCGGAGACTATGGAGTATCTTCTATACTTTGGCCCCGAACGCGCTCGGTTCCAGCATTTCTATTCTTCACTCAACCAGTTGGCGCCAGTCTCGACACAAGAGGATGTGAAGACGAAGCGTGACAGAGCAGTCCACGCTCTTCGCCATCTTCAAATCTCAACCGACACTGTGTGATGGCATAATTCGCCAGGATTCACATGCATGCATGGTAAATCTCGAGTTCCTAATCTACTTACTCGACACTATCATCTAATATCTCTGTACATAGTAGCATATACACTAGCTCTTCTTTGGCTTTTTGGACAGCGCAAACTGGAATGTAGATGCTGTTTCGGTCTCGCCAAACAACAACGGACCAACCCACGGCTGGATATTCCATTCCAACTTCAACGTGGCATTCCGGCTACGGAAGCTTTTCTCCACGTCCCACACAGAATACTTTGATTTCTGGTTACGCAAATGGAGCACCGCGTCTTCCGGCGATGTGATGATCTTGTCCCAGTAGGTCACTTTGTTGGACGATTCTGGGGTTTTCCCGTCGTATTCTGCTGTCAAGTAGATAAACACTTGTTTGGTATTCCAGTTGAAGAGCGGGGTCAAATCGGCGTCCAAGTCGAAAACAATCTTCGAGTTTTCCTTGGCCTTGCCGTTGGCGGCACCAAACGATCTCGAATGTTTGACTGTAGCGGAGGCAGAAACATTTTCGATGCTAGTGGTGGCGATGTTCCACGCATCGCCAAAATAAAGTTGAGCAATCGAAATAAGCGCAACAAGCACACTGACGGCAATTGACACCGAAAGAGTCGTATTTGCTACGGCCTGGAACCGGGACGTAAGACTGAACATGGAAAGAAAGTGGTTGAGGTGTAGATGTTGGCCTGCACCCAGTAACCAGGGCAGAAATACAGTGGGAAAGGAATGGAAGGTAAAGTTGGAAAGGAAAGAGATACTGATACTGTTCAATACTATAGAATATAGATGGAGAGTTTTAAGTTCAGATTGGATTTTTGTGTAGCTGACAAGTGTCCATTCTGGAAGAAATGGGCCGTTTCGCACCTATTCTGCAATTTGGAGTAGTGGCATTCAAGGTTTAATCTTGGGATAAATTACCTCGATGAATTCTACAACACCGAAATGAAAACGATACGGTAGATTCTGTTACTTTGCTAATTATGTTATTATTATCTAACTCTACTACTCTCCGACTGACTTCGTATACTAGTCGTAATCATGTCTATTAGATTATTGTTTGCTTAGGTACTCCGCATAGAGCTTCTCCTGCTGCTGGTACTGTTTCATCAACTTTTTTCTCATGCTCTTGGTGACCTCTTCGCCCGAAGAAGTTCTTGTAGGAATACCCTGCTCATCCCATTCGGAGTACAATGACTTGTCTTGGAAAAGGTCCTTGGGATTGATTTTCATCTTTGCCAAACGTTCTGCTTCTTTCTTGGCAGCAGCCTCGGCCTGTTCCTTCTTCTTACGGGCCTTCTCCAAAGCCTGCTGTTCCTTGGCCCGCTGTTGTTTGATGAAGTCTTCCTTCTCTTGCTCGTTCAAAAACTTCACCAATGCCCCTCCAGTAGGTCTGTCATCCAAAGATATGCCCAATTCAATCAATTCTCCACGCAAAGCGTCCGATGCTTTCAAGAACTCGGAGGACTCGGCCTTGGAGATGGCGAGATCCCGAACAGTGTCTCTGAACTGAGATAATGATTTGACATATGGCATAGCGACGTCTTCCTTAGAGGCGCCAGTGTCAGATTCGCCAGAGACAGAGTCCACCCATCCGAGTCTATCTGATCTGGCCTCAAAGCCCAAAATGTCCAAAATCTTGACAATCCACTTTGTGATAGCAATCACTGGCTCGATGCGTAACTCGTTTTGGCCCACCACAGTGCTTTGGATATACGTGTTGGTTTTCGACACCAAATCGCTAATCACCCGTAAAACCTGGGGAGAAGACAAGTTGTCACAGAAGGCCAAATGTGCCTCTTTCTGAGCGGTTTCCAAATCGGAAAGCAAACTTCTTTCGGCAGAAGAAAGCTTCTTCGAAATGGCCTGGCCGGAAGAAACAGAATGTTTGTAATCGGTGTTTAAAGCTCTCACAGTAGTGAAAAACTTGGACAAGGACGACTCGTACGCCTTCACTTCATGAACCAAAGAATCCTTAAAGTCGATGGGCTTATCCCAGTTGCCAAAAGCGAAAATCAACCGGAGTTGCCGGCTGGTGTAGTTTTGCAAAGCTTCTTCGATAGTGATGAAATTCTTCAACGACTTGGACATTTTCTGACCTTGAATGTGCAAGTGGCCGTTGTGCATGAAATAGTTGATCCATTGCTTGTTGTCAAAGTATGCTTCAGACTGGGCCAACTCATTGTCGTGATGAGGGAAACACAAATCAATGCCGCCCGAGTGGATATCAATAGTAGAACCTAAGATATCCGACGCCATGACAGAACACTCAATGTGCCATCCTGGTCTTCCTGGCCCCCATTTGGAGTCCCAAGCAGGTTCACCAGGCTTTGACGCCTTCCACAAAGAAAAGTCTGCAGGGTTTTTCTTGATGATGCTTTCCGAAACAGACAAGGAGCCTTCGCCGTCGTTGATGAGCAGCATCGAGCCTTTGTTCCACGGTTGCAACTTTGCGTAGTCGTGGTTTGGGTCATTTTCGAATTTGGCCGTGTCGAAATACACAGAGCCGTCTGCAGTGACGTACGCAAAGCCGTTGGAAATAATCTTGTCGACAAAGTCGATAATTTCCGGAACGTACTCAGAGACACGGGTAGTCACGGTAGGAGGAAGAACATTGAGCTTGGCCATGTCCTCGTTGAAGCTGTTTTCCCAGTAAGCTGGCAATTTCTTGAAGATGGAAGGCTCCACAACCGAAGAGCCGTACTTGGCATCAAGGCTCGGAACACAAACTTCTTCCACAGCAGACAAAAAGTCGGCGAAAGGAGCGGCACCAAAGATTGCCTCATGCGCTCTTTTCAGCGCATTCGCATGCATGGGTAACTTAGGCGCCGACACAGCCAAAGCAGTGAGATCCAACGACGCTATCCAAGGCAAAAGATCCTTCTCCAAATCTCCGCTGAAGTCGGGCAACTTCTTCGAAACATACTCGCCCAAGTAGCCCTTGACCTGTTCCACGAGCTCAGGCGTCTTCTCTGTGTACACATTGGCGATCTTCTGCTCAAACAAGTACTGCTGGCGGGCAGAAATGATGATCTTGTCGTCAATGTCAGTCACATTCTGGACAAAGTTGATGTTGTAGCCAAAGTAGTCTTGCAAAATTCTGCGGCAGATATCCGAGCACACGTAATTACGGGCGTGGCCCATATGGGCGTAGTTGTACACCGTTGGCCCACAACAGTACCATGTAATGTAGTTGAACTTCTGAGGCACAAAGTCTTCCTTTGCCCGGGTCAAGGAGTTGTAGATTTTCAAGACAGGGGCCGAAGGAGGGACGGGTTTCTGCCACGGAGGCTGCTGGACGGGTTTTTTCGTGCTCATGAGTCGGGCTAGCCGTTTGTACATGGACTAAGGTACCAGTGAGTAATTTTTCGCTTTGGTGGTGATGTCACGTGATGCACTCCCCTCCGATTACAAGAGCTTACGGCTGGGTTTTGCTGGGTTTTGGAAATTATACAGGCTGGTAGTTTCTTTGAAGAGAGTACAGAGAAGATTCGGCATATGTGTGGAAATTTTGTGGGCGTAGCCTACTTCACACATCACTCCAGTCGAGCATACTGTAATGGTGCGTAGTCCAGAAAGTTCTTAGGACGGCGTGGCAGACTTCCAGACCCGATTCTTGAAGCCAGTTTCAGTCTGTAAAAATTCGCTCTGTGATTTATTCACTTTTGCTATTTTGACCTCAACTTGTATTATTTACCACTGTGATTTTTCGATTGTAGGAGCTGGTGATTTTTCTACTGAACGTAAGAAAAGTATTCTGAGCATGTATCGAAGATTGTCTTCGATAGTTGTCTTGAAATGAATCTACATCATGCCAACAGCGTTACCACTCAATAGAGGCTTGCAAGGCATTCAACGTAAGGGCAGTGCAGTGGCAGGGAGAAATCAAAGAGGACAGGAACGATTAGTTGTGTATGCTAACCAGAGAGAAACTGTGCCCGATTTAATTCGAATTGAATGAAAATCCAATTTGAACAGTGTGGAGAACTATGCTAGGCTCCGAAGTACAGAGAAGTCTTAGCTGAAACAGCACAGGATCCAAAGAACCTAGCATGATTCTTAAAGAAAGTTAGGTAAGATGTGCTACTTTCAGAAGAGAGGTGCAAAGATTGTAGAGAAGAGTCGTCGGAAGAACTGGCCAAGATTTGGAGCCAGCCACAATCTATCCGATAGCGATCAGATTGATATCAAGACATCGCGTCGTTGGGCACTTTGTGACACATTCGAGGCTGATAGTTAGTAGTGTTCATTGACTTTGAAAGGTGTCAGAGAAAAGTTGGTCGCATGGTGTTTGGCTCCTCAATGAAACTAGGCGTGTTTCGGAAACCAAACTCTAGAACGCAAATTAGATCATCATTCACCGCAAGAAACATACATTTGGCATTCTTGTCAATGCAAACTTGTCATGGAATCTTGTCAATGTGTATCGTGTGGATTGGGCGCTTTATATATGCCACTGTACTGCATGCAACTCAAGGCCCCATCCGTGCAAAAAGCCCTAACTAGGCGCTTTAGCCAAAAGACAGTTCTGATTTCGGTGAAAGATGCACGGAATACCCCCTGCCGTGCATCTTGTCCGTGAAAGCCATGTCCTTGCCCAGATTGCAGAAGGTGGGAGACGAGGGCTCGAGCCCTAACGGCGCTCGCAGCTGTCTGCAGTGCTGGTGAGCATTGCACCCGTACCCCCTCGACTTCACCTCCCGCGTCTGTCTGCACTCCTGTGGTCTGTCGCACTCTCTAACAAAAAAAATTTTCAAGCGCTCTTCAGAACTTCTTCTCCATACATACAAATCAGCACCATGTCTACCACTGTTCAAGCTGTCAACTGGAGATTCGTTGAAGTTGGTCGTATTGTCTTGATTGACGAGACCAAAACATTGGCCACTATTGTCGAAATCATTGACCAAAAGAGAGTATGTACCCATCTCCAAAGTGTTACACCCATTTCCGTCCAAAGGTCCATTTCCACCTGAAAGTCCATCTGGGCCTAGTCCCATGCATTTTGTGTTTCACGTTTTGTGTTTTTCATGTTCACTCGTACTAACTATTGCAGGTCTTGATTGACGGTCCATCTGTCGCCAGACAAGCTATTGCTTTGAGCAAGGTTGTCTTGACTCCATTTGTTTTGGCTAAGTTGCCAAGAGGTGCCAGAACCGGTACTGTTCAAAGAAAGTGGGCTGCTGCTGACATTGACGCCAAGTGGGCTGCCTCTCCAGCTGCCAAGCAGTTGGCTGTCAAAGAAACCAGAGCTAACTTGTCTGATTTCGAGAGATTCCAGGTTATGATCTTGAAGAAGCAAAGAAGATTTGCTGTCAAGAAAATCGCTGCTAAGGCTTAAGGGCACCCTTACATACGACTAATACAACTGTGTATCATACGAACCCATGTTGTAGAACTGAGACGTAAAGGCTTTGAAGCCGCATCCTTTTGTAACCACTTTCTTTAAAACTAATCAAAGAGGGTCTATCGAGTTTATGTACGCCTCTTCACTGGTTTGACGAACACACATGACTGCAAAGTAATCTGCCGCATCACATATCGTTGCTGACACTACAAATCGCTTTCAATACTCTTCTCATGCTATTTACATTATATTTACAAGTTACTTTTTCTTCTTTTGTGCCTCCTCGATCAACTGCTTCTGCAACTGTGGAGAAGTTTGGGCGTACTTCAAAAACTCCAACGAAAACTCGCCCTTGCCCTGAGTACACGCTCTCAAAGATGTAGAAAAGCCAAACATCGAGTTCAATGTACACTCGGCATTCACGGTAAACTCATCTTGTCCGTTAACGGTTTCCATAATCATACCTCCAAGCTTGTTGATCAATCCAACCACAGGTCCCTGGAACTCGTTTGGTGCACTGACTTCCACCAGCATCACCGGTTCCAAAATGACCGGGTTAGCCTTCATAAAAGCTTGCTTGAAAGCTCCGTGTGTAGCAAGACGGAAAGACAATTCCGAAGAGTCCACCATGTGCGACTGACCATCATTAATGTGCATGTGGACACCCAACACCTTGTGGCCAATCATAGGACCCTTTTCCAAAGAGTCCTCGAAACCCTTTTGACATGCAAACAAGTACTTTTCCGAAATCTTACCTCCAACAACGTGCTGGGTAAATTTGTTTTCACCTTCAATAGGTTTGAACTCTCCGATAACACGACCAAACTGACCTGCTCCACCAGACTGTTTCTTGTGGGTGTAGTCGAACTCAGCTGGGACGGTGATAGTTTCACGGTAAGCCACTTGAGGCTTTCCTGTCACACACTCCACGCCATATTCTCTCTTCATTCTTTCCACGTAGATTTCCAAGTGCAACTCGCCCATACCGGAAATAACAGTTTCCTTTGACTCGGGGTCGAATCTCACACGGAAGGTAGGGTCTTCCTTTTGGAATCTATTCATGGCCTTGGAGAAGTTTCCACTGTCTTTTGTCTTGGGTTCGATCGACAACGAAATGACAGCGTCTGGAACAAACATCGACGACATGGCAATTTGCTTGTCGGCATTGTGGCCAATAAAAGTGTCGCCCGAAGCACAGTCGATACCGAAAGTGGCACAGATTTCTCCGGCGCCAACTTCTTCGACATCCTCCATCTCGTTCGAGTGCATTCTTACCAATCTTGAAACCTTAACCTTCTTGCCTGTCTTAACGTGGTTCATGTATGCACCTTTCTTCAACTTACCCTGGTAAACACGAATGTAAGTCAACTGGCCGTATTTTCCTTCCTCCAACTTGAAAGCCAAACCGACAAATGGTTCAGTCGACGATGGAACCAAGGTGGTTGGTCTCTCTTCGTTTCCAACAAGTTCAAGACCTGTGTTCAAAATCTCATTTGGTTGGGGCAAGTAGTCCACCACAGCATCCAACACAGGCTGAACACCTTTGTTGGCCAACGCAGAGCCCATCAAAACAGGGGTGAATTTTCTGCCGATGGTGGCTCTTCTGATGGCACTCTTAATCTGCTCCACGGAAGGCTCTTCACCTTCCAAGTAAAGGTCAGCCATTTCCTCATCCACGTCGGCCAAAGTTTCAATCAAAAGAGCTCTCTTCTCTTCAACCAAGTCCACCAAGTTTTCTGGAATCTCCTCGGTGATTCTCAACTCCTCACCTTGCGAACCTTCATTGTAGATGGCAACACGGTCAATAATGTTCACCACACCCTTCAAGTCGGCCTCAGCTCCAATAGGGACCTGGATGGCAGCAGCAGGTGTTCTCAACTTCTGGTTGATCTGCTCAATGGCACGAAAAGGATCAGCACCCATACGGTCCATCTTGTTGATGAAAGTCACTCTTGGAACATTGTAACGGCGCATTTGTCTGTCGACAGTGACAGTCTGCGATTGCACACCACTTACAGCACAAACAACAAGCACGGCACCGTCCAAAACACGCAAAGCTCTCTCGACTTCAATGGTGAAGTCAATATGGCCCGGAGTGTCAATCAAGTTGAAGTGGTAGTCCTTGTTGTCCTTTTCCCACGAGCAGTAAGTAGCTGCCGACTGAATGGTGATACCTTTTTCTCTTTCCAAGTCCATGTGGTCCATCTTGGCACCCACGGAGTCTCTTCCTCTCACTTCATGGATGGCCTTGATTCTTCCAGTGTAGAACAAAACACGTTCGGTGAAGGTGGTTTTGCCCGAGTCAATGTGCGCCGAAATACCAATGTTTCTCAATCTCGTGGCACCAGACAAGTCCTTTTCGCTCAACGAAGCGTTGATTTCGTCGATGATCACCTTTTCTTCCTCATAGGTTTTTGGCACAGACGTCAACTCTTTTGTTCTGGCCAACGAAGTTGCAAAGCCGCGGGAAACGGGAAGCCTTTGCGCCGTAGGCAAAAACGCCTTGTTTCCAAGTCTAGCAAGAGACGCAACTCCACGGAACATGTTAGTGTATCCAGATGTCTCTAAACAAGATTGATATGAGTGGAGTGAGATAAAATTTTCCACATGGTGCACGGGTGCAAGTGGCTAATCAAGGCAGACGGGAAGAAAGACGAGAAGACAGATAGCAAATCAAGAGAAAAATAGATATGGCAAGAAAGCGTAATATTCCATTGCCTTTTTTACTATCGTGTGTTCCGGTTGACAACTGTTTTCATCTTTGGAGTCTTTTCTTAGGCAGTGGTTTAGAGTTCTGACGAAGAAAACAGATCTTGAATCACGTACGGCAAGATAAATGGTTCTACTAAATCAGACTCTTTCCTCTATAAACATTCACACGTTTTACTTTTATGAATTTGTTGTGTGTAAATTTAAAATGGTGCTGGCAAATATGGCGCAGTTGAGAAATGCCTGAAAACTGGAGAAACGCGAGAATATTCAGAATGGACCACAGGCAGAGACAACAGAAATAAACGAATTCAATTTCTTCGTACTAAACACTCAATATTGAATTCATAAATCCACTTCGCCTATTCAGGCTCATTAAGTTTAGTGGCATCCCACAAAGACTTAAGTGATGGTTCCATTTTGCAAAATTAGCCTACTAGCATCGACTCTGCAAGCAACTTCAAGTAACGGTACGCATTTACTAATATAAGAGACGAAAGAAATGAACGCTATTAAGCACCTTTTGGGAAATAAAAAGATATCCAGACCTGCTAGAGCTCAGTATAATCTCTTTTGGATGAGCGTAGTAGCGACGTTACCAGCCCCAGCCCCAGCTGCGGCAGCAGCAGCGGCAGTGGCAGCAGCATTAGCAGTTGCAACAATCGCCGCAGTAGTGGCCACAGTGGTCCCAGAAGGAGCCGAAGCTCCGTCAATGTCGGACACAGAAGCTTCGCCATTGGCAATCTTGGAGCCAAGGAAACCAGCAATATCCTTAGCGTAGTTTGCTCCATTCAGGGCAAGCCACTTAAGACCAGACTGCAACACGCCGGAAGACTTGGCCCAGTTGTACACATCCTTGCCCACAACAAGTCCCTTCAGGAAAACAGTCGACAAGAATTCCACCGAGGCCGTTGGATCTGCCAAAACCTTCTTCACGAGTGATTGCACGATACCGGTGCTCTTGATGGCAGAGTAAACTGTCTGTGCCACATCGACCAAGTCTCTCTTATCATAGTACTCAGTGAGATCAACTTCTCTCTTAGCGGCGGCTGGTGTGGCAGCGGCAGCAGGGGTGGCAGCAGGAGTAGCACCGGAGCCGCCGGTTTTTTCAGCGAGAAAAGCTTTCAACAAGTTTAAGCCCGAGCCGAAAATGGCCTTTGCCGCAGAGAAGAGAGTAGATCTCAACGCGCCATCTTTCCAGATAGTCTGGAACAAGTTCTGAAGCAAGTTGGAGTTCCAAAGAGCCTTGATTAATGCGGGACCTTGTGTCACGGCAGTCTGAAGAGCATTTTTCACAAGAGACGAAACCACGCCTTTCAATTCTGGGTCGCTAGTCAAGGCTTTCCAGACCTGGCCAATGATTCCAGAGTTAGCCAATGCTGAAATCAACTCCGTGAGCAAATTGTCTGCTCTTTTAGAGAGCTCAAACGCTTCATTTTCGTCGTCAACAAGCTCTCTCTTTTGGTTCAAACGTCCCAACTCCTCGATGATGCTCAATGCATCGGATACATCCGACTTCTTGACTAATCCTGTGAACTCTGCGCCAGAAGGCTTGGGAATAGCAGGAGAGGCCGATACGAAGGCAGAAGAGACCAAAATGGCCATGAGTGTAGGCGTAGAAAGCTTCATGGTGGGCGACGATACAGATGGAAGATTAAAAAAAGAAAGGATACAAAAAACCAGAAATGGACCAGAAAATAGCTACATTTTTATATTCTTCTTCTTCTCGTCCGGTGGAGCGAGGCTGAACGGCCAATGTGAACTATCAATACTATTACCGCATACGGTAATATGGCCCTTCGCCATAGTAGCCGCGCGCCTGCACACAAGCTGCGGTGGAGACCCTGGTTACGGCAAATTACCGAATCTGGGTAAGAGCTAAAAGGCGTTTACAAGAGGGAAAGCTTTTTATTTTCTCTTGCTCTCCTTCCATTTTCTATCGTCTGTGTGATTCGCGGAATCCTCCATCTAGAACCTGGGGTATAAAGTTCTTTCCTGTACATTTCTCCAGGTTACCATGGAAAACCCCAAATGAGGGGACGAATTCCGATTCTTGCATCCGATACTTTATTATTTCCATGTGTTTCGGCCCCAATGGAGTAAACGGCCCTGCAACTTCTTTCTGTAAGGCTGACAACGAAACGTACAACCAACAAGGAAAAGCAATTTCGCATCTCTTACAAACGGTGGTTGAGGTTGAAGTACTTGTCTATGGCTACTTTACTGGTTAGGACAGCAATGGTGCACATGTATGACTTGAAAGCCTACTGAGTGAAATTAAATGCATAGCCGAACAGAGACTAGTACAAAAGAGCAGCGTTGATGGGGAATATGTTCAAGAAAAAATGGAGAAACTAAGGCGGAAAAGTAGAATGGGGAGGAGTAAATACCGTTTCCCCACAGTTTGCCATATGAGCCAAATTTGCACATTGTACTTTCTTTGTCCTCACTTTTGTTCTTTCTGTTTGTTGTCCGTTTCTTTTTTTTCGAAGTTTCGTTGTCTGTCGTGCCCAAATGTCAATTTACGAGCACGTGAAATGCGACGATCAAATGAAAGGTGGTTAATGATATGGCGGTTCGAAAATATGTGGGTTGTAAAATATGGCTTGTAAAAGTTGGACTCAGTTTACTACTTCATTTGAATTGTCTTGATTCATCAATATGTTAGGCGTACTGGGAAAGATGCAATACCGTAAAACGATACTGCAGAACATCGATGCACTGGCGATGCCGCGTTCTCTATGTACAGGCCAATCTTGATTTTTCGAGCGAAAACGGTGGGGCGCAGATCAACTCCTCTTATCAGGACGCTTAATTGGCCACGTCACGGGGTCCACAAAGCAGAAAAAGAAAGAGGATTTGGACATGTAGTTGTTACAAGCAAGATTAGAATCTGGAAAAAACCCAAAGATACCCCTTTTCCAAAGATTCTATACAAGAACGTGCAACTGTGCCCAATAGTAGACGCGCTAATAAATGATGTTTCCCGATAACAGAGGGTACATCGAGAGGCGCATCAACGCTCAATTTTTCTGCCTCTGGTTTCTTTTTTGTTTGGTTGTCTTCGTTTTTCCTGACCTTCGTTCATTCAATGGAAACTGTGACTACCACTGGGGCAGATGTGCTGTCCTATCGTGTTTCCGAAAGGGGAAATGTTGCCGAGTTTGTTTCTGATTCCAGAAAGACCTCCTCCGGCTTGAAAACCGTTGACACTTTTGGAAATGACTTCAATGTGCCCGACTACACCATCAAGGACATTTTGTCTGCCATTCCTAAAAAGTGCTACGAGCGTTCTTTGGTCAAATCGCTCGGCTACGTGGCCCGTGACATCACTATGATGGTTCTTATTGGCTACGTGGGAATGACATATATTCCCAAAGTGGACATTGTCGGCCACGAGACCGCTAGCACGGTAGCTCGTGCGTGTTTGTGGATGGTCCAGTCTTACTTGATTGGATTGTTCGGCTTCGGCTTGTGGATCTTGGCCCACGAGTGTGGCCACGGCGCCTTTTCTGACTACCAGAACGTCAACGACTTCATTGGCTGGGTGTTGCATTCGTACCTTGGAGTGCCATACTTCTCGTGGAAGTTTTCCCACGCCAAGCACCACAAGGCCACGGGCCACATCTCCAGAGACATGGTTTTCATTCCATACACCAAGGAAGAATTTCTCGAGTCGCGTGGTGTTACCAAGGTGTCGGAGCTTGTTGAAGACCTGCCAATTTGGTCGCTCATGGTTCTTGTCTTCCAGCAGTTGGGCGGCTTGCAGTTGTACTTGGCCACAAATGCCACGGGCCAAACCATCGATCTTCCATGGTACGCCAAGAGTCACTACGCTCCATCTTCTCCTGTTTTCGATGCTCACCAGTACTGGTACATTGTTTTGTCGGACATTGGAATCTTGTCCACCATTTTCGCCGTTTACCAGTGGTACAAGCACTTTGGCTTGTTCAACATGATGATCAACTGGTTTGTTCCATGGTTGTGGGTCAACCACTGGTTGGTGTTTGTGACTTTCTTGCAACACACAGACCCTTCGATGCCTCATTACACAGCCAAAGAATGGACTTTTGCCAGAGGTGCTGCTGCTACCATCGACCGTGATTACGGTTTCATTGGCCAGCACATTTTCCACGACATCATCGAGACCCACGTTTTGCACCACTATGTGTCGAGAATTCCATTCTACAACGCGAGAGAGGCCACTGCGGCCATCAGAGAGGTGATGGGCGAGCACTACCGCTATGATGGCGAGAACATGTGGAAGTCTTTGTGGAAAGTGATGCGTTCGTGCCAGTTCGTTTCCGACGAAGAGGGAAATGGCGTCTTGATGTTCCGTAACGCCAATGGCGTGGGTGTGACTCCAAAGAACTAGAGGATAGACTAGAATAGAGTTAGAATTAGAATTGACAGAAACTACAAGATTAATCGTACCAGCTCTGCCCGTAATGCACAATACATATTTTCTGCACAGACTGTATGTTCATGATATTAATCTTTTTGTTCATGCACTAACCATCTCTAGTACTGAATGTTCTTACCCCATGGCCAAGCCAGAGTTAACCAAAGGAACAAAAGATGCTATCCAACGCAGTCTGTTGTTGGGAGTCTGCTTTTTGGTGCTAAATGTTCGCGATACCACTCAACTGTTGCGAGCATATTTACTATCGTGCGATGTTTCATTCGGGAATTCACCTACTAGATTATGGGAAGCATAAGCTTAGACGTAAGGGTAGGGTTTATGCTTAATTGGCTGCATGTTCGTGGTAGATCAGTACATTCATCTATTGTGTCCGTTTTTTCATAAACTATTATGTTTATGAACTATTATTTTCATGAACTAATATTTTCATGGACTGTACTCTTTGGACTGTACTCTTTCATGGACTGTATTATTTTATGGACTGTATTACATTCCGTATCCACTTTCAGCTCCCATTTGTCAGCCCAAAGCCCCTATTTTGTAACAATTTTTTTTTTGCGGAGCATCTCCACATTGCTTTCGCTGTGCATCGTCACATTAGCCGAAAATCCCATGCAACGAAAAGTGGAGCGTATTCCCATGCGTCTAGGGCCGCAACGTTGAGTTTTGGCGACTTCCGTTCTGGGCATATTTTTACCCCCCTTGCTCGTAAATATGGTAGCGGCATCGATGCGAAGCGGATTAATTTCTCCAAGGCGACACCAATAGCCAATGGGAAAAGACGAGGCTCCAAGATAAAGGCCGGCCCTGCAGAAAAAAAGTGTGAAAGTGTGCACAGAGGGTCTTCTATGCGGGCATTTTCTCGACTCGAGGTGCCAATGCACAGTAATTTGGATCCGCCATGCATCGTGTTCCGCCTAAAATTTGTTGCTTCGCTAATACTTGACAGGCCGCCCCATTTTTGGAATTTGTCCAACCTATTTATCTTTTGAGCAAAAGTTCTTTTCGGGCTGGATCCTTGACTGCTTTGCGAACTGCAAGAGGCTCAATTTGAAACTTTTTAGAGCTTTTTGGAAGCGCATTCAAAATACACTTCGTAACCTTAAAGAAAGGTACGCACGTAAAGGACATGAGAGTGCAGAAAAAAAAAAAAATAGAATTCCAGGGCTCATGCTCTAGACGCTTCTATGATGTTGCTGATAAATAAACCCTTGAGCATTCTGTGGAAAAAAAACTTGATTGCCATAAAGTTGGTCCTATTCCTTCCCTTTTGACCTCCGTGTCTCGAAACCTATTCTGTCGTTCTATTTATTTTCCGCTTCAATGTTGTATGCTTTGGCTACCCTGGGTTCAGCTTTCCAACCGTCCGTGAACAAACCCAGAATTACGTGGAGATTGAAGAAATTTAAGGAGCACTACGAACGCTCTTCGGATTCTTCTGCTTCTTCAACATCTCTGTCATTTACTCCAAGTACCACCTTCCGCTAACCGCTGCCTTAAAGAAACCCTTTGAAAGGGCAAAGAATTCCCTACATTCCCTTTGGTAGTACATTACTTCACTTCTTCCTCATTTACAAATATATGCATTTTCATGTCGATAATCGTATGACTGTAGTATGCGGAACAAACATAGTTGTCCAGCCAACTTTAAATATCTCGGATGCCAACGAAAGAGGCCACTTCCCCATGGCATCAATTATTATCTCGAAACCGATGGTTTATGGGGTATCAATTCTTGCTCCGGTGTTCACGTGGTGCTCCTATGGTGTGTCAACCGAGTCCTCAGAATAACTCACGTCCCTTTCTGTGTTAGATGGGTCCCAGACCGCTCCAGGCGTGCTTAAACCAGCGTTGCCTTGGAATCTCGAATCTCTTTCCCATTCTCTCCATCTTCTCATGGTGATACTTGATGAGTCAAATACACCTTCTTTTGCACCGTGCTCTCCTGTATCTTCACCAATAACAGTTCTCGTTTCACCCCAACTGAAATCATCAAACTTCCAGAATGCATAAGTTGGCAAAACAAAATTCCAAATGGGCAAAGCAAAAAGATAGATGAAGAAATAAACGAGATACTTCACGGACGATATAGTGATCACAATTAATGCCGCAGGCAAACCAAAAATGACACCTAAAAGAATTAATGACATCCAAGGTGTAGGTTTGGAAGTGATCGAAAAGATAATGACATAGATGGTGAAGGAAATAGCTGCGGGCAAGACCAATGTACCAATGAACTCAATGAAAATGACAAATTGCATCGAAAAACAGAATGTACCACACAAGTCGTTCACCAAAACCAATTCCATCAAGTTATGAACGGTGGAATTAATCCAACGACGACGTTGGGACAACAAGACAGAAAACTTGTCGGGCACGATAGTCTTACAGGCAGCCTTGGGAACAAAAACTTGTTTTCTCTTGGGGAAGGTTCTCAACATCAATGATGTCAAATAACGATCCTCACCCAACAACAACAAGTTCTTCTTGTGTAAAGTGTCAACAACATTGTCCGAATATCTTTCCACGATATCAGGGTTCGCCAAAATTGGAACCCAGTATCCGTTATTTCCCTTAGGTGCCTTGATACGGTACATACAGAAACAACCAGGCAAACATGTCACACCACCAAAGACAGATTCAAATGCTTTGGCCTGATGATGCGAAATGTAGTACTCAAACACTTGGATGAGCGTCACCCAACTCTGATTTTTGTTTGCAATCTTTGTTTCTCCACACAATCCCATGATAGTTGGATCTTTCACCATTTCTGCACACATGTGAGTCAAACAGTCTGGGTACACTTTGGTGTCTGCGTCAACCATCAACACGATTTCATAGAACTCCAGCATCAACCCAGTTACACGCCAAATAGATTCTAACATAGCATATTCCAAAGCAGTCATTCTCTCATCAAACATCACCTTTTGCAAGAATGACATCAAAATCACTTGGGTATCACGTTTACCTCTGTTACCAGGCTTTGCACTACCAGCCTCTTCAGGAGTACCGCACTTCACGATAGTAATGACAGGAACTCTCTGTTGCTTTTCAGGAGGAACAGTTTCGTCAGAATACTTGTAAAAACCGGCGTAGACTTTGGCCATATTGTGACGCTTACTACCTTGGGCCACGGCAACATAAGAATGAGGTTGAACTTCTTCTGGAGGAATACAGAAATCAGTCATAAGCCCCAATGCAATTTCAGGAGTAGTTCTGTCGTTTCCAGATCCCTTGATAAGACCATCACAAATCACAACAATCAACTTGTGTGAGTTTGGATAGTCAGTGGTAGCAATCGAGTCAATCGTGGTCCGCAAACCTTCTTCATCTTCAGAATAACAAGTAACCAAGCACATTGTGTGAGCCAATGGATAACCAAAAGGTTGATACTCGACAGGTGGCTGTGGAACAACATCCGGATGGATCAAAGCGGGGTTCAAAGCAGTGGCAGAATCATCCATGGTATCGAATGGATTGAAGGTAGAGTGAGGTCTCAAAAGATCAACCGACAGAGCCCTACTGTGGTCAAAAATCATCGACCTGGACTGGGTTGTGCGGTTTTTGGCCCTTCCCAAAGTAGCAGCTTGCGTATTCATGGTGGTGTACTTGAATGTTTTTGAGAGCTTTTCTTCCGCATCATCATAGTATTTGTTGAGGTCACCATTTGGCGCCAAAGTCAAACTCTGTGCGCCACCTTTGAAAAAGACACTCTGTCTATTGGTTTTCTGAGTCTTATAATTTGCTCTTGCCTTCACTGGAATTGTGTTGATTGGCGCGGTAGCAGTTGGATTGTCAACCCAATTATCAATTTCTCTGTCACGGGCAGCCATAGACTTGGAGTCAATTTCTGTGGCTCCTTGTCGTATGGAAACATACCATCTGAAATAACAGGCCATAAGAAATTTGGCCACGACAACAGACAAAATAAAAACCAAAGACACAATCAACACAATCTGCGAGGCAATACATCCAATAGTATCAGAGTCCACGACACCAACCTTGATGATTTCAGTCAAACACTTTGCTGCTCTGCGTTCTTCGGAATTCGATAAGACCAACGAAATGTCGTGGCCCTTAAAGGCATCGTCGTCTCTCAAGTTCTTGAACAAGTCTGGATACGTGACATCGTCAGTCAGAATCCAGTTTATCAAGTCGAGGTCTAAAACAACACCCGAATACACAACCAAGTTTCTTGTGCTGTTTTTGATATCATCCCACGTGAAATAAACATCACCATCTACCTCCAAGTCGTAGTAAGCATCTCTTGCAGCGGCACTGGTGTGGCACGCCCATCCATCGTAGTAGACATGGGTGTTGTTCACTTTCGAGCTTCCATCCTGGTTGAACAAACGACAAGGCATGTACCAGGCCAATTCATCACCGCTTTTGGGGATCGAGCAGTTGTCCCTTGGCATGATCAAACCTTTACAGTTGCCATTGACATTTTGAAACATGAAAGTGGCATCCATTCCGCCGGCGTTGATGGGAGGATATAAAATGTTTGAGCCGCCAGGCACACCGGCGGCTTTTGGATGTCTCGAGCTCGACAAGTCGTACGTACGCCCATTAATAATCAAGTAGTTGGATTGCACCTCGTTGTTTCTCATTTTGACAGCGGACGAGTGACAAACAGTTTTGGTGAATCCGAAAGTGAGATACGCAATAAACGCACCCAAGTACAAGATGCAACTGATCAAGCCAATCTTTTCCCTCCAGGCAAATTGACGGCTCTTGTCTTTGAGACCAAAAAGCCTCAACAACGGAGCCGGCGCCCAGAAGGTGATGATATAGCAATAAACCTTCCAAAAGTAGATATTGTGGCCATCGTTATCGTCCTCCGCAGCGTTTGGCGGAGGATGCGAGCGGCGGTTGTTTGCCTTCCGCGCCGGGCTCTCGTCGTTCAAGCCGAAAACCTCTCTGCCGCCCTTCCCGTGGTCGAAGTCCATAAGAGGAATTCCTTCTTCCTCGGAGTTCCCCAGCCCAGCCTTCTCATCTTCAGCGGAAACCACTGGATCTAGACCAGTCGTCGAAGGCTGGATCTTGAGATGCGCAGCTTCCTGGGACGCCACTTGGGCATAGTGATACCTCGGATGATCTGGATCTAAACGCTGTCTTTCTGGACGAACAAGCGAACGTTTTCTGCCCAAGTCGCCGGCCTCGGGATCAAAGCTCTGGTATTTCTGCGAGTTGGTGCTGTTTCTGAAAGAAGACATTCTTTCAATGCAAAAGTGGTGGCTCTAACCCAGATGGAAGTCAGACACGTCCCACGGCTATAAATAGAAAGTGAAAAGAAGTTCAAACGTTGAAAAGACGGGACAAGAAGCTTCAGAGAGAAAGCAGCTTGAATATGGTGAGAAAAGTAAAGCCACGTTTTCGGTTCTTGTAAAGAAGGGGCGGGCACAAGAGGTGAAAAAGACTATATCGGGAAGAAAATCTGGGCTGTGAATGTTACAACAATTTGAATTTTTGGTGCTATGTACAGGAGATGCCAGATCGGTACAAAATGCCTTTGCCCATTCGGATCCGGAGCAAATGTGGGAAATGGCGGCAACAAGCATCCTAGCGCTGCAAAAAGTCTCTGCGGCAACTGATTCAGAAACAGAAAAGAAATCCCAATGTGCCAAAAACCGCATCCTTTTCTCGCCACCTCGTTCGGAATCTTCCTTGCTTGCACATTCCCATCGCAAGGTAAACATTTACCCTGCATGCACCGCACCACTATTACTCAAGGTTTCTTCCATAGGTTCAAGTATGCGCTGCACATAAGCATCTACTTCTTCGATGCGCAGTGCGTATGGAAGCATTTGCGACAAGAGCTTCTGGAACAACTGCTGTTGCAGAAAAGTCCACATGTGCTGCACCCGGCGCATTCCTTGTAGCACCAAGGTGATCTCGTCCTCCTGGATCTTTGGCAACGGTTTTTTGTCCAAAAGCCGCGCGTCCGCAATAAACCGCCGAATGCAATATGCGCTGCGAGTGTTCAAGTACACCATGGCAATTTGGGCGCTCCGCTTGTCTGCAAGGGCAAACGAGAAAAGATCGTCGAGGCATCTGCACCGTAGGCAGTCGTTCGGGAAAATTTCCAACGGAGCAGTGCTGCCGAAGCTTTCGTCAAACTCGAATAACGCCAACGCTTCGAATGCAGCTTCATTGGCCTCCATGCTCGCCTGCTCAATTAGCTTTCCAACCAATGCTGCTTCAATATCGTTGAGCTCGTACAAGAAGGACTGTCTGTAGACACGGAAAATAAATTGTTCCACCAAACCGTCGTGCTGGGCGTCCACAGAAAATAGCAAGGGCAACACAGTCGCAGACAACGTTTTGTACTGGTGAATGTTACATGCTTCTTGAGTTTCACTTGACTCTTCAAATGTCACCAAAATGCACTCGAGTATAAGTTGCAACAATTCATGGTCCGCTTTGACATGTTCTCCGTATTCTTCAATTAGACGTTGGATAAGATACGCAATGACTTCGTTACACCGCACCCATAACGGTTCTTTGCCAGTATCTGGGCACCCTGGTGATTTATCATGCACAGCGTACAATAAGCTTGAAACAAGCTTGATGAAGTTCCTGTCCTTGAGCAAAACTTGGATGTGCTTAAGTTCGTGTAGCTTTGTTGTGAGCAATTCCAACGCCAGTTCACTGAGCGCAATGAAGGAAGGAATCTTGAACTTTCTTTCAATCTTGTTCTGCAATTTTGCCTCGATCCTTGCCCGAATCTCGTACGGATAGGCAACAATGGTGCTAAGTTGCTGTATAACCGCAGCCAATATCTCCTCGTTGTGGCCCTTTTTGTCAATAAGTTGTAGGTTCGTCAAAACTGTTTTTTGAAGTATTGTAGGCTTGATATTGTCTGTCTGTCCAGTCTTCAATACCGGGTATCTTCCGCATTTGTTCAACTTATCTAATACTTGCAATATATCATCAACTGTAAGCGAGTCTTGGATAAGAAGATACAACAGTCCGAACGACTCATTGTAAACTGCAAGAGAATCTTGGTATTCCGGTTTGACTAAGTCATAGTCCACAGGTACCTTGACCCAAAATTTAAACATGAGCCTTGTTATCTCAGGTGGAACGTCATCAATTGCTGTTAAGGATTTCAAGAGATCTCGAAACGATTGAAAGAGTTTAAGATTCAATTCCTTCCAATTCAATGCAAGCATAGAAGCGAAATAGTCCGCAAGGCGTGTCCAGAATTTTTCCACTAGAGTCTTGTCAACTGTATTATCGAATCTCATTAAAAACTTTGTGTACATCGAAATCAGCCCTGTCGTTACTAGCTTCAAGCTTTCGATAGCATCAGTTCGATTCTTCGGGCTATCCGTTCCACGCAAATTATCCATGTTAAACAAGTCAGGCAAAACAATATCGTAAATAAGATTCCACGAAGGGAGCTGCTTACCATAAGCATCTATAATTTGAAACAAGGTCTGGATTGCCCCTTCTCTTACCCTTGGTCTCTCATCACTTGCAAGATTAGAAAGCCGTGCAAGAAGATAAATATTTAAAGCTTGACTCATAGTGTGAGGGTTCTCTGCAACTGGTTGAGAGAGTATATTTTCCAACTGTTCCAAGTTTGTAATGGAATTAATGATATTCTCATCCGACGGAACTAGATCAGTTTCGATACTAGATCTGATGCAATCACTGATGAGCCAGAAATAGCTAACGGAGCTGAAAGAGATATTGAGGTCATATGTTTGAGAACAAAACTTTAACAATGTATCGATTAGTGCTTTGAGCTGCGAAAAGGGTAGAGAGCTCAAAAACTCATCCAAAATAAGCTTTAAAGTATCAAATGATGTAGAGATTAGGAGCGCCATTTTCTCAGCAAAATTGCTGTCTTGCTTTAGGTCGCTCTGTGTGTTAATGAACGTCGTGTTTAATATTTTGAATACTGTGTCCCACGAGCTTTTCACGTTTTCATCGTATGCATCAACGAGTTGACGAAGTGTTTTCAACGCTGTTAAATGCATTTCTGTCTCACAGTTCAAAATTAAGTGCTCCTTTGGTGTCCCCAATGCAATAAGAGCACTAAGAAAAGTATTCAAAGCATTCAAGGATTTCTGAGCGAGGAACTCCATTTCAGGCTTTTCAACCTGGAGGCCAATGATGAAGTCAGTGAAGACGGCAACTAAATAATTTCTGACGACAGATGTGACCGACCTCTCGGTTGTCAATTTCGTGAAGTATTGAACGAAGTGATCCCATACTTCATCATCACCCAACACATACTTTTTTGGATCCACTTCTAAGACAGTAATAAGTTGATCAATGAAGAAAGTTCTGTTGAAAGGACAAACGTCTAAAGGGATAATGCTTTTATTTTCTTCAGCTTGTCCATCCACTGAATAGAGAGAAGTTAATGCAAGATAAAGCTCCTTGAAAGAGGTCAGCTGATAGTCTTTTATGCTCTGGAAAAACTTGGACCTTGCATCCTCAATATAATTAAGGTCCTGTTGTGATAATTTGGGTTCTTTGTGGTTTTTCGAGTCTTTCAGCCCGCTGAATTTATCAGGTCCCGAAATGAAATAGTCAACCCACTGGAAAGTGATCCATACAATTTTCCATGATGCTTGTAAAGTGGAACCCAAGGACACAGCAAGGTTATACATTGCCCCAAGGCACACAGCCTGGCGAGAATTGAACAGACGAGAACCCAAATGTAAGACAGAATTTTCGCCGTTGTTTTTTCTTGTGCTCGAAATCTCGCTTTTCTGTGACAGTTGTGTCCCCGCAGAGGAATTCACAGGTGCCTGAATGGTTGAGCTTATAGATTCAACGATAGATTCTCCAATTGAGAGTAGTTGTGCCGCCCCACTTTTCTTGCTTGATTCAGAGAGAGCAGTATTTTTGATGATGCAATCGGAAAGCATCAAAAGAAGGCCATCTCTCAAAGACGAAAGTCCCAACAAGCCGATCGAGTGTATGTATTTTTGCAAAGCGAGAATAAGAGCGTGGAAATGTTCTGAATCCATTGAGCAATGTAAGAACTTTTTAAGCATCTGAAAAATCTCCGGGAAAAGCGAGTCGTTTATAGCTGTAATGAAGTCTAAGTCAACTTCAAGATCTGACTGTGATTGATTCATTGAAAGCTTTTCCACAAACTTTGAGACACCATTTACAAAATTTAAAAGTATCTTGAAAGCTAGATGCACGCTGTATAACAGCGGAAGGGAAGAAGGGGCCTCTTGCTTATCCAAATGGTCCAAAACGGAAACTTTTAATTCCGAAGTTTGTTTAGAGAGACTGAGACCAGTAGAGCGATCTGGTGCTGGTTGAACAGTCTCATGAGCAAAAAATTGCGGGTAATTTGTATTGAGCATGGTGTTCACGACGCTCAAAACTTCGTGCAAAACACTTTTCCTTTTCGTGTTGCTGTCGTATGCGCTGTAGAGATATCTGACCGTGGGGAAATTGCCGAAAAGAGCTGTATACATTTCCAAAACAAGGATGCGTTCCCAGGCTGGAGAAGTAGAAACAGACATTTGAGCCAGCGCTGTTCCAGTCAATGATAAAGCCGAATCTAAGATCGAAGAGTCTGATATCGACACCTGCTGGGGCTTATTGAGAATAATATGGTTCGAAACAGATATCAAAATCTCTCCTTCGTCATTTAAAGCGGGAAGCTGGGACTCAACCAAAAGATGGACAACTCGTAGAACACGTAAAACCACAGGAAAGGTTGTGGTGGGCGAATTGAGGATCTTGAGTAGGCCTGGAACTACTTTTGCTTTCAAAAGCGCCACCAACTCTGGCTGGGATTCGAAAACATCCCTGTTGAGCGAATAAACATTTTCAAAAATCTCAAGCAGCGTCTGGGCACTGATGTGGATATCTTCTGAGCTGAAATTTTCCGTTTCGTTGCCCGAAATCAAGCACGCCAAATCCAGGAATGTGGAGAAACATGCAGCTTCCAAAACATCAAGGTGAAACACCTGTGGCTTCTCATCTGTCAGGTCCAAGGGAAGAACAACTTCATGGGACTTTTCACCGGCCGTGTGATTCCGAAGCTTGTCGCATACAGAGCTGAATACCTGCTGGAACGTGGCCCTGGCTGTGTTGGAGACTGCCACATTGGGCGATTCGGAAAGGCGAGAACACAAGGCCAAGAGACGCAAAAAATGCTCGCGAGAAAGTGTGTAGTTCAGTGTGATGGGCGGCAAAAGCTGTAAGATCTTCAATTGTGTTTCCCAGCCAAGCCCGGGCATGTCCCACTTATGCAAAATGTCAATCACCATCAGAACCTGATCGAGTGGCACAGTGGACAGAAATGTAAGGCGCAGCAAAATATTGAGAGAATTGTTGGCCAACTTCACGTTCCCACAGGCCAATCCTTCCACAAATGGGAGACAAAGCGTCGTTTGTATAGCCGCTTCTGAGATTTGGGCCGAGCCGGGAAGCTTTTTCGCCTCAGCCTCGGCCACTTCAACGAGACGGCGCACATTTGTGTTTTTGCGCTTGAGGTCTGCGGAAAAACTCGCCAAATCCGCAAGAAGTTGCGATGCTGAGACCATATCGGGTAGGTTGAAGATGACAGCGAAGTTGGTGATATGTAACGTCCCAGCACGCGCACGTGACCTCAGTCCCCGGCCGATTTGGGTGGGATAGTGAATATAGCTAAGAGGAAAAAAAAAAAAAATACTATGTCGAGTAATTAGGGTAAAGAGATTGAGTTCGTTTGGGATTGGTATCGGTATTGATAGCGTACCACTTCTTGTGCATTATATTCTCATACACTATGTTCTCATTATCACCACATTAGGCTCTCCATAATACGCTATAGGAGGTTACGAGTGTAGATTAAAAAGACATTCGTTAAAAGTAAAAGTTTTATAGAAATTTCATGATATATACATGTTGGTCATGGGTACAAAACAAAATCGCAAACCGGCTTCTCGATACATGGACTACTAGATGCGACATGACTATCCAAGCTAGAGTCCATATCTTACAAATGAAATACCACCTTAAAAGAGAGAATATGAAAACTTGTCTTCAGGACCCCAGCCAGATTAATCTTGTAAAATGATAACTAAGCCCATTGAAATACTGGATGAAGCAAAAATTGAAATCAGAAGATTTCAGAATCCCACAGATTAGGATCTTTGCCAGAATAAATTGCAAAGATATGATTATGACTCAGGTCATACTACGCATTTTATGCGCCGTTTCTGTTAACCTGTTGTCTCTGATCTTTTTCGTCACTCTATTTTTACGTCTCATGATTTCATTGTCGCTCTCAGAACTCTTCAATTTGAAGTTCATAAGGACGATACTAACCTTTCTCCGAGTATTTCTCGTCCGAGGCCTCATTGGCTAGTTAAAATTTGTTTGGCAACATACTGTTATACTATATCTAAACCGAGGCTAAACAGCCAATCATTCTGCCCAGAAATCGAAAAGTAGTGTCAAAGATTCATAATCTTCGACTACGGAAGTGGGCTTTATCCAATGAAGTAAGCTTGTGACTCCGAAACCGGACAGACGTCAAAACCTGAAGAGTCATCTGTACCTCAAAAAAAGAATTTTCTTTTCCAAAACACAGATTTTACTTCAATGGTATCGCCTCAATTATTTTGTATAGCCGTTTTTGGGTTCGATTAATAATCATTCACCTTGAGATCGTCCGACATAGTGGTGGATCTAATCGCGTGCCGTATTTGTCGAAAATCTGTTGCACATATTTCCAAAATCTGTTGCACATATTTCCATCCAATGTAACGAACATATCAAAATGAAACGTTTATAGAATAAAGAAAAAGAAAAGTCTGATCGCCGTCTTAAAGAAACACTGTCATGCTTTTTTTTTTATAATAACTGCTACGTGCTAATGAAAAACTTCCGCACCAACATCTGGAAAAAATCACATGCACTTCAATCCCACAGAATTTACGAATCTTCAAGCTATATAAGACGCAGACACAATTCCGTTTGGTCGACAGAAAAAAAGACTACTTTCGCTCTTATCCAATTCCACACCTGGCCCTTTTCCTATCCGAACCATAATAGTACTCTCATTTAGGTCTATTCAGTAGTGTCGAGCGTTATCCTTGCTTCTGCCCGCCTGCATTCTGTCCTCTCGAAACCTGGGGAACATTTCTGGTTCTATTTGCCTTCCTTGCACAACCATGTCCGACCAAAGGAAAGGGATCACCTTTGATGGTGAAACGTTCACGTTTCCCGAAACAAATGACATGGTCAAAACCCTTTTTGACCCCACTGTCCACAAGTCCGCATGTGAGCTAATCATTGTCACTCTTTTAGTTATGAACTCGCTCGTTTTCTATTCCGTGCTGAACAACCAGTCTAGAATAAACATATTCGTTGGAATGTACATTTTCTGGAGACTTTGCTATAACTTTGGAATTGGCTTCTTGCTCAACCAACAGTCCAATCGCTTTCGTCTCGTCAAGATCAGTGAAAAGATGAGGCTCTTTGATAAAGGCAACAAATCTTTTTGGGCTCGCTGCGTCCAGACAGAAGTCCAGTCGCAAATGGGCCCCTCTTATTCCATTCTGGCTCACCCTGTGGCTTTCAACACCTGGTTGATCTTTAGAAAAGTCGTGGATTTGATTTTGATGGAGGACTTTATTACATTCATGTGCGTTGTGGTGGCGTGCGCAATTGATAGCGATTACCAATTCTTACATGGACAACCAGTTTGGTTGACTACTCTTCGATTGGTTATTGGCAGCATCTTGATTGTATTCAACTTTTGGGTTAAAGTCAATGCTCATAATACCATCAAAGATTATGCATGGTATTGGGGAGACTTCTTCTTCAGGCAGATCAATAACGATGATCTTATTTTTGATGGCGTTTTCGAAATGTTCCCGCATCCTATGTATTCAGCGGGATATGTTGGCTACTACGGATTTGCTTTGATTGCAAAGTCTTACACAGTGCTTATTGTGGCTGTTTTTGGTCACTTCTTGCAGATGGTTTTCTTGCATCTTGTGGAAAATCCGCATATTGACAAGATTTACGGCCCTCCACCTAATGAAACAAGTCTTAAAAAATTAGTGAAACTAAAGGATTTGTCCTTCTTTGACAATGTGGCGCCTTTGGTGGGTTTAGTCAACTTCAATATTTTGAGGGCAAGCGACATCATAAACTTACTCAATTGCTTAACGTATGCAGTTGCAATTCCTACTGTCTCGTCTTTGGCTACTTACAACATTGAAGCCATGGGAAAAGTCTTATTTTGCATCGCCATATTGATAAAGGGTTTCGAAAGTTTCGTCATTAATGGTGTTCTTTTGTTACAGAGTAATTACAAAACAATTAGCGAATGGTATCTTGCAAACAATCTTCCAGTGGAGAATTCCTTGAATAACTTTGCGGTGTTGTACAACTCTTTGATTAATTTGACTTATTCTTCCTTTGTCGGTATGAATGTCTTCAAGTTGTTGACCAAGCTCAAGTATCAAGATCTTATTATCACAGGACATATATACTTGAGAATTTTCTTGGGGTTGTTACTTATCATCACTCAAGTTATGATTAACACGTCTATTGTGGACCTGATTGGATATTTTGGCTGGTTTTATGGGGATTTTTTCATTCCTAAGGCGTCTGTTTTACCACAAAGAGCTCATTTGAGCAAAGGTGGTGTTTACCGGTACTTGAACAATCCGGAGCAAATCTTTGGTGTTTGTGGCGTGATGGGAGTAACCATGATTGTGCCAACTTATGATAACTTCATGATTTGTCTTTTGTGGATGTTGAACAACTTCTTTAGGATCAATTTTGTTGAAAGAAGCCACATGATTAAAATTTATGGTGAGAGAGAAGTTCTGCAAGACAGCGGAGTCATGAAAACTGTCAAGAAGCACTTGTTGCCAGAGAGCATTCAAAAGAAATTTGAAGTCAGTCCAACCAATGAACCGAAAAAGAGAACGAACTCTGTTTTCATTGAGTCGTTCGACTCCTTTATCAAAGAGCTTAGAAGTAAAAACACGTCTCCTGTTGTCTCAAAAGAACGACTTGCTGAGATGTCTCAAAACGAGTTCTTTTCCGGTAGCGACTATTGCTTGGAAATTGAAGGACTTGAAGATAGCTCTTTCGTACCGCACTCCTTTATCGGGGAACCCATTGAAGTGAAATTTCGTGCTCCAGCAAAGCATTCTCCAAAGGATTGGGTTGGCTTGTACAAAGTTGCACATACGTCCTTTTCCCGCTATAGAACTTTGGTATCTTCTAACAATCGCTGGGACTGGACAGGTCCCGAAGAACAAGGAACCATTGTGTTTTCGAAAGAAAAGCTTTTTTGTGAAGAGGGATTATACGAGTTCAGATATCATCTTGATGGAAAACATGATGTGGCATTTATTTCAGCACCATTTGAAATCAAATTGCGCCACATTGAAGTTCCTTTAGAGTCAGCAGAAGCCGATGAGTTGGCAAACCAATTGAGGAAGTATATCTTTGACCACGTTGTCTCAGGAGTCGATGACAATGAGACCCCGATTTTCGTTGGGATCTCTCAAACACAAGACATTGTGGCCACATATGAACACATTGCCATGCTTATCACCAAGTCAACGGGGGTCAAAGTTGGCAAGAGATTTTTGATCTACAACGATAACGAAACGGGGAATAAGTTTACTGTGGGAGATTTGGCATCAAGATTGATAAACATCAAGAAGGTGATGCACGAGCTCGAAGGAGACGAGTACCTTCGCATCAAAAAGTTAGAGTAATTGTACATAGATCAATTAGTACAAAGTCCTGTAAATTAAATGTATGCTGCTCTATAATACACTGTGAACATCTATATAATGTGTAGTACCCGACCTGGCCAATACCGGGGGGATGTCTTCTCCACTATTTTCACAATGGATCCCGACCAATCCAAACAGATGTCGTATTTCCACATGAACACTCTTTAGCCTCACAGCCTAGGTCACCATGTTGTACTATGTATAGTTTTTTTGGCTTTGTCCAGCAGTTATGAGTTTCATGACGATATGGAAGTTTTCTGTGGGTTATGTTCTGACACAATATGCTTGAATGCCAAACACTCAACAATGCGATGCCAATGGATTGTGGCGCAGAGGCGCTTGAACAAGCTCCTTCTGCTTCAGCTCTAGTCCTTCTTAGCGGCCAACAGAAGCATAAGGCCGTTGATGTTTTTCCGTACCACCAGCGACATACTTTCACACCCAGCCATCAGCCGCAGCAAGATGTCCAGAGACACTTCGCCGCCCTCGATCCAGAAGGCCACAAGCTCGTTGTTTTGCATCTCCATATAGCTTGCAACGCACTCTGTGGCAGCTGACGGGTCCAACTGCGGATCTAAAAGGGTCTTTTCGCCCGAAATGCTTACATGGCCAGCGGAGACCAAATCCCGCATTTCGATGCCGGCATCCACCAAGGCCAAGGATGTGCAGTTGATAGCCCACGCTGCAAGGTTGAGGAGCGAAGCCGTTTGCGAATTGAATGCCACGACCGTGATGAAAACATCGATGGTGGATTTCGGGTACTTCTCCAAAAGAAGCGCCGGCAAAAACGCCGTTTCCACAAACGCAGACACCTTGTGCTCGATCGGCGTGAGGCCAGGACGGCCCTGTGGCGTCTGGCTTGCGCCGTTGTAGATACTTTCTTCTGGTTGGGTAATGTAGGGAAGAAACTTGCACTCGACAGAAAACGACGCCTTCTCAACAAACAGGCCGCGGATCGGTCTGGGCCCAAAAACAGCGACTTCCAAAATGCAATCGCCCACTTCGAGGTAGGCCAGGCCGTTGGCGTTTTTGGTGAGGCCCGATTTTAGGAAAAAAGCTTCTCACATTGTCGGAGGAGCGGTTTTGCGACGCCGCGGGCGATTTTTCCACAGAAAAAGACGACTCGGATGATTGTAGCGCCGAAGAGGCGCCTAAAATTGGAATTTTTGCATCGGAGGGACCGAGGATTCTTCTGCGGTCAGACATGGTACTGGTTGGAGAAGAGATGAAGATGGATTTTTGTGCGCTGTATGTGTGCAGTATAGAGTCAACTTGGAGTAGGTGAAGACTACAAAATTGTTGAAAAAATATACTTTGGAACTGGCTTGAAGGTTACTTTAGAAAAAAAGGATATAGAGGCAGCTTATACTTGGGACGGAAGTTGGTTCAAAAACAGCCTTGGGATGAAATTTCGGCAGTTTCGCTTTCTGCATTGGGAAATACTAGCACCACTCAACAGAATAGAGCTCATCTGCTTAAAATAATCGGGTAGTATTCTCTCTCATTATTTTCACAAGCCTGACGAGCTTACTGGTTTTCTTTTTGTCTTTTTGTCTTTTTTTTTTCGTTGTCTTCTTGACTCGCATCGTGCATACTATAGTAGGACCAAAATAGTTCTCAACTTTATCTGGTTGAAGGTAGCTTCCATCTAACTGGCACAAGTATCTGCCAATTGCATGGCCACATCCTGAGGATTTCGGTATTCTTGTCTTTTCCCTTCTAATGCTCCTTCATTTGTCTCCGGCAGACGGAATTATACCATGTCTACTTGAAGTGTTTGCTATAATACAGGCAGACTACACCTCGGGCGAACGAATTGTCTACTTTAACAACACCACATCGGGCGCTCTTCTCCGAGCCATGGCCGAAAGCGACCGGGCTTGGGTGGAAGACGAAAAAGTGTTGAAATCTTTCGAGTACGAGCGGGTCTCGGATCTCTTTGAGTTGGCAGAAAAGCTAAGGCAAGGTGCGGATTTGGTGATCATCGAGCGGCTAGATCGAATTGCTCGCGAGCTGGGGCCGGAATCATACAATCGGCAAAACGAGGCTGTCGCTGAGATCATGAATCTTTTGCCAGATGACGCAGTCTTCATTGACGACTGGGCCTACCTAGAAGAATACTATAGCTTTGACGAATAAGCGGATTCGGACTGAGAACTGCATCAGAAGTTTTCTTGAGACAACTGTGTGGTTTGAGACTATTTGTCGATGTTCTACGAGTATCTCAAACCGGGGGAAAATGGTGACCACTTTGTGTTGTTCCGTTATGTTGTTCGATCTGGCGCATGATTGCAGTCTGGTCTGTATCGTGAAGAGTGCTGTGAAAGACAGGGCCTCAGTTGATCAATTTCTAGGCCAGTTCCTCAAGATATTCGGAATTGATTGCGTGTCCAGTCTCCACCTTTGAGCTAAGTTCAATACTATTGAGCACAAAGCAATAAGTCGAACCACTCACATGGTAAGAGTACATTCTTCGTACCAATCGTTTCCATACTGTCAAGCTCTGGCACTGATTCATGCGAAATCGGGGAGAACTATGAAGCACAGAACAAGAGTGGGGAGAAAATACAGAAAAAACCCACACAAAGAATACTCCCAGACGAAACGACAGGCGATAAGTAGGATAAGAAACGGATACTTCGTGGTGAAGACCCGGGCGAATATAGCGAGTATCATCCATACACCAAGTCTAGAGAACTAGAGGACCGAACAAAAATATCAAAAAACAACGTAGTCTAAACAATCTAAACCTAATGCTAAATATCCTTTAGGATTATTTCCATTAGGATTATTTGCATTGCCTGCGTGGTCTATTTTAGCCACTTGTGACTCTGTATAGAAGTCTCGCATGAAATGCGACACATCACCGGCATTTCATTATACCGCAACATACTTCGGTTCAATCACACATTTCCACCATGAATGCTCATTCCGCTTTTCCGTTCCGTGATTTCGAACTGTCTCGTTTTCGTCCGCTCTTCTGTCACTCCAAAAAAACAGCGGCTATATCGCTCATGTAGATTCGCCCACTCTAGCCCCTAATCGTATTGACATGATCTGCATATACTTGGTGCCTTGTACTTCCCCTATCTACGCTATGGCACTTCTCCATGTGCAGGCCCATTAGTAAATCCACATTCATCCTCGCCCTTTTACTAGACAGTCATAGACAGAAGCAAACGCAGACAAAAAAAAATACAGGCGGACAGAGCAACAGAAAAGCACAAGCCATTTCTGTTTATTGCTGCCGCGTGACAAGATGGAAAAGTCCCGTGAGGTCCAAACGCGAGGCAGAGGTGTCTAGAGAGTTCCATGCAGTATTTAGTCCAGGGCTCGCAACTGCCCCATACATTTTGCTGTGGAGAAATGCAGATGGAATGGTGGGGAATCGAAAAAAGAGACGCGGTACTGCATACCCCGCTGGCTCCTCCACTCTAAACTTCAACGCTTTTGTCTATCGTGAGAAAAATTCCATACTGGTTTTTTTCCAAACAAAAAACAACAGCGCTTTTATAAGCTGACCGCCATGTCTTTATGCGATACCCCAAGCTCCTTGATTCTGCTATCTCCGTGCTCGTCCTCGCCAACTCTCTTTGACCCGGATTTTACGGATCCTGAGCGCCAGAATTATCCGAACCGTAATGTGCTTGCCGCCAGATCTCGTTTTCTGGCCGAAAGCATGAACACGAGCGGCTCCGTGTCTTCAAGAGAAAATACGCTTTTGCACGAGGGCGGGATGGCTGCAAATCCTGTTCCTGACAGCGTCACAATAATCATGCCTGATTTCATTTCTCGGGTCTCAGTGCTGATGGACCTGATCGCCCTGTTTGTGGCCCAGTACACGCCTCAGGCCGTGGAGATCTCCGTCACCCACCTCCTTCTTTACACTTTTGCAACGCATGTCGACGACCCCAATCTTTGCATCAACCATTTAAAGCTCCTTCATTTGGGGAAACAATACAGCATTCAAACGCTTAGCGACTTGCACCAGCCACAACCCCCTTTGCAAAGCATTTGCAGCCGTTTTGCAACTTTTCAACTTTTCATCACAGATAATTTGGTGTCTGTGCCGCTTGCGTTGCCCATGAGCGATTTAATACAACGCTCCCTACATGTTGTCCGTTCGAGCGACCCAGACCGCCCTGTCACCTACGCAGATGCCATGCTCCGTATCATCCGGAAGCGCCTGCGCCGCAAACTGTCAGTGTCCTCTGTTGCTCTGAGTCGTACGCTGGGTGCTTCAGTAACGGATGTGGAGGAGCCACAGCTGGATGCAGATATTCTGCGCAAGATGAAAGCGACATGGAAACGCTTCTTCCACAAACAGGTTGCGGCGTAAAGTAATATGCCATATACAACTTACAACGTCCATTACAAAAAGGTCATGCTTCACTATAAGTACTTTCTTGAAATGTCAGATTGCTTGGATGCTGTGTAATGAATGTGTTTGGCTATGTCAAGTCGCCCATCGAAGTGAACTCTTCAGAGCAGCTTCGACAATAACGCTGAAGCTCATCGAGATCTTGCACAACATCACTATCGTGCTCTGCTCCGAGCACCATGTCACATTTGGAAAGCTCGTTAAGCAACCAGTTGCGCCATTCGCCAAATGCAAGTTCCTGCTCGAGATCATTGAGCATGCGCAAGCTCACTAGTAATTGGTTGCGTTTAACACCAATGTCTTGAAGAGACTGTTTGAGTTGTCGTGCAACGCCGCGTGTCATGCCATCATTGTAGATATTTTCCCAAGCCACAGGCTGGTTATAGTTCAAAACGAAAGATTGATTCTCAAATGACCGCATGCATTCTGAGCCCTTGCCAAAGACAGATTTGTTGCTAATCAATGTCTCCATATCCTTCACATACAATGCCTTTTCTAAAACCACCGGGTCGTAATGGTACATCTCCTTAACGAGCCCTGTTGCTGCTCTAGAATTCCAATAGTGCAGTGTGTTGCGTGCACAAAGGAAAACGTTGGATGCTGTCAAAAGACCAATCACCATCAAAAGCAAAAAGTGCACTGTCAATCGGTCGATGATGGCCCAGAAACACCGCCAGGAATTCCACAAGAAAAGAAGTGTCCACGAAAGTGCCGACGTCATCACTGATCGGAACACTAAGCGCACAATAGTCACAAGACTAATCCGTGCCGGTCCCGTAGGTGGGCACTTCGGGGCAACGTCAGCCACGGGGATTTTTCCATAATAGTAAATAGCCTTGACGATTTTTCCGCTGTTTCCAAAGCTGATGGCTGCATCGTCCACACGCGTACACACTGTGTGGTAGAATGAATTAATAAGAGTGTTGCCAAACCAGCGGAAAAAACCGCTACAGATCCACTTGCGGTCAAATTTAACTGTGGAAAAGAACTTCATTTTGGACTTGCCGCCCTCGATGCCTTCAATAATAAAACGGCTCACAAAGCGGAACTCAGGCCCGTAGTTGACTTTAAAGTTAGACTGTGTAGTTTTAACACTGTAATACTCATTCTCCAACTTGTGTTCTATCTCCTGTTTTGTCCGTACTTTACCTTTTCTTCCAGTGTAGTAGAGTAACTCGGAATTGAATTCTCTCGTCAAATGTCCCAGCAGTGGGTCCTCATACCACATTGGTTTATCACTAATCGAAACAGATACGGATTTGTATGAACTGTCCAAAACAGAAGACCGGATTCCGAAAAGAACGTGAAACAATGCCTGCGGCGGCATCTTTACCACATGTTCCTTGACGAAAAAAACATCCGATTCAAATTCGACCTGTCGCAGTGGCGGATTGCTGTCTTCCTTCAGGACTCGTTCGAACGACTCGGGCTTTGTTTCTGGGGAACCGTTGATTGCGAACATCTTCTTCTGCTTGGCCTTTTCGTTGTTGTAATCGGTTTCAATTTTTACCAATTTTTCAATGAGAGGAGTCACTCCTAACGGTTTGTCCAGAGCATCATTGGTAAAGACGCAATTGAGCTTTTCTGCCAAAAGTTTGCCATCCTCCAAGAAGAGTTTCAGCTTTAACAGACCAGCCACGTGGGTGACTTTCAACACCTCGTAGTCCTTTTTCTGCACGAGCTTGGCCTCGGCAAACCGATTCACCGGAGCTTTAAGCAACGAAATGAATCCTAGTGTGTTGATGTAAGCATAAAAGTGGCTTTGAGTGATGAACACTGTGCTCCGGAGTTCTTGCTGCGGGTTGGGTGACAATAAGCACAGAAACAGCACAAGGCAGCACTCTTCTGGCTCCAAAATCGACTCAAACAATGCCCGCATTTGGACATCCCTGGCGACCCACTTGTTCGGATAGTTTTTGGGCAAGACCATACCCTCACCAATCAGACGTGTTTCCTCTGCTTTAGGTATCTCTGTGATTGGGTTAACGCCCACCATATCATTAACATAGAAGACACCCCAGTTGCGGGACCCCCACAAGTTTGCGCAGAGTGCTGTTGGAACTGCTGTTTCGCCCGTTAAACTGTAGGCGATAAGCGAGGGCCGGGACAACTCAGTCACCATAGGGAAAGCAATCTGGGACACCTGCTGAAACACATACCGCTGGAAGAGCTTCTCATTCTTTTCAATGTGCGCAGACAACCGGCTGGACATGATCACTTCGTTTTTGGCCGAAACAATTCTTGTATTGGTGATATCACGATCCATCACAGAATTGAGCGACGACAGGAACTCCATCACCAAAGGAGGATAGCGACCACTAGCAATATGGACGAGTTGGTGCATCGGATCGTTTTCGTCAGCAATGCGGCGCCGGGAGTTTTCAAATACAGTAAGCCACAGTTTGAGTTGGGCCATGGTCTGGACTTGCAACACCAATGTGGTATCCATGGTTTTGAGCTCAAAGCAAAAGCGTCTATCCTCGTTGGGGGCGTACTTGGTGCTGCACAAGAGGAGGCCAATCTTGTCTGTTTCTTGGACAGAAGTGCCTGTGGGGCTGAGCACCAAGAAACCAAAAACTCCACCTTGCACAAACGCCCAGCGGCGGACCCAGACGGGTTTAGACAGGCGGTCAACCCATGTTTTCATAAATAAGTAGCCATGCTTTTCTACTGCCTGCTCGTTGGGGTCGTGCAACATGCGGAAGTTGATGGACAGCGTTCTATAGTCGTTCAAGTTGGCAGGAGGAAGATACTCGGCATTGGTGTGCTCCTCTGTGTTCTTGCGAGCCAAGAGCAAGTCTGGCTCCAACTTTTTGAGCGCAGGATTGAAATGCTCGTAGAAGTTGCGTATTTTCTGCACGGTGGTCCACGTCTCCTGGAAAAGGCTAAGCACGGCCGGGTTGTCATTTGCGCGGCTGACCTTATCGCTCCAGAGCAAATAGTTGAACTGAGAGACGCTCTCGTTGATCATGGTGCCCAAGTCAATCATCTCCATGACCGCATCAAGCGACAATTGGAGATACTCTTTATGGGCAGCATACAATTCCAACAGATCCTCCTTGACTAGCGCAGGCTCCTTCGATTTGGGTGTGGCCATGTGAATCAGCAAAAAGCGGTCATATTTTTCCTGGCACGCCATAAACCGCCGCCGGTGCTGCTGGTACGCCGCCACTCTTTTGGAGATATTGTGCTGGAGCCTTTCAATCTCTGGAAGCGACACCAGCACCATCGCAATGGCCACCTTCCAGAGGTTTTTAAGCCCCGACTTGGTGTGCCGGAGCTCGGCGAACGTGTACTGCTCGTCCAAATAGCCGTCTTGCAAAACCAGCGGAACCAAGTACTCCAAAAACTCATTGAGATAGTTTTCGAGCACCCGCACCTGGCCCGGGATTTTCTTCACGGTCGCTGCCACCGCCGTTATCCATTTTTCCGTTTTCATAAGCTGCGAGTCCATGTGATTGACCATGGCCCGGAAAGACGGCGTGTCTAGTGCCGCTTCCTTTAGTATAGCCGAAAAGAGCTTGAACTGCTTGTACTCGACTCCAGCGACATTTTTGCTCTGCGCCTCGCCCTCTTTCTCCTTCATGCTGCTCCTCCGGCTTGCAGATGCTGAGTCGTTCTCTGCCATTGCTCTAGCGATGTCTTTAGACGTCTGTGGGTCTAAGTAGGCGGAGATCCGAGAGGCACGGGTGCATGGAGATAAACGGCCAGTGTTTATGGTCGCATGCTTTGATACAGGTTTGGCTAGTCTAAGATGAGAACAGTCGCCAGAAACTTCATGAAAGAGAGCCAGATGGGTATTTCAGGGCCAAATAGCCAGTTCAGGGCCAAATAATCAGTTCAGGGCCAAGTAGCATTTCGGGCAAAACAGACATTTCAACAAATAACTCGAATGACTTAAAACTCAATTCTGGCGTAATGCATACTCGGAAAAGCATGAGTTACGTCAACACTAAAACTAACAATATGTACGCTAAACTCATCCTGACGCTTCTGAAAAGGATTCCAGTAGTTAGAGTCGTTGTGTTCAAGTAGGTTGAAAGAGTTATGTGTCCCATAATGACCTGTTGGAAATGAGAGCATTTTAGATTTAGTTAGTAGAAAGAGCTGGCTTCTGTAGGTTGTCTTTGAGAAACGTACTTAATGCCCCTTTTTTTTAGAATATACGCCTTTCTTCAATCAAACTTCTGTAGGTCGTAGTCTTTCTTTGACTTCAATAAACATTGGGCCTTCTGAATATACACGAAGCCATTACAGATCGTCAAAGTGCTTTGGTTCTCGATTATGCCTACCGTTTCAAAATTCCAGAAACTAAGTAGATGAACATTGCTGAATTTTGCTAAACTCGGTCAAAAGCCTACACTTTTCACTCAATAGCCTACACTCTTCAGCCAACAGTCTAGCCCATTAAGTCAATAGCCTAGCCATTGGGTCACTAACACTACAAGAAATGGATTTTCTTCAAACCAGTCATAACATGTTGCAGAGTTATCCGAATAAAAAATTTGAGCTTGCTACATGAGTGTTTTTGCCTGGCAAATGTCTACGTCTTTTGACGTGAGGATATCCATTTTCTATGCAATCTTTTTTTCCATGCATATTCCCTCGCAGTCAGTTGATGCCAGGGCTTTTTGCCAGCGCTAATGTTAGAAGAGCAAAAGCAATTGTCTCCAGAATCAAGAATACATTACCAGTCACATGTGCCTTTCGTGAAAAACTTTTTGATTCCAGTCTCGAATTAGCGCATAATTGCTGGGTTCTTCCGCAAATTCAAGCGAAAGAACCAAGTCATATGATGCAAGTAAACGAGACGCAACGAGCCTAAGACAAGAGGAGCAGATATTTTTCTGTGCTGACAGCCGATTCCTGAATGTGTGACACCATCACATGACTGGAACAAGGGATATTCTGATCGTGTAGGTTCACTAACTTCGCACCAATGCAACATCGAAATAGTGTTTAGTCGTTGCAACACGTACTTTAAAGAATCTTGGTCAGTAGGTAAGCTCATGATTTTCCTAACTGGGCTGGTTCCGTGGCTTAAATCAACCTCCATTGCTTTTTTATCAGAGGCACAGATTTGCAACAAACTGACGAGCTAGCACAAATAGCACAAAAATACGTTTGGGGTAGGAAAGTTAATGAGTAAAAAAGCAAAACCACTAAAAGTACTTAAACACCGAGAATCGAGAACTAGAACCACTGAACCACTACACATTAATATCGTTCATCGCTGTTGAACGAATATTTCTTGGTCTTGGCAAATGAAATAGCCGATCGTGTCGTTCGAAATTCGGGTCGAGACTGCGTTCTTCTAGGTCTGGACGAGTCTCTTTCGCGATCGTGAAATATCAAGGGTTTTACATGGAGTTTAGTCATGTATTGCTTTAATCGCCGTACAGCGATAAGTTATGCGCTTATCGTACAGCCGCATGTGTATTCTTCGCCATTAAGTCAGGCGAAACGAGGGCGAATCTTTGCAATTCATTCCAACAAAAAAAAAAAAAAAACAAATATAGAGAAACTCAGCATGGAGCATAGGCTTGATAGTATAGTTGAACATTGGATCCCAAGCAGTGTTCCATTGAGAAACCATTGCGCGAGTTTATACACAATGTACAAGCTTCAATAAACATAAGCGCATTGCCTTGTCACCACGTAAAAAGGTGTATCAGTCGGGGTTACGTTATCAGCTGACAGGAGATAGTGACCAGCCGTATATATTTGGCCTAACCCGCATTTTAAATTTGATTTTTGATTTACGGTATGTTGCCCTTTTTTCTTCTGCAACATTCACCTAGACATCTCTGTGGTTGGTCCACTCTAGCTTAATCTCTTAATGGAATTGAGGAAACGGTATGTTTCCATTTTCGGCCCAAGCAGCAGCCAAAGGTTAGACAGAGGCTGGTACTGTTAAAAACAAGGACATAGGCCTTTTGCCACATATTTTGTGTGTTCCGCTCCCGACCCAGGCCTTTGGTGGCTCTTATCGAAATTATCCTGCCTGACAGGAATATGCGCTTGTGGGAACGGGGCGTGCGATATTTGAGACTGCCAAATCACCCGCACCCGTGAAACCCACAAGCGCATATCCCAATCTGGGCCCAGCCTATAACTACCACTAGTCCCCAGGAAAAAAAGATTGGTTTTTGGCGAGGCCCACAAGATCACAGACATGTGGATCCATCTGCTAATACATTGGGGCTGGCTGTGCCACGTTACTGCGTGTCTTCGGACGAACGCTAGCAATAAAAGTTGAATTAGCTCGAAAAAAATATCATGTGTCGAAGTGTTGGGAAGCGGGGTTTGAAAAGGGGCTACAGCAAAGAATGAAAAGAAAAATACAGACAAGGCAACAGCATCACTGCTCTTGCTGTTTGCTGTTTTACTGGCTTCAGGCCGACACACTGGAGGCTGAAAAAAACCGAGGCACAACTGAGGTACTGATGTTGGAGTTTCGTCATTTTGCTTGAAAAGTGTAAAAAGTGCAAAAAGTGCAAGAGCAAGTTTTTCCAGAGAAGGCACTGCCTGCACACAGACCGGATAAACCTGGAAGCTTCTTCCTTCCAGGGTCATCATGGTGCATACGCAGCTGCAGTACACTCCGTGTTAAAAACGGGCTATTTTCCAAATGCGCGAGTGTCTGGTCACGTGCACAGCAAGTGACACTAGCCACGTTTAGCGCATACGGTCAGGAGTTTTGGCCCATGCGGATGTGATTGCTGTCGATGGCAAACGGCCACATTTGCGCCTGGGAAGACAAGAATTTTTGCCTGAACTTGTGTCTTTGATGGCTGCGACAGCTGGGACCAACAATAGCCCCTTTTCTCCAAATGGTACAAGACTTTGTGAGAACAGTGCATAATTTTCTGGCGTTTATTACTTGGCCCTTGCAGTATGCGACACTCTGGCCACTTTTTATTTTCGTATTTGTCTGCAGGATTCCACACCTTGGTCTCGGCTTTTGTGCGACACTGGGCTTCTATGCACAAACAAGGAATATGCCACTTTAAAGCCGAGATTCGGTATTGGGGTCCGATTGTGGAGAAGGCGATCCGCCTCTTGCCCACCCAATGTCAAGCATTCGGGAAAGCAAACGAGGTGGAACCGACATTTCTACATGAAACAATCGGAATGGGAGAAAAAAAAAAGAAAATATCGGCGGCTGTCTCGCAGAGGATCGAACGACAAGAGGAAAGTGGCCCCATCAAACTAGTTTTTCCGGTGCGCACCTAGCGCACGCCAAAAAAAAAATACCAGCCGCATTCGGAAGGAAAGAAGCTCAAAGGCATATAAAACCGCCACGCAATCCCCTGACTTTTCCTTCACCATCAGCATCGGACACAAATGAACACGAATCCAGTTTTCCAGACTACAAGCAACTCGCCCATCAGTACATCCGATGACCAGTGGATCAGTGATTTGCTTGCCAAATCAGCCCCTATGACCACCACCAACAGTTTTTCCAACGCCTTCAACTTGGAAATGTCCAACTTCGACTCCTTCACAGTGCCAACGACAGACTTCCCCAGCGTTTTGGAAAACGAAAGCATATTCAGCGGCCTGTCTCGCGCTTCCACAGCTTCCAGCACTCCTCCAGTAAAAGAGGAGATTGACGAGAACGAGCTCGGATTTGGCCAGGCCAAAGTGGGGCTCTTGGACAGTGTCAACACCAAGTTGCAAATGATGCAAAGAAGAAACGACTTGACGCCGAAGGCGTTGGAGTCCATTTTCGACACCAAAGACGTTTTGAAGGACACCGTGGACGGCCAAGCTGGACTTGCGCCCCAAAAACAAAGTACGCAGGCGCACAGAACAGAAAGCTCAAGCAACCAGGCCAAGAAGAAGAGATGCTCTAGAAGAAGACTCACGGACTCCCAGAAAGAGGCCCACAACAAGGTCGAGAAGAAGTACCGGGTGAACATTAACCAGAAGATCAACAGCTTACAGACGATTATTCCGTGGTTTGCCAACCAGGAGGAGGTGCACATGGACTTGAAGGTAAACAAGTCTGTGATTTTGGAAAAGGCATACGACTACATCACCTATTTGAAGGCTGAAAATGAGGCATTGAGAAGTCGTCTTGGAGAGACGACCATGGAAACGGGCATATAGACGGTTATTGGAATTATTAATAAAGCTAGACACACATTGGACACGGGGCTTGTAGTTTTGGGAAGTGGGATTGCTTTTTTTTCTTCTTTTGATTTGGTATTTCTTTTTGCAATCGCCTCTCAATTGTTCGTATTGTTCGCCTGCAGGCTTCCGCATGGAGCCTTCTGTCAGATGCACGATTCGAATCGATCATGCATTCGGAATCCCTTGCCTCTGTCTTACGTTTTTTATTTTTTTTTTTCACAAGACTGCTAGACGGGATGAAAGCTTGATTACGTCAGTAAAATGGGTGCAATTGGCAAATGTCTCATTTACTGCGCCAAAATTGCCCCATCAGCCTGCAGAAAATCACTTGTCAATTCTGGTGCCAACGTATTGCCAAGACCAGATGTTTTCTTGGTCGGTGAACATATCTAGCTCCTAGATAATGCTGAATGGGCAGTATCCTTTTGTAACAATAGCAAGAGTGAAGGTCGTAGAATAACAAAAGACACAAGTCACTCAAACCAAATAATTATACTTTTTTGTACGAGCCAATTGTCCCGTATCTGCATTCCGGGCATAATGCCCACTTTCAATGCTTTGGGTAGACATTTTGCCACACAATGTGGCTCCGTGACTGCCCGATATCAATAACGGAAAAAGCCTTAACTAGTATTGACAATTACAGTTACTTCGCATTCATATGATTACCTTAAACACCAGATGATTCTATAAATATGCCCTTAATTAAAAGCGGCGTCTGTCGCCCAAAGGTTGAACGTTGGATCCCGACTGACGGCCTCTGAAGCCACCACGTCCACCGTTACCTCCTCTACCTCTTCCTCTGCCATATCCACCACGACCGTATCTAATGTGCGAACCAAAAGATCTTCTGTCGTATCTCTGCAATTCTGGAGGAATGGTCTGGTTGGCCTCTCTCATAATCTTACACAAGTCACCGCCCAACTTCGAGTTTCCTTCGGAGAAGAAGGAAACAGCAGTACCGGTGGTGCCAGCTCTACCGGTTCTTCCGATTCTGTGCACGTAGTCTTCGATATTGCCTGGCATGTCGTAGTTGATGACATAAGTGATACCCTTGACGTCTAAAAATTGGTTAGTAGATGCTCCTCTGGCCGGAGATGAATGACGGCTACAAATATCAAAAAAATTATAGAAAGGAGTTCGACGTCTATTGATTACATAGAAAGCTCGCGGACACGGCAACTGATGCACAAATATTCCATAAACACACACCCAGGGGGTACCAGAGTCACCTTGTGTGTCTATCTTGATCAAAACTTGGCCAGTGACAGATTCGTCAACAGAATCACCTGCTGACTTCAACAGAACCACCTGCTCTTGTAGCAAAATATCTGTCTTCCATAACAGAATCACCTGCTATAGTAACAGAATGCTATTCATCTCAACAGAATCACCTGTCTATGATAATAGCAAAATTACCGTTCTGCTGGGCCACTCTAGTCCATTGTTGGTTATTGATCATCTAAATGTTTGTCCATCTCTTCGTTATCAGTTCTTGCTTTCTTCATAATCCTTCCTTCTAGTCTCCTTTCGCAATCCTGTCCAGCAGGCGTTGCGCAGTCATCCCTAAACCCCGGTTAGTAAATAAAAAATAATCAAAAACACATACCAATACCTCTGGCAGCCACATCGGTGGCCACCATAATAGGCGATTTGCCCGATCTAAATTCCCTCAAAACCCAATCTCTCTCATTTTGGTCCTTGTCACCGTGGATGGCCAAAGCAGGCCAGCCGTCTCCTCTCAAGTAAGAAGTGACTTCGTCACAAGCTCTCTTGGTAGAACAGAAAATCAAACATTTGGCTTCCTTGTCGGCAGTGGCAGTTTCCAAGTGCTTGAGCAATCTGTCTCTCTTCTCGAATTCGCTGACAACCTCAACCAATTGGGTGATTGTGTGAGAAGCAGACAATTCCAAAGAACCAATGGTAACTTGGATAGGGTCCACCAAGTAGTCTCTGGTCAAGTTCTTGACCTCCTTAGGCCAGGTAGCAGACCACATCAAAGTTTGACGGTCTGGTCTGATTTGGTCGACGATCTTTCTGATCTGAGGTTCGAAACCCATATCCAACATTCTGTCGGCTTCGTCCAAAACCAAGTATGTGACTCTTCTAAGGTTTGTTTTGTTGGTTTCCAACATGTCAATCAATCTACCTGGAGTGGCAATACAGATTTCCACACCTCTGGCCAAGTCTCTGACCTGTTGACCCTTAGGAGCACCTCCGTAAATACAGGTGTTTCTGATTCTAGAAGAAGAACCAAACTTGGAACATTCTGTTTGGATTTGCACAGCCAACTCTCTGGTAGGAGCCAAAATCAACACAATTGGTCCGTCACCTGGTTTCAACAAGGGCTGGGCGTTGATGTGCACAATAGCTGGCAAACAGTAAGACAAAGTCTTACCGGAACCAGTGGAGGCAATACCCACCATGTCTCTACCGCTCGAAGCCATAGGCCAACCTTGACACTGGATGGCAGTTGGCTTTGGGAAGCCTTGTTGCTTAACTTCGCTCAACACATAGTCTGGGAAACCAGCCTCTTCGAAAGAAGTGATTGGCTTTGGAATGTCCTGGCCCTCGACGGTCATGTCGTGTTCCTTTCTGAAAGCAGCAACCTCGGCGTCTGAACGTGCAGCCACGTCTGGGTGTTCTGTGTAAAAGTTCTTCTCGAACTTTGGCAACGAGTCCAAGTCCCATTCAGGAGTGGTCAATTCGATTCTCTCATCGACTCTTCTTCCGCCAAAACGGCCACCTCTGCCGCCTCTGAATCCACCGTTACGGTCGTTTCTGTAGCTGCCTTGGTTGTTGTAGTTGTTGTAGCCACTGTTGTAGTTGTTGTAACCTCCGTTGTAGTCAGACATTGTTGGGAAAATGAAAGAAAAAAAAAAAAAAGCGAGGAGATGCGCGGTTTATATAGTGCGCGATGAGCTGCGAAAAAGAAACGACCATTTCAAAAACAGCTTTGTGATGTATACGAACGATAGGAAAAAATATTATGGAAAGGAAAAAAAAATAAACGCTAAATTCTGGAAGACTAACTTAGAAAGCAATTGTAAAAGAACCCTTGATTGTCTGTGGTGGATACTTGGTACGAAGGGATGCAATCGGCGTATCTGCAGTACCATCTCTTCTCTGTTTCTTCTTTTCACCATCACGTCGTTTCATATCGCCTGCCTTGAGATCCCGGTCCCTGAATGTCAAACCAATTGTCTTATCGAATCCCCTCAAGGCCATGAAACGTATATGATGCTCCAGGGGAATTGACATCTCTTTTGGGAGTGCACATAAACCAGTGGACAGAGGGCCAAGCAAGAAGCATCAGACTGTCAGTTCTACTAGAATTGGTTAAGGATGTTTAATCAGCACTTTTCAAGAAGAGAAGCCCGTTTTTTTTTGTGCTTTTTTCTATCCCTGTAGCCCATGGCAAAACCCATGGCCGACCCTTGGTGCAGGACGCACATGTCTTCGCAAAAAAAAACCATCTCTTCATTCTCATCCAGAAGCAACATGGCAGACGAAAACAAAGACATCCCCATGGACGGCGAAATCGAGGAGCAAGAGTACGATGCCGAAAAAATCAGAATGTTGCCCGGATCTTCGGACGACGGCACTGCCGCATCTTTCCAGGTTTTGGACGAAGACCACACATTGGGAAACGCCTTGAGATACATGATCATGAAGAACCCGGAGGTGGAGTTTTGCGGCTACTCCATCCCGCATCCTTCGGAGAACAAGTTGAACATCCGTATCCAGACATACGGGAACATCACCGCGTTGGAGGCGTTGCATCAGGGTTTGGACAACTTGTCTGAATTGTGCACGCATGTGGAGGAAACGTTTACCGAGAAGGTGGATGCTGGGAACTTTGCCACGGTGGAGCCATGAGGAAATTGCATTTGTATAATAGACGGACAAGAGAAGGCACGTAGGGCAGTGAGCGTGCTTCTAGTATTGGCTAGAGGTACGACGTAGGCTCGATGTTATAGCAACGATAAAGACGAGGACACCCACATGACGAGACAACACCCATATGACAGTGCTTGAAGCTACCTATAATATTAGATGCTAGTACAGGTTATACACCCGTGTCATCACATCAATTTGTATGTTCGTCTGTGGGTGCTGGAGATGCCTCACAATCGACCTTCCCAAGTTCATAGATATCCTAGTTACAATTTAGTATATGAAATTTACATAATCAGTTCATGTCGACTTTTGTATATCCTTTTGATAAGATTTTGGTACACCGAGGTGTTTTGTATTTCTCTACACTTTTGCTTTTCTTTGTCGCGACGAACACAGCTTTGACCCAAACTACTGTTGATAACCTGTAAATCAGAGAAATACATCGAGCTGATCATTTCTTCCAAGTCACATTTTTTCTATACAGCAAATTCATATGGCCATCCTTTCCTATCTTTTGCTTCTTTATTCTTCTTTTACTGGCATCTCGGCGACAGGGCTAGGCTAGGGAGGTACGGGTGCCTTTCCCCATACAATGCTCGTTTCTGTAAACATTCCTTCTCTATCAGTGTCTCTTACCATGACAACATCCAGTTCGGCTGATCTACTGGAGTCTTTCCTCCATCTTTCTCTGGATTACACAGACCGGCTAAGTTCAGCCGATGACTGGACAACGCGGTCTTTGGACGATCTTCTGTCGTACTTGAAGTTGGCTAAACTTCACGATAGTGAAGCAGCTCGAACGATGCCCCAAACAAACAAGGAAAGTTTGCGTATCTCTTCCCACTCGACACCACTTTCCAGGCCGACCAAGACGCGTCACTACTCGTTGGACATGGGGTCGATCCCGGAAATGGAGAGTCGAGTTCCTTCCGTTGATGGAGCAGCTTTGTTTAAAGCGTTGCAGCCGTTTTTGGACCAGTACATCACACAAAAGGACATAGCCGATGACAGAGCTGTGTCGTCGAAGGAAAGCCAAGAGCAAGGAAAGGAAAGACAGGAAGCACACGAAAGACATGAAACAAATGAAAGGAAAGAAGCACAGGAAAGACATGAAACACAACAGAGCCAAGATATTCCAGAGAGACAAGAACTACCAAAGAAGGATCAAAACCGGCTAGACAAAGAAGATGCTGAGAAGCACGGCAAACACAAGCCATACCTACCGAAACAAGCAGAGCTTAAAAAGACAGACTTCCACAGACAAACAGACTTGGAAACTCATGCGCAGGCATTCCACTATGACAATCTGGACATCGAGCTGCACATTGACGACACTTTTGACCACGTTCGCCGCGTAGCAAGCGACGGAACAATTAGATACGGTAATTCTCCCGTGACTACTCCACCAGGATCGAGCAGAGACTCGCATTTCACCGACAGCAGATGCACAGTAATTGGTCGAGACGATACTTCTACAGACAAGCCACTTGCCTCAGACACTTTTGATGCTCCTCCACAGGTGGATTTGCCAGATTTGACTGCAGACGAGATAGACCTTGAACTTCCCCCCGCGCTGGAAGATCCGCAGGAGACTTTGGCGCTGCTTCGCCTCCAACTCGAACAGTACAAACAAGATAATGCGGAATTAGTCAACGAGGTGAAGTTTTTGCGCCGGGCGCAAGCATCCAAAACCCGTGACCTGACGGAGAAAGAAACTAGAGAGCATACACAAAGACTGGAGCATCAGCGGCCTCTGAAGCCAGCAAAGGAAACTTTTGAGGCTGATGTACTGACTGATGAAACATCAAAGAAACAACCACATAACATAGAAGAACCATTGACTGAGGACAATGTGCCCGAGGAGTTCAGGCCCTTCTACCACCGCTTGCAGTTGGACAAAATTAACAGTTTGAGTAACGTGGAGAAAGGAAACATTATCAAAAATGTAATGCTCTCGTTGCTTGTCACAGACTTCGACCATCTTCCGTCTATGGCACCCAAAGTTGGAGCATTTCTCCGCATAACCGCCCGCTTTTTGGACGAGCTTCACGCAAGATTCTATGAGTGTGGCGATATGCGGCCTCTGCTTTATCTCCGGGACTACAGCATGGATCCCAGTGACGGCCTTGAACAGTGCCTCGCCGGGATGCTCAGCAAAATAGGATAATACAGGACTAGGCGATTGACAGTAGCAATGAGAACTCAAAGGAAGAGTAAGCCGTAAGAGAATCAGGTGGTTGTCTCAGATGGTGAAAGTAGAAGACCCGGTATAAAGAAGCTCGTTTCCAAGAAAGTATTCTCATGATAAGCAGTCGTAATTAGAGCTCTCGTGAGACTTACAATGACCGATAATGGACAGGCCACCCCAATTAGAGTAAAAATCTAGCACTTCAATTTACAATCTTGAAGAGCTGTCAACATCAAACAGTATCCAACAGCATCAAGATGGAAGCGAATCCAAATACTTAAATAGGAGTGATGCTGACAATAACCTCAGTGTAATAATCCGAAAAAAAAGAATAAACTTGTTTTTGGACTTGTGAATTTGAAAGTCTTTTCCGCAACCATCTGCAAAACTTGAGCTTTTCGGCGATGCTAGCTGATGTCTGCGATTCGTAAAGATGTAGGCGAGTGCGTTATCGTACTGTACAGCATCGAGAAAACAGTTGCTTCAATACCAAACCAACAAAGCAATAAGGGCCAATGACATCGCAATACAAGAATATCAGAAGAGCAAAAAATCTAGAACAGGCACGCAAATAGACACTAGCAAAGACAAGAGCAAACCAATTGGACAAGAGCAAACAGAAGAATTGAAACATCAGGACGCATGAGCGGCGCTAAAACGCACCACCGCATTAAAAACGACATGAACGGCGAAATTACAAGTGAGAAGAAAATCAAATACCCGCCATTAAACGGTGGATCTCATGCAAAGAAAGCAGGAAAATCTCAAAAGCATCTCATGCGACAACAAAACCGAACCATTGTGAAGTCATTTTTTGGCCCACTTTGTCACTTCCGAAGTGTTCCATAGTCACACGTCGTGTCCGGAATCAAAACGGCCAAGCCGAGGCTCTGGGTGCAGGACAAACAGTCCATGTCCCCCACGATCTTCCCCAGGGGCGGAACAGGCCCGTTGTAGGCGAAAAGCAGAAACACCAACATCGAACAAAAACATACGCACGGATCCTAGTCGGCCCAAGACACCGAACAGAAAAGTCGGCTTTCCAATATATTTTCTAGCCCACAGCAGTGGTTGCGGCGACATTTGCTCCAAGATCCTTGATCCCACGTGACCCCCGCAATCATAACCAATCGACTCGAACATCACCACTTTACTTCTTTCCATCTGCTTACCCATATCGGCCCCAAGTCATACCACGTTTGTACCTGTTCCTGAAGCTTTCCCGCAAGCGAGCACGTGCGCCGAGATCTCATATCTGCCTTCCGCTCGAATCCGATTCCGCCGGTATCGTATCCCTCGAGTGAGAAGTCCAGCGGTATCAACAGATAACCTGCCACAATAACCGCCCACAAAAGAAACGCCCACAAAAGGACGTAACAAAAGACGGAAGCCGCCACAAAGACCGAAGCGGGACACGAAGACATCCCTATTGTTAATAGAAACCACAGGCTAGAGACATTCTAAACAAACAAGTCAGAAGGGCTTGTTATTTGGTTGCACAAAAGGACAGTCACGCAACCTCACTTTCCAACAGAACGGGCGTCTCTCGATCCAAAGAGGCGGACTCCACCACAAACACCAATTTCGCGCCAGCCGCTGCCCTCGCACGCCATGGGCGACACGCTCCGAACGAGCAAGCCCCGCCCCGATCCCGCACAGGTGCTGCAGCAGAAGGAGTCGCCGCAGAAACTGGCGGCGCAGCCGCGCAAGTTTGATCTGCTTGCGAGCCCGCCCAAGAAGGAGCCGCCGTTCCCGCCCGAGCCCAGCCGCCGCACGCTGGCAGCGTTTCTCTTCAACCCGGGCCGCCAAGACCTGATCTGCCTGCTCTTGAACAGCTACCCAGCGCCGCCCTCGCAGCTTCTAGGCGCTCGCTACTACGAAAACGGCACTGGCGCGGGCGCCAATGTGGCTGCAAACAACTTGGCTGCAAACAACATGACAAACAACATGGCTGCAAACGGCGCGGGCGCTGCAAGCAATGACGCTCATGCGCCAGGGTCCGGCGCACGCTTCCGCGGCGACCTGATTTTCCTTCCGCCTCCAGGCGACCCCGCCAGCGGCGTTGCCGATTCCAGCGCGCACTCGGCTCTGGACGCTGCAGCAACTCTGCGCAACAACAGCATTTTCAGCTCACTCATCCAGATACCTAACTCGGCGAGCGCGTCGGCGGCAAACTCCGTCAGCGGCGCTCCCCGGTCCCAGAAACGCCGCCGCTCCACCTCCGTCAGTCTTGGAGACAATGACAAGGACGCTGCGGCAGCCTTCTGGGAGCTGCTTAACATGGGTGGTGGCCTGATTGCTGGCCTCAGCAACGACAGCGTCAATGCGTTTTTGGCCAGCCTCCAAAATAACGGCAGCATCGACTTCACAGGCATGAGCGACCAGCAGCGACGCGACTCGCTTCTCAAGTTCATCAACGACCAGGGCGTAGGCCCAGGCCAAGGCAGCCAGCTGCAGAGTGCCGGTCAAGTTGCGGGCCAGAGCATTGCCCAGAAACAACGCGAGCCTCAAAACCAGGCACCAACCCAGCCAGAGTCCACTCGTCTCCGTGAGGATATCTTTGACCGTCTGCGGACGAGAAAACCTTCCGGTGGCGACCATCTTTCGCCTGCATCATCTATGTCGTCCCGGTCATCGCACAAGGTGGCTGATGAGCTGCACCTGCCAAAAGCATCGCCTGCTCAGCTATCGACTCAACCATACTTTCCTGCACTGGTCCCTCCTCAAGCCATGCAGAAACAACCAGCTGCGTTTTATCAACAGTATCCTGGCGACCCATACCCATTTTCGTCCGGTACATCATACCCACCGCAGAAACAGCGGAACCAGTATCTGTTTGGCGAAGCACCGCTGTACCAGACAGGACTGCCGGGGCTGTTGAGTCAACCAGCGCTGTTCTTCCGCCCACCGCTGGATGGGCGTATGAATTACTCATACAGACCACAACCAGATCAGTTGGGTCAGTCTCTCCCTTTGGATCATACAAATCAGCCCCCATTGAACCTACCTGGTACCCCGCTTGGTAACCAACTCGGCTCACAAATCAATGGCCAAATGGGCAACCCAATGGGTCCAAGGATGCGTATGGGAAGTCAAATGGGAAACCAAATCGGAAACCAAATGCCAAGCCAAATGGGCAATCCGATGAATGGCCCATTGAATGGTCAAATTCATGGTCAAATGAGTCCCAACCAGTTGACCCACATGGGCCAGTTGGGCCAGTTGAGCCCTGAAAAGGGTATGGTTCCTGCTCAACAACATGCGCAAGCAGAGGATGGGCGTCCATTGTTGGGTGCCACTAAAGTTGACCAACTAATGCTCGTTATCCAATCTCGTGAAAAGGGCAACAAACAAGCCATTCCCCAGGCTGCAGATGGAAGCGTCATGGCTGCTGAGGATGACAAGAATGTTCTACCGCTGACTATAAATTTGGTGGGCGGCGTAGAGAAGCCTGCTCGCGAAACCGCAGGCACGGAACTGGCCAGTTCAGACAAGAAGCACAAGCGCCGTGCAAAAACTCAACAATGTCCATACTGTCTCAAACAGTTTAACCAATCCACCCACCTTGACGTTCATGTGCGCTCACACATTGGCTACAAGCCTTTCCAATGCACTTATTGCCTCAAGAGATTCACTCAGGGCGGCAATTTGCGCACGCACATACGCCTCCACACAGGTGAAAAGCCTTTTACTTGTGAGGAGTGCAACAGGCTGTTCAGCCGCAAGGGCAATTTGGCAGCGCACATCTTGACCCATAAAAAGGAGAAACCGTTTGAATGTCGTCTCGATGGGTGTGATAAGTCCTTTACGCAATTGGGAAACTTGAAGTCGCATCAGAATAAGTTCCACTTGCGCACGTTGAACCGACTTACACAGACATTGGCAGAGCTTAGCGGGCCCGATTTGGAAAATTTGGATCCGGAACAAAAGGAGTTGTTGGACTACTTCCGTAAGTTGTACAAGAACTCCAACAGAGGTATTCGTGGCCGTGGAAAGCGTTTGGCACCTGCAGGTGAAGGCTCTAGCACTCAAAGCAGTCCCCAGCAAGTGCAGACGCAGCTTCTTGGACAGCCCAATCCCACGGCACAGTATCCTGATGGCCTTCGAAGAGACTATTGAGGATTAATGGCAGCTTGTGGATGAGACGGTGTAAAGCATTCTTGTGGTCGGCGGGCCCCTCCACTTTGTGTATGTGAGACATTGACTCTGGTATTCGCTGAGAGTCGACTACAAGGCATCTGGCATTTCATTAAATACTTTGAAGCAGGCGTAATTTAAAATGTATCAATTACAAGTGAATTTGTATTTTCTAAGACTGCTGTGACGAACTGGTTAACCTTCTACTCCTGCATTCTTTGGTGGTACTTGACTAGCATGTATATTTTCCCTTACGCAGATTAGAGTTAGAGCTACTTTCATTTAGAGTGGATATACTTTGATTAAGTATTCTAACTTCCAAAAGTAAAAGTCAGCCATAATTTAAGAAAGAGTTCCAATAGTAGCGTCGGAAAAAGATGATAAAAGCGTGTTTCAAAAGTTGATTTAACCATTTAGTTTGATCTGGTTTGGATATCACCGAGACAAACACTTCATCTTTTTCTAGGCTCGCAATGCAATACCACTCAAGGAGAGGTAAGGATTATAGCCTGATAATTTGATAGAGGCAGATATACTTCGTTGTAGTTGCATAGAAGACCAGTGGAACAAGTAATCGCAAACCCAATAAATGCATTCATAACAATGCACTAGGAAGATAGCTACACTTGTGTTATTTATTCGCTTCTTCCTCTTTCAATCTATCCACTTTGACCCTTTATATGCATCTGGAGGGAAGCACAAGATCAGCAAGAATGAACAGTAAAGCGAGAATAAAAGAATCTCGACCAAAACAGCCAAGTACGAAGAAGGACAATTAAAAGAAAATTCTAGACAGACAACAAAAGAAAATTCTAGAAAACAACAAAACAACAACTGACAGACAAAAATGAGAAGATGACAGTAGTTGGCAAGACAATTAAACTTGCAGACATCGGCCGGTCTGTGCGACCTGCTTCGGCCTGTACGTTCTGCGCAAGTCTATCCAGATCGCATCATCGAATCGCTAGTCCACAACCGTCCACTGCCATTGGGACAAAGACACGGGAAAGACAGATTGAGGCTTCAGATTTGTATCGACCATTTTCCGTTTCGTCTGACCATTTTCCGTTTTGAACATTCTCCATCGTATCATTCTCCATCTCGACATTTATTCCCGGAATCTGCATGTCTTCTCTCTACAAGCTCTCGATTCTGGGCATCCGGTCGTTCTCGCCCACCGACCACGAAACCATCCAGTTTGGCACGCCGCTCACGCTCATCTGCGGCCAGAACGGCTGCGGCAAAACCACCATCATCGAGTGTCTCAAGTACGCCACGACAGGCGACCTTCCGCCCAACTCCAAAGGCGGGGCGTTTGTCAACGACCCTGCGGTGGCAGACCGGCTGCTTGTCAATGCGGAAATCAAGCTTGGTTTCATTTCCGTCGACGGCAAGCTGATGACAGTGACGCGGAACATGCAATTGGCCCGCAAGCGCGGCGCCCGCGGCGCCAACACGTTCAAGACGCTCGAGGGCCAGCTCGCGGTGATGGCCCGCGGGCACAAAACGGCGCTCAGCACGAAAAACGCCGAGTTGGACGCGCGCGTGCCGCAGTACTTGGGCGCGCTGCGCGCCGTGTTGGAGTACGTGATCTTCTGCCACCAGGACGACAGCTTGTGGCCGCTCAGCGAGGCCGGCGTGTTGAAAAAACGCTTCGACGAGATCTTCGAGGCGCTGCGCTTCACCAAGGTGTTGGACACGATCAAGACGCTCCGCAAAGACATGGCCTCAGACATCCGCCTTATAGAGCAGAGCGTGCACCATGCGCAGGTGGACCAGGCGCGCGCGCGCAAAATCCGCGACAAGTTGGCCGCCAGCACGGCGCAGGCCGAGCAGTACACGGGGCAAATCGCCGACTTGACGGTGCAAATCGAGCGCCTTGAGCGCGAGGCCGAGCGGCTCTTCTCGTCCAACCAGGCGTTCCAGCGAACGTTGGGCGAGCACCAGCGGTTGAGCCTTGTGCGCGAAAACACCAGGGCCAACTACGACCGGCTCGAGCGCAGCTTGGCCAAAGTCGACTGGCCCGACGAGGAGTTGGCGCGCGCGCTTGCGCAGTGTTCGGGCGACCAGGAGAAAACGCGCGCGGCGCTAGAGGCGGCCGAAGCAGACCGCGCGAGTGCCGCAGACGCCATGCTGGACTTGCAGGCGCGCTTCCATGCTCTCACGCGAGAGGAAGGGCTCCTAAGCTATAAGCAATCCCAGTACGGGGAGAAGGTGGCGCGGTTGGCGGAGTTGGAGAAAACCACAACGCAGGGCGAGCTTGCGGCACGCCAGAAGACACTCGACACGGCGCTTGCAGCCAAAGACCACGAGATTGCCGAGGCGTCGAGCCGTCTCCGGGCGGCGCAAAGTTCGCTCGCGCGCGAACAACAGAGCAGGGCGCACTACATGCGGGAGGCAGAAGAGTGCGGGCAGCGCGCGCGCGAGCTTCGGCAGAAAGTGGCGCTCGCGTCGGCGGACCAGCTTGACGCCGAGCGCGGCGAGCTCGAAACGCTCCGCGAAAAGCGCGCGAAAAGAAGCCTGGGCGCGCGTTCCGACGAGCTTCAGGCGCAGCTCGCGCGCGACAAAATCACCCTCGCGCGCCTCGAGGTGGAAAACGATGACATGGTGTCGAAGTTGGCCAGCGCCAGCTCGCTGGCTGAATTGCAGACGCGGCGCGACGTGCTCCGAAGCAGCCACACGCGCAAGAAAAACTCGTGGCGCCGCAACGTCGAGGCGCACGGCCCGCAGTTCCAGCAGCTTTTGGGCGTGGATTTGGATCCTGCGCTGGCGCCCGAGGTCTTGGAGTCGCGCATCCGCGAGTTGGAGGCGGCGCAGAAAAAGGACGCCGCGGCCGAACAGTCTGCGCGCGAAGAGTGGAGCCGCGCCGCTGCGCAGATGCAGAGCGCCGAAGAAAACCTCGCGGCGGCGCGACAGAAATTGTCCCAGCACACCAACGCCGTCTCGGCCGTTCTCGAAGGCGACCTATCCGAGTACGAAAACGCCGTGTCTGAGGCGGAGGAAGATCACCGCGCTGCCGTTTTCAACTTGAACACCTTCGAAGTCACCCGCAGCTACCAGCTTCGCGCAGTGGAGATTGCTGAGAAAAGCTCGTGCTGTACGCTCTGCAGCCGCAGCATGAGCGAGCAAGAGAAAAACCGCTTCGTGCATGACCTCCAGGCCGGCTTGAAGGCGCTCACTGCGGAAAAGCTTCGCGCCGATGTGGACGCTACCGATCGCGACGTGGCCGAATTGGCCGCCATTCGTGTGGATGTGGTGCAGGCCCGTAAGCTTGCGGGCGAAATAGCGGCGCTTGAGGCGAAGGCGGCGGCGCTGAAAAGTGCGCACGCCGACCTTTCGTCTTCCCTCGAGACGCTCGAAGCCTCGCTCAAAAAAACGACCGCCGAATTGTCTTCCCTCCAGTCTCTCCGAGAGCCCGTGCGAGCCATTGCTAGTGATAGCGCCGAAATCGACAAGTTGGAGGCAGAAATCAAAGAGCTCGAAGGCGAACTCGGAGACTGGGGTTCCGAAGTGCCGGTGTACGAATTGCAGAGCTTGCAGAAACAAAAGGCCGCAGAATTGCGTGCTGTCAGACAAGCGGTTTCTGATGCGACCGATGAGTTCCATTTTCTCCAGAAAGATGCGTCGCGTTTGGAGGGCCAGATCAAGGACAAGCAGCTTCTTATTAGCAACTTGGAGAAAGCTTTGGGCCAAACCATCTCTCTTCAAGGCAGAATCACTGAACAGGAAGAGCTCGAAAAGTCTTTGAAGGCGAAAATCAAGGAGTGCGAGACCCTTGCTACCGAACATGAGCTGCTCTGTGCTTCTCTCACCAAAGAGGTTGAAGAGCTTCAACGCTCCAGAAAAGAAATCGAAGAGTCTGCTAAGAAAGAGATTGCTGCATTGAAGGCTGAACTGGATACATTGGAGAGGCTTAGGGCCGATATCAAAGAGTACGAGGAAAAAGATGCTGCTGTTGTCGAAGACAACACGCGCAAACTCGAAGAGGTTCAGAAAGAAATTGAAGCTTCGAAAGCAACTATGGAGAATACAGAAGCGAGAATAAAGCAGCTTCAAGCAGAAGTCAACGATTTTAAAGAACGCGAACGGCAGATGCGAGACAACATGGAATATCGCCAGCTTGAAAAAGAACTTGATCGTTTGGAAGAGCAGTTGAATGAGCTTGATGTACACAATGCAGAAGTGGAAAAAGAAAGGTACGAAGTGGCGCTGAAAAAACTCAGAGACCAGATTTCAGAGCTTACGTCTAGTCTCTACGGTAAGGAGGGAGAGGTGAAGCAAATCAGAGACCAAATCACCAATTTCCAGAAAGAGTTAGAGACGGAGTTCAAGGATATTGACAAGCAATACCACAAAGAGTGGGTTAAGCTACAGACTAACATGCTCGTCTCGAATGATTTGCAAACTTACTCACAAGCATTGGACAAAGCCATCATGAAATACCATAGTATGAAGATGGATGAGATTAATCGCATCTTGCGTGAGCTTTGGAACCAGACATATAAGGGAACAGACATTGATGGCATCGAAATCAAATGTGACGTCAGTAATCTGGGGAAAGGCCGATCCTACAACTATAGGGTGGTGATGTATAAGAAAAGCTCAGAGCTAGATATGAGGGGAAGATGCTCTGCGGGTCAAAAGGTGTTAACCAGTATATTAATTCGGTTGGCGCTTGCGGAATGTTTTGGCCAAAATTGTGGAATGATTGCACTAGATGAACCGACAACAAACTTGGATGTGGAAAATGCTGAATCTTTGGCTGCAGCACTCAACAATATCATTGACTTCCGCAAAAACCAAAAGAACTTCCAGCTTATTGTTATTACTCATGATGAAAAATTCCTCAGTCACATCAATGGCGACAGTTACACAGACAACTTTTACCGTATTGAGCGGAACGAGAATCAGCATTCTGTCATCAAAAGTTTGCCAATTCACCTCATGCAAGACGATTAGAGCAAATAATTTGAGTTCTATCATGAAAATTGATTTTTTTGGCTCAGCTGCTTCGCAATATTATCAAATGTTGAGCCTGCCCTCGTCTTCCATATGGTTAATAGAGGCACGTCAAGTATCAGACGCAGACGACTTGAAGCTTCTCCTTGTTCTTGATTTCCCTTATTCAGCTCTAGATACTTTTCCTTTTCCATCCATGTTTTCTCGAGCCACCCTTCGAGTTTACTCCTCTTGAGTGGAACGCGTGACAAAGGTTTCATCTGCACGTCAACATAAACGACTAGAGGCTTGTCTGAAGCGAAGAACTGCATTAAGCTAGGCGGCTGAGGCTCATATGAGATGGTAATGTCATAGAGCGTGTCAAACTTTGACTCGGGTGTTCTGCTTAATGAGGTAATTGCACTATGGAGACCAGAGAACCTCGGATACAAGACGTGCTCAAATTCTGGAAGATAGTATCGTTTGCTTTGCACCTGCTGCAAGTAGGTCACTGTTGGTGTCTTTATGTTGACTTCGGGAAAAAGAATAACCCATTCGGGCAATTCCGAACGGAGCACTCTTTTAAAGAGTGAGTCTGCCCACAGTTTATGAAGCGTCCAGTTTTCGTCACATTTGAGCATATTGTATACTGTTTTCACAGATGGAACCCGCCACAACGAAAACCAAGTAAAAAAATTTGGCTGAGGGCAAAGTGTTCCACAATTAGATGCCAAATGTGCCAAAATGGCATAATCTGCTAGAGACTGGTGGTTGGAGATGACAATGGCTGACAGCGTAGAGAGGGCGTCGCCAGAAACATTTATCGTTACGTTGTTCAATTTCTGAAGTCAGTAAGAAAGATATGCGAAAGAGAGAGGACAAAGGGAAAAGACGGCGAAGACATACGATGAAACACAGTACAATTCTCCAGAAACAAAAGCAGGACATCCTCTTGATGTAGTCTGTTTCGAAAGATAAGAGGCTGAAAGAAGAGGATATTGCAGACACGACGTGGTATATTACAGTGAAACGCAATAGGATCCATAAGACAAGATACCCACGGAGTTGCAATAATAAAGATCGGAATGTCGCATTAGGGGCCGGTGCGATGCCTAAATGAGATAAGAGTTCCATGGCTAAAAAAAAATATAATTCTAGATTTGAGACAAGTATTTGTAATGTGGTAGATGGTGCAAAAGGAAGTTTGTTAGTAGCGCGCATAGTGTAGATATGCGGAGTGTATATGCTGGAGACAAATTTCTACTCATCTCATCTCTAATAATCATCTGGCCATGTCTCGTTTGATTGTTAAAGGGCTTCCAAAATATCTTACCGAAGACCGGTTGAAGGAGCATTTTGCCAAGGAGGGCGATGTTACCGATGTCAAACTCATGAAAAAGAGAAATGGCGAAAGCAGACAATTTGCATTTATCGGATACAGATCTGGCTCCGATGCTGAAAAGGCGGTCAAATACTTCAACAGAACATTCATAGACACAGCCAGAATCGAGGTTCTGGTGGCGAAAACCTTTGCTGATCCCACAGTGCCAAAGGCCATGAGAGACAAGAGAAGACTTTTGGAGCAGAGGTTGAGGGAGGAAGAGGAGAGGCTTTTACGCCAGAAAGAAGAGGGCCCAGGAGTACAAGAGACGCAAGCTTGAAAAGAAATCCCAAGCTCGACGAGGAAATCGAAGCAAATCCCAAAGTTGAAGGAGTTTATCAACACCATGAAACCATCTTCTCAGGTGCAGTCTTGGGCAAACGACTCTTTGGCAGACGGATCCGGTGCTCCATCCACAAAAGCGTTGGAAGAAGCTTTGGCAAAGCAAGATGGGCCATCTCCAGAAATCAGCCAAAAGTACGAAGTCGCTCAAGTGGCAGAAAACCAAAGTGACGACGAGTATGATGATTTCCCAAGAAAGACGACAGTGACGAGGAAATGATGCCGTTGCCAAGGGAGGACGAAAACGCCGAAGAGGACACAAGCAATGCACCCATAAATCCAGAAGAATCCAACGACACTAGTCTAGCCAAGGACGAGACCGTTTCGGACCTCGATTGGCTCAAGCAGAGGAGAATCCGCATGAAGGAAAATGAAGAAGAACAAGAAACCGAGAAGACAGAAAACCAGACAGAGAAAGCTGAAAAACCAGTGAAATCAGAGAAGACGGAAAGCAAGCCTCAACGCAAACCAGTGGAATACGTGAGTCCTGAAAAACTTACGGCCGACAAAATCTTGCAAACAGGCCGTCTTTTTGTGAGAAACATCTTGTATGACTCGAAGGAAGACGACTTCCGTGAGCTCTTCTCTCAATATGGCCCACTCAAAGAAGTTCATATTGCTGTGGATACTAGAACAGGAAAGTCCAAGGGTTACGTTTATGTTCAGTTCAACAACAATGAAGATGCTGTTTCTGCATTCACGGCTTTGGACAAGCAGATTTTCCAAGGCAGACTCTTGCATATCTTGGCTGGTGAAGCCAAAAAAGACCACAAGCTCGATGAGTTTGCATTGAAAAACTTGCCACTTAAAAAACAACGGGAGCTCAAGAAAAAGGCACTGGCAAGCAAATCCCAGTTCAACTGGAACTCTCTCTTCATGAACAGCGATGCCGTGTTGGAGTCTGTAGCGGCGAAAATGGGTATCGCCAAGTCGCAATTGATTGACCCGGAGAATTCCAATTCGGCTGTCAAGCAGGCTTTGGCCGAAGCTCATGTCATCGGAGATGTGCGCAAGTTTTTCGAAGAAAGAGGTGTCGACTTGACTACTTTTAGCCAAAAGGAAAGAGACGACAAGATCATCTTGGTCAAAAACTTCCCATATGGCACTTCGCAAGAGGAAATACGTGATCTTTTTGCGGAATACGGGCCTTTGAAAAGAGTCTTGATGCCTCCAGCAGGAACAATTGCTATTGTGGAGTTCAGGGACTCTCCAAGTGCCCGTTCTGCATTTACGAAGTTGGCTTATCGTATGTTCAAAAAGGCCATTCTCTATTTGGAGAAGGGTCCTAAAGATTTGTTTGTACGTGAACCTACATCCGACGAAACTGTTTCGCAAAGCGAGAAGACAGAAAAACCCGTTGAAGCAAAACTTACTGCTCGTGATGTTATGGAAGACGCAAACGAGTCCGAGGAAGAACAAATGGCTGAAGTTGGCCCAACCGTTTCTGTTTTTGTCAAGAACTTGAACTTCTCAACGACCAGTGCGCTGTTAAGAGAACTTTTCAGCGAGTTGCCAGGTTTTGTAGTGGCAACAGTGAAGACGAAACCAGATCCAAAGAAGGAAGGTGGTGTTTTGAGTATGGGTTTCGGTTTTGTTGAGTTCAAAACTAAAGAGCAAGCAGAGGCTGCAATTTCTGCTTTGGATGGCCATGTTTTAGAAGGTCACCGGATTCAATTAAAAATCTCCCACAGAAAATCAGGATCCAAGCCTCAAGGTGCCAAGTCATCCAAGTCCAACAAAATCATCATCAAGAACTTGCCTTTCGAAGCTACAAGAAAAGATGTCTTGGAGCTTTTTGGTGCTTATGGATCGGTCAAATCGGTCAGAGTCCCCAAGAAATTCGACAAGCTGGCCAGAGGTTTTGCTTTTGTGGAGTATACGATGTTGAAGGAGGCAGAAAATGCCATGAACCAGTTGGAGGGTGTCCACTTGTTGGGCAGAAGATTAGTGATGCAATATGCCGAGAAAGAGTCGGACAATGCCGAGGACGAAATCGAGAAGATGACGCAGAAGGTGAAAAAGCAAGCGGCCTCGAGAGAAATGGCTGCTGTCAGGCTGTCGGGCAAGGGCAAGTTCCTGTTGGACGAAGAGGAACAAGATCCATTCGCAGAATTCTAAATGGAACTTGCAACTGGGTTTTAATTTGGTTACTATGCATAATAAGAATATAGAGATGTGCAAATGTCATGAATATGTATAAGTGTAAACCTGTCCGAATCGATTCAACTTATGATGGATACTGAACTCATAGGTACTTGCGGTATCAATAGAGTGAATAAATTTGATCTTTGGAGTATTGAGTTTGATGTAAGATACTCCACTGTTTTTTGAATAGATGACATTTTGAGCTCTGAAACTGGTTTCAGTACTGAGATGGTTCTTATATTTGAAACTGGAAATGAAAGGTGTGTTTAATTAATTTTGATACCTTCTTACATGCTATACGTACAACTCACGTACAGTAAACGTAAATATTATTTTCATAACTAATCAATGGAGCAGTAGAACACATAGCACATAAGAATGAAATTCACTATTCACTAATCAACTAATGAAGTTCCATACCATTAGTGAAAAGTTTTAGTGATTGGAAAAGTCTAAAACAACGCTCCAGATACTAAGCACAACTCTTCTCCTTCAATCTTACGAAAACATTTACTACTGACAAACAATTTGGTATATTTACAAGATCAATTCAATTATTAACAAGACGGGGTGAGGGGAGCTTAGTTGTGCTCCAAGTATTGGGAAACATTAGACAACAAGGATCTGTACGAGTTTTCCTCCTTCACTTCGGAAAATCCAAAGATAAAGTCAGCCAATTCGGCATCAACACCTTTGTCCAGCAAGTACTTCTCAACAGCAGCCTGTAAAGACTCGTCCAAGTTGGAGAAACGAGGACCCTGGTACTCGAACTTGCCCAAGAAGGTGCCGTCTTGTTCAACCTGCTTGATGAAAGCAGATGCATCAGGCTTGTAGTTGAAGTAGTCCACGAAAAATTCTTCTTCTGAGCTTTGCAACATCAAGTTGAAGAAAAGACCATCGTTTTTGGCTGGGTTCGACACGAAAACCTTGACGTTGGCAAAGGTAGACTCGTATTGGTAAAGCTCGTCCTCGAACTTCTCGCCAGCCTCTTCCTCCTCAGCAGCCTCAGGTGCACCGAAAGAAACGTCGGTAACTTCGTCAATGTCGAAGAACACTTGAAGCACTTCGCCAGACTCCAAAGTCTTGGACAATTGGACGTTGGACTCGTTTTCCACCTCGGACACCTTGAAACCGCTTCTGGTCAAGTACTCCGCGTGGTCTGGAGCCAACTCGTTTTCAACAGAGGTGGCAAGTTTGTGTTCAGATTTCACCACTTCAAGCAATTCTTTGGAGGCATTGGCGACACGCAAAGAAGAGGCAAAAGTTCTGGTGTTCAACAAAATTGGGGCTCTTCTGGCCAATTGCGGAGCAGCCAATCTGGAAATGGCAGCAACAGAACGGGAAGCGAAAAATCTGGACATGGCGGAAAGAAGAAAGTAGGAGATGAGGAAATGGAATGAGATTCTCTCCCTGTAGCATATTTTGGTGCGCTCAATCACGTGCCCACACTTTCCCATCTCCATACACATATTTGACTTACTCGTTACGTTAAGCTGTGTCCAATGAATCAATTTGTAATATAAAAAGAAATATGAAAGAAGTCATTAGGTGGGACTGTTGTCCTCGTGAAAGCGCTATTCGCGCGTGGACTGGCGCATGGCCCGAAGAAATTCTTGTACAAACAACGACGACCGTCTGTAGCGGCGTTCTTGATATTTTTCAAAAATCGCCTTGTGATTCTGTTCCGCTTGCAGACAAATGTCCATGAATATGCGTGCCAACGGTCTCAACTGTTCCTCAGTGTAGCCTGAGTAGAACACGTGGAGCTCTGTCCACGAGCCCTTGTTGAGAATTTTCCTCAGTAGATAGTGTGCGCCTGCTGCAAGCCACGATGGCTGCGAGGCGACAAAGCGTGAGTCCATGATTGTGATTTCCAAAAAGTATTTGGCTAAGGTTCGTGTTTCGTAGTCGTAGTCGTCGGCCTTGGATGTTCTTCTCAAAAACGACATGGGGCCAGGCCAGCCCATGTCAAACTCGAGCACGTCGATCATAAACCGCTCAGCTTTGAGAAAGTCATCGATATTATAGGCATTGTCGGCCATGTAGGCCACTTCTTGGACGGTGGGGCAGTTGATTTCTTCATACTTGGCAGCAATGAATAACGCCACAGCACCAACAAGCTGGAAACGCGATAAAGACACTCGGCGACGGCTAAGGAAGCGGTCAATATAGTTCACCGTTAGGAAAAGCGTTTCTGGAAGTAGGTTAAAGCGCTGGTGCACTTGCACCACCCAATCGATAAGCACGCCACGCATTTCCCATCTTAGTTCATCCTGGTTGTCCATGTAATTAGGTGACGGTGAAAGTCTGTGTTCTAGCTCATGCAAATAATTGAAGATCTCGGGCGCGTATTCAGCCACCATGGTCACATCGTATGTGTCTTCGTCGTTTTCGTCCAATGTGGTGCGGGAATACTTGTTCATGACATGCTGCAATTCGTTGAAAATTTGGCGGTTCCATTTGGGTTCTTGTGGTCCCGAATAGTCTATCTTGTCGTCGTCATCGTCATCTTCTTCTTCCTCCTCTTCTTCTTCGTTCGACACTTTGTCACTCAACGCATCAGAGAAAATCTGCGGTGTCGCGGGCTCCGAGTCTGTCTGACCGGGCACAGGGGGAATGCGATCAAAGTGTCTGTGTATTAGCACATCGTCTGAGAGAGGCTGCGTGCTGGTTGACAAGGGTGCAGACGCCACAATGTCGTTTTCTTGGTCAGCCTCCTTCACTTCGACGCGGCGGCGCCGTGTGTCGTCGCGTTTTGCAACACGCGAAGCGGCCAAGTTGGTTGATAACGTGCCAAGGACCCGTCTTTGCAGGCCCAGCGAGCGGCGGTTGATGTTTTCAGACGAAGACCGCACATGCGATCTGAGATCGTGCGACATGGTGAATAATGTGGTGTGTTAAGCGAATGACAGGGGTGGGAAGTAACACCGGGGCACAAGATTCAATGCTGCAAAAGCTCAGCAGAGATGGGCGTCCAAAACAGAAATTTACCCGTGTAGTGGGAACAGGCACAAACTGGGGGGATAAGGTTGTGCAAGGGGAAAAAACGGAAACGGACTTTCCAAAGCTAACACGCCGAAATTCCGTAGAGCCGTTTCAGCTGCGTGGGGAAAGAAAAGAAAATTGACTAGCTTGTAGCCAAAGGAGAGCAGCTCGAGTCAAAAGAAGCTGGTGAAGAAAACAAAAGAGTGTGTGCGCAAAATGGAGATTCCAGAAAATATGGTGCAGGGTGCACGGGTGTGATGTCTAGCTAGGCCAGGCAAAAGAGCAGTAAACGATAGATTTTGTGATTTTGAAAAGTTTGAGAGTGGATAAGAGTGGGTTTAGTCTTGAGAAAAATGCTCAATTCTAGAGATTATCTTGTGTGATTTGCACTTTTGTTTCCTCCTTCTTCTGCCCTAGCCAAAAGTCTAGTGCGGTGTTTGTTTATTTACGTCGCGTTGGGTGCAGGTCTTGCAACCGTAGCTTCAAACTTTGTTTGTTTGTTGCATCTTTTCTTCTGGATCACGTGAATCACCACGTCTGTTTCACGTGGCTTACTCCATTTCTTCTTCCCTCCAATGCCTCTAGTGTTGGGGCCCGTCGTTGACAATGAGACCCGGTGTGTGCATTACCACCTGCTGCTTGATGTGATTGCCATCAAATTCAAGTGCTGCGGCCGTTTCTATCCCTGCTACAAGTGCCATGAAGAATGCGAGACCCATCCAGTTGAAAAATGGCCCAAGGCAGAGTTGGCTACGGCCCAGATCATTCTTTGTGGCTGCTGTAAGCTGTTGCTCACTTTTCTTGAGTACCTGGGACATGGGGACAGGTGCATGTCATGTGGAGCGAACTTTAACCCAGGCTGTTCAAACCATTATGATATATACTTTGATGTGGAGAAGAAGAAGGAGAGAATTACGGACGAGATCTAACTCGAGAGCACTTTTAGTACTTGTTTTCTTCTTGATGTTCAGCTAGAGTTTTGGTTTATTCGGTTTTTCAATTATGCGGTACTGCTATCTAAGCTGCCTATAAGCCGTTTCCTCCAATAGATCAATGACAGAAAGCTAGTGGAGTATTTAATATGAGCGTAGCGCCGAACTGAGCAAAACTAGCTTTGTTGATGGGTTTTGTTTTCTGCGTCTGAGTGATTCATATTCTCAATAATTGGCATTTTGACCTAAAATTGTATAAATAGCAAAATAAGCAAGACTGGCACCATTTGTTGATCCATCATGGATGATTCTGGATGATTTGTCGCTGATAAGCATATTTGCTAAAAACAATACTACACCTACTATAGCAGACGTGATCAATTAACAGTTTTACAAGGGTTTGCTGGTGAATGCGACTGGTGCAACATGTTCAATAATCTGTGCAAACTTCTGACTAGTAGACGAATAACTCAAACTAGGAATCGTCTAAGTTAACAATTTCGTATGAGTTTGAGCTGGAGTTGCAAATTTGAACTCTTGACAATTACAATCAATTATGATTCCCTAAATTTCAAGTAATGGCTTGATTTTCAGCATGGCCGATAACGTAACATTACTCAGAATAGCATATCCAATTGGCCAGTGGACCACATAATGCTACTTGGGCCAATCCATACAATAAGGCCCAAACTTCCAGAAAAGAACCAACCACATGGAAGACATGTCAAAGCTCTTGAGTACATTGTCAGACACCTTCGTTTTATTTACTGTGCTTTGAGAAGCTGTCTAGTATCCATCGCTCGTGTCTCTTACTTTAAATGGCGGAGCCCAAACTCCACTAAAAGTGAGACATTTCCCGTTTACTAGGTCACTCTTTCGTCCAAGCCTCAAGAACTCGGCGTATTCTCGGAGGACCAGAGAAAAGTTCGGAACTAAGGCCCGAGGCCAGCGACACAGCCTTTTTCGCTCTACACCACAGAAATCGCGAAGTGCGATATTAAATTTGCATTTTCGTGGCCGTATAGGCGAACGGCTTGCTTCTGCAGTCAATTAATGTCAGGGCCAGCTCCATCGGATCTGCATCTGCACCGAAGTTTTATTTCTTTCTGCCCTTTCAATCTTCACTTCTCTTGCATCCATTTCTATCCGTTTCAGTAATGCTTATCATATTAGTAGCCATGCTGATGGACCATTCACTAGAGCAGTAAAATTTCCTCTTTCAGCATTGCCCAAGCATCGGTAATGCACCTCTCTTCTGCATGCTTCTTCTTTTTTCGTTCATCACGGAAACTCTGCTGGAAACATTAATTGTAACAGCACAGCCCCAGACTACACCCGTGCCTCCCCATACTAAAGCCACCGCCCAGCATTTTTCTCCAGTGGCATTCCGCATCGGCGCCTGCACACAAGCGCCCACCACTTATCAGCTTCTCCTTTCTGCATGCACCCAATACCTCTCCAGGTATTAGAAAATAATCAAGAGTAAAATAAAAACGAACCGCTTTGGCGAGAAAAAGAAAGAAAAAAAAGTTCCCGCATCACCCATCTAATCCCAACAGCTCCACAAAGTCGCCATGAACGACCGAACCTCTATTATCATCTCCAACTTGACCAAAAGCGATTTCGTTGCGGCACAGGGCAAATCGCTTTCGTTGGCGGCACAAATCAAGCTCGGCGTGCTCAATCTTCCGGACCAGCCCGACTTCTCCAATCTCGTCGTGCAATGGTCCGAGTTGCCCTTTTTGAGCCGGATCGTGGCCATTTTCAAAACCCCAGAGGCGGCTTCTTTGGCCTACGGTTTTCTAGAAAAGTCCTACAACGGCACGCCTCTCTTCACATTGCCGCCAACGGCGAAACTTTCTCTCCAGGAAAATCTTTTGCAGCGCTCCCGCCTGGCAAACTCGCTTTCGGACATAGACCCGGTTCCCGTGCCCCAGAACAAAGATGCGTACCACGAGCCAGAACCGCAGCCGTTTGACGCTGACAAAGACCTTCCACGGCTTGGCATCGATGTTGCTGAGCTCAATGACTCTGCGCCACCGATCCGGGACTTGCGCCGCTCCAGTTCCGTCATGAAAACCTTGTTTGCGCCTCCGCTTCGGCTCGATACGAACTTGGCCAGCAGCGACGAGTCTCCACGCAGTCCTACAATCACGTTGGAGGAAACGCCATAGCTGGGTTATGGCGGTTATCATACTCAACGGTAGCAATTGTTGGCATGAAACGAATTATTTCTTATTACGGGTCGATGAATGGACTGGAGTGGGCAATTGGGCAGTCACCGGTAACCATAGTGGCCAGTCACTGGGAGTCATAATGACCAGTCAAAGTGGTGGGCTCTTCAATTGGCCTGGAATGCTCTGTAGCCAAGTCGAGTTGGTCGATTGTCACAGAGCATACCATAGACCAGTATAATAAATCAGACTAATCTCAAGTTATTCCAGATCTAGTAAAATCCATCATACAAGCAAATCCAGTCTTACAATCACACATTCATCCGGCCTACCAATACATGTATGCACCAAAAAATGTAAACTCTTTTAGTCACTCTGTCTCATTATTCTGCATCCATGTCACTGGATTTTTGTCTGACGTAGCCTTTCCTCTCGTGACGCGCGCAAACTTGGTAGTCGAGATTCCCATTACTATACTCTTTTCATCAAAAATGGCAGTGAAAGGTTTGGGTCAGGTTGACCAGAAGTACGATGGTATGTGATGATCTGATGTTGTGAATAATTTGTTCTGGCCGTGCTAACATCTAGGCTCCTCGTTGAGAATCGGCATTCTCCATGCTCGCTGGAACTCGAAAATCATCGATGCTTTGGTGAAAGGTGCCATTGCCCGCATGAAGGAGTTTGGCGTCAAGGAGGAAAACATTGTGGTTGAGTCTGTTCCAGGCTCATTCGAGTTGCCTTACGGCTCCCAGCTCTTTGTTGAAAAACAGAAAAAGTTGGGCCAGCCTCTTGATGCCGTGATCCCCATTGGTGTTTTGATCAAGGGCTCCACCATGCACTTTGAGTACATCTGCGACTCCGTCACCCACCAATTGATGAAACTCAACTTTGAGCTCGGAATCCCTGTGATCTTTGGTGTTTTGACCTGTCTTACTGACGAACAGGCCGAAGCCAGAGCTGGTCTTATTGAAGGCAAGATGCACAACCATGGAGAGGACTGGGGTGCTGCTGCTGTGGAAATGTCTGTGAAGTTCAGAGCTTAGACGGCAGAAACAACGTGATATGATATATGAGTATATGGCGGCGACAATAGTATGATTCATAATAGTAGGACTACGGGGGCTTCAGCATGGCGGCATGGCCCTAACAGTATGTGATAATAGAATGTTCATGAGAATTCTCACAGTGCCAAATTACGCAACAAGAATGGAAGTACAAAAGGGAATTACGTTCAGCGATCATGAATTTATTGGAATTTGTGTACTGGCACCCAGATACGCCTTGTATTCAAAATGAGACAATGCTATACCGACATTTTGAACATAAATACTAAATTCTATTAAATTGGAGTATGAGTATGGATCTCGCCAAGCGACGAGGTGAGTTCAAACATGCCCCATACTGATATTTGAAACGAGAATGTCTCTTTACATTTGCATCTTGTAAAATATAGCGAAATTCTTAACTATGTACAAGTGAAATACAGAACTAAACTTACTTGGCGGTACCGGACCGTGTTGGTTCAGCAGAATCGTTTTCTGCTGGTTTTGTTTCTGTTATTTTCTCGTCCCTTTCTTGAACCAGAGCATCCGGCAAACGCTTGTTTGTGATAAAACATACGGCAATGACTGCAATAGCAGAAAAGCCCAAGTTCATATAGAACGTGTTTCGAATGGCCAGCATCACCTGGTGCTTTAGAAATTTTTGTGCTGGAGCAGACAACTTTGCAATCGCTGCAGTGGAACTCACTATCGCTCTAACATCAATTGTAGACAATTCTTTAATTACCTCCTCGGGTTGCTTCTTCAAGTTTTCGTGGACTTTATTCAAATATGACGCTGAGTAGACCGCGTCCGCCAAGTTAGAAGATAATGCTCCGCCAAAAGACCTCATAAAATTAACCAAAACCGTGGCCAATATTGTTCCGCCTGGTGTCTTGGGAGCCAGGATCTGTCCACTGAGCATGCAAGCTTGCATCAAAAAGCCAATACCCAAGCCCATGGGAATTAAAAGGCCGATTTTTCTCGAGCTTGAAGAATCCACCTCAAGTAAACAAAGCAAGCCTGCCCCAACCATGCCCAAAAAAGCACCAAAGACAGCAAAAGGTTTGACGTAGCGTGTCACCTTCGATATAATGGCTGATGCAAAGGAGACAACCACAACTGCTATGATAAGAGGTAACAAATGGACGCCTGATTCCCAGGCATCAGCGTCATGAATAACTTGGAAGTACACTGAAAGATACAAGACGGCGGAGATAAAGGAGGCGTATGCTCCAAATAGAGCAAAAGCTGACGCTTCGACCTGGAACACCCGAAGCACTTCCCAAGGCAACATGGGGTGCTTAGAGAAGCGAACATTCCAGACAAAAAAGATGATGGAGACAACACCTCCAACAACAAAGCAAGCAATCACTGCAGCTGAATTCCATGCATATTGCCCGCCAGCTCCAAACGTCAAGGCCAAAAGGAAAACCACCAAGCCAGCAGAGAGAAGGATGACCCCAGGATAATCAATCAACTTGAGCTTTTGTCTGATGCTACCCTTAGCCTTGGGAGGGTTGTATACAAGGACAAACAACAGGAAAGCAGCACCACCCACTGGCAAATTGATGTAGAAACACCATCTCCAAGATACATGCGATGTGAATGCACCTCCAATCAAAGGACCCAAAACAGAAGCAACGGCGAAAACAGTGCTCAATATGGCCATTGCTATGGGCCGTTTCTGGATAGGGAGAATTTCTGTACCAATGATAAACGTTATGCTTTGAATGCCGCCTCCACCAATTCCAGCCAATACTCTTCCACCAATCAAAACGTTCATGCTGTTGGCAAGAGCACACATGAGTGATCCTGCTTCAAACAAAATGATGGCTGCCATCATTGTGACTTTTCGCCCGAAAATAATCGAGAGTTTTCCCCACACAGCTACCAAAACGGCCATACTGATGAGAAACCCGGCCGAGATCCAGCCAATCTTGTCAAATGCATTGAACTTGTTTCCCACGGTGGTCAATAATGTAGCAATGATTGTTTGGTCCAAGGCAAAGAGGAAAAAACAAAAGAATATGGCAACAAAACATAGAACAAGTTTTTTGCCCTCGAGATACATTTCCTCTCGTCTTGTTCCATCGCCCGCATCACTTTCGAAGAAGCCTTTTTGCGTATCTTCGGTAGGTCCAGTCATGTTTAATCTTATATTTGCTGACGAACAAAGGTTATAGGTTTCTGTGGTTTCATTGGTATCCCATTTATATGTTTACTTCCAGCCGTACGTGAAGTGGTAAGTTAGCGCCGTTTAAGCGTTCCCACATGCATTTTGACATTAAGTGATATCTTGTATATTGAATTTCACCTATTCTCTTTTCGAAGGTTACTATGGATTAAAGTTGGCTTGAGTATTTCAATAATACTACTCCAGTCAGTGATGGAGTTTGTTTTTTGAGAATCTCAAGAATGCAAATGTATTTACTAGTGGCCCATTTAAGCGGCCGAGCATATTCGGACCCTAAAGTATACATATATTGGTTCCAGTGGCAACCCCTCTCATCTGGATCTCCAATTTACAAGGCCGATTCGGAGTTGGGTAAACTCTTATCTTTAATGGAGGAGCCCAGGTTGTTCCCTTCTTGAATATTAGACACTTCAGTACTTGGTGTGCACATACAAGATCAATTTGTGGGGATACGAACCTCGCAACTCAGACTGCAAAGGTGGTGTTTATAAACACCAAATTGGACCATGGAAGAATATGAAGCAACTTGAAAACTGCTTAGTTGTTGCTAATGGGATTGGATACATCGTAAGCCAATCCTGTTATGGTGTGTTTCCCCAAATGTACAAAGAGATCATTTTGATAGTTTCCGCCGTCTTCGGTCCGTGCTTCCGTTTATGCTTCCGTTCTACTGCAGATTCCGAATTGGTTACTTCACACCAGGATGCTGGTTTCTTATATATATCTATCTGGGACACGTTGCCTGAATTGTACATGATGGCACCAAAGTAAGAGACGAGACATTTTTAGAGAAAGCCAGTGGAGATATTTAATTCAGAGAGTGGCTAGCTTTACCCAGTTTACATGAAAACAAAAGAAATGATCTCGTAGTTATGCAAGCAGAGGGAAAAGTATCTGGTACGATGACGTTCACATTCAGGAAGAATTGGAAGGACATGTTTTCCTTTTCCTTACTATTCTAGACTGAAAGTATCTCTCCAACTTCTCGCGGATTAAATGATTGTTTTGCGTAAATCTAGTTGGCTCCCTTCATTATACTCTGCTGGCTCTCTATTATACGACATATCGATTGGAGTAGAAGAGATGTAGGGCTGATCTAGAAGAAGTATTTTCGTTCCCTTTCTTCGTTCTTTTTTTGTTTTTTGCCATCTTCCTCTAATTTCTTTTTCGCCACATCTCTGGGGCGAGATAAGCCGCATGTTCCTCCGCTTAGACTTTCACTTGGGTTGGATGCGGTTCCACCGAGGTAGGAGCTACATACCCACGTATGGACAAGATACGACATTTTCTGAAGCTAGTAGATGCACAAAGCATCTGTGGTAAAGAAAACAGGACATTTTGTCTTGATGCTACAGGGCGATTGTGCACTCCATCAATTAGGTGGTACATGGAGGAATTGTGGAAGGTGGAAAACAAAAAAGAAAGATGAAAACTGGAAAGAGAAAAGTAGTTTAGAATCAAAATGGAATCGAGACTGACAACTTCTCAAGTTTATGGGCTTCTCTGTTCTTGTTTGGTAAGTGCTATTGAATACATGGAATCAAACTTTGCTTCATAAAGACACGACGCAATTCTAATCAACAAGCAAAACAGATGGTGAAACAAGAATAGAAGTAACTAGGGAATAAGGCTCCGCGGCCTTTGGCTGTACTTTAAATTGTAATGCAAACGATTCATTTAGACATTCGTTGAAACTTTTTGGGGTAACCAAATCATGGGGCCTGGAGTATGCGAATTTACTAGCGTCAAGTTGGTCTTATTTGTCCGGAATCTTATTCAATACAATGTAGGCAGGTGTTCAAGATAGGTCAAGAGTGTATCTTTCCTGAAAGAAACAATAATCTGGGTAACCCAAAACCACAATCACAGAGGTCGACAGCATTCTTTTTTCTCATATTAAGTTCATATCATAGCATTAATATACGCCTGCGTATGTACAAACAAATTCACATACAGTGTCGTTGTAGACATCAGTTGGTATTGATAATTTATGGCCATCGGGACATCATTCTTGCATATTGCCGATGAACAATAAATCTCATCAGACTTGTGAGTTCCTCTTTATGTTTTACCGAAATACATACAAATCTCTCCCATTATGCAAGCAGGCCTTAAGTCCGCACATGAACCACCACTTGCAGAGAAAAAACATCAACGTAAAAAACTACTCTTTTGTTTACACGTTCCCCATTTGCATAATCACATACTTGAATAGCTTTCGTACTTTCTTTTATTTCTGGTTTTCTGCTTCTTTTCGTGCTCCTGAAGTATATTTTTTATTTTCCTGCCTTATCAGCCCCACTGGCCAGCAGTCATGTCACGTGCGCGCCTCACCAAAAAGTTACTCGACGATCGAAAGTCATTTTCCATTTTCTAGCGTCCTAGCCATGAGTGGATGTATGTACAAACAGCCCGAAAACCCCGTCTGGAGTTACTAACCGCAGTCCGCCTTCTTGATTTGGTCAAGGTTTTCTCGCCTGTGTTGCCTGAAATCGAATTCCCCGATGAAAAAATCAGCTTGGACGAAAAAGTCATCTTCACCATTGGTGCTGGCTTGTTGTTCATCTTGTCCCACCTCCCAATATACGGGCTTATCAAAGATGCTCCTTTGAAAATGACAGACCCATTCCCTGCTTTGCGTCCTCTCTACGCCATGGAACAGGGTACTTTGTTGGAGTTGGGTTTGTTGCCTGTGATCACCGCCGCTTTTGTGTGGCAGATTGCTGCTGGTTTGCGCATGGTGAAGGTCAACCTCTCGTACTCGCAGGAGCGTGAGTTGTTCCAGTCGGCGCAAAAGTTGACTTCTTTCACTTTGGCCGTTGTTTTCGGCGTCGCTTTGGTTTTCTCCGGTTACTACGAGCCTGTAGTCCGTGGCGCCGGGTCGGCGGTTTCGTGGACCACGTACGTTTTGATTTTGACCCAGATTGTCGGATGGAACTTCCTTTTGACCTTGATCGTGGAGGTCATTGACAAGGGTTACGGTTTCGGTTCTGGTATCGTGTGTTTGCTCAGTTTGAACGCCGCCACAAGACTCGTGCGTGATGTGGTTGGCTTAGAGATGGTCTCCACTGTTCCTGGCGGAAAACCAGAAACTTACGGTGTGGCAATTTACCTTATCAAGGCCTTGTTCTCTTTTGACCTTACCACCATCAAAAACGCTGTTATTGGTGTGTTCTCCAGAGCCGGCTTCCCAACCATCGGCCAAGTGATTCTTGCTTTGGTTACCGGATTGGCCACCATTGTTTTGCAGAACTTCCGCGTCGAGTTGCCTATTCGTTCCAACAAGGCCCGTGGCACTGCCAATGTCTTCCCAATCCGCTTGTTGTACACTGGTGCTTTGCCTGTTCTTTTTGCCTTTACCGTTTTGGCCAACGCGCAAGTCACCTTGCATTTTGCCTCTGTGTTTGTTGAGCCCTTCTACCCACTTGTGGCTCACTTGTTTGAGTCTCGCTCCGAGACTGGCAAGGTCGTTTCGGGCTTGGCTTTCTACATCAGCGCTCCAGCATCTTTCACCGAATCTCTCTTGTCGCCTATCCGTGGTGTGGTTTACACTTCGCTTATTCTTGTTCTCTCTGCTGTCTTTGGCAGATTCTGGAGTGGAATCTCTGGTTCTGCTCCAAAAGACATTGCCCAAACTTTCAAAGACCAGGGTATCGTCATTGCTGGCCGCAGAGACGTTTCCGTGACGAAAGAGTTGGCCAAGATTATTCCTGTTGCCTCTCAAACGGGTGCCGTTGTTTTGGCCGCTTTGGCTTTGGTCGGCGAAATGACCGGTTCTCGTGGCAGAACAGTGGCTCTCACCGTTGGTGTATGCGGCGCCTTCTCTGTCTTGGAGGACTTTATGACCGACTACCAACAGTCTGGCGGAGCTTCGCAAATCATGAGTTCTTTGGGTGGCTACCAATAGACAGTTGCCGAATGTGTATAGATGTTAGCGGGACCCGTGACGCTGCCTAATAAATATCAATTCAGACAAACATCCTGGACCAGTGTAGTGACGTCAACTCGTGGGTATGACTCTTAGAAAATCGAAGAAACCATGTAGAAATAAAGCAATACCATAAGAACCTTCATAGAGGCCTCTATTCAGCATGATATAAGACTACGAAGAACACACTTTCATGCTTAATTCAAGACTTATTCAAGAAAAAAAGAAAAAAATACATTGAATGATTTCCCTTTCAAAATCAACAATCCAGAAGATTGTCGCCGTCTTTCCCACTCCTCAATAATGAACAGTCAGATTTCTCATTCTTTATCTAAGTGTGCGCGCAGCCGCATCTATATCTTATCCACTAACATCTTATCCGTATAATCTTCTTCTGCATGGCGCCCTCGTACAAAATCGTGCTTTTGGGCGATTCTTCGGTCGGGAAAACCTCTTTGGTCCACCGTTTCATCTCCGACGCCTTTGATGCGCATCTGGCCAATACCATAGGAGCGGCTTTCATTTCCAAAGAACACACCAGCAATGGAAAAACCGTCAAGTTGGAAATATGGGACACGGCGGGCCAGGAAAGATACAAGTCCCTCACGCCCATGTACTACCGCAGCGCCAAGGTGGCACTTGTTTGTTTTGATCTCTCTTGCCCCGAAAGCTCTTTTGAGCGAGCACATTACTGGGTAGAACAGCTAGCAGTCCTGGGACCACTGGATATTCGGATCAAAATGGTTGGAAACAAAAGTGACCTAGCGCTGGATGCCGATTTGAGCACCATTGAGACCTATTGCGCTGAACACGAGATTCCGTTGCTTTTTACGAGCGCAAAAGATGGGAAGGGAGTGAAAGACTTGTTTGACGGGATCGTGGCTGAAACAAGCGACGAGATTTTCGAGGAGGCAGAGGAGCCTCCCATTTTAACCATGCGTGTTCGTGAAAGTAAATGCTGCTGAGATACGACACTGTTCGGCTGCGCATGAACACATGAATTAGCACTGTGGTCGACATTGTGGTTGGGCTGACTATGTAATATTCTGACACTATTTAGTGCTCATAAGGAAACTGGCGGGCCTGGATGTACTATAGCTGGATTACGAAAGAAACAGTATCATAAGTATCCATTTTTAATTGAATGACATCTGGATTGGATAACTGAGTTAGTTCTGCTTGTTTCTACTAACTACTTGGAGTTTATTATAGCTTCTTTATCTGTTTGACTACAAAATCGGCACTTCTCTTAATTTGAGGAGCTGCAAAGTGGAGAGGTGAAAGTGAATATTACGACTACCAAGAAGTCGTTGCGTCGTTTTATTCAAAGAAACACTCATCGTGAAAGTTAAGATACTTGAATATTCGCTACGTTATCCTTTAGCTGTGCGTTTCAAATTTACACTCAAGACATGCACTGGCAGATTTATTTTGCCTAAACTATATTACAAGATCGACAGCTCTATATTTACACATGAGAGCTGTACCACTGCTGACTTCACAGCGCCACAAAGCCTCTTAAGAAGTATATTCCTTCCTCAAAAGAAGACAAGATCTTCAAAAGGTCTTCCAATAAACACCATTCTTTAAATCTCTAGTCCCTTCGAACGCCAGTATTCTCTCTTCACATCCTTGTCCAAGTTGGTGCGGACTTTTTCTTCCTCTTCCGACTCGCTTTGTATGCCCATAAATGACTCAACCGACGCCTTATTTTCGTTTTTCTGAGGCTGCTTGTGCTCTGGTGCCACGTATGTTTCCTCTTCCTCACTGGTCATGTCAGATAAGTAGTACTTATCATTACCATCGGCACCATCGCTCTCATCATCGTCTTCATCATCCAAATGGCTTATCAAAGCCGAATTGACCACTTTATCTCTGTCATCATTGAAGTCTCTATCCTTGCCCCGATACTTGATAATATCGCCCAAAATCAGCTGACCTATGCGGTTCTTGTATGATGCAGCATGAAGCTCGTAGCACTTTTCCACAAGAAGCTGATATGCCCCGCCAAAGGCTTTCTTCAAGTCCCGCAAGTTGTACGATGATCGCGTGATGTTGTTGGCTGGATCCAGCGGATCCTGGACCACGATAGAAAACTGACCACGGCCCGCAGTTAAGACATGGTTCCGCAGTTTGAGCAAGTACCGTGGATCTTCGCCGTTGGCCAATGCAACAATGAGATGGTCATAGGAGAAGTTGCGCCCGTACAACTCGAAAAACTCAATCAACAAGGTGCCCAAGTTCTCCATCACAGAAATGTTGCCCGTTGAGACACGCGGATGGAGCCGCAAAAAGTGGTACATCAAAATAATCGTGGCGTATCCGCCCAATCCACCCACATGAACATTATTCAAGCGGCGCAGGCGCAAAAACTGCTTGACAATCAAGACCAACTCACGAAGCCCCGGCATCGAGTCGAGCCATTTCCGAATACGCCGGGCCGCATCTAGACCGTTTGTACGTTCAAACGAAATGTCCACATGGATGTTGTACTGTGGATCGACAAACTTGATAATGGGCACCTTGGCTGTGGCAATCACCTCGATGTTCTTTGCCAACTTGTTTGTACGGAGAAAAGACGAGAGCTGGTAGAGTTTGCCCCGCTGCTCGTAGTCTCCCGTGGTAGAAATCACCACCATGTCTATGTCCGAACCCGGTAAATATAGGTCTGTGGCACAAGAGCCAAAAACATGCGCCTGGGTCTGAGGCCAGAACTCCGCTATGCGCCGTTTCAAACGGCGAATCACAGTGTTCCGCACCACAATTTCCTCCTTCGACGGCGAGATGTAGTTGACAAAGTCCTTGATTTCCATCGTAAGCCAATCGGCGATTTCACGTTGCTTCAGATGGTCGTGGCCCTTGACCCACGGGTACGGCGACGTGGCCAGCTGGCTATGGTGCCGCGAGCCGGACTCGTCGTCGCTGAGAACGCCGTCATCTGATAAGTCTTCCGCCTCGTCTTCAGAGGACGAAAGCCCAAGCCGGATATAGTCGTTGTTGTTGGTTAGGTCGTTGGGAGGAGCAGCATCTGCTGTTTCTGGTATCGAGTCTATGGCCTTAGCCTCTTTGGTTTCTGTTTCTTGCGTTTCCTCTTCTCTATCCAGAAACACCACAACATCACTATGCGATTCGTCGCCCGACTCAACGAGAACAATGTCGTCCTGGGGCTCGGGTGGAAGCGTCTCGAACGTATTTTGCGGCTTCTTCTTCGTTTTCCGGGCCTTTTTCCGGGTCACTGCAGGCTGGCTGTCGTTTGAACGTTTCTGGCCCATGATGGTGCTTTTTCTCATCTCAAGCGCTTCTTCGCATTGGCGTTATACAGGTTGGTTTTAATTATCGCGGCTTCTCAAGCTTCATCGGCGGGTTATGGGCAAAAATCAAACAGAAATGAAGTTCATACACATAGAGAAGATAGCCACGGCAAAAAAATAGCATAACAGTTCTTTCAAACTACTATTCGTTATTATTCGAATCCGGCTGAAGTCCGGTTTTTCGGTCGGACATTTCGCACCCTGATGATCGAGAAATATTACGATGCCATTATATGAAGCTTGTAGATCCTTAGGCTCTTGTTAAATTTTTTGATGGTTTTGACTAGTGGTTTAACATTGGCTCAAAATTTCGTGAATTGGATGCCGAGCTTTGTAGTGCTTTTGTTCTAACCAATCAAACCAACATAGGTGACTGAATGTCGCAGAGAATCACAGCTACAGCTGAAAATCATCGTCTCCAAATTTAAAGCTCCTAGAAACCCAAATGCCGTCCATAAAGAAAATCTTTCGCCTGTCCAATAACGCGTTTTTCCATTTTTCACTTATGATCTCTTTCCAGGAATGGATGATTAACTTAGATTGACCATGCTTTGAGCCTTTTGGATATTGTAAATTCCTTTTGATTGAATCTGATTTATTCTACTTCGATGTTGTTGTATTTATTTCGTTACCTGCTAAATTCTTTTCAAGTTTTCTATTTTCTAGATGATAGTGGACAACATAAATTCACAAAATTGAGATCAATAAATTTTAGCGAGACTATATGTGAGCAAGTGTTTGATGGCAAGAAACACAGAACTCACAACTTTTTCAAATGATTCATGATGAGTATCTAGATTCTGATATTTATTTTTCTACTCCCGATTCCCCGGCCCTTTCTTTTGCATCTTAACTAGCGATTGACGGGGATAATTTCCCGCATGTTGCATTGGTGAATGTAGCATACTCCGAAGTGCCTTGACAAAGAATCGTTCGGTAAGCGGTTATCTAACCATAAATTGCTTGACACAGACAAAAACAATAGCAGCGAACGCTTACTCCCATGTGAATGAAGAGTGATCGATCGTTTGTGACCTGATTAAATTCCATGATTCGACCAAGTTCACATTCGAGATTGCGAAACAGCCAACGGTCCCAACGCCAATGCTTACTGAACTTAAGGCTTACTGAAATCAATGCTTACTGAAATCAATTCTTACGAGATCAGGCCTGTGTCGAGCTTACCGCAGTCAATGCCTACTGAAGTCAGCTTTTCGAAGTCAAAACTATTCATTCTGTCTACGGCCAGTCTAAATGAATGCGACGCGGTTCGCGTTCACCGCTCGACTTCTGCTCTTTTCTTCAACTTTGTTTGTTTTCTTTCCTTGCTTTTGTTTTGCATTCACATAGGCGTCCGTTTAGCTTTTGTTTTCCTTTGTTGTGTCTCTATTGTTCACCATCTTCTCTATAGTAGGCGCGCGCCTACACAAGAATCAAGATGCCTAGGTGAAACACCCATGTGAATGGAGATTCTCACATCGATACTTTGAGGCTGTTTCGTGCACTTTTCAATGCATCAGAAAGTGAAGCTGAAGTTTGACTTTCATTGTGCGCCGCCGCTGCCGGCCCGATGTTCTAGCAGACGGGAAATGTAAAAATAGCCAGAGGCTTGAGGTCGCGGCATGAACACCATCCGACAACAAACGGGCAGGCACTTTAAATAGTGCTGGGGCGGCCCTTGGGCCTGCTGCTGCTCTGAAATTCAGAATCCGACTTTAATTTCAAAGCAAATCACTCGCTACTTGCTTGGTTCCATTCATTAAAGCTAGGTCTAGTTACTGGTCTAAGAAGTAAGGCCCAATAATTACTAGTCTAAGAACTGGTCTGAGAATTTCTGTCTGAGTGCTGCTCAAATATCGACCTTATCATGCTCCCCCTTCTCTGGCTTCTTCCGCTTGCCCTAGCAGCGTTTGACACACCTGCTACACCTTACTCGCCATATGAAATTACGTGCCCCAACGAGAATTTCACCCGAGATGGCGATTCCATATCGCCCCGGGAAAAAGAGTGGGTCGCTTCCCGGCAAAAGAAAACAAACGAGGCTCTTGCCGCATACTTGGCTCGTGTTGGTGTCGATGCCCACAAGGAAGTCTTTGAGTCGAAACAGCCCCCCAACATTGCTGTGGCGCTTTCTGGAGGAGGCTGGCGTGCTTTTCTCGGTTCTGCCGGTGCCCTTTATGCCATGGACAACCGTACTGCCGGGGAAGGTGCGTTGGGAGGTGTTCTCCAGAGTCTGACGTATCTCGGGGCACTTTCCGGAACTTCGTGGATCGTGGCGCTGCTTGCGCTTCAAGGTTTCCCTACGATCGAGGAGGTTGTGTACGAGAACCCAGATGACATTTGGAACTTGCTGTTGGAGCGTGGTCTTGTAAACCTTACGCAGATTATCCCCTTGGCGGCCAACGTGGCTTTCAACGACTACAACCGTCTTTTGACTCACTTTAGCTACTGGGACACGCCTTCGGGCCAAGGTATCAAGGCAGACGTCGAGGCCAAACAAGCTGCCGGCTTTAACATCACCTCTGTGGATGTGTGGGGCAGAGGCTTGGAGCACCAGCTTTTTGCCGAAAGCGGAAACAACTGGCTCAATGGTGTCACTTGGCTGGATATCCAGAAAGTTCCTGCTTTTGCCCAGCACGACATGCCTTTCCCTTTTGTCACAGCCTTGACCAGGAAGCCTGGTGAAGTCTACTATGGCATTGACTCGCCTATTGTCGAATTCAATCCATATGAGACTGGCTCCTTCGACGCTTCCATCAACACTTTCCACGACACAAGTCTTTTGGGCTCTCAGGTGGATGACGGTAAGCCTGTGGGCAGATGTGTCAAAGGATACGACCAGGCTTCGTTTGTTTTTGGTATCTCGTCGTCGCTCTTCAACATGTTCCTCAACACCTTGGTCTGTCCCGTGTGCAAGTTCAATCCTATTCTCAAGTTCTTTGCTCGTCGTCTTTTGCTTCTGATGTCGAAAAACCTTCAAGATGTGGCATTAGTGCTGCCAAATCCGTTCAAGAACTCGCGGTTCACAACTCTGGATGACTACAAAAAAGACGATACCCTCTACTTGATTGATGGCGGCTTGTCTGGTGAATTGTTGCCGCTCCTGTCTCTTATTGTGGCTCCTCGGCAATTGGATGCGGTGTTTGCCATTGACAATAACGGTCCCTTGCACCCCAACGGCCTGTCGATCATCTATGCATACGAGAAGCAATTTATGCCCGAGGGTAAGTCTATTGTGTGCCCATATGTGCCTGGTGAATCAACTTTTGGATACTACAACTTGACTGCACGTCCCACATTCTTTGGCTGTGATGCCAAAAACCAATCCTCTTTGGCCAAAGATGGTGTGGTGCCACCTTTGGTGGTGTACTTGGCCAACCGTCCTTTTGAGTTCTGGTCCAATGTCAGCACCCTCAAGCTCACGTACTCGGACCGCGAGAAGAAGGGTATGATTACCAACTTCTACGACATTGCCACCCGTATGAACAGTACCCTTGACGAAGATTGGCCTAAATGTGTTGGATGTGCCATGGTCCGTCGTCTGGAGGAACGCGAGGGTATTGAGCAGTCTGAAGAGTGTAAGAAGTGTTTCTCCAAGTACTGTTGGGATGGCCAGCTTTATGAAGATCCAAACTACGTGCCTCCAGGCAACTTTGACCTCGAAGGTAAGACTGACGAACCAATGGAGTTGTGGGGCAACAATGAATATATCAGGGTTAACCCATATGGTGATCCTCTTTGGGAGCGCATTGGTAAGGCGTTGCTTAACTGGGGTGGTACTACCTTCTAAGTGGCTCACGTCTTTGCCTGCAAATGGCCCCCACTCAGACTTTGTCTTTAGCCAGTCTTTAGCCAGTCTAAGTGTATGACTTCTTTGCTCATTGATTTGTCTTAGTCCTCAATACCCCAAGTTTCGCCTGTCCTTCACACTGTCTTTCAATTCCTCTCTCTTTCAAGCTTACGGTTTCTATACTCTGTTATGCACATTGTTACCTCCTATTTATTCAATCTTTGTGTAGCCCCAAGCCACGGCCGTGATCAAGACGCCGATAGCCGCCCCATGGAGTGACAAATAATCAGGCGCTATGGCTTCCACTGCTAGACCGGCCAAATTCAAACATTTCGCGAGCCTCACTGATTTTGTTGCATCAGCTGTTTCAAGAAGTGCCAAGTCAACCAAGTATGCAAATACAGATAGCCTTCGGCGCTGGAATATTCTGTTGGCCAGTGGTAACTGGAACCGCGGTACCACAATTTCCGATACAACACTGGTTGGCTTTTCGATCTCATCAATTGCGGCCAGTTCCCCGTTGTCTATTAATCGGCGCCATTTTATGTTTTGCAAATAGGCCATGGTGTCTTGCGCCGTAAAAGTGGAACTTTCTTTGATCAACATGTAGATCAACACGTTAAAATCCTGCTGACACTCGCTAAATGCTCCCTGGGACCTAATTACGTTGTCTGAAAACCATTCGTGGAAAGACTCAGGCAGAAGATTCGAGTGCCACTTTCCAATGTCGTTTCTGATTTTCTCTGGGTCTGTTCGGTCAGTTAGTTCCTTTTCGAACGGCAAACAACCGGCGCATAAGTAGCAGAATATCATTCCAAGCGAGTACATGTCGCTGCTCTTGGTGAATTCGTAGGCTAGCTTGCGCCCTGAAGAATAATGTGAGTACACCCAGAGTTTAGGATCGGTAAACTCAATCGTACCCGTGTTGCCACGTCTTTCCTCATCCACATGCAATGAAAGATCTGCCATTCTTTGTTTGTCGATGAACTTTCCTTCGCCAAAGTCGGAAACAAGTACTTTGGGCAACAGATCTGCAGCATTTTCGAGGTCGGCTGCAGATTCGAATACGAACGGCCGCAGAGAAGGCGCATATTTCTTGTCAAGAAGACAATTGGATGGTTTCAAGTCCCGATGCAAGATTCCGTGGGAATGCAAATAAAGAACCCCTCTAGTAATGTCGGAGCAGAACTTCCAAATCTCAAAGTCTGAAAGCCATTGGGGTTTAGCAGGTTCGGGCATCGAAGGGTGCTCCCTCTGTAATCTTCTGCGTTGACGTTCGTGTTCAATGCGTTCCTTTGCGGACATGTATTTTTCCGTTTGGAAATTGCCCGCTATCATGTTTTCCAAGTGTCCTCCGTCACAGTACTGTTGTAGAATGTAGACGTATGGTACTTCATCGTTTAGACCAGACTGCTGGCCGTTTCTGTTCAAAAGAATAGTATTCAGATCTTTTGCTGAGCCCATTTCCATCCACACATGGTTGTAGCGGATCAAGTTGTTTTCGTTTGCGCCCTGGGCCGACAATTCATACAATATCAAAACCTCATTGAGCACATGGTCAAGAAACAGGACATGGTCGCCGATGTTGATTCGCTTCACAGCATAAACTCCAAGCTGGATGTTCTTGAGCACATGCATCACCTTGTAGACCTGGGCATGGGCGCCGGAACCCAAGATTCCTGGCGGAACTTTCCGGAAAAACCGCTCAAAGTAGCCCTGGTTGAAGATGTCCAGAGGAAGTGAATCAGACAGCGCAATCGACCGGCCACCAAGCGGGAGGTTGGCCAAGAGCTTGAAATAGTCATGGTGCAAAAACGGCAGCGGCACATAATTCCGGAGATCCAGCTCGGTATATGTGGAATTGGAACTGCGACGCCTGAAACCAGAGCGGGAGTTTTCTGCAAACGAGTGTCCACAGTGAGGACAGTAAGAGTTGGCCTGCTCGGGCCCATAGCGGTGCTCTGAGTCCGGCCACTCCAACGCCCGTGAAGAGAACGCATCATGATCCGTAGATTCAAACGGTAGCGCCCGCACTAGTTGAATGGTATTTTCTTGGCTATCATGGATCACCAAGATCTCGTTCGCCGGATCGTGGAAAACAATCTCGTTGTGCGAATTGTAGGGAACAATAGACATTTTGAACGGGGAAATGTTCGTCTTGTTGGCTTGTTTCTTTTCGCTTGTGGTAGGAATTATCTAGGTAAATGACATGTAGCGCGAAATCTGGGGTAACTTTGAGTGCATGAAGAAGGTATTCTTAACCCACAACCAAAAAATGCTGGAAAATATAAAAGAGGGTTTCTTAATGTCCTTTGGCTGTATAATAGACTGGTCAAGAAAATAAATGTGAAACAAGTAAAAGAAACTAAGTGATAAAGCGGAAAAGTGGCTGAAAATTGGGATACCAATAGACAATATATCCAAAAAGAGCCAACAACACACCTGAAACAACATCTTTCCCTTACTGTGCAATATTTTAAAGTGGCAAGAATGCAAAAATGCAGAAACAGGAATTTGACTCTGATGACATAGGATCAGGGCCTTGCGATGGACTACTTACACTAAAAGAGATGTCTGGATCATTTCCCTTCTTGACCTGAACCGTACGTTTCTGCACATCTCTTTGATTGGTTGCGCCTAGATATCTTATTCTTTCGTTCATTCATAAGGGCTAAAGGTTTTATGTAATTAACTTTGTCTGGTTGTTCAGTACAAACTGTCGTTTCTCCGATATCTGTAGAGAAAACCTAGAGTTTAGGTCAATTAGCAGCTTGGAGGTTTCGAACATGGTTTGTACAAATACCTTGGCCTCTCTGCCATATTGTGGTACGACACGCATAAGGTTCCGATATGATGCTTAAATGTGCCTTGCGGAAGCAAGAAAGGAGGTGTACTCATAAACGTGTTACATCTCCATCTGCACGTTTTGAAGTCATCTTCTAGTAATTATTTGTTCTGTGAAGACCGTACTATTCGATAAGTTGGTCGGATAAACCGTTACCAAACACCAATCGCAGTTACGAAGCCTGTCTCATACGGAGAATGAATCGCATCATCTCCGTTTCTAGCTCATACTTGTCAGCGGGCGACATTTGGGCTAACTCCAGGTCCGCATTATTCATCCAATCCTTCACATCATAAAGTGTACATCTCTTCAATCCAGACTCCGCCTCCATGGAAGGTATTTCTTCAACAACAGAAAGCCTTTTAATACTTTCGGCGCTAGTGTTCAAAACATCGTTGCTAGTGTTGATTATCATGGATTGCTCCAGAAAACTGGGTTCCTGCGACGACTCGAACGTCCCGTTCTTCCTGTCAGTGTAATCGACACTTGACGCAATTTCAATATGTCCCTCCACATCATTCGAGCAATCTTTCTCTTTCAATCTGGAACTTTCATCAGAATCACTCACCTGTTTTGTGCCGCTGTCAGCACTTTGACCATTGGAGAAGCTCGTATCCTTGGGGCTGTTGCTTCTGGTCCTTGGTTTTTCTAAAGAATTCGATACAGCGGCCCCGGAGCTTGAATCCAGTTTTGCATCCGACGAGATTTCAATGACAATCGACGCGTCCGAAGAGAGCTCCGTAATTTCTCCTGCGCGACGTGTCTGTATCCTCTTACTTCTTCTGCGGCTTGTTGAAGCCGATTCGATGGGACGTTTTAACTTCAGTGTAGAGGCAGTAGTATCTGTTGATGCTTTTGTATTATTAGACTCTGTTGCATGCTCGAGTGAATTACTCTCATATGTGAGTTGTACATCATCAGAAGACGATTTTTCCTGACCAACAAAACGTTTTTCCTGGTCAACAGACGAAGCCGCCTCTTCAGAAGAGGTCTTTTTTTGTTCAGTGAAGGGCATTTCCAGCTCAGCAGCTACCGAAGTGGCGTTATGTGTCTGATCTGATGTATCTGCTGAGTCACAAATATTAACAGGCTCTTCTTCTTCGACTGTTGGTGAAGGCAAAACCAATTTAGGAGTCTTGGTGGTGGCATGGTGTAGCATGTCCGAAGCGATAATGGATTCTAATTCAACTTGCCGTGTGGTTAACTGTTCGATTTGCTTCTCTGGAGATATGACGTTCGTATTAGATTCGTGGCTCGAAAAGAGGGCATCATTTGTTTTGAGCCAGGCTTTCTTTAGGTTAGGAAAAGTCTCCCATCTGTTCTTCACGATACTTTTGATGTCCAATCCCAGATTGTGCGAAGTAGTCAAAAGATCATCAAGTTTTTTCATATCCCCAGAAAAACTGCTCAAATAATTGTGCCACATATTGATAATACTCTGTTTTTCTTCATTATTGAATGAAGCGAGTCTTTCACAGATAGTATCTTTTAGAGTGTGAATTTCAAAGTCAAACCTGTCCTCGAGAAGCAAAACAAAAAGATCCTCAAACTCGTTTTCAAGTTGTAATCTTTGCCTTATTAACTTGACGCAAACACGTTTGAGATAATCGAAAGGAGCATCATGCATCAAGATGATGAAAAACTTGAAGATCAGAATGTTCCAGTGATTGATCCTAAGCTCGTTGACAATCTTCTCAAACTCTTCAGCTTTTAGTAACACAATCTGCTGAATGAGCTTCTTAGCGACTGTAGCAAAATTCTTGTCCAAACTTTCGAATATAGAGCTCAACAATATCATGTCTTGGTGTGAAAAGCGAGAATATTTTTTGTTGTTGAGACAGTCTTCAACAAACGTGAGAATTTCTCCACTAGAATCGAGACTTTTACTTAGTTGCGTGAGATTGGAGAGGAAAAGGAGACTTTTCCGCTCACCAACTGTGCCATGAAGCATGCTCATGATGGCATTCATTTGATGGGATGTAAGATGCAGAGCACAAAAGCTCAAAATAACCTGGTATGTACCTTTTCCATCTTTAGCTTCGGCAACCAAGTGAGGGGCACCGAACGTATCATTCAATGTGACAATAAGCTTGAAAATTTCGTCATAGCTTGGTTCGCTGGACTCAAAAAGTGGTTGAAGTATGTAAGGTAAATTGTCCACCAAGTCTAGCGTTGTATTGGAGGGTTGTATCTCCTTTTTGGTGATGTATTTTATGGAAGAGAGAAAACCATTAATAGCCGTTAATTTCTGTTCTGTTTCAAGATGCTCCAGTTTGCAGATTGTAGCCAACAAGGGCATAATATTTTCGAATTGCAGATAAACCCAGCGAGGAGAAAAGGAATTAAGTTCCGAGAGAGAGATGGCTTCGTTTGACAAGCAACGGGTCCAGGCAAAATTCTTCTCATTCACCGGATTTGTAGGTTTTAGCAATTTCAGTAAAACCATTGCACCTAAGCGATGCATTTGAGGGTTGGCAGATTCTTTGTTGAAATAAAAGTGTGCAAAAACTGGTACAAAGATTCTTTCCCAATATGCCGATAACATTTTGAGCAGAGGTGCCGAAAGCGGGCCAAGAAGATTGTATAGTATAGACAAGAAAGAATGGTGGAGCGCATCTGTCACCTCAGGTCGATATTCGGCAGAAATAATGTTAACAAAAAGATGAATTAAAAGCTTCAGTTTTGGCTTGATTTCGTCAATAAGTCGAGAGCGACTAGAAGCCAACAGCGGAGCAGAAAGAGATGCAAATGGTGGATTTTGTAGGTCCACACAGCATACTTTGTAGATGACAACTTTCCATGAAGACAAAGCTGTGGTTTTTGCCTGAACTGATGCCACATTAAAGCAATGGCGATGCACCAGGAGCCACTGAGGAAGATACTCCCACTGCTCCCAAGCCAAGCCGGCATGCGATATGAGTAAAGACAAACCTACCCATATGTCCATGGCAAATTTATAATGACCGCTGTCGATCATAGTCTTCAAACTGGAACAAACATAGTCGATAGAATTCATTTCTGATACAACATTGGCAGATTCGCTCACAAATGAGCCTGTAGGCACAAAGGGCCGACCAAGAAAAGCCCGCACACTATGACCGACTTTGACTGTGTCCAAGTATGTGCGGGCTGCCTCCAAAAGGGTTGTTATACCAGAACCTGCAATTTTTACATGGAGCAGGTCCGACAGGTTGCACAAATCAGCCAAGAGTGGGGCAAACCAGTCATCAAACCTTGCAGCCATTTGCTCGGAAAAATTGAGCACGAGCGTTTTCAAGCAGGAGAACTTTTCGTTGACAAGCAGAGAGCTGGGGAAGCTACGGACTGCTAGCAAAGCTGATAACATTCGGTCAGGAAGGTCCTCACTAAAGATCTGGGGCCGTTTTCGAGCAGAGTAGTGGCACTCCTTGAGTAGACACAAATAGGGCAAAACCAACGACTTGGATATGGCCTGATGGGCTAGCATGTCGCATGCATGGCCGTAGAACCAAGATAGGCTTTCCGAGGCAAGGGCATTATTGACTGCGGGCACGGCGAAAAAAAACGCTACAGTTTTGAGCGCCTGGCCCAAAATGCGCGCCTGGAATGGGTCGTTTTTGTGGGCGCGGAAAAGACGCGCTTCGCCCGAAAGCACGTCGCGCCGCGCAAAGTCAACAATGCGCGAGGCCAATGAATCTGAACCACCATAGGCCACATGGGCCGCCATTGACTTGTCGTTGTCGTTTGGAATATCCATGCGGCTGGCAGGACGCACCAAAAGATCAGTCAATGTGCTTGCGTCGTTGGATTTGCACACGTGACTAAGTGTTGCATAGACTTCGAATTTGCGGTCAAAGTCTGGATCTGCAAGCACTTGCGCGCATCCGGCCACTAGTTCAGGCAAGTCTGGCAGGCGCGGCGCGAGCAGAACAATCGTTCCCGCATGCCAAAAGGCGCGGTCGCCCGGAGAACTGCGCGCGGCCGAGAAACAGTGCACAAGTGCTTGCACTGGCCGCTTCAAGATGGATTTCTGCGGCGTGCCGTCAGAGAAGTTGTCGGAAAATGGGTCGGGAAAATCGTCCGAGGCAATGTTGTCTGAAAAGGCGACGCGTTTGCGCGGCAGCGTGGGCAGTTTTTTGGGCAGACCTGGCCGTCTTTTTGGGAAAGGCTTGGTTGGCAGAAGTAGAAGTTTGGGCAGGCCATGAGGTCTCTTGATGGGCGACAGATCCAAAAACTCGTGGCTGTATGGTTTGTGGCTCCTGTGATGGCTATGGTGAGTTTTCTCGCTATGGGTATGAGGTTTGGCATTTGTTTTTTCAGTTTCACCGTTAGCAAGGAGGTTTCCGTCGTGTTTATCGTTGTTTGCCTCGAAACTGTTGTTTTTGTTCGGGCTGTGGACATGCTTTGGACTCTGGGCTTTCAGAATGCTTGCAAGAACCGCATCGATCGGTTTCGAGCAATTGAGATCAGTCTTCTCGGTAGAGTGGGGATGCTCTGTAGTATGCGAATATTGTGGGATGTCTATGCCATTATTCTGAGTGTGATCTACACTTAGACTCTGCTGCCTCTCAGGACTTTTGCTGTTCTCTTTCACGCTCTCCCGACTTGTCTTTTGGGTTACTGGTTCACGCGTCTCATTCAGTTCTTCGGTAGTTTCTATGGCTGGACTTGACTTATCGCTTTCATTTGCAGTTTCGTTGGCTGGACCTGCCTTATCGCTTTCATTCGCCAAATCCTTTCTCGGGCTTCCTTTCTTCCCTTTCGCTTTCTCATTGGCTTTTCCTCCAGCACCTTTCCTCTTTCTATGATCTTTCTTGTGGGTCCCAGTGTCGCAGTCGTCCTTTTCCCCATCCTGGGTCAAATCTATTACCGGGGAAGTTTCTCGACTCGAGCTCATTTTTAGCGCCAGACGCGTCCTGGGGCCCGTAAGTTTGCGTTTTCTGGTCGGCATGGCCTTTTGTACTAGAGATGCCATGAGAAGAGACGCGGGCGATGCGCGTTTTCAGACCGCGATGTTCGCCCAATTTTCAGGCGCGAAGGTATGCCGACCGAGATCGTTTCGGCTAATTTGATGAAGCGGTGATTTCTACACCCTTTTAACGTATCAGAATACATATATATATATTTATATGTATATATATATTTATATGTGTGTGATGGCACTTGTATGCATGGGCATGTTTATTGGAAATTATATCTGTAAATGCGTTGTGGAATGTGTCTACTCGCCTAAAAATGGTAGAGGATTCTGCGAGAATGGACCAAAGTATTATATGACTATTTCATGTTCGTCGCTATGTGAACTTATAAGCTAATATGAAAGGAGCTGACTTAGAATCAATTAACAGCATTGTGAACTCAATAGGAGATGTGAGTTCTTGAGATGTGAGTTCATGAGATGTGAGTTCATTGATTCAACATGATGTGACTTCGCCATCAGCTTAATTTGCAATTGAACATTTCTTTCTCATATGTGTCTCTTCACCTTCAATAGAATAGTAATTAGCCCAGCATGCTTGTCCATGACACTACAAGCACCAGGAAGTTATTATAGTTTTATTTGTGGTACTATTTCGCTTTGGTGTAGCTAATGGTAGGTTGATATCTCTGTGCGGCCAGAAAGAACGTGCTTGCCTTTTGTAACAAGCAGCTTCAAATCTAATATTCTTCAAAAAAAATTCTTTCTCTATCTTCTCGTATCTATTTTTTAAAATACACTAGCGAAGCGTAAGACAGAAATCTATGTACAGCAGTAACCATTGAAATCGTAGTCAGAAGTGCTGCCAAGTCCTTGGTAATGTCCCGTACATTTGATTCTTCTTGAAGGTAGCGTTTTGAATATTTCATTCGTTCTTATTAAATCATGTCTTCGCCTTTTTCACTTCTGTTTCTGGTTCAGGAGACCGAGCTCTTTTACGAGACACGTTTTCAGGTGAGGCAACTGCTGCTTCTTGCTCGGAATTTCCATCAACCTCCATCTTGTCTAAGTCTGATGACTCCTGTTTGGTGCCTACCACTTCGGCTCCGTTGGTTCGGATAACATCTTTTTCTTCTTCCCCTTCTTCATCTTTCTTCACATGCTCAGGTTTTGGTGGACTTTCTATGGATTTCAGATCGTTCGTAGATACAATTTCTGCATTAGCCTCAGATTTCACCTCATCTGTCTCCTTTTCTAACTTTTCTTCGTGCAGATCTTCCTTCTTTACATCACTTTTCCTTTGTTGTTCCTCCTTCAACTTTTCTTTTTCTAAAGAGCGTGTCAAATCGTTATTTTCGACTAGTTCTGCGCTCACTTCTCCGAAGCTCAACCATTGCTTGTTCCGGTTATATTTCAACTTTTTCCAAATCAAAACCGTTCGCTTCTCGATTAATTCCGGCTTTGATTCTAAATCGGCACTAAGCAACTCCTTATCGATCTTCTCAATTTCCAGTTCGTAGTCCACTTCTGCCTTCGTGCGAAGAAGCCCAAGTCCTGTTTTGACTTTCATTCTCCTTGAAAGTTGAGGGGTGACATGGGTGTTGAAGTAACGTTTCGTTTTATAAGGAACTACAGTCTCAAACTTTTCACGCGTAGTACTGATTTCATCATCAGTGAGAACGTTTTCAGAAAGCAAAGATGTGCCGTCCGACTTTTTTCCATATAGAAGCCAAGCCCACCAATTCTCTTCTGACTGGGACAATTGCTGGAACAAGAAAGATAGCTGTGTGTCCCACGCACGACACAGGCGAGGGATATCCCGCTTCAACTGTAGAAAGCTTTTAATAAGAGATTCTGGAGTGGATGCTTCTTGTATATGTTTGGTGGAAGCAGGAGCATTGATGTTTTTGAGCGTGGCTCGCTTTTTTGAGTTCTGCAACTCGAGGAAGAAACAGCTCACCATATATATTTGAAGAAGGACAAGCTGGCGGAACTTGGAAGAATCAAACTGCGCAATAGCAACTTTCTTGTCTTCTTCTTTCACTGCATCAAACTGTGCACCTCTTTGAATGGGCTCAAACGGAGCTAACCAATAATGCTCAGGGAAAAATACAGCAGACTCGTACTTTTTGGCCAACGTCTGTTTTTCGTTTTCCAGAATAGGCGCTGGAACAGCGTAAATGTCCGGAGAAGGATGCTTTCTGTGGTGTTTTGTCTCCTCTTCCAAGAGATAATTGGAAAGTCGAATCATAGAGTCCACCAGCTTGGAAAGCATGCGGGGGTTTTTGAGATGTGAGTACGGGTCCCTCAAAAGACGAAAGAACAGCAATACTTCTTGGAGCAATTCTTCGTCTCCCGACTTAGCAGAACCAAGATGAGGCTCTCTATTAGCACGATTGGCTATGGTGAAATACTTGTTCAAACCGGTCAGGTCATCAAATGCAAGAAGCGACGATAAAAATGTGCGAACACGAGACTGGAGGTTATCGTTGAAAGTGTCCTTTTCGTACGAATCCAACTTTCCCGTTTTACGTCGCTTATAGTATTGGTCTGTAAGCCCATTGCAAATGGCCAACATGGCGACACGATGCAGTGTTATTTTGCGGTCAAATACATGGGCAAGAAAAGCAGATTCCCGGCTCTCCATATACGTCCAGAAAACGGAAACCGTATCGGTGGAAAACTTCGATAGAGAATCAACCACCGTCTGGAGTAGCAGATGAAAGTCAGTGACACGAATATGCTCTTGGGTCATCCACATTGCAAGGTCAAGAATAAGTGCCAAACGATCTAGAACTGCTTCCGTTGGCTCTGCGTTCTTTTCCTTTTCTTGAAGCATGTTGAATACAGAGTCTGCGCTCTTTGTGAGGGCCGTGACTAGCACAAATATCCGAGATTGGCTTTGGACGGACGCCTCAAAGTCTTCCACGGACTTTTTCTTGTCGCTATCGGCATCTTTTGAGAGTTCAATGTGATAATCAACAGATACAGCCGCTGCTGGAGAAAGATCTGGATTGGCGGCTTCAAAATCGGAAAATGGAACTGGTGTGGAAATCCAGTTTCCTTGAGGCCATTCCTCCACGAGAGCCGTAATGGTTTCGGCCACAGTATCAATGGGCCCAGAAAATGCCATTAGCGGTGTAAGATCAAAAGTGAGCTACTACAAACATCAAGACTGGAACATCGGGGTCACGTGCGCATGTTTTTGTATGTGATTAGGTTTCTACGAAAGCATGCAAGAAGAAGTAGAGGAGCGCTATTTGGAGTTTCGTAAAGCTAAACATCAAACTTCTTTTGCCGTAGCTTCTTCTTGTCGCTCTGCTTCTTCTTATGGTAGAGCCGTTTCTCCTTCTGTTCTTCGGCGATTTCAGCCCATTTCCTTTTGTCTTCCTCGCTCACCTCAGCTTCAAAGTGTGCCGTTTCCTTGATCGCCTGAACTAGTTTACGGAAACACTCGTCAGTGTTTGTTTCTCTGTTCCGGCTGGAGTCGCTTTGGATCAAGAGACCTCCGGCTTTCGTCTGGTATCGCAACTTTTTCGTGGCAATCTGCGAGAGTATGGGCTTGGGAATCCAGTAACAGAACTGTGGCTGCAACCATTGATGCGGCTCAAGAGAGACGGTGGCTTTAGATGAAGTTTTGTTCACTTTCTGTCCTCCAGGCCCTGAAGACCGACTAAATGAGATTTCAAAAATAGACCGAGGTACTTTGGCATGGTCAAAGGACAGAAGCCATTTTCGAGCGCCTTCTATTTCTGCCTTTGTGTATGTGGACAGGGCCCTGATAAGCCGAAGCATGGTATGTGAAAAGAAGTGTGACAGTGGTATAGAGGTGTTGGTCACGTGCGCGGCCCCGTTGTAGCCTACAATATACCGATTAAAGTTTTGCTTGTCATACACATTAGAAAAAGGCTGGCATCAATCGTCAATAAAAAGAAGTTGCAGTGTCAATTCCTTCTTGAGTTCAACCCACATTATGCCTCCTTGAGTACAGCATCGGCGGAGGAAACATCAACAGAGGTGTTGTCTGGCTCGATGAAAGTCTTCTTCACAACACCGTCTTCCACAATCAAAGCGTAACGCTTAGATCTCTCGTTGCCGAAAAACTTGGAAGCGTCAAAAAGCACATCCAAGTCTTTGGAAAACTCGCCCTTGGGGTCGGCCAAGAAGCGGACCTGGTTGGTGCCGACAAGATGGGCAAAAAGCGCCTCGCCCCATGCCTTGGTGACAAAAGCGTCGTTGACAGCAACAATGTAGAACGACTTGTATCCCTTTTCGTTGAACTCTCTCAACTTCTTGAAGTATCCGGGAATATGCGAAGCCAGGCAGGCAGGCGAAAAGGCTCCTGGGACTCCGATAATGATGGATTTCCCGCTTGCAGTTTCATCCGCCAAGTTCACGTCGTTTCCTGGGGAGCCTTCAAATAAAGTGGCGGATGGAATCTTGTCTCCCACCGCTACCCATCTGGAGGCGGAGGCGGAAAACGCACGAACGGACTGGCGCTTGGCAATTGAGGTCAAAGCGAACATTGTTGGGCAAAAAGTTATGGGATGGAAGGGAAAAAAAGTTGCGACTGGGGCAATCGGATTCTTAGGGGAAGTAGACTGATACCATGGAGGGTCTGTGTGCAGGATGACAATTTTGTGTGGCTCGCCGTCGAAGCTTTTCCTTGCAAACTTATGCTAGAAACAGACCATTGTACATGGTCTAGTGACTTCCTTGCTCGGTGGGTGATGTCATTTCTTTTGCCTTTTTCGACGTTTGAGCAAGGTCCGCAATCATTGCGCAAGATCTCGACACTGGAAATTGCGCGTGAAAACGGAACAAATGCGAATTCACCTATCTGTCAATCTGGCATTTTGGTAGTGGAGCATACAGTTCCGATTTCGCCCGCAACTTTCAGAACCAACCCCTCATCCCAAACAGCAAGCCGAATCAAAGTGAGACATTTGCAAATCTAAAGATGTCCCAATTGCTGACATAAGCCAAAATTATTTCATACTGAATAATCGTATACTGCATACAGGGTAACTTCTGTCTTGACCTCACTTATTTCTTCCACATCTTCTTCCAACGTCATGGTTTCCGAACAACAAAACATATCGCCGCAAGAGGCACTTGGGCTTTATAAAAACACACTCAACTTCAATGTCATCTCGCGATATGACCCGGCGGTGAAACAGCTCCTATACACCACCTCTCATTGTGTGCTTTATAAGTACGACGACTCGAGCCAAGAATGGATCAAGACAGATTTCCAGGGCGCCTTGACGCTCTATCTAAGAGACTTTGTGAGCCCCACAACTCCGGGCCCATTCAATTATTCCGACCTACAGAAGCTTTTCTGTTACGGATTGCTTCTTCTCAACCGTCTGAACCCAGAGTTTTTCTCGCTCGGTTTGTTGCCCAACAAAATCACAAAGCATTATTTTCCCCACGGGCTCAACGGCAATGGGATTCTGGAAATGGGGGTTGAGATTGCCGACAATTTGATCATGGTCAAGAACCTCTTGGGCGAGATTTACGGCTTGTGGATTTTCAACGAAGAAGATCGCCAGAAGTTGTTCAAGTTGATGAGCTTCTGCTTGGATAATGAAATGAAGCAGTGAAGTGCTTGATGAATTAATTTTGTATCGAATAGAAGAAATCACGTTTTGCTCTCATTCTGAATTCGTGAAATCTTTATCTAATACCGCATGATCTTAGTGACGTTGATTGTTGTTCCTGTTGAAAATCTTTCCATTCGACTAGCATTGACAAAATTCCGGAAGCAGTTCTGCTGTTCGATACAGCGTATGCCTATCGTCTCAGGTATGCAAAGGCTTCTATACTTCATTACTTTGGAATACAATTGGAGTTTACATCTTTGTCTATGTTGCTGAAATTGAGCTGTTATATGGACGCTCTCAGTTTGGCATGTCAATGACTTTTTGGCTCGAAATCCAGGCCCTACTTTCCGATAAAGTTTAGAAAGAAGAAGTAGTTACATAGGGCAATTCCTTTTTGTACCCCAGAATGTGGGGGTTGGTTAGTGACACAAAAAGAATATAGATCCGTACCTCCGTAAATTACACCAGTACCTCCGTAAACACCCATGCACCATGAAAAAACCCAAACATCTGGTAAAGAAACCCATACACCATTTTGGAAACCCGTACATATTGTCGCCAAAAACCCAAGCACCACAATCAAACACCCGTGCACCGTATAGTTAAGCTTCCAATTGTCCCCTCAACTTTTGGAATGCTTGCCAAAATGTTAAAAAATGCGCCTTTGTCATGATTCGAACGAGGGACAGCAACATTTACTCCTCTTTTCTGAGAAGATTACGAGAATCACAATGTAGATTGGGACAACTACTTTAAACATCGAGATTCTTCTAGTTGGAGAAGCTAATCTGGATTCTTATTTTTTTTATACTTTCATTCTTTGTAGTTTGAGTTTGAATAGCCTCTTCAGATACCATTCGGGCTATACCATACACTTGGATGGGCAGTTGTAAGCTACATTTTACAATGAAGGCGATTCCTTTTGGAGTTGGGTCGTTCTCGGTCAATAATATGATTAACTTTTATGTCTAATCAACAAAAATCAGTCATTATTCGCAACAAACAAATCATCAAGTCTAAACTACTTACTAATGTCACACCAATCCTTCAAGAGAAGGATATAAATGCATCCGTAAAGCACGAAGATAGCATATCAATTTTGATGACTGTCTACGACTGATTTTCGATGTTGATGATTGTCACCATTAATCCCATATCAATGCAGAACATATTCCAACAGATTACTCTCTACACCAAACCTTCTTTCAAGTCTCAACGAGAACACTAACTAAATTTTGTTTCCTACGTATCTTGGCCAGTTCGGATCAATCCGATTGAGGATAAGACTCATTATCAACTTGTAGGATAACGAAAACACCCGTACACCAGCCTACCTCAGACGAATAGGCCCCTACGAAAACGGCAAAAAGAGCGATTTTCTTCCCCGTTGGGCCCCCATACATCTTCTATTCCGTGCAAGTATGCCATATTCGCCCTTTCCAGAGCCAAAAAGGGCCCCAAACACGCTTGTAGTGGCTTCGGCCAGTGGTGACGATGTCACGTGACCCTTGTGTACTTAGCGCACACATTTTGTTTCTTTCCAACCCAGCCAGAATGAAAAACTGGAACGGGGCCCGCCCCACCGCACAACAGTTGCAGCAGCTCACGCCGGCGCAGCGGCAAGCGCTCCAGCAGCAGCTCCAGGCCCGAGCCAACGGCTCTCCGCTTCTTCAGCAGCAGTTGCGGCAAGCGCGGTCCAAGTTGGGAAACTACCATTTCGCTTCCACCACGAGCGAAATCTTGCGCAAGTACGCCAAGTACCCGCCGCTGCTCACGTTCCACATCTACGACACCCACTTTCGCTTCAACAACACGCAGGACCTGAGCATCATCCCGCGGAACAGCCCAATGGCCCGCAGCTTTCTCACGCACATTTTGCGAGAGGAGATTCCGACGGAAATGGCCGAGTTGTTGAAGGACTTTGCCGTGCGCTTCTACGACGGCTGCCTTGTGTTGCAGGTGTACGACCACCGCACGCGTGGCGGCAACGCCAGCAATTCGAACGCGAGTGCCAATGGGAATGGGAAATCCAGCGATTCGAAAGACGGCGAGCAGGGCGGAGAGAGCAATGGCACAGCGGCGCTGGACAAGACGGGCGCCAAGAACGTGCGGCCGAAAACGTACCGGACGCTTTTGCGCCCGACGCCGCTTTCTCTCTACTACGACTTGCTCTACCATACCGACTCGGCGCTCACCAAGTTCACCGACCAGCTTTCATTGCAGATGGAGGCGGAGATCCTCAATCTTACACAGCGCAAAGTGGACTTGTCTGTGCCGTTGAACCCGTACGTGCACGACGAGTATCTTCGGCCCGAGTCCGAGTACCCGAAAAAGGTTTGGGACAAGAAGACAGGCGACTGGAAAATGGTGCATTCGCATCGCGACGAGGTGCCACGCGTGCTGCGCCGCTTGCACGAGGACCTGCTTGTGATCCACCGCTCGTCCGAGTATGAGGAGTTGATGTGCCTTCTTTCGAACAACTACAAAGCTCCAGACGCTTCCGCAGCCAAACGGTTGGTTGTGGTTGGCCCGTCAGCCACGACAGCCGATCCACTGAGTCTCGAGGCTACTCCTGCGCCGGACAAGACCAAACGCGACAAGCCGGCGTCGTCTGTGCTCGGAAACGCCACGTCCAACCAGTTTATGCGCTTGAGGTTTATCGAGGAGATCCGAAAACGGAAGGAGTCCCAAAAGGCGGCTGCGGCAGCAGTGGCCGTGCCTCGGGACGCCATGGCGGCACAGCGGCAGCAGCACATGAAGCAGCAGCAGCAACAGCAGCAGCAGAATCTACATCAGCAGAATCTCCACCAGCCACAAAATCCGCAAGCGGTGCCAACGCAGCAAAATCCGGGGCAAGCCATGCCAAACTCGCAAGTGGGAAGCGGACAGCAAAACCCACAGTTGCGGCAGCAATTGCAGCAACAACAACAACAGCTGCTGCCGCAGCAACAGATGCACCAGATGGGCCAAATGGGCCAGATGGGCCAGATGGGCCAGGCGCAGAACGGGCCCATGCAGATGCAAAACAGCCAGGGCGCCCAAAACGCGCAGTATGGCCAGGCGCGTTTTGCCCAGACCCGCCCGCAGATGACCAAACAGGCGCAGCTCATGCGCGCGCAACAGCTCCAGATCCAGCAGGCGCGGCAGCAGCAGATGCGCGCGCAGCAGCTCCAGGCGCCGCCCGCCAAGCGCGCCAAGATGGCGCCTGCCCTCAACCAGAACCTCAATCCCAACCAGCACAGTCCTACGGTTCCAGCACAAAACATCCCGTCGCAGAACGTGGGCCAGAATATGCCGTCGCAAAACGTTTCTCAGCAAAACATGTCTCCGAACATGTCTCAGAATATGTCTCTGAACATGTCGCAGAACATGTCCCCCAACATGGCCCAAAACGTCCCGGCGCAAGCAGGAAGTCCGTACGGCTTGTCGCCGCCAGGCTCTGGTCTAGCCACCCCCGTTGTGCCCAGCGGCATGCCCACGCCGCAGATGGGCCTCTCGTCGCCACAGATGGGCCAGATGGCTCTGCCCAATGTCAACCGCATGGCGCCGCGGCCCGCCACACAACCGTCCGCTCCCGTGCCTCTGGCGCAGCAGCAACAGCAGCAAATCTTCCAGATGTCCTTAACGCCGCAGGAGCAGCACACGTTCCGCCAGTTGCAGGCCCGGATGAATGCCCTTGTGCAGATGGGCAATACAGGCGTGGCGCCCAACAGGAGCAGGCTCACGCCTCCACAGCAGCAGCAGGCGATGCAGCAAGCAAAACATATCCAGCAGCAGTTGTTGCAGCGGTTTCCGACGTATTTCCAAAGGCTTCGGCAGTTCCAGCTTCTCCAACAGCAACGACGGGCAATGCGGCCACAACAGCAACAACAGCCGCAACATCAACAGCAACAGCAACAACAGCAACAACAACAACAGCAGCAACAACAACAACAACAACAACGACAACAGCAGCAACAGCTTCAGCAACAACTCCAACAACAGCAACTCCAGCAACTGCAGCTCCAGCAACAACTGCAGCTCCAACAACAGATTCCCCAGCAACAAGTTCAACAGCCGGACTTGGATATGTATATGGGGATGAACATGTCACTGCCCATGATGCAGCAGCAAATGATGGGGCTGCCCATGATGCAACAGATAAACAAGAACATGAAAAACTAGTTGGAAACGATGGCAAAATCCCTTTCATAATCTTATCCGCGTGCTTGTTAAGCGTGTTGCTGAGTTGTGAGGTTTGGGCAGAAAGAAACACTAAAGAGGCGCTAATTATACCATAAATTGAGCCGAAGTGATGGCTCTAATCTGTGCTAGGCTACTAAGCTCCTTTGCTATAACGGCTTAGCTATTAAGGGACATTCATGACTAATGGACGTGGACAGCTGTAATCAAGACCATTTGTCGGCTAGAAGTTATCGTTGCTTGACAATGGCAGGCCGACGAGTTGCCACTGCTCCTACTTTCTCACAAGTCTTCCCACCGTCTTCCTGCTAGATCACACTTGCCTAACTGGTCCCTACAAACAGACATAATAAAAACACGAAACCTATAAAACAATACGTAGCTACTTCTGCAGCTCGAGGAAACTGCCATACGCGGCCAACGCCACAATTGTGCCTGCAGCATACAAAACACCCTTAGCGGCCTCCTTGGCCACCGTTCCAATCACCAGTCTCTTTGGGGCTGGCTGATTTTCTACCTTGCTAGGTTCATCCAACTCAGCTTCATCACGGCTTCTCTTCTTCAGCAGACTTGATGAGCTCGTGTCCTGTGACGTTCTAGATGTGTCCGGCGAATCGGTCTCGGAAAACTCCAGCGAGTAATCACCGTCAGACTCAGCTTCGGATTCGGACTCCATACACTGTGATACGAGGTCAACCATCTGGTCAACATCATCCAGATCGTAGTCATCCAAATCATAGTCATCCAGATCCAGAGGCTCCAGCACGTCGGGCTGCACAAACTCTTGCATATATGTCTCATCGTCCTCCGAGTTGTAGTCCTCTTCGAAGTAAACGCTCATGCCTGGCACATCACAGTCCACAACATGGTACTTCACCACAGGACGGTACACCATGACCTCGTCGTCTTCAATGCGAGCATTTACAAATGAGTCCTCCAGCTCCGAACATTGGCGGAAGCTGTATGGGTCATCGTCGTCGTCGCTGAAGTTTGCGTCGTTGAAAGTGACCAGTTTCTCTTTGATGATGGCCTCTTCCTCTGGCGCGTCGTCGTCCGAGTCCAAGACGCGACCGGTGTCTATCGCAGAAGTTTCTGAGTCAACATCTGCTGTGTCGTTTGATTTTCCAGACTTGTCCATTCCCAGCCACTCGGACTCGACGGACTCGCCATCAGAAAACGCTGCAGCATCGACCAGCGGAGCCGCAGACTCGTCAATCCTGTCAAGGTCGTCGCTGCCGTGCATTTCAGGCGTGGCCTCTGCATATGTCACGTCCTCCTGGAGCAACACGGACGCATCGGCTGCGACGTCATTAACAGGCAGCAAAACCAACGTCTGTGCCACAGGGTCGTACTCGGCCACGGAAAACTGCAATTGCACACGTGGGTTTAGCAACTTCTCTAAAGGCACCGCACTAGTGGCGTTGGTGCGCATCTGGCCCAACACACTAGAGGGGCGATTGACAATGAATCCAAGGGTGTCGCCTTCAAAAAGACGCACACGGGTATTAGGCAAGAGCAACTGGTTGTTCAAGACCGTTCCGAAAGTGGATCCACAGTCTTCCACGTACACCACATCCGAGTCAGCCCAAAGCCGCGCATGCGATTTGGAAAGATGTGTGTTGCGGATATACATGTTGCAAGACTTGGCGCTTCGAGCATCGTCACGGGGCAGAGCACGGCCCACGGTGACTGGGCCGGCGCTGAGATCAACGCGTCTTGAATTTGGAGGCAGCATGAAAGATATTTAAGGGGTGGTGGTGAATGCGACTAAGGCACTAGAAGCGGCAAAATTAAAAGTGAAACCGAAATAAGTGTGGGGTCGCAAGTACGAGAAGATGATTTGTTGATAAAACGCACGTTTGGTTTTCTTTTGTCTAGGTGGGGAATAAGAAAAAAAATGCCACAAGACAGGGAAACAAGGTGGTTTATAAACATTGTGGCGATAGGGAGCGCTTATCATGATGCGCGGAGGCACGGGTGTATCGATTGTCAAACATGCAGCATTAGCGAGGTGAAATGGGCTTGTGTGCAGTACACTCACTTTGTGCTAGTTAAAAATCGGCCAAGAACCCCCACTGTTTTGGCTCCCATTCGGGCAAGTGGTGGGATCCGTGTGGCGATATGGAGCCGTGTGGGACGTGGAAAATGCCTCAATGGAATTGTTGGGTCATTTTTGTTGGGTAATCCCGCTTGAATTCGGCAAATTGCATTTCCTCTTTTTCTGGAGATGCTTCTTTTTTGGGCAAGCTAATTGAAGACATGGACATGGACGAATGTAAACATGGTAAACATGAATTGAGTAAACATGGTAAACATGGTAAACATGGCATCAAGGAAGTATGGTGACATGGACATACAGATGACCCGACCTAACCTGGATATAGACTCGCACAGTCTAGATTGTGGATTCTGGCTTGACTTCTCGTTCTCTTTCGCACTGTGTAGTTTTGTTCGAGTCGCAATCATGTGATGGAGTTCCAATTGGACATGAGGGAGATTTAGGCGCACCGAAGTTGTTCGACATGGAGATAACAAATGAGAATGAGAAGTAGTACTAAAAAATCATCATCCTTAGAATACACTCCGTATGCACACACACATCCACAATTTGAAACCTGAAAAATTAATACAATAAACTGATAAAATCTACTATAAGTTTCAAAGCATCCACAATTCGTAACAACTTAAAATTAATACAATAAAGTTGTTGGGGCCTATAAATTTCATCTTGAGGCCTATGCTTATCTTCCAAACTGATGGATAACCGGAAGCATTTTCAACAAGGACACCTTAAGTTGGGAGTCTGGTTTAAGCCCCATCAAAAATAACTGTAAGTGTCACTGGTGTTTTGAACTTTTCTGTTCAGTCCCAAGGCGCATCTAGTAATGAACAATGAACTGTTGAAAGGTATTCATCTAGTAATAAGACGTGAACTCTGATACATATCCATCCAGCTAAGCGTTAACCTTAAGTAGATATTGAAAGCTTTCTGACCCATTTATATGTTATCTGGAACTGTTCACTCCTATGGCCCTTATTGTTGTTTTCATATATAAAATGGTATATACTTCCTAATGTCTCCTTTTGTGACGGTTGCACCAAGATATAGGTGAAGATTCAGTTTCAAGACGGCCGATACGGTCTTGTCAGACTAACAATAACCTATGGACTGGATATTGGGGATATATATATTGTGTCATTTTATGCCTAGAAAAGATGGGTTGATGTTTCGGCAGAATTTGCTTCTGTTCTCCGATAACTCATCATTCCAGCACTTGGCCATTTCTAAACTCTCATTCCTGATAAATTGTCGTTTCTTTCTACTGTCCTTCCAGTCTGTCATCCATTAATATGCGGCTACACACATTCGTCATTACTCAGCCTACTCTTCATAAAGTTTCAGGAACTCAGAGCCGCCCGAGATCGGGATCTGGAGCCAGTTTAACTCATCGTACTCGGCTGTTCCATCAATCACATGGAACGCATATGCGTACCGGGACTTAGCCAGATGGTTTTTCTCAGACTTGTGGAGCACTGAGTTGTGGATCAAAACCAACGACCCAGCCTTGCACTCCACAAACTTGTAATCAGCGTCGTTGTCTTGTGGCACTTCGCCGTGTTCCAAGTCAATGAAGTTGCACCCTTTCTTCCCGCCATCAACCTTCACAAATCGCTTGGTAAGTGGAAAAGTTTTGTGAGATCCTGGGTTGTACGACAAGCATCCGTTTTCCGGAGTACAATCTTCCAAGGCCACCCAAAAGCCAATCGCCGTCTGTGGTTTGGTGTACAAGAAAGTGCCGTCGGTATGCAGAGGCACGGCGTTGTCTCTGGCTTCGGCAGAAACCGATGGATTCTTGAATATAAGCATGCTCTGGAGCACCCTTGGGTCTGTCATTTGAAGCGACCGGGCCACTGCCTTGATCTTGGGGTCGAAAGTCATGCGGTGGAACAAGGCGTCTTTCATGTGGAGTCCATGGCCGATTTTGTTCACGGCCTTCTCTTTCGAGTACCGGAGCTCGCCGTCTGGGCCAAAAGCGTCCACGTCAAAGAAATACGACACCTTATCTGCTGAGTCGAAGAAGTACTGGTCGCCAATGTGGTCGTTATCGCCTGTTTTGAATTGTGTGCGAGGATGAGAAGAGAGATCAAGCTCCAGAAGCAATTCTCGGGATCTCTGGAGCATCTGGTCAACTTGTTGTGACGAGAAAAAGTCCGGGAGACATAACACGCCTTCTTGGTCGAAAGTTTCGATTTGTTCAGGCGAAAGCCCAATCATGGTATGGGAAAAGATAAGCCTTTATGTGCATTCAAGATACACACAAGAAAGATACGCATATGAAGGAAGAACAATGACAGAAGCTGCTAGACTATACAGACGACGGAATGTGGATCTAAATTTGACTTTTTCATCTTTCCACACATTTTCTCTTCGATTGCAGATTCTCTTTTCTGTGACTTAGATGATGAGCTTCTTAATGATCTGGTTTCTCCTCCAAAACTCGGGCAATTTATTAGTTCTAAACCTTGAAGAATCGTGTCCCAACTGTAACTTCAAAATTTATCTGGACTTTCCACTGCACGACTTATCAAAATTAAGACTTGGTTAGTTTTATATTAAGGTGTGCAAACAGCGTTAGCCTTTTGCAATACTTAGCGGCCCATTTTCTTCAACTCGAGCCATCTCAAGCCTGGATATGTGACGGCCGTGAATCCCATGCAAAGCCACATTCCAATGTCACCTCCGAACTCGCCGATTTTTTTGGAAATCGGCCCAATGTAGTATTTCTGGTTCATTCCCATCACAGCACCCACCACACCACAGCCGAAGGACAAGGCACAGGCAAAACCAGCAGTACGGTATTTGGGCTTGTCCCATTTTTCCCAACTGTAGAATGAGCTCTTTTCGTCTCCTTCAAACTCCCGATAGTGGATCTCACGGGCGTTTTTGCGCCGGAACAAGAAGTTCTCCTCCAAAAGCAAGGCGATGTACATGGAGATCCAGTAGCCAAGCATGGGCAAAACATAGCCAATGATATCGGAAAGATGTTCCCGGCCAGCAAGAGAACAGGCCAAATAAATAGCAGAAATCAGAGTTGCCCAAATCCACCGAGGCACACGAGCCAAGTACACATCGATAAGCTGGAACAGAAATGCTCCGGAATAAGTGTTGATGATGGTATTACATGCGAGAGAAATGTACAACACCACCACAACAAACTTGCCGAAATTGCCCCAAACAGAAAATGCCTCGGCCATGATTCCTCCAATGGAGTATTTGGAGTATGCGTCCGCCCATTTGGTGTTGGAGTAGGCAATCGAGCCGGCCAAAGTGGCAACGATAGCAGCGAAATTCGACGGCACAGCAATACCAAAAAACGTCACCAAGAAAACCTTAAGGTCGGACGTATTGTCTGGAAACAAAATGTAGTAGTCTGAGGCCGAACCTCCCCATGTAGCAGTGGTGGAGTAGGCTATGGTGAAGTAGGAAAGCCAATTTCCGGTGCGTGTAAGAGACGAGTAGCCTAGTTCACGGGCCATGGCGTTGGACTGGCTGATGTAGCCAGTTTTCTTTCCCACCACAATGTAGAACAAAAGAATGGCCAAGTTTGTTGGAATGGCCACGGCCGTCTGGAACCGGAGCAAAACCCGGATTCCGAACACGGCAATGACCCAACTCACCACCACCACAACGATGATTCCGGTGGATAGCGGTGTGCCGGAAATAGCAGAAAGCATCTGGCCACCAACCACACAATTGACCACCGACCATCCGATTCCGCCCAATATACCAATCAACGCAATAAACTTGACACCCCACTGGCCGAAAATAAACCGGGCCGTGACCATCTGCCGGCATCCCGATTTGGGTCCCATAGTGGCACAGTATGCTGGCACAAGACACCCAAGGTTTATTCCAATGAGTCCGGCAATGAGAGATTGCTTCATGCTCAAGCCGTACAGAAGGGTGGGGTAGAAAAATGGCGACATGGTGGTGACACCGCCACATCCAGCAAACCAAAGGCCCAAAACATCAACGTATCTTTTCCACACTGGGCCTCCAAGTCGTTCTTCTGGAGTCACACGCTCGATTCCTCTTTCTTCCACGCCCAATGCATCTACGGCATGCAAGTACCGGTAGATTTTTCCTTTTGTGATGGAAGTAGTCTCTTCCGTGGGAATATCTTCTTTCTTCAGCATTGATGCTGTTCAATTACACCTTGGGGGCCCTGACTTTATAGCCCTGGTGTAAAGTGTGCAAATCTCTCAAGCCTGGGACCCTTAAGCGCATCATGCACGGCATATATAGAAGCGGCCATTGCAGATCCATCGTATATTTGCTTACTAGAAACACAAGAAAGAAAATCATGGAGGTTCCACGCTCCCGCTACATATTGTAGTCCAGTGTAGGCAGTAGGTGTTCATTGGAAAGAGTGAAAAAGTAAATCGCTTTTCTCAGGTGAGCCGTGGTTCGTATATTGAGATTTGAAATGACCCCCATCCCAAATTGCCTGCTTGGAGTAAACTCTTACAGGGCTTTTTCTTCCGCAATTTTAGGACACAAGGCATGACTATCTGGCCAAGGCCGTCTGTAGTAAAAGCGGTGTCGAATTCTTTTTTTTGGTTTTTAAGCCAAACGTAATCTATCTTCTAATTGGCCCACAGAAGGGGGTAGTTTACGTTTCCGTTTGAGCCATTATCACGTTTGAAATGAAGCAAATTAAATGAAGCAAATTATCCTTGCTGATTATGACACATTACTGTAGGCAATGAGGAACGGCGAATTAAATCGTGCATGCATATGCGCTTAAGGGTCCTTCCTTTGCGGTGGATACAAATGACTACCAATTAACGTAAGCAAGTGTGATCCTCGAGAATAGAAGAACTGGCAGATCGAAATGCATCCCTTTCCGAGGCTTTCCTGTCTGACTACCCAGTTATGTCTTACATCAGTTTCTAGAATTTTTATGCTCTATGGTCTTTTAATGTTGCTCTGTGGTCCTTTAATCTGAATCACTCATTCTTTCTGCATTCATTTGGGCACCATTTCTTATCTATTTTCTGAGCTCGAATAAGTTATATCAGATAAAATTTTGCATTCATGATTTATGTGACTTTTGTCCAAAACAACTGTTAGTATATACAAGATGCGAGGCTCTACTTGTAGAGGAAACTCAACCAAGACAGTTTTCTAGCCTCTCTTTCTGCTTGTGGGATGAAAGCATCCACATGCTTTCTGATTTTCTCGGCACCCGATTTGGCGTCGACTTCCCGTCCAATAACATCCACAAACTGGCCCTCCGAATCCATGAGATAAAAGAAAATCGAATGGTCAACCAAGTAGTCCTGGCCGGGCTTGACGTCTGGTGGAGTCGAAAAGTACACACGATACTTTTTGCACACGTTCTTCACGGCTTCGTAAGTGCCCGTCAAACCAATAATCGAGGGATGGAAATCCTCCAAGTACTGAGCTATAATTTCGGGCGAGTCACGAGCAGGGTCGCAAGTGATGAAGATGGGCTGCAACTCGATGTTATCGTGGTTTTTGAGTTCCTCCAACATCTCGCCCAACTTATCTAATTCGTCGGGGCAAACGTCTGGACAATGGGTGAAACCAAAGTAAATGATGGAAAATTTCTTCTGGTCGTTCTTCAAGTTCTCCTGGGTGAAAGGCTGGTTGTTCGTGTCAACCAAGCTGAAGTTTCCTCCGATCAAGGGCTTGCCCATGCCTCTCTTGCTCTCCACTTCTTTTTGGATTCTCAACTTCTCCTTTTCCTTTGTAAACCACCATGTGAAGCCGCCGCCAGCGACAAACAACAACACCACGGCCTTCCATGCAGCAAACTCGATTCCGTTACCGGCAGCATACTTCAGGCTGCCTTGTTGGGAGCCTCCGATGGCGACTCTACTCAAAGGTCTCTTTTTCGGTTTTTCCTGGGCTTCGGACGTTTTCTTTGGCTCCTGCTCATTACGGACGATAATTGAAGAGTGCAAAAACCGGGCTGAGATTGCCGGAGCTCTTCGAACAGAAACTGCTCTGAGTATGGGAAGCATAGCTTTGAAAGAAAGAGGTTGGGTCGAGAAGAAGAAGAGGCCGTGTGCAGGTTGTTATAGTGGTGTGATAAAGAGTTTGCCCCGACTACAGAAGAAAAAATCATGCTGAATTATTTGTGGCTTGATGGTCTGTCGAGACTTTTCTTGAGTGAGTCTGCATTCGTCCAAGGACGTATGTGTTGTGATTTACATTGTGAGAAGTATTAGTAATACTAATCATCGAGATCGCCGCACAAAATGCATCTCGAAGCATACGTAATTAGCAATATTTATTGAAAAACTAGATTGCTTCATTCGAAATGAGGAAAGGACAGTAAAATTAAAGTTTCAATCCTCGACCAGTTTTTAGGCTACATTGCTCTTTCATCTTCATAGTTAATACGAGTACGCGGATTACGTAGAAGTACCATGGAATGGCTTGATATCTGCAAAAATCCAAAGTAAAAAAAAAAAAAAAAAGTCAATTACACGGTTTTCAAAACTACGTACACTAGAACGTTGGAACATTTAATTTCTTCATTCGAAACAATAATTCTGTTTCCCATAGAGTGACGTTATTAACCCATCGCGATCTTCATACAACTTCGCACAAAGCTAAAGACTCATCTACATGCTTGAAGATCTTCTTGCGTGGGCTCGTTCCAATGGGAGCGAAATCTCGTCTTCTGTCTCTTTCCAAAATGGCGACAGCGGTTTTGGCGCCGTGTGCACATCTTCAGGGCCCATTTCCATCCGTGTCCCCTCGGCTCTTATAATCCGACTCGAAACCGCCGTGGAACATTTGGGACCGGACTTTGGTGATCTTGCGACGAAAACTAGAAGCATCAATGCAGTGATCAAGATGTTTTTGGCCCGCGAGCGTGCTCCCGCTCACTTGGCCTGCTCTTTCTTCAAGCCTTACATTGAATCGCTTCCCGCAAACATTAACAGTCCATACGTTTGGCTGGCCGAAGACCAGAAGTTGCTCGCAGGCACCAATCTTGGAAGCTCGCTTCGGGAAAATTTGGCGGAGCTTATTGAGGAATGGTGGCTGGTGGTGAGTGTTTTGCCCGATAGCATGGAAAAACCAACACAGCACTATGTGAACATGAAGTTCTACTATGAGCACAAGTTTTACACCACAGAAGATATGCACAAGTACGTGACCGATGTGGACGTGGCTAACTGGACGTCTTTTCCCTGCTATTTGTGGGCGGCCATGATCTTCAAGCTGCGGCTGTTCCCAGCTTATTTGCTCCAGGAGGAAACAGAAAGGAAGAACGAGGGCAAAGACATTGAGAAAGAGGGAAAAACGGCCGACCAGACAAAATCCGAGACCACTCCACCCAGCGACAGTGCCATGCTTGTGCCTGTGGTTGACCTTCTTAACCATTCGCCAACAGCAAAAGTCACTTGGTCAGGTTCCGGCGGGTTCACTCTTTCCACCGAAGGCGAGGCTGGCCAGGAGATTTTCAACAACTACGGTCAGAAGGGAAATGAAGAGCTCTTGTTGGCGTACGGATTTTGTCTAGAGACTAATGAAGCCGACTCTGTAGCTCTTCGTATCAAGGTGCCTCCTTCGAAGTGGGATGTCTTGAGAGAACATGTGAAGCTCCCAACTCTCGCTGATTACACCACACTGGTTGTCCCGGCTGCCTTTGAGGCTCCTACTCCCGAAAAAGATCTTCTCTTTTTCATTGGCCGAGACAGAGTTCCGTCCAACTTGGTGGAGACTTTCCAATGGCTTGTGCAAAACCTGTGGGAGTCGCAATGCTCTACTCCAACTATCCGTATGAAGCTCAGTGGACTAAACCATTTGCGCCAGGCAATGGAGGCGAAAAGCGCCCTTTTGGAGCCTTCTCTTCGAGCCAGTGCCACAAGCAGCTCGGAAAACGCCAAAATGGTGCATATATACGTCCAAGCGCAGAAGAAGCTTCTTGATGGAGGAGCCAAGATCGTCAAACGCTTAGAAAAGGCTGAGTTGGCTACGCATCGTGATCATCTTGTCTCTTTGAAGAGTGTTTATAAGCGAGACCAGCCTTTTGCCCGGTCTTTACTTGTGGCTTTGGGCGTGGCAAGCTTTGACGATATTGTGAACCGCCAGCTCCAGGATCAAGTTTGGCTCTTGTACTTGATTCGCTGTTTTAACAAGAAGAAGTACCCAGACACTGAAGAGAGCTATTTGCCAGAGTGGCTTACAAAGAGTTTTGCCCGCATGGACAAAGAAACAGAAGTGACTGCAGAGGAAGTACTCCAGTTTCGGGAACTCTATGAGAATATAATTTTACCAATGAACCAGGCTGCACCTGAAATCTATAATGTGGGAAAATGGACTGTGCGGGAATTAATTGTGAGTACTCGCTTGTTGGATACCATAGGGTTCGTAAGGGGACGAGACCAGGAATGCATTTTGGTGCAGCAGGAGGAATGAATGAATGACTTACTCACAAATAATAGAAAACATTAAACTATGCGTTTTTCACATAAATGGACGTCTTCCACTGTTAAAGAGACTGCGTCGTCATTTAAAAGTTATAATGAGCTATCTGTCACATGTGGACGTTAGAAGCGATTGTATCCTTGTAATTAGTTCTCAATACAAAATTGATGATATAATTCCAATGAAACGAGTCGACCGACTTACGAATTGATTCACAAGGTGAACATAATCGATTCGTCGAGAATATAGCTTACTACCCCTAAAAATGGGTTCTCTGCGCTCCAAGAAGCAGATATTGAGGGAATTTCATCAACAAATACTACCATAAGCAGACAAAAAGATGCAATTTACAGTACATTTGAGAAAGAAGAAGTAGTTGCAATGGGAAAATCCTTTTTGTACCCCAGAATGTGGGGGTTGGTGATGTTACACAAATAGGAATACACCCGTACCTCCTTGAATAGCACCCGTACATCCATAAACACCCATGCACCATGGAAAAATCCAAACATCCCTTAAACATCCATACATCTTTTAGGAAAATCTGTACATCCCAAAGGGGAAACCCCATACACCTGACACTAACATCCGTGCACCCCATAGTTAAGCTCTCAGCGGGTCCCTCGATTATCGAAATTCATGGCAAAAAAATTACAATTTTGCCATGGAATACATGAATGCAAGAAAATCAGTACCTCCTCCCCATTTGTACAGAGTTTACAGTCCATTTGCAACAACTAATTTCATGGAAAATATACTAGTAGACCTAGAAGTATAATCACTGAAAAATATGTATTTTTCCTAGTTTTTGTTCCTCCCATTTTTAGTTGATGAAGTTTTAACTTCGGGGTGTATCAATTAGACCTTCGATTCGCTTCATTAATGTGAATTGAAAGTGAACCGACGAAAATCAGAGCAGTGTCACCAATCATCCGGAAATTTGTATCGTGTGCTTATCATGTTTGGAGAGGAATTTATAAGAAGACTATAATCAGGTAAATCATCGAACCTTTCAGTTCCTCTCTTGTCCACTGTTGAAATTGACGTTGCTGTTGAAATAAATAGTGTATAGAATAACCTTACTGTTACGCTTCTTCTCGGTGTGACGATTACGCTCTATTCGTTCTTTCTATCAGTCAAAGTTTTGCACAATTATGCAACTTAGAGTACGTTCAAGGAAAAAGAAGTAGTTGATATTGGAAAATCCCATTTGTACCCCAAACTGGAGGGTTGGTCAGTGACACAAAAAGGATTTAGACCCGTACCTCCATACGTTACACCAGTACCTCCTAAAACACCTCTACACCTTGGAAAAATCCAAACATCTCATAATAAACCCAAACATCCCGGGTGAAATCCTGCACACAAATCGATAGACCCGTACATTCAATGACCAAAAACCCCAACACCGCGAATAAAAACCATTACACCCTATAGTTAAGCTCCCAAATGTCCGCTCAGTTTCCGGAATCCATGACAAAATACTAAAAATTCTGCCTCTGAACAATCAACGCGCACCCATCAGTACCTCCCTTGGCATAATAAAAGTGGATATTGCCAGATTCCAACCACAAATCTACAAATTAATTTATATTTCAAGTTGCCGAAGTCGTGTTAAATTGAAAGTTTGAAAGATCAGGTAAAATGCCGATAAGTTAAAAATAGAAGAGTATGCAGTTCGAGATTATTACACAAAGAGAGTCTGAATAAATCTTGCGCATGCCAATTTCTTTTCCGATACGAAAAACTATTAAATTAATTAAAAACATTAGAGATGGTACTAATAGTATTTCATTACGTATTCTATGTCCTTTGTTCTATTTGAGTCGTTGCTTGAATTATGAAGAGTTACTATAAACCGATTTAAAGCAGAGAATTCCATGCTAGACCACTGAATTCAAGGAAAGATGTTATATTGCATGGCTACAGTACCAGACTGCAACGGAATTGTCGTACTCCCACTTATTGAAGAATAATTGTTGCGATCGAATTAATTACATGTATTCTTGTCAGGTCTATGTGATTGTATTTCTACTCTAGGACACCATAGATATGCATGACCAAAGCAATTACACTACATTATTCACATCTTGCCGTACATTGAAATTACTCTTCCTTGATTCCGCCGGCACCAGCAACCTCAGCCGCGTCGATAGAAGCCTTGTCGGTCTTGACGTCGCTGGTGGCACCTTGCAATGCCTGCAAGAAGCCTGGAGCAGCCTTGAAAGGTCTCTTCAAGTCGCCAGAAGCAGGCTTTCCAAACAAGTGGATCTTGACAATGTTGGTCTCCAAAGCAGACTTGACGGAGGACACAGACTGCATCACCAATGGGTTGGTGTACTTCATGTACAAGTGCATGAAGCCCATCATGGCCAAGGAGGTGAAAATACCCTTGATTTGCTGGTCAATCTGCTTCAAGTCGTACTCCTTAACAGTGGTGACAACAGCCTTAGGCTCAGTCTGGCCAGACATTGGGCTCGCAGGCTCAACGTACTTCAACGTGGTCAAGTCGTTCTTCTTGTTGATTTGCATCTTGACATACATGCAAACGCCAAACACAATAAGCTGGCACGCAATGTAGCCCACACGGACGTAAAGCAAGATGTCTGGGTTCTCAAGGTCCAAGCGGCGGGACACTTGCATCATGACCAACATGAGCCCCAAGTTAGTGACGGCTGGATTCATTTTGTCTGGAAGAAAAGGTGTATGAGGTTTTTTACATTTTTCGCCAGCGCTCGTTTTCCACCTCGATATCAACGCTATCGCGACCGTTACCCGGCGCAGCACCTTCCACCATGTTCCATGAAAGAGCCACACCAGAAATTTTCAAACAGAGAAAACAGCTTTGGGTAGCTGAGTTTAGTCAGTTGGTCAAATTTTGAGCTTGATTTGTGGCAGTATTTGTGACTTTTGGTTGGTGGATTGGGGCAAAAGCTTATCGCCTGCACACAGAACGGCTAGTTTGGGCGCCGATCTATTCGCACCCGAAGTCGCGGATTTAAAAAAGGAAGGCGGTGGCTTAGTCTGTTTAGTCATTGTATCAATGTGATTGATGATTACCTTGATAATTAGTGCAGTTATTTTAGATAAGCTGATTGAGGATAATTGCGATGATCGTAGAAAAGACTTTTAGGCTTTCCTTTGCATTTAAGACAATTTTTTCCATCACTGTAATTAATGGTCGATTGTCCATTTTATAGTCACTGAAGGTTTAAGTTAAAGTTCGCAAAAAAGAGAAATATACCAATTTATCTAAAACCGGTAAAGATAAGATATTTTAAAGTATTATTACTCTTTGTCACATTGAGGCTCAAACTGCTACTTCTTTTCTTGAATGGCCCAATCTCGCGTTAATACTTAGGTCGGATGACAACTCTTATGAATATGGTTTGAGCTGGTCGAAGTTATTTGCCAAAAGTAGCTATTTAAAGTAAGGTCAACAATTAGAAGGATGTGCATCATTACTCCATATTATTAAAAATCGTTGGTCATAGTGATCTATAGAAATAATGAAAGCAGTACCGATAATCGTAACATTCATCTAGCGGTTCTAAGTCGATCGATTGTTCGTTGTCACTTTTTGAGCCAGTAACTACAGTTTCGTCACTCATCGGCGGGAGAACGACCATTCGAAAGGTATGAGCACAAATTGAAGCAGGTCAACTATCTGACTTTGACATTGAAAGAGCAATCAATAATATATGTATTCATCATCATATTCCCATGTTTCACCTTAGTACGTGTACTTTGGGTGCCTAAAGCAAATCATGGTCTGAACCTTCTACAACAAAGTTACCGTATTTGTATATTACAATGGCGAGCTCAAGATGAAGAGACAAATGCTGATTCGTATCTCCGCCAAAATAACCCCAACGCAATGCAAGTCATTAAGCTAAATTTTCTCTATCTTTTCGCTTCCACAATTTTAAAGCTCATCCGCTGTGATGTCTCCCAACTCCCAGCAGCCCACACGGTCGGACTTGGCCTTTTTCTGCACTTGCAAAAGACCAGCAACATACTCCTTCAAATTAGCACCAGCCACTGGCTCGACAATACCATATCCTTCAGCCACCAACTGCTTGTTGATGGTGTACTCTGGGTCTTTCAAAGATTCCTCAGCATCGTACAAAATGGCATCGTACTCGATGCCCTGGGTGCGAGATGGCAACCCAGAAAGAACTAGCTTCTTGTCGAAAGTCAAGTCCTCCAAAAGATAGATGGCTTCAGTCAAGTAATCTTTTGGTTGAGTTGGAGGCAATTGGATGTTCTGGAGCTTACAAGTGTGAGCAAAAGGACGAATGACGTCGGTGCCAAACCGTTTAGGAAGAACACGCAACGAAGACAATGGCACCTTGTCAACATTTCCAAAATCCACATGTTTCACTTCGTAAGTGTTTGACGAGCGGTCAAAACCAACGACACGAGCACGGTAATACTTGCCATTTTCAGCAAACTTGGCCGCAACAAACTCGTTTCTCTTTGGCGCTTTGGTCAAGTTTACTGGCAAGTCTGTCGATGCAGCACTAGCACTCGCATTCTGGCCGTGGAAAGAGTTGAAGTCTTCCTTGAACTTGGCAAATTCTCGGCTGGTGTTAGCATCGGTGAGATGGAACGACAATACTCCTGATTTGTCGAGATCAACAACTTCAATGTCGAAGAACTTGGGTTTCTGCGACTCGAGACTGAGCTCCTTCATGCGCAAAGATTCCTCGTCTGCCTCAGCCTGGGCAGCAGAAGCATCGTAGTCTTTCCAGATCCCCTTGTGGCCGTTTTTCGCCTGTTCTTCGGCCTTGAAAAGATCGGCGCCAAACTTGTTGGAATGTGCCGCATGCTCGAAAAGCGAAACCAAACCTTGTTCCAATAATTCCACTTGCACTGGTTTTGTAGCCTGCGCATTGGCATATAAATTGCCAATAAAGCCTCCAACCTTGTCCGTATCGTAAACTTCAAACTCGACGTTTCTTTGCAAGTACTTGCGGTTGAGGTAGTCGAGACTATCCTCGGCCCGCGAGTTGGCCAAACCGCCCAAAACCAAAGTCAACTTAGTGCCTTCTTTTGCGTTGAACAATTTGACTCTGTTTCCCGCAGAAACGTATTCCACGTGGAAGCCAGCCATACGGCCCTTCTTCTGGAATCCGTTGAAGAAGGTTTTAGCCTTTGTTTGCGACTCGGAAGCATTCACCACACGTGCACCCATGGTCAAGATCTTGGAAATATCACCTTGGTAGAAAACACCCTTTTTGCCAGCTTTCTTCTGCTCCTCCTCGATTTCAACAAGACGATCCCAGTTAAGCGCACGCTCGTTGGCAGTCTGCTTGTTATGTTTGATCACAGTAGCGAATCCGTGACTGACGATTTGCTCCGAGAAATCTTTTCCTCCGAGTTCAAAAGACACCAAGAAACGAGCAGGCAAGTTCAAGTCGTCGTTGGCCTGGCGGAAGCCATCAACATGCATGGTCACATTTCTGCCAATGGCGTGGTTTCTGGCAAATTCTCTGGCCATCTGCACCAAAACTTGCTGCTGAGCGGAATTGGATGTCAAAGTAGTGTCATTAGGCTTGGGTCCACGCAAAGATGCCAATTGCACTGTCACCTCATCGCCAGCAGGCAATCTAACGTTGTAAGTGTCGACACTCACTACTTTAGAAACCACGGCATTTTCTACACGAAGGCCGGGTCTCAAAGATTTGGCAGAAATGGTTTTGGCCGAGGCAGCAGAAGGAGTGGAAACGCCGGCAAAGGATGCAAAGAGACCTTTTCCAAGAGCCTTGGCGGAAAGCTCGGCTTTACGCAACTGACCCATCACAGCCGATCCGACCAATGTAGATTGCCAGTCAACGATTTCCGCCAAACCGTTCTCCAACAACTTTTCGTGGATACTGTTGCCAGAAGGATGAATCACAAGCACAATAGGGACACCGGTGTTGTTTTCGCCGACAATCTTGACCTGGATTCCACTTCCGTTAGACAAGAGGTGATCTTCGACATACTGCTTGGCCTGCTGGGCAATTTTGGCCAATTTGGGATCCTCGTCGTCGCTCCGAGGCGATTTCACACCGGCTAAAAGAACAGGTTGCTGCACATGATGGCCCTTGTTGACCAAAATACGGGCCACCACACGGTCACCGCCGAGAACTTTCTCGATGATAGCAGGAAGAGGCTTTTTCTGCGACGACTCGATGATTTTGGCCGTGACAGGCACAATCTCCGGCTCGGAAAAGCCCTTGGCCCAAACTCCAACATGCGAGTTTTGCGCAGATGCTTCAGCCTGTTTCAAAGTCTCGATAAACTCCTCTTCCTCGTCGGAATCAGCCCGAACATTGTCTTTCAACTTGACCAAACCTTTTTACCAGACATGTGAACAATCAAGGAGGAGAAAATCGGAGCCAGACGTCACAACTCTTTCCCAGCGCAGCACTTAGAAAGACGTGAACTTGACCACCTTGCCCAAAACAACTTTCTCAAGTATCTTTGGCTTCGAAAGATTCGCCCCGAACATACTGGAGGGTGAGAAGTCTTTCTGGAACTGAGAATTGGGCCGTTTTGGGAGGAACCAAAACAAGCGTGTCGCCGCTTAAAACGTTTTTGACTTTGGCTGCTAGAGTGGACATTGGTGAAGGTGGAATTTCCAGATCGTATAGTGGAAAATGTGGAGACGTCGAGGTGAGGTGTACGGGTGTAACATAGGTTCCCAGTAACCACTTTGGCGATTGCTGCAGGAAAGTTCAAACTAAGAGAGATTCAAACTTTCGGATACACTTATTATATAGTAAGGTGATTTAGTAGCTTCTTTCATTTGCGTATCTGGTCTATCAGGTGTTGTTTTTCAGTTTCTTTAGTGGTGTCGTGGCTGCGAAATGTCGCGTGTTGGCCAAGATCCAAAATGTCGCGCCTGCCCGCGGGAATGTCGCGCCTGCCTCACCATATAAAGCTCTGACTTCCCCAGAAAGAATGCGTCTGATTCCAACTGGTATTGCCAAAAACACCAGCATAAAAATAGAAAACACATGGCCCGCTCCACAGCCCAGAGACGTCTTTTGAAAGAGTACCAACAGATAGCACGTGATCCGCCGCCTGGAATCGTCGCTGGTCCAGTTTCGGAAGATAACCTTTTCGTCTGGGACTGTCTTTTGGAAGGCCCGGCAGACACCCCTTATGAAGGCGGTGTTTTCAGTGCCACGTTGCGTTTCCCGTCAGACTACCCGTTGAGCCCCCCGACGCTCAAGTTCGAGCCGCCTTTGCTCCATCCGAACATCTACGCCGACGGAACCGTCTGTATATCGATCTTGCATCCGCCGGGAGAAGACCCAAACCAGTACGAGCGGCCCGAGGAACGGTGGTCGCCTGTGCAGAGCATCGAGAAGATTTTGTTGAGTGTGGTTTCGATGTTGGCCGAGCCTAATCCAGAGAGCGGCGCCAACATTGATGCGTGTAAGTTGTGGCGGGACCACCGGGAGGAATACGATCGGCAGGTGAAGGCCCATGTCCGCAAG